CTTCGACTGAGGTTGCTAAAGTGTGGGTCCAGTAGCCACTATGCCCGTTGTACTGACAACGACAGCATGCCACTTGCTGTAGGCGCCATCTACCTCCAGGCATGCCCTCCACCGTCGTGCTGCCTCTGGTGCACTATGCGGCTTGTATGATGATTCATGTCCCCGGCGACCAATGGGAGTGTTGTCCCCGTGCCATCTTGATATCGAGTCTGATAACTGCTAAACAGAACTCCAGATGTGTATAGCCTCATATGGTAGTCTTGATGGACACACACATGCGTAATAGTTATACTGCAAGATCTAATAACAGCAGCTGGCCACTCGCATTGAGGTGAGATACCAGACAGACGTAGAAGTGGAAGACCCAAGAGAAGCCGTACCTGTGATGAACTACAGATACGAAGAGACTCACCTGTCACTGCCACGGGAACATGGCCTTATGCAGAGCATCAGCAAGCAATGCCACGAGCAGTACTCTGACTGTGCAGCAGCAAAGTGGCCGATGATATGGAATGCTGACACATCTGCTGCCGTCATGGATGGACTGGCAAGCCAGACAAGGATGCTTTACCCTGAGATGAGCTGGCATGAAATTGTGTATGACTGGAGGACACTTCCTTGTTATGCCTGCTATCGGAAACCAGCTCATGAGATGGACAACCTTGGAGTGGTCAGCCCCCGCGTTCTCCCAGACATCAAAACTGTGAGGGTCTCTGTGAGTTCTCATGTTCTCGTTTAGTCACGCTGACTTGTCCTCAGAAGCAGTCATAACTGTCGGGCCTGTTCGGATGCCACTCCCCTGCAGGCCTCGGTGCTTTGAGCACGGTTTCCAGGCTGCATGCGTACGTTGAGGGACATCAGGTACGTCATCTGCTCCCTACTTTCTGAGCCTGCTATGACAAGAGTAGCCCTCACTAGTCTGAACCAGCCACGCCTCCTGGCGTCTCACCCCGGAAGTTGCAGGGATCAGACAGCTGGTGGCCTTATTTACGTTATGGCTGCCATGATGGCAAATCTACTATCAGAGTTTTGATGAAATCCTCTTCGCTGTCCCTGGCGGACCTCCAACTCTTCAATGGGATAGATACGGGGCACAGTCTACCGACACTTCCAGCGAGGATAGCAGGCGCAGTGCTCTCGATACCAATGATGGATCTACAAGAGGGAGCAGATCTTCTGCATGCCCCTGCCAGGAAGTGGCGCTGACGTGGGCCAAACGTATTGTCCCCGAGATGTCCTTGGAAGGTTGAGACCTCTGCTGATAGCAATCAAGGACTGGGCCAGCAGGTAACTCTAGGAGGATTCGGGTCCAGCTTCAGCCAGGAGTGTTTGTAAAGCAGCACCCGTGCAGTGAGGCTTCGAGAATCATCCAAGTGGCACTATCCAAGGACCACTTCCCCGAGAGAACAGAAGGTTGGGGGACCGACTCCTGAAGGGCGCTCTCGCAGTCTACTGAACAGAAGAGAGGGCCAGAAAGCAACAATCATCTCTGGATCCACAGCTCTTCTATCATAGAGACACTGGGATGGTCAGAGCACTCCCCTCAAGAAGAACAGGAAGTAACATAGCGGCACAGCGCTGATGCTCATGGAATATGGTTGATGAGCCCCTGGCTTCTGCTGGATACGAGATGCGTGCTGAGAGCAAGGTGTCTGGATTGGGACGGTTATGCCTCTCCAGAGAAGAGGCAGGAGGCGCCGTCATAGATGGGCATGTGCCTGAAGGAGACACACAGGGCGGTGGCTGCTCTGCTGGCAACAGAGGACAATCCGAAGCATGCAGGTCTCAAACAAAGAAACGTGCATTCTGAAGAACTATCGACGCTAAGGAACGAGCCAGTTCTCTGTATCACCCGGCAGAGGAGTATAAGGGCTGCTACTCGCTTCTCAAGCTTCTCACTCAACTTAGACTTCCCTGGCTTCCGATTACCACATGGACCACTGAGAGTGCTAACTGCTCTTCCAATCCACAATAGATGCGGAGCAATAGCAAGCTTCGTTTGAGCGCAGTACTAAGCAGCGTAATATATGCAAAGACAGCTCTTAGAAGTCAATGTAAGGTATCATCTTGGTAACGGCAATCGCCCTTGAATCAGCCGTTCAGTGGAGACAGGGGTCTAATACGGCACAGTTGGGCCATATACAGGCAGTGGGTGTAAGAGCTATTGTAGACAGACACCGCCGCTAAGAACGCCAGAGGGGAGCTCCCATCAGCTAATGTGTTTCCAGAGCCACGTCTCTAGCGGAGCATGGCCTCCCGCAGTAAGATTTTGCAGGTGTCACCTGTAGTAATTCTGGATGCTTTATGGGGTGAAGCAGCTTATCCACAGACTTCACGAGACCGGGGCTGCCCACATAGCTACTAAGGTGAGAGAGTGTGATTGTACGGAGCAACGCTATGTCTGCTCTTCCATCACTTAGCGGCCAGAGGATTGCTCTCAGGCTGCACCTCCGCTCATAAGTGTGCGAGGGTTCCTCTAGTGATTGTCTCGTTGGCTAGTTAGCTACAGATGCCATGGCGACATAGATCACTAGTGCATACGCTGGGTTACTTTTTGCTAGAGCAGACAGAGGCATGACAGATCAATCCAGGAGCGTCTTCTCACGTCGCACGAAAATGTGGATCTACACACTAGGGGTGCATTCTCATAAACAGCTTCCTCTGCCATGACTCAGAGCTATCAGGCGAGCAGTGACGCTTCAGAGCCATCTGCCTCCTCTATGCGAGAGTTACTCGATAGACCAGAGTCGCTGCCAGAAGGTGTGCTTTGCAGCAGACAGAGTATCTCGTGTCTCAAGCCTGTCTGGCCGTACTAGGAACTGAAGCCATGCCGCTAAGCCTCAGTGGATCAGAAAGCACTCCGCAGCCAGTGTGACTCTTGTGATGTTAGCTTCTGAGGCTATGGAGGAGCCCTTGGCCTCGTGGTCTTTGCACTATGGGTCCACTCATTTGGCCGTCTTACTCAGATGAGTAGAACGCGGTGCCTTCTGCAAGTCCCTATACTGCGAGTTCGCGCTAGGATCCATTAGTGTCTAACTAGTTTGGTGGAACTCTGCTCTTATCCCCACAAGTTTGTTACTGCAGATAACTCACTGTATTGACTCTATGGTGATCGCAAGTATTCCAAAGCTGGGGAACTGTCTGTTAGAGCTACCGGTCCCGGCCTTCATTAAGCCCGCGATTGCCTCATCAAAGCCTCCACACACTACGAAGCAGGTTTCTACCCGTCTGCTATGTACCTATGGTCTGCCTTAGACTTCGTGTGTCAGAGTCTGGTGTTGAAGGATGCGATTCTGCGTAGCTTAGTCAAAGCCTTACTAATTGGGTATCTGCTCTCATCTATCCGGATCAAGGATCTGTTGGCGACTATGCCTGAATCTGTTCTCTGCAGGAGTGTCCTCTCGGGCTGTAGATATCCTCTGTCCTCGAAGTGGTGCTAGTTCAAGCTGTCACAGTAAGTGGGGGCTCCTGCAGCCAGTGGAGTCAGCGTCTTCTGACCCGACATGCACCAGGGCCTCCAGAAGCAGCGACCTCCATCTGCCATGGCTAGTAAATGCCCTCCATAGAGCTTATACGGTGACATGGCCTTCCAAGCCGTAACGCCTAGGGTTGCGGATGGATGTAAGCGATTGCTTCATAGAGTATTGCGACTATCAATAGCAGGGGAAATGAGAACAACAAGTAGCGGCAGCAGACCGTAGAGCAGCAGGTAGGAACGGGACTGGGTCGCGTTCGCTCTTCTACACTAAACTGGATCGTCTCTCTAAAAGACTCAGAGAGACGCAGCAGTGTCTCCGCGACTGTAAAGCAAGCCTAGTCAATTACCAGGCTTGTAAGAGAAACATGCAGCCAGACGCTGTAACTGCTGTCCGAGCAAATCCCTCATGCAAGTGCCATGCAAAGAACTTCCCTGCTTGTTCATCATCTGAAGTCAGGGAATCGAGGTTCAGATGTTGTCCCATTTTGGTGACAAAGGAGAATGCTTCTTCCCTCAAGGCGATAGCGAGTGCAGATGAGCGTTTGAAGCTGGCAATGGCGCCGATCACTCGCCACGCTTGTCGAGATGGACCCACACGTGATTCATATGAATCCCTTGACAAGAGATGAGGCCCTTGGGGTGCTTGGCTGACGGAGGCAAATTGAACACATGACCGCACCGAAGAGCGGTGGCGGCCTGGGCCACCTGCCGGGCGTCTGCTACAACAGCTGGCAGTGCCTGACACCCTCGAGTAGGCGGACACTAAGCGAGACGACCTGACGGTGAACCGGTCCTGATCGCTCTTGGTGCTTCGGATGACGCCCCTCGGAGAGGTGGCCCTGGACTGACGCCTCGACAGACCGAAGCATCACCCCAAGTGTGCTGTGCAGATGGACCAGCCCACACGTCAGCCGAGCCAGACGCACTGCATAGAATGATGCGCCGACACGGTCTCGTGCTGGGTGACGGAGCACCTGCAAGAGTGCACTGTGATCCATGAGCAGAGGGCCATACTTCTCCCCCGACACAACACATGGGAGCTGTCCGTGGCATCCACAAACGCGTACCACAACTCCAAGATAGAGGCGCACGGGGAGCAGACCCTCCAATCATACTCGAGACTGATGGTATAATCCACGAGGAGACGAAGAGGCACCCCAAGGAACGAGGTAGACACCCGAAGTCATAGCGTATCCCATCTTTGTCATGGAGTACCAGAACCCTGGATTCTGTGGAGGCTAGACTACTCCCAAGGTCAGGTCACCGCAACTAATGCAAGGTCCTGAGATAGTAGGTGCCCACTAGTGCCAGACGGTAGTTGACCCCGACGGGCCAGAGGATGGGACGTCCTGGAAGGCACCGTGGAAGCAAGCGATGGCCACCGGGGGAAGGAACACAACATCTTCTTCTCCCGCCGGAGATGGATGGAATCCAGCTTTCAGAGTCTGATTCCGGGCTTTGCCCAGAGCGGAGCGGCCCGTGTGGGACTTGCTCGGATATATCTCTTCAATAAAATCTATATATGAGACAGGGGCGTGGCCAAATTACATATACAGCGCCTCCATTGCAGCAGCCGGCCATTCAAACTCAACAGAATATAGTGTCCATACAGCCTATTGGTCATTCTGGTGCGCCAAGACTAGACTTTTCTGGACAGCTTTTGCAGACTCTTCAACAAGAGAAGCACATATTCAGCGACGAAGAGCTTGCATTGCCGTCTCTTCATTCAGCTCTGCCATGTATTTCAGCAAAAGTTAGTACTACTGCCCGATGGCCTCCAGTACGGCCTAGCTTAGGAAATGTGTGGAATACGGCGTCTACAAAACATATTTCAACGATCCCAACCACAACTGACTTCCCAAAACCGTGCTCTTCATGGCTAGAGTCACTCAATACGATCTATCTGCAAGACGAGGACACGCTTTTTCTTATATGGATCGTTATGCCGGGAACACAGGCCCAGGAGCTGGCTGGCGCCGCCCTTGAGAAGCTTGGATGGCGCTACGATATCGACTCATCGGTTTGGTATCTCTGTGACACACAAAATAAGGTGCTTTACTACGATACAGTAACCATGAGCCGGAAGGACTCCCTCAGTGCGCCATCTAACCTCTCAAAATGCTCGTTCTACATAGATGGGCATATCTAATCTAATGTCTCTTTATTATCACTCGTTGCTTCCGAAGATTGTCATCGATTGGTCGCCGCGGCACCCTATACCAGAATGCTCGTAGTCCTGCATGTGAGTTTCACTTATATATTGCAGCCTGCACCCAGTACCACAAAGACATCTTTTTCTAGGCTTAATATTGCGATTTGTTAACCCAATGGTTGCTGTGCTTCTATAGAATGTACACATTGCCTCTACAATAATCTTCAAACAGCGATAACAGCAAAGCATTCCCTCACTGACGAACGAGTCTGCTCCGACGTACGGATAAAACGAGGCCGAATATTGGGCTTGAAGTGTACCGAGCAGTTCTTCCCACCCGTCCTCAATATATGTCTCTCCCTTTATCTGCTTATATATCTCGCATTCCACTTGATTTCCGTACAAGGCTGTTAGGTCGCCAACAATAGTTTTTACCTCTTTTGGACTCCATTCTGGTAAGTATCTTATTAGTCTTACATCGGCACTATTATTTGGAAAAGTGAATTCTTCTTTATGACGCTTACAAACAACGCAGATATAGGCTTCGTCTTTTTGATGGATTGCATTATCGAGGAAGGTTAGCAAATCTGGAAACGTGATCACCCCAGGGTCTATCTTTATACCGTTCTTTTGTAGCCCTGTAGTGATATGGGAGTATATATCAAGCGAGTAAGACAGGGTACTCTCAGACTTTGTACATGTAAGCTCGGACGTTTGCTGACTCTGAGACTCCTCCGGATCAGCCCCTTGAACATCTGAAGGATTATTTGCTAGGAAAACCATTATGGACGATTCCAGAGCTAAGTTCGGAAATATGGACTGTGGACCGAAGTGGCTGCACTTATCATGAATGCATATGCTCTCCAGCACGGGCGATGTGTGGGAGAATACATCAAATGAAAGGCTCAATCGCCCACTGCGGACCTCGTGGAGCTTAAGACACGGAAGGCAAAGGCTATGGCCACACCTGGTAAAGGTGTATGGATGCAGCAAAATAGTCTTGCAAAGGGGGCAAAGAAATGAACGGCGCATCGATAATTGGAAGGAGTCAACAAATCCATAGGGTATGGATTCAGCTGCCAGCATGTTGGAGAGCATAAGGATACGCTTGCGAGCAGGCTCAGCGCTTTGGGTAATGTGATCAAAGATTTTCTGCTCATCTACATTCTTGGGAGACGGCGGCTCTTCCATGAGCTCGGCGTTTGTAGCATCCTTTAGGACGTAGTTTCTATAGCGTAAATTAAGGAGCTTAGTCTTTCCTAGATCGATCCGCTGAGGCGTTTCCGAAGATTCAGAGTCGCTGGAGCTATGTGACTCGTCACCCAACGAGGACCTAGACGAGCTTTCCGACGAAAAGGATGACATTTGAATTTTCTGATGGCCCTGAGAACTGGTCCTTCATTTTTCCTGGGCAGACATATTACGAGCCATCTTATTGTAGATTTATACTGTGGGGTCTAGGTTCGCAAAGTTGGTAGACGAGGAAATAAAATGTTCCTCTCTCGTTGTCCGTCTGTGTTTTTCAATCAAAAACGGATCTGTCGCTATTTGGGGTTCAGCGACGACTCCTTTGCCGTAGCCGTTCCCATTGACGAGCAGCCTGAGCCAATCTATCAACTTTCACCTGCCATCAACATAGATAGTACATCAATCCGATTCGCGCCACCTAACGGCCTTACCTTCCAGTTTACTACCTTGAGCCAGGTAATAATATCAGTGCTATTTGGGGTAACGCGGCTCGATACCGGGATGCCCTTAGACTACTCGCTCATTGCACCCGGTCAAGTATTCAGCTCAAACAGCGGTCAACCCCAGACCTTTGTTTCGCTATCAACCCAGGGGATTCTTAGATCCAACATTGGCTTGATTGTAGTCAATGTAGTTGGCCAGACAAGCGAAGCGCAGGTTAATGGCCACTTCTTCCTTCTCAATCTTACTCGGAAAGCCCCCGACAATGACCAGATAGACATTATTGGCTCACGGGTCCGTATAGGAGACACATTTTTCGACCTTAAGCACATTTACAGAACCTCTGAAACCCCTGGCGATGCTACATCGACGACAGCCGCATCCAATATCAACGCGCCTTGCGTCATCTGTATGGGGAAACGGTGCAGCTCTATTCTGCTTCCGTGCCGCCATATGTGCCTTTGTCGTTCCTGTGCTCTTGAATTTCGCCGTAAAGCAACGCAATGCCCTCTTTGCCGAGCAGAAGTCTCGTCGCTCATTGATATAAGTGACATATCTAGCGAACTGCCGTTGAGCACGGCCGCTACCGGCGGTAGCACAGCTCAAGTCGGAGCCGTCTCAAACCAGGCAGTGCTCTAGTTGGCGCATTCTACGTGAAAGCATTGGAGACCCCCATCAACATATTTGATGGCCAATTTCGTTGCGTTTCCAGGGTCAATCAGGCCCTTGCATTTATGACACTTGGTAAAGCTGGAAATATCTACACGGGCCTGTCTATATTTGTCTAGCTCACTCTCTTTTTGTGATAATTTCATACGAACACTCATAGATCCCATCCCAACCTCTGTCTGCTCAACTACGCGGTGTCCTATAGAATTCGTGATGAAGGGCAGTATAAAGCTGAGCGGATAATCATGGGGTATCATATTAAGAATATCCCTGTACAAATATTTGGCTATATATGGACGAGACCCGCAGCCTCCCGTTCTATTGTCATTGAGGAGTGCCATGAGGCAATAGCTAAAGTCAGCCTTACTGATAAGGTTATTGGAGTGGCAGATATCTAACCTCCGTAGGACCTCATACAGCAATGCGGCGGGGGAGCGAGATGGGTCCCCTGGGAGACTACCCTTTTCTTTGGTTATCTCAGATCGGCTCATCAAGAATGCTATGCAATCCTCTCTTGTCACCATCTCTAGATTTGTTTGTACCTTGTCGCTATTCCAGAGCTCGTCGAACTTAGTCGTGCCATTTATATATGCTGGATCCTGCATGATTCCAGTAGCCATACAGGGTGCACGTGACGCGGTAATGCACCAAAGAATAAGGTTGTTAAATGCCGATCGATTAAGAACGGGATAACTGGATGTTGGGGCTCCAGACTGCTTAGCTAAAGTAGAAGAGTCTTGCGCTGTCTTGCGGCTGCCTTCTGCCACATCGGCCTCCAGAAAAGGATAAAGGGCGGCACTGACGCCTGGAAATGCTTTTTCATAGAGTGTATTGATGGCAGACGCGGTTTCCTGCAACTTAATACAAGCCAGCAGGTAGGAACCATCAAACGCTGGATTTAGACCACTCAACTGCTTGAGCTTTTTTGTGATGATCTGCATTACCTCTACATCGTTAGACTCAGACGATGAGCGCAACTGAAACATTCCAACATGTTGTAACAAAAATGTTATAGCGTCAGATGATAGATACGTTTCAATGGTGGCTGACGTTGTTGAAGGAACACTGTTCTTCGTTAGCATAGCATATTGCGCTCCGCAGACAACTATTTGCAGAAGAACATTAACATAGGGTGCTGTCCTTTTGGTCTCCGTCTTAGACAGATACTTTTGGAGAGTGGCCACAGAAACAGTGGACACAAACCTCTCGATGACCTCTTTTTCTGGCTGCCTAAAAGATAATGCAGATTTTGCACTGTTTATTTGGAGATTTAACAGCGCATTAAAGAGGTCATCCCCAGAGGTCTTCTCAGCAAGCTTAAGTATACGCGAGCAATAATCCGGGTGGCCAACTGATAGGTTCGCAAGAATTCCACATAAAAAGCTGGTGACAGACGTATTCTTAAGAGCCAAGACGAAAAACAGAATCGTTTTGTATAACAGAGACATGGAGTGTCTGCTCACGTGCATGTAGGAGATGGCAAGTACAGCAAGCAGTGTTTTTGTATACTCATTGATAATGGAGAAGTCCGATGCCTCAAATAGTGTGGATTTGTATGTGTCGACAAGAAGCTCAATTGATGCGTCTGTGGCAAGGCCCGGATATATCTGATCAAGCGCGACAGAACTGACGGCCTTAAATGATCCAGGTGCAGTTTTCTTGTTCTCTCCCGTCCCCACATTCGTCCAGGCAGACCAGTCACGACCAAGAATAGTTTTATTCCCACTAGTCTTGAAGCTCATCCACCCAATGTATGTCTCTAACGATACATATGCCAAGTCGTAAAAGCGACCCAGCACCAGAAGTCCTATTGTAGACAAGAATATATTGCTATATTGCGCTGAAGAAAGAAAACAGGCTTGGTTTCCGGTGGAGTTCGTTGGCTGCGTGAGTAGGAAGAGCCTCTGTTGGGGGCGCGATATATGATAGGTCTCACGAGATAGCAGCATTATGAATAGTGCTCGTAAGGGGAAAATGTTGTGATGATCTATTGCTGTTGGCTTGGAGATACGATACGTCTCAACTATGGTTTTCGACGCATCTGGCACCTGCCTTTTAGTTTCGTCAATAGATTGTTCCTTTAAATGAGGACGGAACATGCTAACTTTCCCAACAAGTGCGTCCTTGGTTGTCTCGTGTTGCGCCTCCACTTTGCTGAGTACCCCGTGCAATATAAGATTCCAGGAATCATGCGGATCCAAAATAAGCTTTAGATAAAGAAGGCATGCATCTAGGCGGCTTACAGTATCTTCATCATTGGCAGGACTGCACGGCAAGTTGAAGCGCTCACTAAGATTCGTTATCTCCAGTTCTGGCGGTAGATCTATATAGTCTTGCTCACTGGAAACTCCCAGGGCATTCATCACCTTGCACATATCGTCCATGAGGTTATTTATATAAAACAAACTCTGGTCTCTGCCATACCGCACTCTCCCATCTCCATCAGCGGTTTGTGTATACTGCTCATTAGATAGAACCTGCCTTACGCGCTGAGAATAGCAGCCAAAATTGACACCGTCCATGCACGATTGGCTTGGCTGGTGCCTTCTTGCTGGTGTGTTCTTCAGCAGTGATATACATTCTAAAGAGATACCATGCAAGAGAATCCCAACTATTTGAAGTGGGTTCACCATCCTTGCGTTCATGAATGCTAAAGTAGCGCCCCAGAAGTTCTTCTGGAGCAGCCGTAGAGACCCTGTCAGGATCCAGCAAAGACACCAGTCCCGAGATGACATGTCAAACCTGTCTACCAGTGTTTTCTCCAGTTTCCCCTCCACGTACTTCAGTAGCTTAGGAAGGCTATCTTTTGCGTGTGTGTTCTTGTCCACATCTAGAAGGCTAGCACGAATCTGGCGATATAAAGAGGTGCGCTTTATTGCAATTAGTGACATGTTTGTGTGGACGTAAAAGATATTTGTGTCACATGGAAGGCAGTTGGGCTTGCCCATGAACATGTTTGTAAGACCGAATATGTGGGAGTTCCCGGTGATAAACGCTGGCACTATCCCTTTGACCATATATTTGCGATCCGGAACAGGTGGCTGCTTTAATTGCAGCACAGAAACAGACTCAGTTGTCTCCTCGACATAGTTCTTCAACGGTTCCTCCGACGATATTATCTGTTGTAGCACAAGGCTCTTCGTAGATTCAGGAAGAAGGTCATGCAGCCCTATAGCAAGTCTGTAGAGCTTGTCTGTAGCAATAATAGATGTGCTGGGGTCCTTGCCATACAGCATATTATAGTAATTCCAGATGGATGGATTAGGCTCCTCCGCACACTTATCTGTATCGATGTACGTGTATGGCCTGTTCTTCTCTCCTAATCTTACTCTCAAAATATAAGGTAGTGGGATGTACGCTCCGCAATTTTTGGTTTTTTGTACATGGATTGAGAGCTCATGATCCAGTTCATCCACTGCTTCTGGCTGCGATTCGTGCTCATGGTTATTTGCTTCTTTCCCAGAAAATTGAAGAGCCTTTCTGACGGCCTCAGCCATGGAAGTAGACAAATACCTGAGATCAGACTCCAGCAGACGTGCAGGGCATCGTAGCAATCCATACTTTGCAGCTTTAGAGAGGGCCTGCACACAGACAAATAGCTCGGGACCCTTTGAAGTGATGACATTACTATTCTCAGGGGGCTTTCCCTTCCACTCCAAGTCAACAATATTGCCTGTGAAGACGGAGCTATCCTTCTTGAGATTATTGGCGTCTCGAAGTAGATTGAAACACAGTCTGGGGTACTGAGATATGGCCTTAATGGTGGTGCTACCGCCGTAGCTATCCTTGCCATTAGCCATGCGTAGAGATCCCCCGACAGCATCAACAGAAGAATCCTTTAACGAGCGCTCGGAAGGAATCCCCTTTAGTATTCTATTGTGTGTGTCGCGGTCATCAAGAAAAGATAGATTCATCCGTCTGACTATTTTCTCAATTGGGGTTCCTTTCTCAGTTGCGTCTGCACGCAGCGCCTCATGAGAAGCGTGGCCGTTGTCTGCCCACCCATAGCTATACATGACTGTCCCAGCGTCGTATCGGTTACAGAAATTCCGGTCCATCTTCTCTCCGGCACACAACCTCAAATAGATTTCGTGGAGAAGCTGGTTCTTGAGCGCAGAGTCAACGTACGTGGGTTTCTCAAGAGCAAACAGAGCATAGTCAGAAGTCATCACATCCGTGAGAGGGGTTTCCGCAACGACATTCAGTACTAGTTCACCAAGGTACTTCAAATTTTGGTCTTTGAGAACCCCAATCCTGTCTAAGGAGGTGGGGGTTGAAAGGGACGCATCATGTAGCATACTAGTAAAAGTCGTGAGGTATATTAGTTTTCTGATGTCCATGCTCATAACCTGAAGTTTGTTAGCAAGCATGTTTCGCTGGGCAAAGAAGAGATATTCTCCAACCCAGGCATACGAATTGAGGGTCTGCCCTATGTCCAGCAACATTATGTTGAACCGAGATAGATTCTCTGTAGCTGGCTCGTAAGAGAACTCAAGAGGGTTGATATTCTTTCTGGCAGAAGCTACCTTGTTATCTATGAAGGAGACGGTACTGGTTTGGTACTGAAGAGATGACACAGGTAGGGGGAAGGCAGCAACAGGCTCTTTACTTGTACAGAGCACCACAGACATGCTTGTGCCAGAGCCCAGGCCTCCCCCTTCCTGAATCACAATGAAATCAAAAAGCCCATGGCGTAATGTGTTGAGGCATGGTCGCTTAGATGCTGATAGTGCGCGCTGCATGAGAGCTGGATTGGTTGAAATGGGGGCATAATAGATAGACCTCTGGGATAGATCTATGATCTCCGTGTGAGTCACATCGGGAAAGCGAATATAGACCGGCTCATATCCACAGCAGTGAGGTACCAGAGCAATAACATTCGGAAGAGACGTAAGCTCATGGGATGCCATTGTCTCGGTATTGACGGCATGGACGGCTCGGTCCACATGTGCCAGTATGAGATTGACCTCAGGATAGACCACAAAACTGTGTATTTGTGTCTTGAAAGAGAGTGAACCTACACTCGTTACCTTGCGGGTGCTCGAAAAGGTGTACCGCTTTAGAACGCTTCCAGACTCTACTGTATAAATGTCCCCAGGAGAAGTGACAACGCATGCGTTGAGCATGCTGCTACTGATAAGAGTCTCCAACTGAAAAGGGCTTGCTTCTGCCTTCATATTTATTTTAATTTTCCACAACTGTATTTCCATAACTAATAAGTCTTCATGTATTGCTTGAAGGCAGAAAGAAGCAAGGGCATGAAAAGCAGGACAGGATAGATGTATGCTGTGATAAGCTCATCATCTATTTTCATCCTTACCTCAGGAACGAGTCCTTTGGAAGCATAGATCAAGATACTGTTGAGAGGCCAGTATCCAAGTCTGTTCGTGACTATGAACTTATCTGCTGGCGAAGCTTTAGAGAGGAGAATGTGAGATGTCGCTGTCTGGAGTATCCAGGTCACAGCCCAAACGGAACAGTATATTGTCAGAGCAAAAAAGGGTATTCTTGCTGCCATTACGGACATACGCCGTCTCTGCTTAGAAGCAGCTGTAAGCTCAGTACACCTCTTGCCTGCCATGCACCCTTTTAATATTTAAAATCTCTGCAGCTTCCTGGTTCCCTGGCTGTGTGCGAGGGTTGTTAAGCTAGTACGAACCATATGTCGATTCAAGGGTCCTATAAGCCGCGTAAGCCGAAGCTCGGTCTGATATGCATGGACAAAAAGGCGAAGTCCGAGCCGATGAAAGCCTTGCTCTCAAAGCTCAATCATGACGATTACCTCGATATAGTTGAGTTTCCTGAATGTATGCTATTGAATGAAGATATAGACAAGTGGCCCGCGGTGGATGTCATCATTGGGTTCCATTCAAAGGGTTTTCCTCTAAGAAAGGCTATAGCATATGAAAGACTACACCGCCGCGCCCTTACCATCAATTCCTTGAGTGACCAGAGGGTCCTGCTGAGCAGATTTGACGTTTATAGACGCATGGATCAGCACTCAATTCCCACATGTATGCACATACTTTTAGAGCGGGAGCCGCCAGCACCAGAGCGCATATGCGATGCATGCAAAGCCATCATGCTCAAGACAGGGAATTCGGAAACACGAGCTGATTCCATTTGTTGCACTTGCAAATATAAGGACCCTCCCGGGTTCATAGACGAAGGTGAGTACATAGAATATGAGGGCACACGAATCTACCGACCATTCTTAGAAAAACCTCAGGACAGCGAAGACCATAATATCTGGATTTATTACCCTTCGGTCAAGGGTCCACTTACAGAGGCAGGCGAAAAGCCCAGGTCTGCTCGACAGGAAGGAGTTACAAAGCTCTTCAGGAAGGTTGATAATAGATCTTCTGTTTTTGTGGAAGGCTACTTCCCCATTCGTCGAAATGGCTCCTATGTCTACGAGGCATTTCTGCAGCCGGAGGGTAATACAGATGTCAAAATCTATGCTATCTTTCCAAACTACATCCTTGCAGAAAAGCGAAAAGCCCCACACATTGACGGTGTTGTCCTGCGAGACCCTGAGACTCGCAAGGAGGTGCGTGAGCCTACTGAGCTGACCAGTAAGGAGCGCGATATCTCAAACCTCATCTGGCGCGCGTTCAAGCAACGCGTCTGTGGTTATGACTTTATCCGCTCTGGCAACAAGTCCTACGTCTGTGATGTCAATGGCTGGTCCTTTGTGAAAACTAACTCCCACTATTATGACAACTGTGCACGAATCCTTCGAGAGCTTATCCACCAAGCACTAAACATTGATCAAAGGGCTCTCACAGTGACGTATGGCCTTCAGCTGGAAGAGTATTGCTTTCGTAAATATGAGCACGATACTACGACGACAAATGTCGGCGAGTACACATACAAAAGCTCCAACAAGTACTTCATTGACCATGGCTATCTGAAGGTTCTAGCCAACAAGAAGAGCTCTCTATCTCAAAAGATCTCTACGTTTTTAATGAGCAAGGACGTCTTTTCATCGTCAAGCTCGTCAGGACCGTCCAGTACAGACAGCTGTGCTCCAAAGTCTTCTGAGCTACCTGCTTCCGAAAGCAAGGCCCATGTCTCTTTTGGGGACTACGTAGGATGCACAATGAAACCGCGAGGCCTTGTTTCAATCCTACGACACGGAGATCGCATCCCTAAGTTTAAGCTCAAAATAACATCATCTAATAACAGCCTTTTCAAGATATTTGCCGGTATTCTTGATCGCGATGTTGAGCTAAAGGAGTATAACAGACGAGAGGAGGAACTGCGCGACTTTGTGCTGAGACCAGAGTACTCTGTTGGCCGTGCAGAGGAAATAGCGACCACAATAAGCTCTATCTTAACGGAAATAGGCTATGACCTGATGGAGTTGGAGACAGCTCCACTCCTTACTGAATCTATCGACACTTCCTATGACAGCCCATCGTCCTCCTCTGCTGAGTGCGACGGGGGCCCTGAAAAGGGTGACTGTTGCTCTGTACGAGAGAAAGTTCGCAAGCATCTTACCATGGTTCGTGATGGGATTTCCATCAAACTGTCATCCCTGAAGATATTAAAGTCCTTACCTCAACATAGACAGTCCGAGCCTTCACTTATATCAGAGACTAACACAGAGGCTAGCAGTGCAACTCAGTTTACAGATGCAATTTTCTTTTCAACACAAGAGATTGAGGCTCTAAAATTGGCTTATGCATTGCTCCGCAATGAGATTGCAGGCACAAAGATTCAGCTTAGGGTGGTCAAGAAAGCGCCTCTCATGTTTCAGATGATAATCAAGTGGGGTGGGTATCTATCCATCGCAGGACTTCGCCAGTCGTTTCTGATGGGCAAACAGATCAGGCGAATGTTCCTGACATACTTTGATGATCCTGCAACGTACTTTAGAGACAAGGATGCGCTAACTGCCTCCTTGCGCCGAGAAGGTACTGCTCCGTCTCAGCCTCCAACCAATGTGAGCTCTCCACTCATAGCCCCCAGAGCCACTCCCCTTCAAGATGAGGACATTGGCAGCGAGGCACAGGCGGCCATTCGTGAAAAGCGGTGCCGTCTGTTTAGTCAGATACTCCACGTGTTCTATGGAAATGAGCGACGGGTGAGGAAGACGGCCATAGGTGTGCTGCTTGGAATCTGCGCTGACATAGATGCAGAGATAGACGACATCTTTCCGTGCCTATCTAACTATGACAGCTATGAATTAGCACCCAATGCATTGAAGCTACTCAACAAGCTATATGGGAATGATCAGCCGCTACCGTACATTCACCTCTATCCCTCGCAACTGTCACAGATCCTTGTGGAGGGAGGAGACATTCTAGCATCAAAGTCCAGGTTAGTTACAGCTGCGATGCGAGCAGAGCAGCACAAGATCAACGAAATCCTTAACAGAACGGTCAGCAGTGTTGACAAGTTCTTCTCAAAGACTCCTGGGTCTGCCATACAATCAACTAAAATTTCAAATGATTGTGCACATTCTGCAATTCTTTCGTTAGATAAGTTAGCTAACAAGCATGCTTTCAATGTTGATCACAATACAGAGACAGAGTTATGCCCTGTTCCCGATTTCACGACTTCCAATTTAAACGGAACCCTCGCCTGCGAGTCTACTCCAAATATCCCAGCCTTTCAGAATGATACGCACTTACCTCACCAAGCAAGAAGGCTATTAATGAACGTCGTGGATAGCAGCCGTACCTTGGACTATAGCGATTTCTTGTGTGCACGCACTGGTCGAGAAGCATCAGGCAGGTCTGTTAAAAAGTCAATCATGAACATGTTTTCTTCGGCCTTCTCTACTACCCCTACGGGTACTACTGCAGCCGAGTCATCAAGCCTCACTTCCCACTTCAAGAGGCCTTCCAGCAAATTACCAACGGTTTGTTCCCAGCCAGGCTTGGAGCTATTATGTCCAGACCAGAAAGAACTTACTGCTTGTACAGAGCTTGAAGTAAGCACCAGCTCTGATCTTCTATCTGCACGTACAGACCTTTCTACCATGTATAGTCACAGAAGCATATCACCAAGCAGTAAGCACGAGCTTGTTCCCCAATACGCCTTAGCTGAACCGGCAGCTGAGATGACTGACTCAAGTGTCACGAATCATGCAGCGCTTAGGTCGCAACCAAATCATGGTCTATGTCCCAGGGATGTAGCAGCAGACTACGCTTATACTAGACCGCAAGGAGCGCTTATTAGCTTAAGCAGAGAGTGTTCTGAGCCGGACAGCATAAGAATTCTTGAGGCGCCCCTGCCCGTAGATTCTCGGAGGCATGTTCCGGACAAGTATGTCTCCACAGTAATGCAAGCCTTTCGAGGCTGTCTCCGACCGACGACATTCGCACTACATAGGGATGCCGCGTATAGTATCTACACCAGCATGAAAACCTTTATCAAAGAAGCCCAGAGGTTTTTAGCTACAGATGGAGCCACGAGTAACACCTCATTTAATTTGAGCAAGATCTACCGCGATTTCGGGGACGAAATTTACCTTAAATCATCCAGACCCCTAGACTGTGAGAAGCTATGTACCAATACTTCAGCACCTGACAATTCAGTTGTGGCTACTCAAGGCTTCGTAGAAAATCAAGATCAGCTGGACCCCAAGCATACTCAGATTTGCCCTTCTAAATTGCCCATAAGAATTCAGTCATCAAAGATTCCAATCTTATCTCAACTTAAGTTTGTTCTTAAAAGCATGAGGAAAGACGGATACTATGACTTTTCAAAGCTTGTGGACATTTATCAATGCCTTAGATTTGTAAGCATACACTACGATAAGCTGGCATATATGGATAGCTTTAATAAGTTATATAAACACGTAGAACTTTACGCACAAAACTTAGCATACTACAACTATGGAGTGCAGGAGCTGGACCGTGGCCGCATTGCTTATAGCATAGGTGGCATGCTTTTGGATGCCGTGCTTGGAGACCTCGTTCAGTACACATTGCGATTGACAAAGAAACAGAGTGCACAGCACAGGCGCATGCTTTTAACAGAATCTAGCACTGGCGGTATTGCTGAGTCCAGCCTTGATTGCAAGGCTCAACATGCTGTAACGTCGATAAGCTCTACTGCACAGATGTGTGCCTCTGCGGGCGACCAGCATGGCACACCGAAGGACGAAGAGGGTCTTTCAGAACAAAGCATGCTTGCAGAGATTTATGTCGGCGGTGAGGCTTATCTCCATGCAACAATCAATTTGCTGCTCTCTCAGGACCATTTGCTGCCATTTTTAGCCAAAGAACGGTGTATAACCCGCAATATCTCGTATCTTGCCAATGTACACTTTGTTCTTTGGGAGCTGTCTAAGCCGGGGCTTGACCCAACTTACCTGATGGAGACCTTCTTCTCTCCTGGAACAACGAGTGATATCTTTCAGCCTAACACGCATAATACCCAACCAATTGACCAACCAGAAACCCTCATACACCCCATCCCACTCCAGTTTCTCAACGGACTCGTGAGCAAGTCCATACGGCAGGCACAGCAAAAGAAGACGTCTGAGCGACTTCTCTCAACGGTCTGCGTGTTGAGGCATGCCGATCGAACACCGAAGCAGAGGCTTAAATTCAGAGTCCAAGATGAACACCTAGTTGTTAGCATAATGGCAGAGCTCTCGTCAAGTCCAATTGCACCGGCCGACGTTACTTTGTGGAGCGCTAATCACACGGATAAAAAGCTAATAGACGCCATATCTAAAATCATAGATGGACATATTGCTAGATTGGCCAGCTTATGCTACGAAAGCGGCACTGGACCTGCAAGTTCGTCAAAGAGCGACCAGAACCTTCTAGCTAATCTGAATGATCTCTTGACAATTATAAGGAATAATCCACCAGCACTAAAAATTCAGGTCAAGTTCCCTACACCATGGAAGGGTGTGAAGGTCCTTACACTAATTGCCAAGTATGGGGGATTATTAACTAAGATGGGGACGATTCAAAGCCGACAGTGTGGCCAGCAGATTTTTAGAACCCTCGTTGACGATGTCCTTGACAACGAAGAGTCCAATCAGACCCCTGAGCAGCGCCTCAATTATCTCCACTTCCTCATTCGTACTTGTAGGGTTTACTGCAATGATGAACCCCGAGTTCGAGAAACAGCAGAAGAGTGTGTGTCACGCATTGTTGAGTGCTGGAACTCTCACTTGGCTGGCGACAACAAAGATGGCATCATCCACTGGGACAAAACTAGCGTCACAGAACTCACAATGCTTTCAGAAGTGGACAAGTATGCACGATCACTGATAGACGATCAAAAGCGAACCCTTAACGAGGCTCTGACAAGCAGCGTTAATCTGTCAAACGCAAACCCCAGCACCCTGTCTCCAACGCTCCGGATGCTTCTCCGCAACATACCCCCCACAACCCAGGTGGAACTGCAAATACCAAGCCTCCGCTTGGGAACTCTTAAAGACTTACTTTTTAAATTGATTAGCGACTATGAGGAGTTCTTCCTCAACTCAAATGCAAATAATAAATCTTGCGGCGGAACCCCAGACGAAGTGGATAATGATAATGAGACCCCAGAAATTGTATTGCTCCGCATGCGCTCGATTGCCGAGAGTTTCTACAAACGCAAGGACGGGTCGTACGATGTAAGCAAGATATCGGATATTGTAGACCTTCTGCGCTATGAAGTTCTTCAGCGACGAGCCATTCTAACAACGGATATTCAGAACACACTAAAGCAGGCCTGGGACGCGGCTAAGATATTAGCTAAAGTCACTGTTCACCAGGAGTTTGGGCTGGCAGATCTCTGGAAGTTCGCCATTGCATCTCTAATCTGTAACGACTTGTTGAAGTATATTATCGATGATCTAAAAAGTCCGGGGTTGCTCTTCTACTTCACTTCTGAAAGCCATCTGCACGGGCTCCTAAACCTCCTATTATGCTCTCCTATCTCCAAGTGCCAGGTTGAGCGCGACTCTGTGTCTAGTGTAGACTTCTTATCGCATTTCATTTTTAAGGCGTACACAGACTCCAGCGATGGTAGATGTTCACGAATTGAGGTATACTGGAGTCGTGGCAGTGCACACTCCCCCTACAAACTGGACACGTCGAGCTCAGAAAGCGTTCTGCGTGTCCAGGAGCCCATTCTAATGTCTGATATCTTGATTCCTAGCGATCTACAAGATATGCTAGACAGTAGCAAAGATATCATTGATTTAATAAAAGCTAGAGACGCCGATCTGATGCCACTCTTGCCCACAATGTGACAGATCAGACAAGTTGATCCTTAACTCGTTAAGTTGCGAAGTCGACCCAATACTCGTCTAATTCTGCACTTGTCGGTATCTGCGTGCCAACCTCCATCACCTCTGCATCTGCTGGTCTTGCCATGGTCACAAACGGCAACCGGAGATTGACGTCCCCACAGGGGGCGATGCTTTCAACATATCTCTTGCACTGCTCGTAACGGCATCGGTGCCTGAGGGGAAAGTTTCCCTCACGAAACTGGAAGGGGAACCGTCGTGAAACCCAGCTCTTGAATAGCTCAAATGAGTACTCGTCCTTTCCGAATTCAGATGCTATGAATGCACTTTTCTGCTCCACAGCCTCTAACTTTATAAAGCAGTCCTTCTGTTCTATCTTAGAGATACACTCAGAGCAGACACACCTTCTACAGTAGTGGATGTACGGCTGTCTGTTTGCTAGTTTAAACGACGACTGTGTGTAGTCCTCCACCATGTGTTGATACACTGTGTCTGGCTTATTGTGGTTGTGGATAGACGTCCCCGTGCTAGTACCTAGATCCTCAACAGTATAGGCTGTTGTAGCAGACACTGCGGAGGAGCGCATGCACTCATCCAGGTAGAGGGCGTTGAAATATCCGTCACTAGATTCATCATACTGGATTGTTACGTCAAACGACACCTGCTTATGATACGTGTTCATTTCCAAGAGAAAGCGTAGATCTTGGAGTTTGCCAACCTTATATATCTCTTCGGTTAACTCAAATGCCGAACCGTTCGCACCGAGGTACTTGCACCACTTATCCTTTTGCTGGAACTGCTTTATGGACATGATGCCTGGGAGCGATACTTCTGGCTTCCGCTGGTGTGAGCAACACAATGGAGTCAATGCTTCAGCAACTTTCTCCTTTATTGCTTTACGATATCTTGCCGAAGCACCTATGTTAAGCCACGACAATTCAGCTATTGGTATAAGTGCCACGGGGGTGTTACCATTGGCATGAAAGTAAAACTTGAGACCAGCAGACAGAGGCACAGCTGTTTCAACAGACGGCTCGGTATCAAAGTGCTTATATGTTTCAAAGCATTCTTCAGACTCCGTGTCTAACTCTTGTATGCATACGGTGTTGGAGGTGCGGCGCTTGTCAAACACAGCCATGTAGCTGTTTGTTGAATGTTCCTCATTGAGATCTCGCGAAACCAGCGGTATCTCGTCATCCAGCTGCACTGAGCTGACCTTTTTGTTACTCATGGTTGCGCGTTTGACAAGTACGCTTCCAGACACCTCCGGTGCTTTTGAAGTTGTCTTTTCATTGGCAGCGCTCAATCCTTGTGGGAATACAATGGTTGGGATCTGCGTGACGCTTGTCTGTTGTGATTTTAGAGACGCCAAAAGAGCATCGTTGATAATTTCACCTGTGGGTAGTTCCTTGAAGACGTCACCTCCGCACGTATAACATGGAGATGCATGCCTAATGGTTACGTCATAGTTTGTATCAATATTGTCGCTTAGCTTAACCCGGCGCTCATTTTGACAAATACAAATGCAGTGCGGCTCGACTTTGTCCACTATGGTAGTACCGAGAGGAGGGAGGATTGCTTGCTTGTTATTTAGAACATAGAGGATAGTAAGGAACTTCCCTATAACACCTATATTCTCTCTGTATTGGAGAAGAAGCCTGTCACCGCAGTATCCGAGAATCCTCGGTAGGGGGAGCGTAGGATAAGGAAGCAATTCAGCTGCACTTGAAACAGCATATATCTTTGCCAGCAAGCACCTGACAGAATAGGAATGAGATCCGAGAATGGCCTGTGTAGATGCTGTTGTTATCCGAATGTGAGACGACTGATTGGCGACATTTGTCGGCAACTCAGGGAACTCTCCCAGTATCATGCTTTGAAGAGAATTTAGGGTATCACGCTTATTAATTACAGCAGAAGCGTGGCCTGAAGGGGCTACTGCAGGCGTCACGCTGTGTCCTGGCGTCTCATCCATGTATGTCAAGAGCCCTGGTATATCTGTGGGTAGGTCACTCTGCTTTTGCGGGATGGCTTTGTTTGGGGACGACTGGGGATACACAGGAGTTTCATACTTATATTGACAAGAGTTTAGGGGTGGGGTTATTAATGATGCACTGTTACGTTCCGTGTGTAGAGGAGATGTCAGCGTTACTTGTTGCACAATTGAATCCAGGTGAGCCTGATTTATTCCATCCATGATGCCACCGTCCTGGTAGCTTTTCCCGTCAACTGAAACCCTTGCCGCCTGCTCACTGGAGGGTAGCACGTGCCCGGATTCCTCTAGATTGATAAGTGAGTCGTTTGCATGAAAGAACTCAAACAGGTCCTTTTCTTGTTTTGAAATTACCTGTACGCTCATTGATTGTCTGTTTGTGATACTGCTTAGCGTACTGGCTCCACTCATGCGTGCCTGATCTTTGTACATATCGCTCTGAAGTTCTTCATCATCGACATTAGCTGAAGAAGGGAGACAGCACTCTGCACTCGATCTCCTCATGTTGGGCAAGTTAGGAAATTGAGTTCCGTAAATAGCTGAATCTTTTTCTGATGCGGGCTTAGGTTTAGTAGCGAGAGGAGGGTTTAAGAGGAGAGCAGTGCCACTTAACTGTGAGATTTGACCGGATTGCACAAAACCGGATTGAAGCTCTTTCAACTCAGGAGTTGCACACAGTGTAGACGAAGCTTGTACTGCTTCCTGGGTAGTCAGCTCCACTGTAGGACCAGATATCGCTGATTGTTGGTCAGGCAGAGTGGTAGAACCATCCAAGGGTTGATCCTGCCGATTTTTGTACACAACCACATCCTCCTGTGTTTTCTTCAGCCTGTCAATGGCCTTCTGCACAGAAGACCTTGTCTCATACCTCGACATAGCTTCTATATTGTCCATCTCTGGCTGAATACCTGAGATGAGCGCCAGGCGTGAGTGCAAACGTATCTCCTTCTCTGAAACTGGGAGCCAGCGAGGATCCATTTTGAGTATGTACTGTATGGTGCTGCTCCCGTTGTTAGAGACCTGAGCCACGTTACCACACGTGTTACAGAAGCCGTTCTTGAAGAGACGGCCTTTACACATCTCACAGCGCATATCTTGATCTGATACTTTGACGAGATTTGCTCTGTTGGCCATTATGTTCGCCATTGCTGTCTTCCCATTCACAGAGTACATGGTCATATAACGTAGCCACAAGTCACAAAGATCCTTAGTCAGTACCTCTGCTGTGAAGCAATTTTGTCCTAGAGTAAATTCAATTGTCCGCTCACCTATTCGTGTAATCTTTAGATTGGTCGACGTCATGTCTATTTCGCCCTTCTGAACCATTGTGGACACATCAATATAAAAGAGTCGGGGAAAATCCGTAAGCACAAAACGACGTTGCTTGGGAAGCCGAAGCACGCGTCTTTTAACCACATCTATGCTGTATATGATGTTCTCGCCAGGAATTAAAAATCTACGCAACGGAGAATCCTTGGAGCGATATTCGCTAGTATCTATCAAGTTCAGCATATTGGCTTGATCTGAATTCATAATTTTAGGCACTTTCATGTGTTTAAACTCCTGCAGATCAGAAAATACAATGGAAGGATTGAAAGGAGGCATTTGGTTGTTGAGATTGGCGAAGTCCACGTTATGCTCAGTAAAAAACGGGTGCTTCTTAATGGCCCGCCAGCCACCGTTGAAGCGTTTAGTGGGGTCTTTTGTCAACAAGCGTTTTATTAAATCTGCTGCATCAGGGCTCACGGTCTTCGGTACAATCACCTTTTGCTTCTCTATCGCCTGCATAATAGCAAGCTCAACGTCTCCCATGAAGGCAGGCATCCCTGTCAGACACTCATAAAGGATACACCCGAGACCCCAGACATCTTGAGGAGACATGTAGAGGAGACCATGCCTATTTGACTCTGGGGCGTTGTAGCAAACCGTGCCATATATGCTACATCTGGGCTGTTGGTCCATATTCTGCAGTTTCTTCTGCAAGGTACCCTGAGAATCATTACTTGCAGCTGCTGAAGAGGTAGACATATAGGCAGAGGGTGGAAAAGACTTGGTGCCGATAGCCATAGACACCTCATCGAGAGGCAGCTGCTTAGAGGTCCCGAAGTCAGCAATACGAACATGTCCGCCACGGGTAAGAAGGATATTCGATGGCTTAATATCTCGGTGGCAGTATCCGATGCTGTGAAGGCCTTCTAACCCCAGAATGATTTCTGCAATTAAGAACCGCGTCCAATCCTCAGGAAGCACACGGTAACATTTTATTAAGCTAGAAAGATCTCCCAGGCTTGCATACTCCAGGATAAGCGTTGTAAAATCGTTTTTGTCAGTCTTTGAATAGAGGCGAATTATATTGGTCAGGTTTTTGTTTTGCGCGGTCCTCAGTGCTACTACTTCCCGATCCAAGGTGTACAGAAGCTTGTCGTTCTCCAATGCTTTCCTATTAATTACCTTTAGCCCTACCTCCAAGCCTGTTTCTGCATCGATGGCGCGATATACTTTGCCGTAGCTTCCTTCTCCAAGGAAGTCTATAACATCAAATCCTGGAAAGTCGCCGGTTGTGCTCTGCTGTTCAAAAGGCATCTGTGCAATTTAATTTTTGAGACGATCTTCTCAGTGGTGCATGGTAGATGTTTGCAGAGCCACGCCACTATGAGGACAAATGAGTAAGAATGGCAAAAGCTATCCACGCTGAGTACAAATCCAAGTATGAAGAACTATGATTCGAGAGTGCAATTTACAGATCGCTTGCGATGGACATTGAAACCGAGGCTTGCTCGTTAACGGGAGCGTTGTTTCTTTCTAGATACAAACATTCTTCTTGGATGTGGTGTTCTACGTCAGAAGCAAGCGAGGGCACAGAAATGGATTCGACGGGAGAGTCTTGTGGCCTGTGGAAGGCAGAGCCATCTGTAGCCACACTGTAGTGTATATCAACATCAGGAGCGTTGGGAGACAGCGTTGCCCGAGAGCCACGGTCAGACGATCTGACAGACATGTTACCTGGAACCATGGATGCATGGCCAGAGCCATGAGATCTGATTGTTCGATAAGCTGGCTCTGGAGAAGCTGTGAGCAGGTTTTCTGGTTCTGTCTTATGAACAACATCAACCACACTTGCCATCTCAGCGTTTGTCACCAAGTCTTGAAGTGCTTGATAGACAAGTGGTTCACAATGGTCTCGGAGATAATCCATTGAGGGCCTTCCCTTGCGCACTATAACGTTCCACTCAGCTAGTCCCAAAAGCTCTATGATTTGAAGTTTCGTGTCAGCAGGTACGGAGCTGGTTAAGCCGTATATCAAAGCAGTAAACCCTTCATTGGATTGAATGCCTACCTCGTAATCCCTCAGGATTGCAACTATGTCCAAGTGCCCGGCGGCCGCTGCATACATCATGGCTGTCATGCCCTCCTTGTTTCTGTATCTACACTCATGTGCAAGTAGAAGTCCTGCACCCTGATAAAAGCCAGCGTTTGCACACTCCATAAGGGCTGTGCAGCCTCTAGTATCAGTGGCTCCTACCATCCTTGTTGTGCTAAGAAGCTGAATCACATCAGAGTTTCCATGCTGACACGCAAGCATCAAGGGGGTCCTACCGTGCTCTTCGGTGACATCCTCCTCATAAGGAAGCAGGATCTCCGCTATGTCCCTATACCCGAGAACAGCCGCAAAGCAAAGAGCTGTAGATCCATTCCGTGTCTTCATCCCGGCCTCCATCCCGGCGAGAAGACGGACAATCCCTTCTCGCCGAGAAGTTGTAGCATAAATGAGTGCAGTGGTGCGCTGTATGTCTGTCATCCGTGCCTCTTTTGAGACAAGAAGAGCAGCAAGATCCTCGCGCCCGTGCATGGCAGCTACCATCAAGGCCGTTTTTCCATCCTCTGTTTGATATCTCGCCTCACTTTCCATCAGCAGTTGCACGAGTTCCGGGGTTCCATTTGCGATCGATATCATCAGTGCCGTCCGCCCGTCCTTCCGGCGCATCTGCTTCTCATAGTCATACAAAAGGGCTGCTATTTCATAGTGGCCCCTATCACACGCAATCATTAGTGCAGTTGTACCATCCTTTTGGGTATTCCTCACGTATTGCATAGACCTCATTGCAACGCCTAAGTCGCCGATCCGAGCTGCATGCATAAGGGGGGTTTCCTGAGGTAACCTAGATCCAGCTGAAGTGTGCCTTGTAACTCCTGTAATGGGCAACGGACTTGGCTGTTCATACTGTTGTAAGCGCTGCATTCGTGCATGCTGCGCAGAAAATATAATCTCGCAATCATCTTCATCGACTCCAACAGCCTCAGATGGGTAGGCTGTATGATTCCCTTGAAGATTGTTCTGATGATAAGTAGGACACCCAATGGCAGATGTGGAATGGTGGCGTGCATTAACAGAATGTGCAGAATCCGGAGTAGGAGGTGTACTCTGGTAATGTTGCCGCCCAGGGGGAGGAATCTGTGCTGGCCCTGAGAATGGCTGAGGTTGGGTAGAGAGCTGTTGAGCTAGTGCAGATCCCGGTCTGCTTAGTGTCCTGGATGCCTGAGTTGATTTGCGAGATGAGCCAAAAACGGTGTGGCCTAACTGGCCAGATTGACCCATTCCATATCCTGAAGATGGTCGCTTACGCGATACAGAAGAAGCCCTTTTCAGTTCAGCTCTGGCACGTGCTGCACTTCTTTCGTTTTTCTCTGCCTCCTGTAGATTACTATAGACATAAAGCACTCCCAAATCATCCGGAATCATCGCACGAAGGGCGTGATTGATCTGCTTCGTCGTAAGATGTGGTAGAAACTGTTTTATCGTATCTCCGTCAGCCGTAGAGACAGCAAATCTAAAGAACTCGGCGAGATGTTTCTTGTCCTTGGCATACTGAGGCAGTAATAACTTAACGTACTCATGTGCCGTATATTGCACAGCTACATACAAAGGCAGTATATTCTTCTTGGTTAAATGGGCGCCTTCAAGTGCCAAAAGACGCTTGAACGCCGTCATGTTGTCGTACTTAATGGCGTACATGATTGCTGTCCATCCTTTTTCTGTTTCGATCCCTGCTTCCTTCGCTATAAGTAAATCCACGCATCTATTATGTCCATGTTGGACACTAATAACCAGTGCAGTACGCCCTTGCTTATCCTGTTGCTGTGCAAAGGTGTCGATGTTGTCTTTCAAAAAGGTTTCGTCCCCGCGACGAGCGGCGTCGAACCATTCAAATTGCATAAAATTTACATGAATGTTGCCTCACCGGTGCATATCTATCCATTTGGCAATAATCTTGGAGGAAACATCCTCTCCAGTGCGTAGAAGGGTGCCAAGATGGCCTCCCTTATTTAGTACAATGGCAACAACGCACGGATGCTCCTTCAGTTCATCGATATAAATGTTCTTTCCTGTGATGAAGTCATCAAGAGCATTAAGGAACAAAACAGGAACCGTCGGATGGAAGAGGCGTATCTTCCCAGTCGGAAGTAGCTCCTTGTAATAGTCTGCATAGTTTTCAAACTCATAGAGTGCGCAACTGAGATGTGCATCCAAGTCGGACAGTAGCCCACTGCTCATTGCTCGCTCTAACACTTCTGCTGGGTTGTCCACCTTCTCCGCCAGATGTTTCATCAAGTATGCTCTCTTCTCGGCGTTTTCTCTAAACTCCTGGATCAAGTGTTTGGCTAGCATGCGCTGCACATGCTTTGGGTGATTAAGGGGCGCTTGCACATCGAACGTAGCGTAGCCACAGGAGGCAGAGGCTATCACAGCAGAAAGTTCGATGAACGGATAGCGACCTCCTACCCGTTGTACGATATCTGCAAGTGCTTTATCCATGTTGCTATCTGCCAAAATGCGTGATATTCGCATAGCTCCAAGCGAATAGCCCACAAAGTGGAAGCGCAGGTGCAAAGTCAGTGATTGGCTGTGCCCATCACTCCTCCCTTGGTTCATGACTGGGTTAGATCGGAGGGCTGCGTACTCTAGCAACAACTTCTGATTCAACTTTATGGAACTGGTTCCCTGCTCTTTTTCTGTTGCGGCAAGTTGTATACACAAAGCGTCTGCTAAAAACTCCACTGAGAGGTAAGAGTCATGATGGTCCAGGTAGGAGTTCCTCCGAGGCTCGCAGGTATATGGGAACTCGTAGCCTGGAGTGTTACGGTCGATCATGCAAATAGTCGGAACTCCTCGCTTTTCTATCTCGTGAATCAATCGCCGTACCGGACGAGAGTAGTGCGTCGAGCCGAAGGGCAACAGCACTATGGCAAGATTGACGACAGGCCCTGCACGTATCTGTTCTCCCGTAAGGTCCATGAACTCTGTTGTCACCGCTGCGTGAAAGAAGTCGTCGTGATTGTCATGTGCAGAAATCTTGATAACATCGTATTCAAGAGAGACAGCAGGAATACTATAGGGCGCCTTTGCCACCTGAAACTGCGTAAGATGGGTCCACGGGATGCGATAGTGGCCTGAGAACTCATTCTTCAATGCCGTTAAAATGTCACTGTAACTCTTACTTGTAGCCAATGTACGTACAAAAACATAACGCCGCTGAAACAAATAGAGATAGGCGGGCACCGATACTATCATAAGCATGACAAGTACGATGAAGAACGCTCCAAACACTCCAGATATGGGTTCATGGAACGTGGTAAGAGATGAAGCCATGAAATAAAGCCAGAGTCTAGTAGAAAAATGAATTACTGCAATTACTGCAATCTGTAGACTCTTGAAATAAGCTTCTCAGGAGTTGTGCGAGCAACGGGGCCAGCAATCTTCCACAGAAGTTTCATTTGTCCGTCAACAGACGTAGACTAATAGGAAGTTAAAAAAATAAAAGAATTTTAAATCAATATTAGAGGGCACTTTTAAGCGGCCCTCGAAGCGATGTCTCAGCCCATAATCAAGCCCGGTCTGGTCTGCATAGTCCTCCAGGGCCGCCACGCGGGGAAGAAGGCCGTGATAGTGGAGGCCTTGCCGCACAACGAGAGGGGGAGCTATGCTATCGTGGCAGGTATCGCTGCCCTCCCTCGTCGCATCACCAATTCCATGAGCGATGAGGAGGCCGTGTGCCGTGGAAGAGTTCGCTCGTTTGTCAAATGCATGAATGTGAACCACCTGATGCCCACCTCGTGCAGGCTGGAGAACAACTACAAGGACTTCATCTCTACACAGACCGTCGCTGACGTTACCAAGAGGAGGGAGATCATTGAGACAGTCAACAAGGACTTTCAGAGGCGCATCCTGGAGCACAGGGACACATGGTTCTTCACCAAGTTGCCCATTGATGCTTGAGCAAGTAAATCGGCCATGTGGTTAGGCCCTACTTTTCCGCCGGGTGAGTTTGGATTGTAGAGGGGTCCTGTCTGTCCGCGTTTGCTGGATGAGCAGCCAACTCCTGTTACATTTATGGTATGTGCCTCCGCTGGAAAGTAGCCGATGAACTGCATAAATTTTCAAATTCAAGAAAATTGGCAGGATGAGCCAAGCGTCTGCATCTCCTCACTTGCAGGACCACAGACTAGCACCCGACATCGCTCTGGCCAATGATCTGGACAAGGCCTCTCAGCTTGTTGTAGAAATAAAACGGAAGGCCTTGGACGTCGAACACCTACTCCAAGAGGATATACGAGCCTCGCAGAGCTCTTCCTACGGAGCTTCCACACATTCTGCAGACCTTACATCTTCACGATCTCCGCAGCGAAACTTCAGTCTCTCGCCATCGGCCTCACGGCCGCCGTTGTCCATAGAGGAGAGGCAAATTTTATCAGATAAAATATATCAACTAGAGGACGATCTTAGGATTGAAAAGCTGAAAAACAAATCTCTCTGCAGTACGTACACAACGGATGTCGCTGAACTCATGGCTCAAGTCTCGGATTTAAAGGCATCTAGTGCAGTTAATAACACTCAGGCATTTCTTCATCAAAAGCCCCATGGTCTTTCTAATAGTGTAATGAATGCAAGCATGCTTGGATTGCAAGATTTGGGTAAAAGTGTGGGTGATAGGCTGCTTCTCAGCGGCTATTTTCGTGATGATCCTCCAAATATAGCTCTTTCTGCCGATAATAGTGTCACTGGCTCATCCCTAGCCAACTCTACCACTGTGCCACCTTTGGGAACAACCCTCACGGCGAGTAGGGTTAATCCCGGCTTTATGGGTCGCCTTGGGCCGGAGTACCCCGATGTTTATGATCACAGATATGCCACGATCAGTGCCCCCGACCATGATAGAAATTCAGCTAGGGTGGATGTACTTATTACCGATTCCACAACCTCTGTGGGGCCCCCATTTGCTATGGTCCATCCTGACTTGGATAAGTCAGTGCCTGAACCAGCAGCTGACCCTGTTTCTCTATCAGTCCCTGCAACACCTGGCCCGAAAAGCTTCCTCTCTGTCATTTCCTTTAACCCAGCGGTCATTTCAAACCACCAGCGCATCCTGAATATGATGGCCCGCTCCAAACTTGGAGCAATGGCACAGCTTAACGCGATTACTGCATCTATGACAGAGAGTGCTGCCCTCGCATCTACTTATACAGGCATAGACCCAAGACTTACAATGGAAACACCTACAGGTCACGTAGAAGGACATAACTACACTCTAACTCCGCTAACGGATTTCGTGAATCGCCAGCAATCACCCACCACGTTAGACAACCTTACTACAAGGTCTAACAACACACGCACCGAACACTATGAGCGCCAGCTACAGACACCAGGCCCACGCAGACCCAACTATCAAGTTAGAGTAGATGCCATGAGCAGCTCACTAAAGACTCCCATACTGGGGCAGGATCTTGTTAATCCAGCACTAATCCAGAACTTGGAATTTGTTCGCTTATACCTCTCCAACACTTTTGAAAAGAACGATGCTGTCAAAAGCCTTTATAATTCAATAGTATCTATGCCAGAGTTTCAGTCTGCCGTGCAAATAATGACTGAAAGCTGTGTTGAGGAGGCACTAACTGCGACATCTTTACTTGAAGTAAAGTCTGTAGAAGCAGAGGTTCTTAAGTCGCGCATTATAGAGCTCGAAGCCACAGTGGCACAGACCCTCAAAGATCAATTAGCCAATGTCAAGGAGGTGGCACATCTAAAGTCTAGCCATTGGGAGCACGAAGGGAGAGGAAATAACGCAGCGAATCCACTGGAGTCTAGCGTTACAACGGTGAGCCAGCTTGAGCACAAAGCACCACTGGTTAGTGATGCGGATAAAGTTATTGCAAGCTACGAATCAACAATTGATAATCTGACCCAGATGGTAAATTATAGTGCAGCGGAAGCACTGAGGATCTCTGTCGATGAGACCGAGCAGCGACGCGAAAAGGAAGCGTACAAGGCAAAGTTGGAGGCTCTCACCTCCAGCTTTGAAAAGATAACAAAGTCAAACTATGAGCTCCAGCAGCAACTAGATACACTCACTGTTCGATCAAAGGTCATAGAGGATGATAAAAAGCGCATAAGAATCAGCCAGTTACATGACGAAATCCAGACATATAGAGCAGAGAATAGAGAGCTCAAAGCACAGTTGGACAGAATAAAGGAGGCTGCAAAAGCATATCAGGGTGCGACCTCAGACGATATTCCCGTTGACCTGATGATTCAAACGCTTGTTGACTGCATTGCTACAAAGTCAGCCGACTTACGACAAGTGGAGCAGGACAATAAGAAACTTAGAGAAGAAAATGCTAAACTTGTTACTGAGATGGATTCCTTGCGCGCACAGATGCAAGAGTTAAGAAATCAGCAAGACGGTGCTGCGAAGAGCTTTAATGATATGCGCCTGCTGTACATCGAAGAAAACAAGATACTAAAAGAGGAAAACACGCTCCTAGAAAAAGAGAAGAGGCTGAGCGAATACAAGAATGGTCTTCTCCAAAAGAAGCTGAAGACTCTAAGCGACCTCAGTGAGTGTGAATACACCCACGGAAACATGGTTGAAACCAGCCCCCTGCAAAGCGGTCTTCAGTAAATCAATCTTTGCGCCCTGCAGGTGTATACTTTAATTGTTTAATATATTTGTATAAACAATCGATAAAAGAAAAAGTCAATCAGAGCAGGTATTTGTTTTGCCTAGAATCTTTCTATGGATGGAGTGGATAGGAACAATAGGCAATAGTAAACCTGTAAAGACATAGAGTTATATGAGTGTAGAAAAAGGTAGAACTAAAATGACCTACAGGCTTGGGTAAGATACCGATGTAGTATGCTTGCAACGCTTAGCCTCTACTGCGAAAGTGCCAACACGATAGACTTGTCTATAAAGTCAAATGTGAAAAGCATTTAAAGCTTACCATAAGGACCTAGTAATAAATGGGGCGCCAGGCTAAGAGTAAGCGAGGCTCACGCGTAAACAAAGCAAGGAGCCCGAAGAGTTTATCTGGGACACATCCTAGAGCTATAGATATGCCCAGCACGTCTGTGGCTCCATCCAGTTTATCCCCCTATTCACATCCGCTAATACCCCTCCCACTTCTGGCATGTCGCTTAGTGATCACGGGGCTACTCTTGCACCGTGGTTTTGCCCGCTATAACTCAACTCCCCGCTCAAATATCTGTCTGTTGTTAGGTGTAATTCACACGCTTTTTGTAACTTTAGATATAACTATGAGTCTGATGGTCTGTATGCACCATGGCTTTAGGATCAGTTTTATAACTAGCCCCTTGGCGACTAGCTGGGGCTTAGGTGCAGTATCTGCCAGAAAAAAGTCCGGGTGTTGGAGACGCACTACCACTTGCTACTACATTCTGCAGGACTTGCTCTTCATTACTTTTGTTCTTAGTAGAGATAAGCACTTGCCCCTCGGTACTATATTTTTTTCTTGCATGTCAATCCTTATTCTATTATTGGATTGCTTTTTCCTTCGTAACTCTCCAGGCAAAGATGGAGACCAATTAGTCAGTGAAGCAAACATTAAGATAATTAACCCATGCAACCCACATGACCTATGCGACACCTCGGCTAAACCATTGTCCGAGCCTATATACTCAGAGTTTGATGGTGTGGTCACCAATGAGTTGACACGCCAGGAGTTAACTTCCATTCCCTTACTCAGCTCTCCTAAAGATGATCTGATACCTGAGTGTACCCAAGTGGTGACAGTGTCCCCCGACACGGATGTCTCGGTTGCTGTCCCTCAACTTACTTCTGATTCTGGCAGCGGTACTATGGATGGAATGGGAGCTACATCGTTTTCTTGTGAGAAGAATAACTCCTCCCAGAATGTGGTAAAGGACATAAAAGACAAGAGCGCTAACTCAAGTGTCCCATCTACTTTACCTATCAGTGTTTCTACCAAGGCTTCATCAACTCGACTTACTGACTCTACACTAGGGAACTCTAAGTTAAATAAGCCGCTCGTTAGTCAGCACTCATCATCTACAAATACACAGGCATCTAACATCACAAAGAAATCCCATGTAATTACCATCAATTCCAAGAGCCATGTAGAGGTCCACAAACCGATTACTTCTAACGCAAAACCGACATCACAAACTGAGCCAGATTCACAACCACCAGTTTCAGTCAGTTGTCTAAGCCTTTCCGCCTGTAAAAGCTCGTCAAATGGAACCCGTAAGCGGCAACAAAGATCAGCAGTACCTCAGTCCTCTTTGGTTCGGTCCTCGCATAGCAGATCTCTCGATGAATACGCTCCAAGAAGGCGTAAGCATTTTGACAAGAAGATTATCCCTGACAATATAAATACTACAATAAGCATCTCATCAGACAGTATCCCACGCTCAGGAACTGGTGGAGTAGCTGGTGAGAGCAACCAAAGGACGCTACTTATAACCGCTCCCATGTCTGAAGGCACTAATGAAGGGGGCCACACCAGTAAAGCACCCAAGTTGGATAGTATAGATCCCGATCTGGAGATAGATAGTAGTGCCAACGATTTGCTTGATTTTAACGATCTTGCTGACCTTCATCAATATGGTCAAGATAACGTAAAGTGCATTGGAGCTGCAGCTACTTGTGACATCACTCCCGACATCGATCGCTCTAATGTGATTAAAAACATAACCTCTTCTCTCTTTGCCTTTACAAGCGCCCCAACAAAAGATATAGTGAAGCTCCCCCATACGCCATCGCAGACTACCTTCAAACAAGCCGTTTTGCCAATTTCAGAAAAGCAATCAGTCACTCTTTCCGAGAGCGATATGTTAATTCTAGCTGCCAAGAACAGCGATACTGTTGCTATAGAAATGTATAAAGGATTCACAGGGGAATATGACTCATCAGGCATGTTTGCACTTGCTTACTGTGTACTAGCGAACAATGTTGTAGGTGTTAAAGCTCTATTGGTAGAGTCAAAGATGCGCACGATCAAGTCCATGAGATTTAACGAAGTGGACTACGTTGACATGGACGCTCTTATGCTATCTGTGCTCTCAAATGCTGATAAAGAAATTATTGAGATCCTGGTACCCATAAGCGACGTAGCCATAGAAGGATACTCCTCTATGACTGCTCTAATGTTGGCAGCAGCTAGTGGGAACACTATTGCTGTAGGACTCCTTATAGATTCCCAAAGGGACCGAAAGACGAAGGATGGACGGACAGCTCTCATGATTGCGGCTGAGACTGGCCAGGACAAATGTGTGGAGATGCTGCTGGAGAAGACGTCGGAAGTTTGCTCACAGAACACGATGGGCTGGACGGCACTTTGCTTTGCTGCGGACAATGGGCACACGGCTTGTGTGCGTCTTTTGGCCCCGAAGGAATCGATGATGGTGATTATCTTTGCATACGATAGATACTCTGCCTCTGGATTTGTAATGAACTTTATGTCTGGCACAAGCTTGATGCTAGCCGCCTGGTACGGGTCCGCTGAGTGCGTTAGTATATTAAAGGATTCAGAGGCGCAGATAAAGACCCATAAATATGAGAACACTGCCCTCATCTTTGCTGCAACCGCAGGCCACGCTGACTGTGTCAAGTTACTGATAGATGTAGAGGCAAAAATGCAGGATAGCTCTGGAAGAACGGCTCTGATGAAGGCTGTGACGGAAGACAATGTTTCTTGTGTCGAACTGCTAGCGCCAGTGGAGAATGGGATGGTAGACGAGCGTGGAACCCCTGCTATCGTGTTTGCAGCAAGAAAGAACCATCTAGACTGCGTGTCGCTTCTTGCCCCTTACGAAGCGGATGCGTTCCACCACCTAGTATTGAACCGTAACTGGTGTTCTCCAGAGGTCGAGCACATTATTAAAAAGAATTTGCACAGGCAGTGACGCTTGTTGTAAACACGCTTGTGATGATTGCGCCACGCCTGTCTATGCCAGCTATAGTGAACGCTCAGTCTCTCGTTGCTAAGCTTCGTCAGCTGAACTGTGAGAAGAACTACTGTCATCCCAACAACCTTCCTGGCTTTACTGCGTCGGCATTCTACAAGGAGTCGTCCAGCCCGCTTGACCAGCTAGTGCAGACCGCGCGTCTCTGTCACTGGCTTCTTTCCCAGCTTGGTATTTCTGTCCAGGGGGTCAGCGAATTTGACGACCCCATTGCCATTTCCACTGACCTATTGGTTGCTTGCAAAGATATAGTTAACGTAGCGAACATTCCACCTCACCGCATAAGAATGGGGTACGGAGACGACCTTACAGCTCTGGTTTTGGGGATTGCCGATGCATGTCTAGCCAAATTGCAGCCAAACATTGTTTCTTGGAAATCACTAGGCTCAGAAAACGCTAATGCCGGGGTAGAACGAGATAATGACGACGATGACGCCCCCATCTTGGACGATCTCATTGTGGACGATGCACTCATAGGCACCATGACTGCTAAAAAAGGAACATTTACAACCGCAGCTGGATTGGCAACTGGTTCCCTGACAACTGATTCTGGCTGTATTGCCCCAGGGCTTATATCCGAAGCAGACTGGGAACAGGAGCTCATGGCTGTGGACAGTCAGCTGGGAGGCAAGCAGCTGGGAGGGGTCTATGCTGGACAGGATTGGCGCAAGGATGTTGTTTCCATGTCACTCCTTGCTAAGGCCCTGTCAAAGGAGACAGGGTCGTGCGCTCAATCCATCAGTGGCCTTGTGACAGACTTTGGCAAGCAACTAGAGCGTATTTCCACGCGTGAGCAGCATCTTAATAGCCAGGTAGGCCAGTATAGCGCAAAGCTGGGAGACGCTAATAGAACTCATGCTGGAGTAACGGAAGAACTTGCTGAACTTTCTCAATCGATTTCAGCCTTAACTGGGGAGCTATCTACAATAAACGAGAAACTCCGAGCCCTCAAGGTTGAGCTACAAGTGGAATCAGCCCGTGCCTCTGACACAAGCAACATCCACATTGTGAAGACAGCATTTTCATCCCTTTCTGGAGAGATTAGGCAGCTGGATCTGCGCATCACATTGGCGCAACAACGCCTGTTCTCTATTGCTCCACCAGAGCCCAACACTGTCAGGATATGAGAACTAGTACTCAGTAGCTATGTCAGAGCCCGTGTCGCTTGTTAGAGTCGCTTTTCCCGTACTGCTAGTCGCACTAGACTCTTGCGATCGCACGTTCTTAGTTTCATGAATAGCGGACTTGCGTTTTGGAATGTTGGACAAGCTTCTATCAGAAAGCGCCATTATCTTAGGTGGATGGCGTCTTCTTATGCTCGTTTCACTCCGTCCCACCTCTCTTTCACTCGATGTACATTTGCCCCCTTTATTATTCGTATTACTTGCTCTTCTATTGCCAGAAGAGCTACTCTTGCTGCTAGACCCATTAGTCTGTGCAATGCAACTGTGTATGAAACCGCAAGCTGGTTGATATACAGCGATAGCCGGGTCATTCAAGATCTTTAGCAATGTTCTTCCTTCGTCTTCTTGTGCGCTCTTTTCTATCTCCAATCCACATGGCTTCCACCGCTGCATCACCTGAGTGAACATGTTCAGTCTTGTCACAACTGGCTGATCCGCTTTCAACCCATTCCACCGGAGCTCTGTCGAAGGGACCTTGGCATCGGGTCTGCCAGTAAACAAAAGATCCGTGGAAGGTCGTTTTCCGGACCTTGCCTCCGAGTATGCTTTCCACAGCTTATCACGGTACGCCCTGGGCGGCGGAAAGAGCTTATCAATCGTCAGGTCCATGAGGTCATCCAGCATCTTGGGAAGAAGCTCCCATGAGACAACAGATGACAGGGCTAAGCAAGGGTTGCTATTAATCTCTATGAGAATAGGGCGATATCCATTACTCTTGCAATCTATCATGAAGTCAAAGCCAAACAACTCGAAGCATCCGTCGCATGCATGTGCACCCAGCACAGCTTTGCCAAACGCAACAAGAACCGCGGCCATAATACGCTTCATGACTGGCCATATGAAGCTTGTGAAGTGTGTTTTGGAAAGGCTATCATCGGAAACACTCATCTGCACGTCGAGGTCTCTGAAGTGCAGCATATTACCATCCTCAAACTGATTGTAACCGTGGATGTTTTTCTGCACTGCGTTGTTCGTTAAGTGTACTGTTGTATCAGTTGTGTCCAGAGAATATTTGGCAGAAGTAAGGCGTAAGTAGCCATATTCATAGATATATGCATTCCCATCCGAGGTGATTAACGCATATGTGCGTATGTCAAATTTCCGCCCGTTAATAAGGAACGGCTCCTCTACATACTTCTGAACAATGAAAGACATAGACGTGGTGATATTGGTAATTTTGTCAAGAGTAGGAACATCATCTGACTGCTGTTCGAGATTCTCTGCCTTGTTAGCTTTGGTTTTCTGCTCTTCCCTTGCACGCTCTTGGCATCCCTTCATGTGCTCTATGGCATCTTCCGGATTGGTGACAACTTTTATTCCTCTACCCCTGTTAAGACCGATTGGTTTCACAATCCAAAGGTTTCTCATGTTAGTTTGGTAAGGGGTCGAAGATAACTCAACGTTGATTGATGACTTAGATCGTACTGCTTGCTCTTCTGCACAGGCAGATTCCACGACCAAATCTTTGTCGGCTTTCTTAGCTGGCTCTCCTGCTCCCACATTCTCTGTGCATTGGGAGGCCTTATACCGGTCAATGACAGAAGCAAGTGCTGCAAAATGACGTCTAAATTTGTCTCTCTCGTGGGGCACAGTAAGAATATATGTCACAGGTAAGAAGTCTAGTGCTGGCTTACCAAGTTTGCGTAGAAGAATTTGGTATAGCGACACCTTAGAATGCAGAGTGCCATTGCCTGGCAGATGATTAAAAACGGTCCTCCGCATAGTGGAGCACATACTAGCAAATCGCATAGGCGCTGGAGTTAACTGCTGCCACCTCAAGTTGAAGTCATTCTCATCGTCTGTCGAAGTCCACCATGGGCGAGACTTTAGGACCTGCTCCACGAGTGCTGCATTGTTCCCGGGTCCAAAGGAGTATTTACAAACAATATAGCTGTGTTTGATGCCGTCTAATGCTGTAATATCATTATTCATTAAGATTTTTATTTTCAGCCTTAGATTGTTGGTTTTTATGATTCCTATCTTGCACTGCTCGGACTCCCATGCGGTAAAGATGAAGCGTAGTGCTATCACTAGACACTAACACCAGTCCCTGATTTTCTAGTTCCAAAACGTTTGGCTTGAGATATACGGCCCGAGCGTTTCGGCCGATTTTGTGAGGTCTTTTGTAAATGTAACTTAAACGTTGTCTATAGTCCTTTTGGCTCACCACACTCAAGGGAAGAGCGTCCTCATTAGCACCAGCAGATCCCTTTGACTGTCCACGACCAATAGTTAGTAGACATGGCGTGCTCTTTGGTGACTCGGATCGATTTGGAAGCAGATTGCAGGCTAAGATATCACATATAGTCGACACTGAGAACTCATCTGCACACTCTATAACACGAAAGGTATCATCTAAGGCTATCCGGAACAACCCCTTACTTGTGAGGATTGCCCATTCACACGAAGTAGAGTGTATTTTAGCTTGTATCTCCAGGTAGCTAGCAGCGTCTAAGGCTGTATTCAAAAGTACTAGACTCTCTGCACAAGACGGCAGCATATTGGCACTAGTCACCGGGCGACAATTGTATCTAAGGTCCCACAGAGACAGGAACGTGCCACTGGCCGACACAAAGTAGCTAGGATTGGGGGTGAATCGAGCCAGTGCAACAGGGAAGGTAGACCCGGCGTTTTCGCAAGAGTATAGACAGAGGGGTCTCTGGGCTTTCTGTGACCACATGTGCACTTGGCCGCTTCTGTTTGCACTGATGAAAATGTCATTCTGGGGCTCATATGAAATGGAAGTAATTCCAGTAGCACTGCCTACGAAGGTTTGCACAGTCATAGCTCTTTCATATAAGTTCAGCTTGATTAGATGATCATCAGAGCCACTAAGGAAATGTGTTGGCCGATCTGTACTTTGTGTTCCCTGTGCACGAAACGAATGCAGAACGGAAATCCTGTTGCTGTGTAGTTGGTGAAAGATAGAAGCCTTCTGTAGGTCGGTGTTAAATTCTATTACAGAGTGTGACGCTGTCCCCACTAAGAATCTATTCGAGTTGACCTGCTCTAAAGTGGCTATCGGCTCCACCAAAGTGAACTCCCGTATCCGCTTCAGTAATAAATCCGTGTGGACTCGAATGGGAGCTTGGCTTGCAAATTGATAGCTCGCAGCAGTATAGCTTTGTGGCTTCAACGCAAGCAAGCCATGCTCAGAGCTTACAACGAATCTTGGGAACTTTGCAGATGAAGGCGTTGGACCTATCCCAAAGTCATCAATGTCAACTTCGGGACAATAGAATCTAGCTAGCTGTGTGTAAATATCTCTTTCGTTGGACCCCATAAGTTATCTTTCGGGACGTGTGATGATCCATTTGAAAAGAAACCTTAAAATGAAAGGCCTGTCGATCTCCTCCTTTTCCCAAGCCGAGGTGGATTTCGGCACGCGCCTCTTCAAGTTCCTGGCCACCAATGGAGAGTATGTCACTGCAGACCAAATGGGAGCGTTTTTACGTCAATCTAATCTGGGAAACCAACGACTTTCGCCTTTGTGGGAGAAGACGATAGGTGCTAGTCGCAAGAACTTCCAATTGGTTGACACACTTTATCTCTTAAGAATGCTAGCTATGGTACAGCAGGGAAAGGAGCTTGACGATGAGGTTCTCTCAGGTAATTCGTTTGAATGCCTCGCTGACCTGTCGTTCTTTCCTTTTGATAGCGGATTTGATGTCGACAGCATTGAGGATTCTCAACCCTCAACTCCAACGGGCAGCGTTTATCTGAAGAACCAAGGATCCAATGAGTCTCCTTTACGTGATGCCTCACGCCTGCAAAATGTCCAGCAAGTGACTGATTTGAGCATTTCTCGGTGTATTAGTTTGAATAACGAGGCCACAGCTGACCCGGCGCCCACAGAAAGCATGGCTTCTATCATGCATGCTGGGGTGGATGATCTGGCCAGTCATGACCTCGCAGAGCATCCTGGGACAGCCTCCCACTTGTTTCTAACCGATAGTACTGTACCTCCTGCTTTGTCTCACGCTAGTGATAGACACAGCGATGCAAGGGAGTCAGTTGATGCACGTGCGCAGCAAGACGATACGGCTGAGAATTCCAAGCAACACTTGCCGCATGCGAGCTCTCCTGTACCAGTTGTTGCGTCTTCCATGGTACCTACTGGAAACTCCAGTATCTTGTCGTCTTTCGTTGAAATTGCAAAACACTTTCAAGGAGCACTTCTTCAGACTCAGGAGATGGTAGATAGGGTTATTGATGCTAGTAATCCACTGGGAGGATTGATCGTAGTCCCGCCAGAGCAGATTGTTGTATTGAAGAAAAGACTTTCCGAAATGAGTAAGAAACTAATTGATCAACTTAATACATTGTCTGATCAGGGCTTCACCAGCTCGCTGAGTTCATGCTTGAAGGGCCTCGAGTCTTTATCTAACGCCCTTACAATGCTCATCTCCAAAGAGAAGCAAGTAATTAAGATGACTAATGAGATTATCTGCTATTTAGATGGCTCTGACAGTGAAGAGGGACCACAAGTTAATGATTCACAAGGAACTTGTGTCAGAGGCACTTCTACTGACGGCTCAGAAACAGATGAAAAGTGCACTCAGGACTGCTCTGAAGTGGATAACGGGAACACTTATGAGAAGCTAAAGAGCAGCAAGGGTACTTTTTCTTCACATTCAGAGAACATTCTCTCCACCGCTGCCTCTATTTTTCCCGCTGCAACTGCTGCCTCATCATCGGCGACTTATCAGGACGGTGAGAAGCTTCCTCCTGTGCACCCTCCCCTGCACCTCACTTCAGCCAAGAAGAAGAGTCTCATCAAGTTGGTCCAGGATACAAGAGAGGTGGTTGACAAAGCACGGAACGTCGAGGCCTCCTATGCACGTGCTCAGGAGGCTAACCGTATGTACAAGAGCTTCTCAGAGTCATTAGAGACCCTGTTGCAGACAGAACTAGAGACAAATACTAACTTGGAGGAACAGCAGAAAAAGCTAGAGAAAAAGGCAAATGAGAAAACTCAATTGATAACTAAGCAACTGGAACAGTTGAAAAGCATTCTTTCTGAGCAAGCAATTATGTTTACAAGTATCTTAAGCGCCAAATTATCGTCCCCGAACTTCATGGATCAATTAAACTTATTCACCATTGACCTAGCTGACAAGGCCGTTTCCGAAATGAGCAGGGTACTGGCTGAAGCGCCCAAGCTGGAATCTTTATCTGTTGAACTGAAAAATCTTGCACAGGCAAGATTTGTGAAGGAATCGGCACAAGGTCACACTATTCCATTAGAGATTCCTGAGACACCAGGGAGCGATTCTGGCCAACACCGTGGATCTCAGAGTTCCTACAACACGTTCTCTCATAAGGTAACAAGTACGAGAGCCGAACTTGTTGCCCAGCAGACCATCAGATCCATTGTACGTGATGAATTGCGGTCTCTCAAGGGAGAGCTAATAGAGGAGATCAAGACGATGATTTGTGGGATAATTGGAGGGGAAGCAGGTGTCCGAGGTAACCCTGATGGCTCTATCCCTCAGGCAGATGCTGCTTTGGCTCCGGTTGAATCGGGGCGACTCCATCCAGGTAGTGGTAACAGCATTGCAAATACACCATCTTTGCCCGTGGCTGATCGGCTGAAGCCCTGGACTTATCATTTTGGCTCCAACATGCCATCTTCTTAGCAGAAATGCACGGTAAAAAGCCTGAACTGGAGTAAAAAATGCCAGCCTTGACAAGGGAGGAGCTCGAGGCCAGAAAGCGTGCTAGGAACAGCCGCATCATGGAGAGCCGCGTGGACCGCATGGCCCTTGTCCAAGACACAACTGCCGACAGGGTCACCATGCCCGAAGAGTACTATCGGGAGCCGCAAAGTAGAGGGGGTGAGCAGTCTAGGAGTGGCCAACAACAGGGGCCTGGAACACAGAGATCCACCGGGAATGAGTTCATGGACTCAATGCTGCACGGTAACATGAACTTTTCTGAACTCTTAAATTCATTGAGTCCTGAGGTGAGGCAAGCTCTGGAAAGCGGAAGCATGGTCCAGCTGCTGTCAAGCTTACGGAGTATGCTACCGAATGTGTCCAATAACTCAGAGGAAGCCAAGAAGCAGAAGAAGGCGAGTCTACTGGCAATGTATCTAAGCATTGCATTCTATGTGTTGGCTGCATTTTCCTCCCTTGTTAGGATGTGCGTTGCATACTATGCAACTTCTAATACTGCGCGCTGGATCACAGAACACACTGTTGGACCCCTCTTCGCTTTCTTTCATACTGTCGAGAGCATAGAAGACTTTCCTCAAATAAAATTTAAATTGGGATTGCTCCAGCTCATTATGTTGTTCCTTATGGCGTACTATGGATTAGTGTACAAGGTAGCAGGAATGGGACTTATGTCCTTCTTAGGTCTTCTTTTCAAGGGTGTTCTCAGCATTACAGTGGTTCATATTCTCGTGTACACTATACTGTGGTGTATAGTTTACGTTGGTCACTAGTTCTGGAGTCGCTGATGATATATTACTGATACCTCCATAAATAGACTCATAATAGCGTAGAGGGATGGCCCACAGGTCGCATAGGTAGTTTCCTGCTTGATCTAATCCACCATATACAAGTATATTGTCTCCAGCAATAACCCCAGCACAGTTGTAACGGTGAGGAACTTCCCAATACCCAGATCCAGGCACAGGGGAGGGGAGTCCGCAGTCAGAAGAGGACATCCAGACGTCGGCTTCCATGTTATAAAAGGTTATGTCTCTTGCCTGCCTATCGTCTTCTGTAAACCCAAGAATAAATATCAAATACTCCCTCCACAAGAAGGACATGTGACGGTAGCGTGGCTTTGGCATTGCTCTCTTTGTCCAGGTGCAGTGGTCTAGATGATACTCGTAGATAACTGCAGATGGTGTCCGCCCACCAGCCAATCCGCCAATAAACCATATGCTGTCGGAGTGGTACACCAAAGTAAAGTCTGTCAATCCGTCAGGTATTGTAGTATCCACCCTGTGGCAGTATCCCGTGCGTATGTCTATCACATATGCATCGTACAGGGACGTGTAGCTCTTATCCTTTCCTCCTGCAAGGAATACAAAGTCATCTCCGATGGAGCAACAGGAGTGTAGTTGCCTCGGACAGATAATATGGTTCTGCAGGCGTACCCTGCTTGCACGCACAGTAGTCCCGGTCACCTGTAGATAGAAGAAGAACATGGAATCATTCAAGCATCCCAATCTGGGATTACTTCCGCCGTGCAAGAATAGTCCGCAGCGATTCAGGAGTGAGCACATGGCATAGTTCTGTCTTGGGTGAACAATGTCCGGTGCCCGAATTGTGGCTAGCTCAGCCACATTCTTGCTTATCAGGTACATCTTTGAGCTGACTCCGTTGGGGCCCTGCCCCGTACCGATAACCACAGGGCCCTCCGGAGTCGATGCTGCTTGCATGCATGCCCGCGGCTCTAAATCTGTCGCTAAACAGATCCCCAACATCGTGTATCGTTCGTTCGTGTCACAAGCACCAATTGGCGAAAAAAGTACTCAGGATAAACTTGTCAGTAAGTGATTTACAAACGTTGATGTCAGCTCTACTCCCGATGACTGTTGCAGAGCAAGCCTTCTGGGCCTAAAGTTTATCACTTCTATTAACGAATTTACTGGTCCTGTTGAAGGTAGAACCAACAAAATGCCCACTGTATACCGACTCAAAGTCTATAAGAGTGTCAATGTGTTTATGCTCACGATAGTAAGCGTGCTACAGGTAGTTGGCAAAGTATGGGCGTATACCTTGCGAACCTGGTTAGTCAAATCTTTTCAATCATTGCAAATTCAACAGGGGCTTTTTAAATGTCTGTCTTCTCAGGGTTTCCTGCTTCCCCACCAGATGCTATCCTGAATCTCACGGTACTCTACAACGCCGATACCAACCCGAAAAAGGTGAACCTGGGGGTTGGCGCGTATCGTGACGAGAGCGGTAAACCATGGATTCTGCCGGCCGTGAAGGAGGCAGAGGCCATTATATCTTCCGATCTTTCGAAGTATAATAAGGAGTATCCTCCAGTCGCCGGATTTCCTCTGTTTCTGGAGGCCGCCCAGTTCCTGATGTTCGGCAAGGACAGCAAGGCAGCCCAGGAGGGTCGCATTGCTAGCTGCCAGTCTCTCTCTGGCACCGGCTCTCTCCACATCGGGTTTGAGTTCCTGCACCTCTGGATGCCAAAGGCAGAGTTTTACATGCCGAGCACAACGTGGCCCAACCACTACGGAATATACGATAAGGTGTTCAACAAATTGAAGGTGCCATACAAGGAGTATACGTATCTTCGTAAAGACGGAGAGCTTGAGATAGACTTTTCCAACACGAAGAAGGACATCCAGTCGGCTCCAGAGAAAAGCATATTCCTGTTCCACGCCTGTGCCCACAACCCGTCTGGGATCGACTTCACTGAGGCTCAGTGGAAGGAGCTCCTTCCGATCATGAAGGAGAAGAAGCACATTGCCTTTTTCGATTCAGCATACCAGGGCTTTGCTACGGGCTCCTTTGAGGCCGACGCCTTCGCTGTGCGCATGTTTGTCGATGCGGGGGTAGAGGTCCTTGTCGCCCAGAGCTTCTCCAAGAACTTCGGGCTCTATGGAGAGCGTATCGGCTGCCTACATGTTGTCCATGCAGGAGTGGAGGGGTCCGTCGAGAAGAACAAGGCGCTTTCTGCTGCTATGGTGAGTGGAATGACTCTCCAGATCCGTAAGACGTGGTCCATGTCTGCGATCCACGGGGCCTATATCGTCCAAGTCATCGTTCACGACAAGCGCCTTCTGCAGATGTTTTATGACAATGTCAAGGAGATGAGTGCTCGCATTCACCGAATGCGTAGTCTCCTGCATGCCTCCCTTGCGAAGCGCAAGACTCCAGGCCCCGGTTCCAAAGGGACCTGGGACCATATACTGACAGCCATCGGCATGTTCACTTTCACCGGGCTCACCCCAGAGCACGTTGATTATCTGAAGGAGAAGTGGAGTATCTATCTTGTGAAGGCAGGGGGACGCATGAGTATGTGCGGGCTCACTGAGTCTAATTGTGACTATGTGGCTGAGGCGATTCACGACGCCGTCACGAAGCTCCCGTTCAAGAAATGAGCGTCTAGTAGTGAACGTTTAGTTCTGTGACTTCTTTTTCTTTTTATAGACAACAGGGATTCCGCAGATCTGGTCTAGGCGCGGCTGATTGCTCGAGCTGTTTGTGTTGCTTGCTGCTGCTCTTTGATACAGCTCTAGACTTGCTTGGACAGACGTCTTTGAATTTGTGCCTGTATCAACGGGGAAGCGCATGGCACCAGAATCAATGGGCTGTTGTTGTTGCTGTTGCTTTTGGTTAGCTATCTCAGGGATTAATTTCTGAGTGTCTGCTGGCGTGGGAGTACCGTAGAACAGCCCGAGATCCTGAACCTGAACGAGGTCATTGCTATGCTCAGCATCCTTCCCATCTGTGGAGGGAGGTGCCTCAACAACCTCTGCAGGATGCACTTTTTTCTTCTTTGCAGGTTTATGCACAATGCCAAGTCGTTCATGGGTGCGCTGAAGAAGTTCTGCACGAGAAAGCGGTGTAGGCGTGGTGGTATCAAAAACGGTAGAAATGGATGAAGAGCTATTCTGTGCATCTTTTTTCCTATTGAGAAACCGATCTAGTGTTGCCTGTATCGCGGTCGGGGGTGTGTTGTCATATACATTTGCTTGTTCCTGCCTATAGTCCGGACCTGGAAGCGCCATTGAAGCAACAAGTACTGGTGAGTGGCTTGGCTCGGGCTTAGATATTGTGCTAAGTTGCTCCTTGTTCCGTTCTATTAATTCTATTGCAGGATCGTAGATTGACTGCGTGGATCCTGATGCAGGATTCAAAACTAATTGAGGGTCTGTCAGAGCTGCTGCCTGGTCCGTGTCTGGCTCACGCATCAAGCTTTCCAGTCTAGCCGTTTCTAGTGAGTTCTTTATTGCAAGCTTGGTGTGCATTTCAAAAATAGCATCCTCAGCAATAGCAGAAGCACGATTATTGTAATTGTTAGAATAATTGTTAAAGCGCCTTCTACCATCCAGATCTCCATTTTTAAGTCGATTATTAAGGCTAAACTGGGCCAAGCCGATCAAGCTGGTAACATCTCTCCGTTTTGGCTTACGCTGTCTCGTAGGATTAGAGCTAGTATCCGGAGCGGCCCCACAGAACAGACGCATCTGTGTGTCTTCAAGTTCTCTTTGTGTAAAGAGCTCTGGGTGTGTGCTGACCTGGTGTGCAAGAAGCTCGTCCTTAGTACCAAACGCCACCATGACAGTTTTGCAGGCAGGAGCTGTACAGACATAGTGATCATTGTGGTGATGCTCGATGAGATCATTGGCTGTCCTCCAGTATGAGTCGCTCACGCCATGCTCACGGCAGATTTCGCAGCGGTGATGCTCTGTGAGTAGGTGATCTTTATATGAGTCATTGTCGTACTGCGGTCTTTTGCATAGAGGACACAAGGGGTGATGGGTCATATGTTTCCGCAGAGCATCTCGATTGTATGTCAGCTGATCACTCATAAAACTTGGCTTATTAGCTATGCAAACACGACAGTACTCTACTTCATGTTCTTTCCGCACATGCTCCTGTAGCTCATGCTTGTTAGTAGGGTGGTGACTGCATATTGGGCAAGGTGGTAGGTCGAGGAGATTGACTTCACTTATAACGTCAGCGGCAACTACGGCATGGTACCGCGATATGTAACGAGCCTCGAAGGCTTTATAACGGTGATCGTGACGTAGCTGCTCTTGGATTGCATCTAAACTCAGCGATCCCTTCTTGTAAATGATAGCGTTTTTAATGACGTCTGAGCACAGAAGGCAGGCTTTCCGCCCACAAAGTACGCGGTTACGCAGGAAGCAGCTGTAGCAAACAGTGTGCAAGCAATTTGTAGTTGCTGCGACGGTAAACTCCTCGTAGCAAATACCGCACTCTTCAGTCATTTTAACAAAAAGTCAGTCCAAGCATTACACTGGACAGGTGGCATGAAAATTGTAATAGGAAAATCTCGCGCGTGTTCCTTGGATAAGCTTGAATCTCAAAGGCCGGTTGCACAAAAATAAAGGCGATGACTGCCGGGCTACAGAGCACGATCCTTCGACTCTTAGTGTTTACTCCTCCGCAAGACTTGGACAAGCAAGCAACGCTCATATTCGACAAATCTCTTTCTGGTGAACCTTTAAAAGGTAGACCGGAAGCCATCCTAGCCATGGTTCAGGCTATGGCCCGGTGCTCCGAAAGCACTGAGACAGGTGATGAGAATGACTTTCGTGTTGTGATTCTTGGAGCCGGATCGTCTCCACAGACCTCTATGCTCTACAAGCGGACGGCCTCTATCATTGCTATCGCCGTCCTTACATACCCTCTCCAGCTAAGGCGCTACATCGAACTCTTCCTGAACAGCCTCGCTGTAGAACCCGTTGCTAACATAACAGACGAACGCGTCGACGAGCTGCTCAAAGACTCTTTTCCGCAACGGTAACACCGAGTCACTAGACGTGCAGCAAGGCACAAAATAGTTTACCCCCGATATTAATAGTAAACCCCTGTAGGTGCACTTCCGGAATAGCTCCCGGACTCGCGGATGCAGTGCTTCAGTTCGCTTGTCCCGTCCAGGCGGAGAATCACCAGGTCTACTCCGCTTCCAGAGCCAAGGTCGTTGAAAACACCGGCTTCAACAGCTTTGCAGGCGCACTCTACGGCGTCATTCTCCTCCATGTCCGGCTTCCAGTGCTTTTCGAGCATGGACTGGGCTGCGAGGCGGCCAGACCCATCGGTCACGAAGGGCTGAGCAGTGATGGAGCCGTGGGCGTCGATGCTACATAGATGAGCCCCTTTATAATCAACTCCAGCGATAATCACGTATGCAGAGACGTAACCCATGTAGCGAAATAGATGATCCGAGATAAGCTTCACAGCGGATTGCACTAGGGGTTTCCTACCGGTCTTGTATGCATGGAGCCTAAGACTTGATGCGGCCATCCGCCCAACCGCAGCCGTGTCTGCAGCTGTGCCGGCACCAGCCATGTACATCTGTTCATTTATGCACACCAACTTCTTCTTGTTTTTATTCATGACCACAGGTCCGCCTGTTGAACGAGTATCTGCGGCGAGGATGACACCACCTTTGAAGGTGAGGCCCATGATGGTCGTGCCCGTTTTTTTGAAGCTCTTTGAACACTCTGCAAGGAAGTCCTGAGGAAGCTGCGCGTTGCGCTTACAATTCTCAAACGACAGCGGGGCTACCTTTGTCAAATCGTCGATTGTCTGCAGCATTGGGCCTTTTACTTTTGACAAAAACTGCAATTTCATGCAAAATTGTGACATATCGATTAAATAGGCGCTACTCGACATTGACAAGACTGCGGAGAGTCTCCAAGATGACAAGGTCGCCGTTGATAAGCTTAGACTCAGGGAAGTACTTGAAGTCCGACTCTAGGGGAAGATCTAGCAGCTTATCCACCTCCCCCCTATCAGATGCACAACCAATAGGTAGCTTCCGAGCCATTTTCATCAGGTTGTTGATATTTGCCTTAATACCCTCTATATCGAATTCGCTATCGTCAGGCTGATAGAGATACGGATACTCCTGGGCTGAGTAATTTGAAAGAACAGATTCTATTCCCGCATCCGTCCTGCTTACAGGAATCTTAGAAGCATTCATCTTTGCCACAAATGCAGACTCTAGGGCATCATATTCTGATCCAACTTTATCAGAAAGTTTGGACGAGGCGCGCTGGAGCACTTCTGAATAGAGCCCAGACTCGGCGTCTTGATCAGCTGCATCAATCCCAGTTATTTTTATTTTTCCTGGAATTGACGACAGATTGCCTGCGTTAGTACGAACCTTTGCAGGGCTTAGTAGTCCGCCCTGATAACTAATTAAATCGGGGATCCTCCGCTGTGGTGAAAAGGCCTTTCCTTGATGAAAAATAACAGAGTCAGCGCCCATCTGTTCGCCTGCGCATTGTACACCGGGGACACCAATTGTGTTATCCAACGGTTCCTCCCCATCGTTACCTAAAGCTGAGATTGTGACATCAGTGAACTGAAGCGGCCGAGAGTTGGCTACAATAGACCCACCTGCAGTGGAGCAAAGCTTGGAAAACTCGCCGTCTTGATACAGAGCTGTCCTGATGATGGACCTCACTGTCTCATTAATTCCAACATAGGGGGCGCATGGCTCTGTCCACACAGCCAAGACAATTTTGAGATCCTCTGCGGTAAACCCACTGCGAACCTGCGAGCAGACGCACTGTCCTCGTTCATCATAGAATCCTTGCATGACAGTTCTTGAATCGACAGAGTAACGCACACCTATACCATACGCATAGTCTGAACTGAATGTGCCTATAAACACATCCCCGTTTGGAAAGATTACTCTCCCCAAGCCATGCCTTCTATCCGCATTCCACATGCCTTTGTATATGCATCCGAACGGAAACCTAGAAGACTTTATAGTGATCTTTTTGTACTGAGAAGGCCGAGACACTCCCTTTTTAACGTTTGATCTAAAGAGATCTGAGTGGACCACAATGTGCTTCTGCGCTAGCACATTGTTTACAACCTTGTCGAGTTGCTTGAGGTGCTCTTCTCGACTGAGTAGTAGATTACATGGCTGCAAGGTCTCAGGATAAAAGTGGCAGCCAAAGCCGCTTCGGAGGCCCTGGTGCCACATGCCCTCGTATCGTTCATTAGGGCTGTAGTAATACTTTCCGAAGTGATGACGCTCACCGCAGTCCCAATACCCTGCATACGTGAGTACAAGGGTTGGACAGGAGGCAGGATCGTCCGGGATGACCTTCTTGACACCCTTGCCGGGCCGCGGCTCAAGACAGGTGTAAAATTCCCCATATCCCTGAGGGAGGTTAAAGGCCCACTCACCTGTATAGCAGTCTCCGTTCGGATAGACATGAGTACCCTGTCCGTGGCGCAAGGAGTTGTACCATGTCCCCTTATATGCGGATCCATCTGGTGAAAACACAGCACGCACGCTGGTCAAGTTCTTCATCGGGTCAATGTTTCCGGTGGAAAGAGAAGCCCGCATGCTCCCACCCACGCTGCGAAATATCTGTTTTTGAAATTCCAACACTTCAAAGAGAAGAGATTTACAATCGTAGCGCTAATCTACTTCTTCTTAGACTTCTGCTCAGTAACAGGCTCTCCGCGCTTCTTCATGATATAGATGTAATGAAACTCGTCGTTACTCGTCACCGAGTCCATGAGCTTCGGCTTTGGTATTTGCCTGATCTCAACATCCCAATCAAGCATTTCCTGTGTGAAGAAGACCATACGCATGTCTGAGTTTGCATAGCTGATGCAGATGTAGTATCCCTGCGGTTTTAGCACGCGGAAGATCTGCTCCAATGCTTTGGTGCTTATCTCCTTCCCGTTCTCAGCGCACAGCAACGAGTCCAGCGTGCCCTTGTCAATGATAACATCGAAGCTGTCGTCGGGGTAAGTGAGCTCTGTGACGTTCATCACGGTGTACTCGCATCCCTTGCGGTCTCCGACAAGGCCTTGCATGTGGCGTACAACGACCTGGGAGACATCAATGGAGACGATGTCCTTGATGCCCACCTCTGCGTCGTCGTACAGGTCGAAGGACAGCTCGGAGGACCCGGCCCCGACAACCAGGCATCGACCACCCTTCGGCAGCAGATCCTGGATCTTCGGCTTCAGTTCTGTGTATCGCTGGTACCACTCGAAGATCTCCGTGTCAGTTTGGTACCTTTGGTCCCAGTATTCAGGAAGGTGATATGACGCCATCCTTCAATTTTTTACTTCATGCTGTTTACACAGACCTCATTAGAATTTATTGAAGTTTTAGATGGCCCTTCGTTTCCTTTCGGAGTCATTCCGCCATGATGATTTGGTAGCGTTTGAAGAGGATAGTGAGATAGAAGTTAAGAGCTAAACAAGACGAAAAGCCCATAGTTAAAAGTAAAGAGTACATCAAAATTTACTCTACTCCGTCGAGATGACTCAGTCAACCGTTGTTTAAGTGGCCTGTTCAATGTAAGGGAAACAGTACGTTCGTTATGAATCCAATGGTTCGGGCGCCACTTAGTTTTAGTAGAGGGATGTGTGCGGTGCTGTGCTGCTAGGCTCGCTTCGGACGCATTCAAAGACCTCATGAGCGAGCTTCCCCCAGTTCCTGGTCATGGCCAGAGGCGAAGGGTGATCGCGGATAGCATAGTGAGAGATTTCCCTCTATCAGTACTCCAGAGCCTAGCGCCTCCTTCGATCGCTCCACAGGCGTGTGCCCAGGCCGAGCGTGCCTCCAGAAGTGTTCGCACGCCAGTCTGTCCAGAGTTCTGACCCCCACGGCCTCGTGTGGTCCCTAGCGGCGACCTCCTCTTTGGCCCTGCTTCATAGCGGGCGAGGACTTGGGTCTTTGTGTTCGTTTTACAAGGCTTCCACCTGACTCGACGACAGTAGTCGTTGGGGCTCCGGCTCCACTGGCGGTCCTGGTTCGGTGAGAGTCTATCCTGGCAATAGGAAGTGGGCGGGCCGTGGCTCGCTATGAGAGGGCCTCGGTGCCTGCTTTTGGTCGCTGCTTCCCCTGGAAGCGGATATGTCTTCTGTCACTGTGGCTCTCTGGGAGTGATGGTAGTCGCCTCTGTTGCCCCTCGGTGTCTGATCAGTCGCGGCCCCAGAGTACCCAGGTCCGGGTCAGCACGCCTTCTCAGTCGCAGTCACTCTGGTTCTATAGTGAGTCCAGTTGGTGGTTGGAAATAGGCTGACAGGCGGCAGTTGCTGGGTATTCATTGGCTGCCACAGGACAGCGAGGGCCGGACAGAGGGCTCTCGGTGTCCTCTGGTGCCATGGACTGGACTGAATGGGTGGTGTCCGCCTGTGCCCCTGTCTTCTCGCTGTGGTGTCTATCTGGTTGCTGGATAGCACCCACGCCCACCGCCTTGCACTTGTCGGGCTCTGTTCCGGTCGCCGGGCTTGTCTGATCTCCAGCTTGCGTTGGGCTCCCCGAGACACGGAGGCAACGATTGCACGGGGCCCCCAGTTGTCCCTTTGCACCAATGGAGGAGAGCCCCGCTTGCTGTCTACAATCATCTCATCCTCAGAGAGCCTGGCCTGGGCGGGCTGTCGTGTGGGCTCTGAGTGCGCTACAGGCAATATCCAGATTCTAGATGGATGAGTAAGGAGACCGCCTAGCATGGTGACTCGCATAGTTGACAGATTTACCCAGACAGCAGCCGGCAAATCAACCTTGGTGGAGCAGAGTAAACAAGCACGTAGTGACAGTGTACATCACCCAGGGGCTCTTCTGCCACTGCAGTCATACGCAGGGTGCCGAACTCTGTCTCTGGCGCAGCTCCCACAGCGGGTAGGTTTCTTAGGGTAAAAAGGATCCGTCAGAGCAGGAGGGGCCTTATCGATACACAGATCCAATGAGGCACCTCACGTCGGCTGAAAACGGCGCGGGTAAGACTCCAGAGTCATCTGACTACTCACCCTTGGGCTTTCCTTTCCGTCTCCCGGATGTCGCGCACGATTGCACTCAGGGTCCTAGCGTGGCATAGATAAGCCTACAGCCCGTGTGGGGTACACATTTACTACCTGAGCAAGCGTCACTTATGCTTTTCTGCGGCCAATGAACCACCAACAGAGAAAACCGGCGAGGCCTCCGACAACGATGATGACGACAACAGAGACGCCTGCGATGGCGCTAGGGCTGAGGCCACTTCTATTGGCATCAGCTCTGCTGGTACCGCTTCCATTGACATAGCAGGTGACAGATCCTTGACCATTAGATGGAGGAGCACAGCTTACGCAATTAGGCACACCAACTATTCCGTTGGCACTAGCATCACACTTCACGCACTTATCCCCGGACTTGTAGTATCCTGGGAGGCACTCCGAACACTGCTGTGGAGAAGCACTTCCCGTACATTTTGAGCAGCCATCCGGACACGCCGGGCAGGAACCAGAATTTTTATCTGCTGTTTGCCCGTTGGTGCAGCTCGTGCACTTTCCATTGTTAGCACTAGAGCAGAGAGTATTGCCAGGATACACTGTTGACTGATAGCACCCGCCAGACTGCAGAAAGTATGAACCTGTACACGCAGTACATACCCCATCACCCGGGGTGCATCCAGTTACTGCTCTTGTCGTTGTCGACACACAGACGCCGTCCACTGGAACGTATCCTGCCTTGCACCTGCTGCAGTACTTAGAGCCACCAACGATGGCCGTGCATTGTCCATCTGCACAGTTCTCTGCGTACTGTCCTGTGCACTCCTGGATGCATGTGCCAGCAGACGCACCGGATGCAGCGCTCAACACAAACCCAGAGTAGCATGCGGTGCAAGTAGTGCTGGTCGTATCTGTACAGCTGGCGCACGACGAGTGGCAAGGGGTACAGACGCTTTGCTTGTCGTATGTTCCGACGGGGCAGCTGTCCAGGCACGCGTCCTTGAGGGGGCTGAGCTTTTTATCAGAACCGCACTTAGAGCACTTGATGAGAACGGTGGCGGATCCGCTTACGGAACTGAGTAGCGAGCACTCGGCACAGTTCTCTATACCACCGTTAGCATTCTCACCACAAGGAAGACACTTCTTCTTATTCTCTGCATTGTCGTTGGGGAAGTGCGTTCCGGTGCATGCGTTTCTGAGAATACAGCTAGTGGGATCGCCACCTTTCAGGTACTTGCCTTCTTGGCACTCAGTGCATGTGGCAGGGGTGTCTGCTTTTCCCGATGCAGTGCACTTCAGGCACCCATCAACGCCCTTCCATGTACTGCCAGATGTATCTCCGCACAATATGCATTTGCTCTCTTTATCACCAGCTGCTCCGAGGAAGTACCCGTCCTCACAGGCCGTGCACACTGCAGGCTTAGGGGCAGGATCACTTGCTATTTTGGGAGAGTCACATAGTGTACAGTGAGCGATTCCCATATATGATCTACCAGAAAGAACTTGTACGCTGATAGTGTCGTTACATGCTATCACAGACTGATCTGATCTAATTGCCTGTGGTGGAACAAAGTACCCCGGAGCCGCCTCTGTGCACGCTCCCTCCGCAGCCTTGATACAAAGTTTCTGTCCAGGTTCGTTATCTACACTATAACATCCACCCTTATAGAGGAAATAAGCATCTTCACACCGTTCACATACCTTGTCTTCTGCTAGTCCAGTTCCATCTTCCTTTTTGCAGCCAGAAGTGGTAACGGCGCTGTCACCTTTTTGCTTGCATACACCGTTAATTGGGACGTTCCCAGCATATTTACATTCTGTACAAACTTCAGTGCCGCCAACCATTTCACACTTACTCTCTGCGCAATCTCGTGTGTTGGCCTCAACAGTACAGGTTGCCGCGAGAACGCTCGCCATAACACAGAAGGCTGTCAATAGCATTAAATTCTTTTTGGATTATGCCGGTGTGCGAACATAATCTCGCCAGTGATCATTTTTTGGTTGATAAAATAATGCATTTGTTAGATTTATGCCGAAGACCCAAAGAGCGTAATCCGCCGCCGGCCGTAGACCCTGATTGCCTGCAGACCAGAGCGCGAGTGGGCAGCTCAGATGCGTCCTGGGGTAAAGCGGAGAATCAAGACGGCCTCCTACGTGGCCTGCCCTTGTGTTGTCCCCAATCGGTGCGAGGGTGTTCCCGCCGTGATCGGGATTCGCGCCAGGCTCCCCCGGCGGCGCCCCGGCCTGGCTGGCGCTCTAGTCTCCTCGACCAGCTCTGCGCGATCCGGCCCCCCGCCGAACCCTGTGGGCCCTCGTACTTCTCCGCGCCTCAATAGCGTCCTCGTCGCCCGAGACCGGCCGGGACGCCCTGGCCGCTGCAGGAGAGACACATTGAGCGACGATCCTCGACCAGGGCCGCCCCGGCTATCTGAACGGGCCCGCAGTGGCCGTGCCGCGGCAGTGGATTAGCCCGAGAGCGACCCGTGCCGCCCGATCTACGACCCCTGTTTTTGGATTTCTGCGAAGCAAGGCCTAGTTCTGTCATAGGGCGGCTATAGTAATGGTTAGCACAGCCCAGTGGATATAGAGCTGGAGAAGACGCGGACCGGATCTTGTGCTAACTGATGGCGTGCCGTCTACTGTCTACAGCGCAGAGGTGATGCGTGGACCCGCCTACCCCCGCTATAGGTGGCCCTCGTATCAGACCCGGCAGAGTGGCCTGCCGTCAGGAGCCAGCACAACGGAGGGCGCCATGTGCCGATAGGAGCGTGCCCGGTCGCCCCTGGTTACACCAGGCGACGCAAGGACGGACAGGCGCGGGTCCCACTGTAGCGACACGTGCAAGACACAGCCGCGCGTCATCAGAGCTTCAGAGAGCACTGGCCATGATACGGAAGGGCTACAGCCAGCCGCTCCAAAGGAGGGATGGAGATCGTGAGCCACACAGGCCCGAGGATCACGTCTCTGGAGAAGGGAAGTTCTGTCCCGGCGGCCGAGATAAGAGAGGGCGATAACTGGAATCCTCGCTGACCCGAGTCTGGACAGCTCGCGGCACGCATGCAAGGCGCTCACTCTGGGACACAAGCGGACATCCGGCCCCGGGCTGAGTGTGTCCCTTTGGGGAGTCGGTGTAGCAATGGTCCGACGCTCGGCGCGCGACAGGTCTCGCCTCACAGCTCCCGTCACCACGTCATTGGGCCACCTAATACCAGCCTGGACGCAGCTTGCGGGGCTCTGAGCGGCCCATCGATCCTCGTCCAGCAGAGGGCTGGGTGTGTCTCCGGAGCCCTTGACCACGGCGCCCGGTGACGTGGGCAAGAGCAGCCCCAAGACTCCGCTCCCACCTGCAAACCTTCGCATCCACTGCCAGACGACCACATGGGGCTGCAGGATTAGTGCCGCTATGATCTGCCCCAGCGGTGCACCACATCACGAGGCTGGTAACTGTGTGTGGTATGCCCGCAGAGCAAAGTGGGCCGCACACCGGCGATGCAGGCCAAGGCTACCGATACAGGGCCAGTGCGGAACCAGCTGCGACTGCGTAAGCGGCCGCAGTCAGCAACCATATCTGACGATGCGGGGGCCGGTAGTCCTGGACTGCAACCCTAAGGGCCTGCTGGAAATAAAATACGCATAGCAGCATAGGACGCCGCAGGAGGACAAATTTAGAGAGTTCCGTGTTGGCGTCTGAAGGCAAGGATCCGGGCTGCGAGGCATAGCAAAGCACGTCTACTGGGCCCGAGGAACGGCTGCACAGAAGAAGATAGGTCCAGACATCCAAAGGCCGCTCTGGTCCGGCAGCTGAGGGGCGTCCACTGGTACTACCTGCACGCGGGAGCACTCCTGCCACCCCGTAGAACGGAGAGCAACGCCTCCCCAGCAGTAAACACATCAAGCGCCGTAATTAGATTAGCCGTAGCTGCTACACCATCCGGCCGACCGAGTGCAGTGAACAGTGTACAGCCGGTGCTGCTCCAGAGGCGCTAACTTGGGACTCCAAAAACTAAAACGCGAACCAAGGGGCTCGTCTGGCTACTAACGCTACTGTCTCCGTGGCCAGCGCCCCGGCATCGGCGCCCGCGGCTTCATCTCGGCCCGCTGCGGCACTCGCTGGACATGTAGATGTAAGGATGGCCCGGGGCGTTCCGCCGGCTGCCGCACGCAAATCGGTAATCCGGGGATCCTCCTGCACCGAGGGATCAGTAGGGGGCTCCGCAAGGCGCTCCTTCTCCGGCGCCGTCGGGGGCTCGCTGGGGTCGGCACAGGGACGGGGTCAGAAGCAGACTTGTATCAGGGGCGCGGCTAGAGCACCCGCTGCTGGATGAAGCCTGCTCGGGGTGTGTCGCGGCGCCTGATTGGGTCAGCACCATAACCCGAGAAGAGCCAATTGCACCTGCCGCATTTCGATTTGGCTTTTTGGGGCGCGCGGGGTGCTATTCTACGAGGGCGGAGAGCAGCCCCGGGGAGCCCCTGGTGAGCGCACATGAGACTACGCCAACTGCCCGTCCGACGAGGTCCTGTGGAAGGGCTGCAACCCGCCCCTGCTAGCTTTGCAACTGTGGAACCGCTGCCAGTAGATAGGGCGTCTCGGTGGGGGCTACAGGAGAGCCCCGCCACCCGGCCAGCGAGAGCCTGCCTGCAAAGACGGCACGCTCGTCGGCCCGTGCGCCTCATTCAACGTGGGCCCGTCGAACCGGTCTCGATGATGCACGGTGATCCCGAGGAGCCCCCAAGCTGGGCGTGCTCTCCGCAGCAGACGACTGCTCACAGGAGTCGCAGAAGGCCTCTGCAGCCCTGCCTATGTACGATCCCGGGCGGCCCAATGCCAGCAAGAGGCGTGCATGACGCCGGCAAGGCCTCGGCCGCCCATCAGCCTGGGGCCGTGGTGAGGAACATGTTAGAGGTAATGCCCGCACGCACGGCCTCCCAGCCTGGAGAACGCTGCATCCCGATCCACGCGAGCGCCAATGTTCCAAACTTTTTATTCCACCTTGCCATGTGCATCCGCCGGCCGTCGGTCCGTGTGCCGGGTCGTCGGACGGGGCACGCGTCTTCCTGTTAGCGCCGCGACTGAGGCGGCCGGGAAGGAGCCGGTGCGAGGGCTGAGCTTGTTCGGGCGCCCCGGACCTGTGCGCTCCTTACGTGCATCCCACGATGATTCACTCCACCCGGGTATCTCTAGGGCTGTGCTGCTGGGCCTGCCTAGGGCGCACTCAGAGCCCACCCAGGCCAGGCTCTCTGAGGATGGGATGATCGTAGACAGCAAGCGGGGCTCTCCTCCATTGGTGCAAAGGGACAACTGGGGGCCCCGTGCAATCGTTGCCTCCGTGTCTCGGGGAGCCCAACGCAAGCTGGAGATCAGACAAGCCCGGCGACCGGAACAGAGCCCGACAAGTGCAAGGCGGTGGGCGTGGGTGCTATCCAGCAACCAGATAGACACCACAGCGAGAAGACAGGGGCACAGGCGGACACCACCCATTCAGTCCAGTCCATGGCACCAGCGGGCACCGAGAGCCCTCTGTCCGGCCCTCGCTGTCCTGTGGCAGCCAATGAATACCCAGCAACTGCCGCCTGTCAGCCTATTTCCAACCACCAACTGGACTCACTATAGAACCAGAGTGACTGCGACTGAGAAGGCGTGCTGACCCGGACCTGGGTACTCTGGGGCCGCGACTGATCAGACACCGAGGGGCAACAGAGGCGACTACCATCACTCCCAGAGAGCCACAGTGACAGAAGACATATCCGCTTCCAGGGGAAGCAGCGACCAAAAGCAGGCACCGAGGCCCTCTCATAGCGAGCCACGGCCCGCCCACTTCCTATTGCCAGGATAGACTCTCACCGAACCAGGACCGCCAGTGGAGCCGGAGCCCCAACGACTACTGTCGTCGAGTCAGGTGGAAGCCTTGTAAAACGAACACAAAGACCCAAGTCCTCGCCCGCTATGAAGCAGGGCCAAAGAGGAGGTCGCCGCTAGGGACCACACGAGGCCGTGGGGGTCAGAACTCTGGACAGACTGGCGTGCGAACACTTCTGGAGGCACGCTCGGCCTGGGCACACGCCTGTGGAGCGATCGAAGGAGGCGCTAGGCTCTGGAGTACTGATAGAGGGAAATCTCTCACTATGCTATCTACGACTAACCTTCGCCTCTGGCCATGACCAGGAACTGGGGGAGGCTTGCCCGTGGGGCCTCTGAGCGCACCTGCAGGCGGGCCCAGTGATACATTGACAGCAATGTACAGGAGTGCACCCCGAACAATCACTCCACAAGAGAGGTGCAATCTGAGTCTGGTCATCACTCATCCTGTTCCTATCGAAGCCAGGGGGAATCGTGCCATCAGCTGGCCTCCGGTGGGTGTGCTCTTATCTCGTTCTTCTCTAGTACAACTGGTCAAGGAGAGTGAGAGTGACTGTCTCTCACTGCTTGTGGCAACGCACCAGCCTGATGAAAGAGCAGTGGCACACGAACTCCGGCTAATGTTGGTAGGATTTCTCCTAGTTTGTGCAACCGTGCTGGCAAAGGACAGCGGGAAGACCGCGTGCGAGCAGAAGACGGGCGTCTGCGACGGCTCCTTGACCACCGCGGGCTGCGCGACCTGCACCCCGGCGGGCTCCAGCCAGACGTGCCTCACCTGCACCACTTCGTCGCATAAGATCAGGCCGGACGAGAAGGGCTGCATCTCCGAGTGCCCCGCGGACGTGAGCACAGACGTCGATGGATTCTGCAAGTGCAAGAGCGGGTACACGCCGTCGACGAACGGGCAGACGTGCGAGCAGAAGACGGGCGTCTGCGACGGCTCCTTGACCACCGCGGGCTGCGCGACCTGCACCCCGGCGGGCTCCAGCCAGACGTGCCTCACCTGCACCACTTCGTCGCATAAGATCAGGCCGGACGAGAAGGGCTGCATCTCCGAGTGCCCCGCGGACGTGAGCACAGACGTCGATGGATTCTGCAAGTGCAAGAGCGGGTACACGCCGTCGACGAACGGGCAGACGTGCGAGCAGAAGACGGGCGTCTGCGACGGCTCCTTGACCACCGCGGGCTGCGCGACCTGCACCCCGGCGGGCTCCAGCCAGACGTGCCTCACCTGCACCACTTCGTCGCATAAGATCAGGCCGGACGAGAAGGGCTGCATCTCCGAGTGCCCCGCGGACGTGAGCACAGACGTCGATGGATTCTGCAAGTGCAAGAGCGGGTACACGCCGTCGACGAACGGGCAGACGTGCGAGCAGAAGACGGGCGTCTGCGACGGCTCCTTGACCACCGCGGGCTGCGCGACCTGCACCCCGGCGGGCTCCAGCCAGACGTGCCTCACCTGCACCACTTCGTCGCATAAGATCAGGCCGGACGAGAAGGGCTGCATCTCCGAGTGCCCCGCGGACGTGAGCACAGACGTCGATGGATTCTGCAAGTGCAAGAGCGGGTACACGCCGTCGACGAACGGGCAGACGTGCGAGCAGAAGACGGGCGTCTGCGACGGCTCCTTGACCACCGCGGGCTGCGCGACCTGCACCCCGGCGGGCTCCAGCCAGACGTGCCTCACCTGCACCACTTCGTCGCATAAGATCAGGCCGGACGAGAAGGGCTGCATCTCCGAGTGCCCCGCGGACGTGAGCACAGACGTCGATGGATTCTGCAAGTGCAAGAGCGGGTACACGCCGTCGACGAACGGGCAGACGTGCGAGCAGAAGACGGGCGTCTGCGACGGCTCCTTGACCACCGCGGGCTGCGCGACCTGCACCCCGGCGGGCTCCAGCCAGACGTGCCTCACCTGCACCACTTCGTCGCATAAGATCAGGCCGGACGAGAAGGGCTGCATCTCCGAGTGCCCCGCGGACGTGAGCACAGACGTCGATGGATTCTGCAAGTGCAAGAGCGGGTACACGCCGTCGACGAACGGGCAGACGTGCGAGCAGAAGACGGGCGTCTGCGACGGCTCCTTGACCACCGCGGGCTGCGCGACCTGCACCCCGGCGGGCTCCAGCCAGACGTGCCTCACCTGCACCACTTCGTCGCATAAGATCAGGCCGGACGAGAAGGGCTGCATCTCCGAGTGCCCCGCGGACGTGAGCACAGACGTCGATGGATTCTGCAAGTGCAAGAGCGGGTACACGCCGTCGACGAACGGGCAGACGTGCGAGCCTTCTAATACCAATAAGAGCGGCGGCCTTTCTACCGGTGCCATTGCAGGCATCGCTGTGGCCGCTATCATCGTTGTTGGTGGCCTCGTCGGCTTCCTCTGCTGGTGGTTCTTGTGTAGGGGGAAGGCATAGATACTTAGCTGTGTACTTAGATAGTAAACGCGTTACTGTGCATAACTTGTATAGATGTGTTGCTGGACTTGTCTGCAAACGCGGTTCAGAGGCGAAGGTTGGTCGTTGATGATACATAATGAGAGACTTCTCTCCATCAATGCATCCAGAGCCCTGCGCGGTCCTCGGTCGGCGTGCTCTGTCTGGGGCGCTCCGTGTCGACCTCCAGGATCCGGCCTGCTCAGGGCCATGCGAGTCGCGAGCGTGCTCTCCTTGACCTGCCATCAACAACTCGCACTGGGCGCCTTGCTCGGGCAGTAGCCAAGGTCACTCCAAAGGGTGGCTCCGGATTGCAGTTAAAATCAGCGGCGGCTGTTGACTCCACTCCCTCTCCCAGCCACCGCAGAGGGCGCCCTAGGAGTTGCTAGTAACAGTGCAGTTAATGGCTTTGCATGGCCGATGGGCACTGGTGGCGTCCCCGTGCTCAGCAGGCACCCTCAGTGTTATCTACTCTCTCAGGGGATGTCCCTACCTTACTGTGAGAGAGATCCGGCTCGACGGTCTGGATCAGCACGGTGTGGATGCTAAAGCGTGGGCTGACCGCTCTTCTTAACCTTTCCCACCCAGACGTTCTCAAATACCACCAGGTGCTTACAGATGGCAACACGATTCTTGTTGTTACAGACCGCTGCTGTGGAGACCTCCGGCAGTTCATCACCGACTACAGGGACATTCACGAACCTATTCCCAGCGAGCTGATGCTCTCCCTCCTGGAGCAACTGGCCGACGCCCTTGCCCACCTCCACAGCCTCAGCAGAAGTGCCCACAGCGGCCTGCCCTCTAGCGTTGTCCTCGAGCCCGACAACATCATGTTCGCTGGGGACGGGCGGCGTGTTGTTCTTGCAGACTTCGGGTTCTGCGAGGGCATATCGAGCGGAGCTGCGAAGGCTGGCGACCCCGCGTACATGGCCCCCGAGACACTCCTCTGCGGTGACACGACCGCCGCATCCGACGTCTGGAGCCTTGGGGCCGTCGCATACGAGCTCGCCACCCTGAGGAAGCCGGACTTCCTGGGGGGCAGAGAACCAGAGGATGTCTTCGTCGATGGATGGAGGCCGGACCTGAGTGGTGTCACTGATGGCTTCATAAAGAGTGTTCTGGAAAGGATATTCGTGCTGGATCCCGCTGAAAGGCCAACGGCCAAAGAGCTCGGCTGTCTGCTTCGGATGGCCAATGATTCTACTGATGAACAGGAGGCCCAAGACACAAGGCTAAAGGAGGTGTGTGCAGCCTTTGTAGAAGCCTTGAATAGGGCCAGCAACGAAACAGTAGCTCTCAGGAAGGACCCTCCTGATCGAGCTACAAGAATGGACATCATCAGGGAGCAGTGTGCTATTGCCGCCAAGCTATTCAGAGAAATACAGGAGATTAAGGCAGAGATGGGCGAAACAGACGAGACAGACGAAATGGAGGAGTCAGACGAGTCAGAAGAACCAGAAAAGCACCTAATAGAGGAGGACGACTCCACCGACCTCATGAAGGCAGTCGACAGAAACGACGTGGAGGCCGTGAAGACCCTCATACCGCTCCAGGGGGGCATGAAGATGAAGGGATGCGCACTTGTAGGTGACTGGAAGATATACGAGGGAACTGCTCTGATGAGAGCGGCGGTATACGGACACGCAGGGATCGTGGAGCTGCTCGCGGAGAAAGAGAAGGGACTGAAAGATAGCAACGGATGGACGGCCCTCATGTGGGCTGTGAAGAACGATCACACAGACTGTGTCAGGCTCCTCATGAGAGAGAAGGACTTGAAGGGTTATAATGGAGGGACTGCCCTTGACATGGCTAAGTTATGGAGAAACCATGAGATAGTCGCCCTCCTCTCAGAGTAAACGCCTTAAAGCCAATGGATTGAAGCGCCAGTGCCACATTTTACTGATCACAGAGAGACGGAGAGGAGCTCCAGGGACTCGGTGGGGAGCAAGGGCAGCGCATCCTCAGAGGAGCAGGCACGTGGAACGAGTCCATCTCCACGGCTCGTCTGCTTCTGGTGGGATCTATTACCACGTGGAGGCAGCCCGGACAGTCCTGGTTTATGTCTGGTGCATCAAGCAAGGTGAAGATTTAATAATAGTTAACGACGAATGAAGGGCTCTGACCTGGCCCAGGACACGCCCCTTGCCTTCTGTCGAGGACACCGAACAGAGAAAGCTGAATCAGAGAGTAGCGATGGCGACCATGTCACTCCTCGGACGGTAAATCGCGACACTCTTCTGATGCGTGCGGCCAGCGACGGTGACGCAGATCGTCTACGAAGTATTCTTGACATCCACAGTGAGTTGCTCAGGCAGAAGAACAGGCCCGGTAAAACAGCGCTGATGTTGGCCGCAGAGAGGGGACACTATGAGTGTGCAAGGGAACTCTTACAGGAAGTGGGAATCACCACACCGTCCGATACCACGGCGCTCATGCTTGCCATCCGCTCTCGGCATACGCCGATCATTGAGTTGCTGGCCCCGCTAGAGGGTACGCTGTCCGGCATGACAGCCCTTATGCAAGCAATCATTACAGGCTCCGTATCTACCTCCACCATAGCTACGTACTCAACAGATCTAGGACAACAGGATCGTTGCGGAATGAGCGCTCTCATGTACTCGGCCCTATTCTGTAGGCCCGAATCCACGGCACTGATCCTTCAAAGTTCGGTCAGCAGTGAAGTAAGCGAGCTCTCATTGGTTAGTGGCAAACAGGAGACAGCGTTGATGATTGCAACGGAGCAGGACTGTCCTGAGTGTGTTGCACAGCTTCTGGCCGAAGCCGGACATATCTCACGTGGCCGTCGCTCTGCACTGTTAATAGCCATGGAGCTACCGAGGAGGGACTGTGCAGATCTGCTTCTATCCTCGAAAAAAGAGCGGATGATTAGTAGGGTGACACAACTCATGGTAGATGCCCGCTACGGAGCCTCAACGTCGGACTCTCTTCTAAGAGATAATGGGAAGAGTGCAGTAGACAAGAAGACCGCGCTCATGCATGCTTCTATTGCGGGTAATTTGGAGATGGTACAGGCGCTGAAGCAGAGTGAAGCAAGGATGCAGGATAAGCTAGGATGGACAGCGCTTATGTATGCTGTAAGAAGTAAGAACACAGGTATTGTGTCCAAGTTGGCTCTATGTGAAGCTGGAGTTATCAGTAGATCAGGAGAGACGGCACTGTCCATGGCTATAGAGCAGGCGTTTGAGCCTGCTGTGCAAATACTGCTTCCCCATGAGATGAGCGTTACTACGGAGTATTGTCCTAATCTTGTTATGCACTCGGTGCGGAGAAAACCGCCGAACATTCCGATAATAAGTATCCTGATAGAATATTGCATCAAGCATAGCGCTAAAAGACCCTTTGTGCCACTCCGTCGCCCCGCAGAAGGGTTTTGGAAGGAGACAGCCCTGATCCGCGCTGCGGCTGTAGGAGACAAGGCCCTCATAGAGAAGAATATAACACAAGTCGGCCAGATGCACAGAGGATATACTGCCCTGCTCACGGCAGCAGAGAGAAACAGAGCAGATTGCATACCACTACTCTTGAGAGAGCTGGGTATCCAGGTCTGGGATGGGCAGACAGCCTTGATGCGTGCAAGCGAGCTGGGACACGTCGAATGCATTCCTTTATTGTTAGCAGAGTCATACGCAACCACTGCAGCAGGAACCACAGCCTTGATGAAGGCTTCTGCTGCAAACAAGCCAGATGCAGTGAGACTGCTTCTCCATGAAGCGGGTCTGCAGGATGCAGAGGGCCACACAGCGCTGGTGGTAGCGGCCCAGCGGAACCACCAAGAGGTTGTGGAGATCCTAGTGGATCTTGAAAAGGGTATAATGGACAAGGAAGCTAAAACGGCGCTTGTGCACGCTATTCTCAATAAAGCAACAGATTGCATTGAGCCACTGTTAAGGTCAGAAAGGGAGTTCACGAAAATTAGTCCGTTGATGGTGGACGTCAGTTTGGGGAAGACTATTTCTGTAGAAGCCTACAGATCTGAGTTGAGAAGGCTCGACAACCATGGAAACACGGCCCTGATGTATGCGGTCATGGCTAAGAACTATTCTGGAATACAGGTATTGTTAGAATCCGAGGGGGGCATGCAGAGCCCATCAGGAGCATTCGGGTTGCTCTTGGCAGCAGAGCTCCAGGACCTTCGGGGAATTGAACTTATCGCGCAATGCCCGCAAGAGCGTTCTCTATATGATGCACGTGGAGACACTGCTCTCACATATTCAATTAAGAGAAAGCTGAAAGGTAGCACACAGGCTCTTGCCAAGTTGCTGTTTGATATTCCAACTAGCAATGGAACGCTTCCATTAGATATTGCACTGACTGAGGGGAATGGAGAGGCCTACGCTCTGCTTTACTCTCTCCACCTTGAAAAGTCCACAGAATTCATTCTGACACAAAAGCCTTTAGTGCTGAAGAGGGTGGAGGAACCGACAGAGCTGCTCCGTGCAGTTGATAGAAAGGACATAGAAGGGGTTCGCGCACATCTCAACCGAGTCGGATACATGTTTCAAGGCCGGAGCGCTCTATTCAAAGCTGCTGAAGCGGGAAGCGTAGACATTCTCCGCCTGCTACTCTGTGAGTCTCGCAACACTAACCTCATTGGTGAGACCGCACTTATTCTTGCTACGCTGTCTGGCAACCGAGAGGCTGTCCAGATCCTTGCCCCATTAGAGACAGGAATTAGTGGCTTTAACGAAGCCATGGTCTGCGCCGCTCTAGATGATCTCCCAGGTTTGAAGAAGTGTATTGGCGACGGTAGCTGTATGGCTGACACATTGGGTAACACAGCGTTGGTTTACGCAGCAGCATGCGGTTCATTACTGTGCATGGAGCATCTACTTAAGCAAGGAATCGGGAAAGAAAGCGGAAAGCTGACGCCTTTAATGGCCGCAGCGCGTAATAATAAAGTTGATGCTGTACGGCTGCTACTCGAGTGCTCCCAGTTTCATGGACAGCAAGATGTCCTTGGAATGACTGCGCTGATGCATGCAGTTGATAAGTGCGCCTGCGAGGCTGCATGCTTGCTCTTGCCGCATGAGGCTACGTTGATAAATGCATTCGGAGAGACAGCCTTCGATATAGCCAGGAGACGCAATGTCAGCCTATCAGAGTGAGCTAGTGAGAACATCCTCGTGCACAGTGAAAGACGAAGTGAATGCACAAACATCTAAAAGCACGGCATCTTTAAAAACACGAGTTGGGTAGCATCGATGGAGCCAACCGTAGCGATTAAGCCGGAGGCAGCGGTTGTCTGCACAAAGAGTCTTGAGTCCATCTTTACACGTAGTGACCCCAAAGAGATGTGCGAGGCACTGCAGACAGCGATTCAACTGGCGTCAAACAAACAGAGTATTGATCATCTGGTCCTTCCCGTGATCAAGCACGCCAGCACCTCAACCGACCATAGACTGAAAAAGCTCCTCCACATCTTCTGGCCGCTTGTTGAGTGCTATCATGGAGGTCAGCTGAAATCTCACATTATACTGATGTCGAACTCCATTCTTCACGACCTCAAAAGCCCCAATGAAATGATCCTCTGCTCAGCACTTCGCTGCATCCTTCACTTGCAAGTCATCGAGGTTATATCTAACATCATCACTGGGGTCCCGCCACTATTGTCTCACCCCGACCATAGAGTTCGCTGCGCCGCAGTTGCCGCTATTCATTCTGTTCGTGCGCGCTATGGTGACATTATTTCGCTTGGAGACGTATATACACGCCTAGCAGAAGAGGAGAACGTTGCGGTCTTGCGCCGTCTTGTCTTCCTTCTTGCGGATCTAGACCCAGAAAATGGTGCTCTTCACGTACTCAAACTCCTGAGGCGCATGGGTGTTGCCGACGTCTCTGACTTTTTATATGATGTGCTCCCCCAACTAGTTAAAGGGATGCAGGGCGATAAAATAGGGTTTCTGGAGACTGTGCTCTCTGTCACAAAGAAGTCGATTGCACAATTTGATTCACGTGTACAATATTCAGCGGGCCTTGGCCTTTGGGCTATTGTAGTTCTTTATCCAACAATTAGCTTCCAAGGCCTAAATAAGGGCCAATCAGAGGGGAATTGCAGTGAAATTACGCGAGAGGATATTGCTGTGATGGCAGTTCAGTCTCTCCTGCACGCCAGTAGAACCATTGACGATGCTTGCATGATAACAATACTTGATATTATTAGGGAAGCCGTTTCGCTGTTTGCACAGGCCTTCATGAATCACAGCATTATTAGCAATATCACCTTCTCCCTTTGCTCCAGCCATATGTCTGATGCTGCCCGATCCCGTCTTCTGGGACTCAAACTCTTCAGCACACTTGCTCATATAGGTTCTGCCCGCCAGCTTCTAGAAACATTTATTTTGTCCCCCTTTATAACTACAAGCTGTATTACTGTGCTGTATGAATCTGTATCAGAGATATTCAGTATTGTATCTAGCTTGAAGACCTCTGAAGAACTTATGGAACTGGGAGCTACTCCTTTTGTGCTTACCGAGTTGGTTCATAAAGTTACCACATATTCTCCGGCCTATACAACCCTTGCCAAGACAAACGCTGAGTACAAGCGTGGGCTGTGGACCGATACTTGTTGCGATGTTGTAAAGGTGCTGATGTGCATCTTAAAGGGTATTGTGACCACTGACAGTCCACCTTCTGTTGCAGCGCTAGAGACAGGGCAGTTGTGCATGAGACTTCTCCTGTACCTGGTGCTCTGCAACAAAGGTCCAAATGGTAGATGGAACCCAGAGGTATCTCAAGCAGCAATTGTGGCTGTTGGAGACATCTCACCGATGCTTGTGCTTCTTCTTGTTTGCTATTTCTTGAAAATTGCATTTAAGACATCTTCCGAAGAGAAGGATCTAAACTACGACTTCTCTACGCAGTACTTGGGGATGTCCCCCCTGGCATTTTTGCCCACTGCCGTAGCAGAGGCATCAAAGGGCTCCGTTGATCCTAGAACCCTTTGTGGACTTGCAACTAAAGAGATGTACGATGCCCAGGATTCACTTATCATTGCCGTCTCTTGCAGGTACCTTCTTGCAGGTATTGATGCCTGCGTCAAAACAGGTCTTTACACAAGGGAAGGTATATCTGGCCTGCTGTTAGTTGGCATTGCAAAATACTACAAAGTCATCGAAAAAAATACTGCAGTGTGCAGCAGCGACCTCTGCTTTATTAACTTGCAGATGAAGCGTATCGTGAACCATTGCAAAGGAGAAGTTGACGGCAAGGACTTTTCGGAAAATAAAACAAGTTATAATCACTCGGCGCATCATTCAACGCACACATTAGGCTCTTCAGCTGCGTCTCCTAGACTTGTCTCGTCACTATCTCACGCCATATCTGGTGTGCAATTCAGTATCTTAGGCACCTCGGTTGAAAGACCGACTATTACACAGGAGACAGCTATTCTGACGCGCAGCTTTGGGTCTGACGACTTGTATAACACTCTAGTCGAACTAGCTGTGCCCCAATCTTCTGAAAAAGGATCTTCTCTCGCCACTGTCTTTACTAAGGACACAGATTTTTCGCTATACACTCCCAGTCAGAGTGCATCATGCAATGCCATTAGTATTGATTCAGCTGGGAAAATATATAGTAGTGGATCGCTCGGGAATGTGGTCCAGCTTTCAGGAGACTCTGAGCGAATCTACGCCGAGGCTATCATTCAGGTCTCTCCCTCCTTGATAGCTCTAGAGGTACTCTTCATTAATAGAACTAATGAGTCTGCACAGGATGTCACATTGGAACTGTTTGCAAGTCCCTCTCTCCGGGTGCCTCATACAGCCAATAAAGTAGTCAATCTAGAACCCTACGGATTTGCAAGGGACAAGTACATCCTCTACGTAGACAACTGTGAAGCTGGGGTTATTTATGGAAATATAACGGCGAAATTCACCCAGGAGAAGCAGAAAAACGAGTCAAGGACACACGAAGTCATTCACCGCACTAAGGAGATTGATATCAATATTCGATCATTCCTTACCCCCTATTCTCTAAGAGACAGAGAGTTCTGCCGTCTATGGTCCATATTTGATTGGGAGTATAAGGTTGCAGTGTCAACATTAGCTCCACCGGAGGGGGTCGCGTTAATGGTTAAGGCAAGCCTCAATGCGTTCGTTCTTCCGGAAGAAGAGGCTCTCTTACTGAGAGGCTTGTCTGATACTTCTATTTGTGACAAAAAGTTAAGAACATACTGTTGCAACTTTGCAACTCAATCCAGGGGGACCGTCGTCCTTTTCAATCTCAGCCTCGAGGTCTTCTGCGGTCCCGATGGTTCGCTAACATCAGGAAGCCTTCGGCTTCGTAGTCCGTCAAAATTCCTTGCACAATCTATTTCATCTTACCTTTCATCCACGCTTGTCTTTTGATCTAGTTGGCATGTGAAAAAATTTCACCTAAGGCTGATATAAGCGATGGTGTGCCTAGCACACAACAGTAAATGTGCGATACGTCCACAAACTTTATATGGTAAAAATATTGGAGCGCCCAACAGCTATGAGCCTGAAGAAGGTATCCTCAGTTGTTCAGCAGACGCTGGGGTACGTCGCCATTTTCGCAGCACAGGTAAGCGGAGAGCTGGATCCCGTGAGTATGTACGGATACTTTTTGAATCTAGTTTTACGGTCACGATGCGAGTTGCATATTTTTGTATATGCATCTTGTGTTGCCTATAACGTTTTCTGTATTTGGACTGGGCAACTAAGTGCTCTTCATGTTCGGCGGATTTTTCTCGCCGCTCTTAGCCTCTCCTACAACCTGCTTTCAGACACCGGAGCAGAAACAAGTGCGTGGGCAGGCGTCGCAGATGATTCCCTTTCTGAGACGGAACTAGCCAGGCTTCAGCAATGGGTCCTATCAATCACCGGTTGGAACATTCATCTACTGTCCTCTGACATTGATCGGATTTGGGCGTCCATTCTCAGGGGCAAGAGCATTTCACTATCAACCCCACCTAGCTGTTGATAGGTTGAACAGAGCTGTTTACTTCCGTGTCATTGATGGCCCTCTTGGGCCTTATCATCCTTGGGAAAGAACTCGCTGACACTATAGCATACTATTTTTGTATCGTGGAGCGCAGACGTGGCGTTTTTCCGCGAAAAATCCCATCCATTCTCCCATGTGTAGGATAGTCCCAGCGCTATCGTGTCGTGTTCCTGGGAGCTTATGTCTATCGACGCAATTCCCGAACTCTCACAGAGTCGAAACAAGCGCTTGCGGCTTTGCAAATTCCAAAGATACAGGTCTCCATCGGATCCCCCAGTGAATAGAGCGTTTCGCCATCCGCACCATTTGATCGCATTAATTGGGTACGAGACGAAGACATTGGCTTGCGGGTCTTGATGTCTGTGACAGCGGAAAGCATAGCGATCGGGTCCTGCAACGTTGTCAACAGCAATCCGTCCCTCGAGGCTGCCAAGGCAAAACTGATTACCGATATCGGAAACGATGGCTACTGAGCGTGTTTGGTGTCTCAGGGGAGACTCTCGAACTAGTACCTGTTTGAAGAGAGGGCTACTACCAAGGTCGTTGGTTGGGAGACAGTCCCACATCTGTACAGTCCTAGAGGACAGCCCTAACAGGACACGGGAACCTCGCACGTCCATGCAGAAGATCTTGCCCCCAGCTGCTATTTTACTGAGTGGAGGCGGGGACCCGATGCGAGCGATTTCATGCGTTGAAGGGATGGGTGCTGCTGTCCGGATATCCCAAGCAGCCACATGGCTATCCCATGATCCACTTATCACAATATTACGATTACTGGGAAGAACGCACACCTCCCGAACAGGAGCTGCATGCCTTCCCACTAGTGAAGTAGCACGCTTTCCGACAGAGGTAGTGAGGACATTGCCATCAGCACCTCCGGAAACTATCGTTGCGTCACTAACCCAGTCCACGGAGAATATTGGCTTGTTGTGCAGAGGAAGGCTTGCGATGAAGGTGCGGTCAGGATCCTTCTCCGCCGTGTTGTAGACGTATACATTTTCATCCCATGAGCTAACTGCCAAAAGCGGCTTGTCTGGTGCAAAGCGCACTCTCGTGATCCCATCTTTCGGCGTAACTGATAGTAGTCGCCTTGTCTCCATTTGGATACGCAGCTACACGCAGAGCAGACCGAAGCTCTATCTCTTTTTCATTTTCAGTTGATGCAAAAGCCCTTGCATTTCCAATTCTTGTATTCCGCCAGGTTGCCTGGATGATCCCCATGCATGTGGCAGTGATAATGGATGGCAATGGTCGCTGGGCTCGCAAGCAGTTACAGGAACGGACCTTCGGGCACGAACAGGGCGTATCTGTTTTGGAGAGCATCGTTGATGAATGTATCAACTGCGGAATCCGCTTTCTCACTGTTTATGCGTTCTCTACAGAAAATTGGAGTCGTCCCCCTACAGAGGTTTCATTTCTTTTTGAGCTCCTGAGTGCGGCCATTCAACGCGTACGGACCACCTACAGAGAGAGGAATGTTAAAGTTCAATTCTGTGGAGAGCGAACCACACAGATACCAGAAACTGTCATCGCTGCAATGAACTGTATTGAACAGGACACAGCTGCGTGTACAGGCCTCATCCTTTCCGTTTGCTTTAACTATGGCGGTCACACAGAGATCGCACAAGCCTGTAGAAGCGTCTTAGCTGATTGTCTCGAGGGTGATGCAGTGGAGAACATCAAGACACGGCTTCAAATGCCAATAGAACAGTTCATCCAACAGATTGATACACACCTCTATGCAAATTTGCCCCCTGTCGATCTTCTTATCAGGACGGGTTGCGAGAAGCGACTCTCGAATTTCCTCCCCTGGCACTTAGCCTATGCTGAAATAATATTCAGCGACCTTCTCTGGCCTGAATTCTCTGTTCGGGCCTTCAAAGATTGTCTCGATGAGTTTGCTTCGCGCACAAGACGGTTCGGAGGGGTCCAACTATCCCCAATGACGGGCGTTTACTCAGACACTCATCCTCACTCCTCCACAAATGCCCTATCGAACCATGACTGACTCTCATAGTCGTCAAAAGCAGAAGGACTAACAGCAGACCCCTTCTCTGCTAGGAGTTTCTTTAGGGCCCGCATGACACGGCACTCCATTATCACCCACTCAGTGGGCGCCTGTTTGCCACCATAGAGCTTCATGATCCTAACCATCTTCTGAATGTAATTTTCGACATTGATTGTAAACTGAATGTTGTATTGCTCTTCTGTATAATCTGTGTCGAGCTCAGAGCGGAATAGGCTCTTAAGGTCCTCGTAATAAGGGATCCACCCAATAGGTGTGCACTTGGCTCTGTAGTGTCCACGTGTACGCCCGCATGCCCACGCAACCCACACCTTCTTATCAAGTTTGGAGTTGAGATACTCTCCGGTGGTGGGATCTTTCAGGAAATAGTTGACACCGAAAACCTTTGGCGCACGTGAGCCGAGAAGTCTACCAAAGCGGACGTGGTTCTCAAGATACATCGGTACGGGGACAATCAGAAAGTCGAGGTTCGCCATAGGGTTCGACACAACGACACCCTGGGTGCCCAGAGTCGCAGCGGTTGTCTCTGACTCAATGGAGCTTCCAATATAAACGCCATGAGCCCAGTTATGCGCCTGATAAACAGGGGGGCATGTGTTGGAGTCGCGGCCGCCGTAGAGGATGAGATCTACGTCCACACCATCCGGATTGTCCAGCTCCGGAGAAACGTTGCGGAGTTCCTTAAGGTTGAGTGTGAAGCGGGCATTTCCGTGCATGATAGGAAGCTCAGGCTTCGTCCAGGTCCCCTTATAATTTCGCCCACTGCTCGGAAGAAGACCAGGCTCGTTGACCATGTCGTTCTTGCTCTTGCCATAATACATCCCATCCCAGTAGGGTCTCCCATCCTCCCCAACTAGGACGTTGGAAAAGATACACTCACGCTCGCTAGTCAGGCAATCATAGATGAGGGGATCGTCACTCGGATTGACACCTGATATGATCCCGAACATCCCTGTCTCGATGTTGACAGCCTTGCATCGGCGGATACCCATGTTATCGTCGACAATCTGCATGTAGACCATGTCGTCACCAATGATGGATGAGCCTGGGGCCATGGACGTGGAGGTCTTCCCACACGCAGATGGGAATGCACCACAAACGTTAAGCTTGTCATTGGGGATACACGGATTGGCGAAGGTGGAAAGGAACATGTGCTCCGTAAGGTTGTTCTTCTCTGGGTGATGATTCGAGTCGTAGATTGCCAAGCGAAGAGCAAGCTTCTTGCACGCGAGGGCATTCCCAGCATATGAATTATTTATGGTATATACAAGATGCTCGACAGGATTGATATATATTCGACGCTTGTCAATGTCGACAGGCCTGTTTGCGCTGTCTGTTCTGCCCACAGAGTGGTAGAATGCATAAAACGAGCGGTTGGCAGACGTCTCCTTCATGTGCCTATTCACCATCTGTGCGAAGCCATTGCGGTACAGAACATTCTCAGAGTGAAGAATGTACCACGAGTCAGTGAATTGGACTGCCGTTTTGGAGAACGAACAATTGACAGGCCCAAGGCAGTAAAAGGCGATAAGCATCTGCTTGCCCTCCATACAGCCCTTCATTATCTCACGGACATGTGCAGTGCCTTCCTTGCGGTCGCGGGTCATGACATCTGCGTCCAGTCCAGTCTGATCGTCAAGAAGAATGAGAGTGTTCTTCTTATCACGACCCTGGTCATCCGGACTATCGAAGTGGTAAGTATGGCCAGGCATGGCGAGCTGATGCTCCTCGCCCTGTGCAAGAGCGTTCGAGCGGGCGTAGTCGATTTCCTCCTTGGAACTCGTCTGGATGTAAAGGGAGGATGGCCTCATGAGCTCTATCGCGTCCAGCAACAGCTCATTGAAAGCAGGGCAGTTGAGCTGGTCGATAATCGTCTGAGAACGCTCGTCGACAACGGGGTGGAGGCTCATCTGAATTCTAAAACGAAAATGTAATTTACTAGAAAGAAAACTCTTTGACCAAAAATAGTTTGAACAAAACCACAAACCTAACTATCTGCAAATATGGCGGAATTAAAAGATACATCAGAGAGTTCCGAATCTGGCCTGCTGGCAAGGCGGCTCCGTATGCCTCGCTTTGACCTGCGCTTATCATCTAAGTCAGAGTTGTACGTACTAAAGCTGGATGTTAATTCAGAAATAGTTTGCACGGTGGGAACAGCGATCTTTTGTTGTTCTATAGGCCTTTTAGTTAATCCGAAAAGCAAACACTCCTCATCATTGTCGGAGATGTGCACTGAGAGGGTCTCCTCATTAAGAACACCGCGATTTGCAGTTGAGCCCATATCTGGAATAGCGTCAGACTCTACATACGCAGCCGCTGCGTCTTTAGATGCCTGCGAAGACCCTGGAGGGACTACTGGGGCGTTAGAGATCTGAAGGCATGAGGCATACTCTGCTATCTTACTTGAGGTAGACTGAGCTACTATAGGTACGTCTGCAGGATTGGATAAGTAGCTTCCAAGAGGACAGTGTGCATGTGAGACAGACTGGGGAACCTGCATTGATAGTGCATTGAGGTGTGTAGGATAGCTGGCAGAAGAACTTGTCAGACTATGGACAGGGCACTCTAAGTAATTGCTCATATCTGGTAAGCAGCAGCACTTGACGTTAGTAGGGGAGACTGACGGAAGAGTGGTTGCCTGATTGGAACTGGTTGCTGAAAAGATATTCGTGGGCATAGATGCACTGGTAGACCAAGTGTTAGAGCTAAACGTTGTTAACTGTAGATTTTCATATGGAGAGGGGCCCATGTGGAAATTAGGTGATTGATTGAAGTGTGGATGCATTGAGAGTGGCTGTTGAGACTGTAAATACCGAGGGCTAGTAGACGGGTGGAACATAGACGGCTTGGTGTCTAGGAAGGAGGATATCGGAACTGGGTTCGGCCTTGGTGCCAGTTGATCGATAGATCCCCCCAATGCTCCTGTGGAAGGAGGGAATGTTTGGCTAAGCATGTGGTGAATAGGAAGATTGGGCATGTTTGTGCTCAATTGTGCCCCTCCCATAATGGGGACAGTATTGTCTTTATCCTTCTGGCGTATAAACCGACCACCTGCCCGTGGTCTATCACAGGCAATTTTTCTTCGCAGTTCATAGAGGCAGCGCTTGCCAAGAGATCGCAGGCCTCGGCCTCGCAAATACTTGGTCAGGAGGGACGCCCTTTCTGTCAGAGAAAACTTCCCAATGTGCGAAAGTTGACGAGGGTGCTTAATGTAGTATGTTGTCAATAAGTCTATGGGCTTAATATAGGTAGAAAGTGTATCTACTTCTGTTGCAAGGTGTTTAAACCCAAATGACTCCACAATGGGGGTGGAGCTAAGCTCTGCTATCTTAGCATCGAAGCTAGCCTTAGCATCGATAAGAGTCTGGATCTTGTCTTGCTGCTGAAGCTGTCCGACTTTATTACACAGCACAGACTGAACTTTAACAAGGTGAACTAGTAAATCATCCGGGTTCATTTGATTGAGCGCTGCGATGTCATCAATAATTTCCCCTCCTATCGCGGCGGCGGTTAGAGCCGAGGCAGGTACATCGTCCATAGATTCTTTGGTATGCTTTGATATGGTTTTGTGTAAAAACAACTATGCATGTAAATTTTACATTTTTGTACATCAGCGGCTTTAACTTTGCACACTCTCGATTCCCAGGCTGGAGGGTTCCATGCAGACAGATTCTTCCACTGGGTGTGAGGTGGGGGTCGCCTGCAATGCGTTACCTGATGCAACATATTATCTGATAAATTTGAACCAATTGCCATCTGGTGACGCTGAGCTCACACTTTTTCGTGCCAATAAGCTTTCTGTCCGAAAATCATATGGATTTCTAGACTTTTCATACACACTGATAAATAAGGAGAGTGACTTGCTTATAGCGCGCAAATCGCCTCTTATCTCTAGCTCCCCGTTTTGGGACTATCTATTTGACTCTCAGTTTCGTTTCCAGTCATGCTCGTTGCTATTTTGGCATGCATTTATCTTCTTATTACGTGTCATCAGATGGGCATCTTCCCAGGGCCCAAGGCACAATGTCTGGCTAGACTTTCTGAATTCAGCTCTACACGGTAATGTGTTCGACTACCTTATTGTTCTAGATACCGGTATTCTCGTACTTGACACTCCAAACCTACTTCTAGCATGCCTTAAATCGGGAACTAGCACGATTAAAAGGATATCAGACGAGACCACTCCTATTGTATTGGAGGCAACGCTGGTGTGGGCGCTCGGATCCTACTTTTCCACGACTATCCCAGAGCTTTTTAACAATCTGGATCCGTGCTATTCCTCTCTTTCTGGTTACACAGCATATCAACCAATAGACGTATCCATGCAGAAATTATCTTCTTTAGCTGACAAGATTGCAAACGGAGAAAACTCTTTTCCTGCTGCACAGATACTGAAGGATCCTATTGTAAGGAGGATGGAGATTCTAGTGGATAGGCTATGCCTTATTTGCAGATCAGACCGCGGGTTTACACAATTGATGACGGCGGCAAAAGAGAATAACGAGAACGAATTGAAGAAATTTATATACCAATCCAATCTGACTTCCAGTACTCCCTTGGGGTTAACGGCATTGATGGTAGCAATCCGCAATAGGTCATCTCTGGCCGCAAAGGTTCTAGTCCCGTATGAGGCATGTAGTATAGATTCAGCCGGTTCCACTGCTCTTATGTACTCTGTCCAGAATAAGCTCTATGACGGGGCCGAGGCTCTTGCCTCACTCGAGTGTGGAATACGCAATAAGGAAAACAAGACAGCAATCTACTTAGCTTACGAGCAGCACGACCATAAAATGCTAGAGATTCTTGCACCGTGGGAGAACCATCTAGTATATGATAACGGCAAGACACTACTTATGATAGCCTCCAGCCAGAACAACATCTCAGCTGTTAATATTCTTCTTAAGTACGAAGCTGGCGTTTCTGATCGATCTGGGCACATGGCCTCTCGCTATGCCCTTCTCAATGGGCATAGAGAGGTTTTCAATGCGCTCCTGCCTGCCGAGCAGAGTATCATGAAGCGCTTTAGTTGCACCCCGCTAATGATCGCAGTTGCCCAAAACGATGTCAAGCAGGTCTCCATAGAACTCAACGTATACCCCAGGCGCAAATTCAAGGGAATCACAGCTCTTATGATAGCAGTGCTAATGAATTCTAAGGAAGAGATTCTTGAAATGCTGGAGGCTAAGGAGGCACGCATGGTCAACACCAAAGGCCAGACTGCTCTTATGCTCGCTGTTCAGAGGAATCTAATACCCTACGTTACTAGGCTGGCTCCATTAGAAGCAGGAATATTTGACAAGAGGGGGCATACTGCCTTAATGTACGCTATACAAGCTAAGAATATCGCTGCCGTGAAAATTCTAATTTGCTATGAAACCGGATTGGTTAATCCCTACACAGGGGCCACAGCACATCACATGATTAAGTCCATTTCAGAAACAGAGCAAGATATTGCTTTAGCGCAGGAGCTAACCCAGACTGTGGGAAGGTATGAGACATTCAATCGTGATGCCTATGGGAACACGCCTTTGATTCATGCTGTGATTGCCAATAACAAGGGTTTACTACAAGAATACGCTTGCCAGGCTAAGCTTCGAAACTTCCATGGACGCACTGCCTTGCATTTCGCAGTTGAGCTAGGTAATTTTGAAGTAGCGCAGGAGCTGCTTGAGCTTGGGGCAGGCGGTTTGCAAGATTACTCTGGAGTAACTGCACTTATGATAGCGGCAACGAATGGCCAAACAGACTTGTTGGACCTCCTTCTTAGTCACGAAGCAGGAGAGACCAGGCGTGTGACCACAGCAGGAAAGAGTGCCCTTATTCTTGCTCTAGAGAATGGGCACACCTCTGCAGCATCTACACTTGCCATCTATGAATCAGGTATTGTTGATGAGGCGGGCGCCTTTGCAGCCAAGATCGCGGCCATGAAAGGCTACACTAACGTCTTTACTCAGCTTTATGAGCAGGAGAAGAACCTGCTTTACAACGACGGGTTCACTCACCTCATGCTAGCAGCGATAAGGAATGATATAAAGACACTCCGGCAAAACATGCAAACGGATGCACGTACTGCGCTTCCTGGAAGTGGGATGTCTGCGCTAATGCTAGCAACTATCCACGGAAATCAGGAAGCGTGCCGGTTGCTTCTATCAGTCGAAAGTTGTATGGTTAACTCTGAAGGAAAGACTGCTTTGATGCTTGCTGCTGAGCGTGATCTATGCAGCATAGTGAAGATGCTCTCTAGTATTGAGGCAGGCCTAAGGGACTATAGAGGAACATCAGCGCTGATGATCGCGGCCATGCGGGGTCACCCTGAGAATGTTGCCGAGCTCATGAGGTACGAGGCAGGAATTGCCAATAATGCAAAGCAAACAGCAGCGTCGCTTGCATACTGGTCCAATCATAAACAGATCTTTTGCATGCTAGCCCAGGCAGAACTGAGCATCAGAGACGCTCGTGGAAATACTGAGTTAATGAAAGCAGTTATGAATAAGGATATAAAGCAGGCCACTGCTATGGTGCACCTGGCAGGCTGCAAGAATTTCAACGGAGAAACAGCCCTGATGATCGCTGTCAAAGAGAGGTTCTACGACGGCGTCGTTTTGCTGGCGGATCTAGAATCTAGTATCCAAGATGTCAATGGGACCACGGCGCTAATCATAGCGTGTGAGAACTCCTTTATAGAGGCCGTTACCTTGCTTCTAAAAGAAATCAATATACACAAACTGGATGGATCTAGTCCAAGGTCAGTTGCACTTGCACGTAATCATTTCGAGTTAGGGAGGCTTCTCCCGAAAAAGCCCTTGCTGGACTCTTTTGGATGCACTCAGCTGATGCTTGCAATTGAGGCAGGAGACGAGACACTTGCTTTGACCCCACAGATGCTTTCCTTAGAGGGCTTTCAGGACTACGATGGCAAAACCGCCCTTATGTACGCTGCCGAGAAAAATATGTGCTCGGTAGTTGAAGCTCTTGTGGGCGTGGAGTGCAAAGTTATGGATTACAGCGGAAAGACCGCCGCAGTTCATGCCTATTTGACAGGCTCTTTGGAGTCGCTGGCCATTCTTATCAGGTTTGAGGCTCTTCATTACCTCAATAATTCAACACAAACCATCTTTATGCAGGCAGTTGTGGCCCGGAACATAGAAGTTATACACATTGTTGGGCCATATGAGGCAGGATACCAACTGGAGGATGGAACCACCGCACTGTCACTTGCGAGAACCCTCAGTGAGAAGTCATGCGAACGGCTCCTCGAAGCTGTACTCCAGTATGAAGCTGGTAATACAGCTCCGCGGGCAACTAGTTTATTAGGACAAAGAGCAGATAGAGAAAAGATCATCTCTTTCGGCAGTAGTCATAGAGTAGGAACCCCGGAGATAGAGGAGCCGGGGCGAGATAATGATGGAAATACAGCACTAATTCGGTTAGTTCGCAGCAATTCCAAGGCGGACATCTCTCCCTTGCTGCATCAAGCCGGTCTTGTGAACCGAAAAGGAATGAGCGCTCTAATGTTTGCTGCAGAACTAAACAATGTTTCCGCTGCACGACTTTTAGCTGAAAAAGAAGCAGGCTACACTGTAGTTTCACATATAAGCACGCCGTTCATTTTGTCCAATGCAACGGCACTCCATATTGCTGCTATTCGTGGCAACACAGAAATTGTACAGATTTTGGTGGAGCAGGAAGCAGGGATGGTGGATTATCGGAAAAGATCAGCACTGATGCTAGCCGCGTACTTCGGCCATCTCTCTGTTGTTCAATTGTTGCTTGGTAGAGAGAAGGCACTTCAGGACTCCAGTGGCCGCACTGCCCTGTTTTACGCGATTGAGAGTAACAAGGTGCGCATAGTTCAGGAGCTCTTACCGCATGAGGCGACTTTGGTGACAACCGCGGATTATATGGCTGGCCCCGGTTTCACTGCTCTTATGGATGCAGCTAGGCTGGGTAATATCGCCGCTATCAAGCTGCTTATGGCTAAAGAAGGTGGAATGACACAGCCACAAGAGGCTGGGACACACTCTAATTGGACCGCACTAGTCTGGGCATCTTCTCACGGCCAACGAGAGGCCGTTCTCGAGCTTGCACCCTTAGAGTTAGAGATCTGTAGTCAACTGGCCTTTTACTATGCTCAAGATGCATCGATAACTGACTTACTAACAGAGCTCAGAAGCGCCTTTTCCTCACGTTCTTAAATGAATTACGATGACAAGCTGGTTAATGACATGCCATCCCAGTACTTTCCGACAGATCCGTCGGGGCGGAAGAAGATTCTGAGGAAGCGCATAACTGGAGATGCCGTTAAATTCGATGAGGGTGCCCTCCAATCCTTCGTTACGGGTGGTCACAAGCGCAAAGAAGAAAGGCGAAGAAAAGCACAGCAAGAGATAAGGAGTAAGAAGCTTGAAGAAAAGCGTATGAAACGACGCGAAAAAGAAGCCACTAAGCGAGCAGAAATCCGTAAAACGAAGGCATTGGTGGAAAGTAACATTTACCTAAAGAAGACCGTAGAGGAGCTTAGAACCATTCAAAAAGAGCGGATGGGTGGCGAGAGCCAACAAACTGCTGAGGAGCGCAGCTTTGTGTCACCAGATGGAACGTGCATTAAAGCTGTTATCAAGAGCCTATAGTACTTTTAGTAAAGCCTTGCCAACTCTGACTCTGTTGACGAGCACCGGCCGGCGTCAATCTCATCAGAGATCACAGGTCGTATTTTTTGTGTTGAGTCAAGGGATAAAACGTCTTTACTCAGTAAATCGTCGAGCGCTGAAGCAATCTTATCTGCAGTGTCCTTTGCCTCGGAAGCTGAGGGTTGGTGCTCTGATGGTGTAACTGGTTCAATTGGTAGATCTAGGTACGAAAAGTTGTGTTGAGCCCATGCAGGCCCGTCACTGGGACCCGTGGGAATTGTAGCCAAATCTATCTCGAGCATCCGGTCAGAAGATGTATCTAGCATGTATAGATGCTCAAGTGAGACGGTAGAGCTATCGTTAGGACTTTGAGACAAAGAGGATAACGGGCCAGCAATTTTGCGCATTGGCTCTTGGTGGTTCATTTTTCAGAGGCCTCAGTATTCATAATATCTGGGTCGTCAGCCCCATCGACCGTGATGATGCGATCAATATCTTCGTTTTGATTAGAGCCGCTTTGATCGCACATAGCAGAGAGCTCTTGACTTCGTAACAAATTTGATAGCTCCGCAAGGGTTTCCTGGGGCACACTCTTTCTGGTCCGTATCTCGTTTATGATATGCGCTTTACAGAAGCTGTACTCGTGAGGGAGAAGTAACTTCACGCAGTCAATGTGGCCACTAACAATAGCATAGTAAAGAGCAGGGTACTTCTTGCTCTTGAGCATTCCCTTTTCATACTCAATGAGTTGCCTTACTATGTCACTGTGTCCATTCTTTGCTGCGCACATCAGTGCTGTCCAGCCATCATCAGCTGTAAGACGTACCTCATCAAGAAGATACTCTACGCAATCTCCATATCCATAAGCTGCAGCGTACATCAGCGCCGACCACCCATCGTGTTTTTGAATGTGTGACTCGTGTGCAGATAGTACTCGAACAACATCAACCCTCCCAAGAGCTGCTGCGGCCATGAGCGCTGTGCGCCCTTCTGTCTTTTCACACATTTTCGCCTCTTTGCAGACAAGCTTCTGAACTATTTCATGATGTCCCAGTGCGGCAGCGATCATCATGGCCGTAACTTCCGTCCAGAGAAGATTTGTCACCTTGTATTTCTTTGCAACAATCCCCCCTTCTCTATTCACTAGCAAACTTGCTGCCTCAACATTATTATTTGCCGCTGCAAGCATCAGGGACGTCAATCCAGCGGAGTTTAGTTCCCTGGCAAGATGACAATACCGCTGAAGATCAGTGCTATTATTTTCCAGAACAGCACGATGAAGCTGTGTGTTTCCGCGGTTATCTCTGACAGTGATCGGAGGAAGATCATCGTAGCAGTCCACCAGATGGTGCTCCTCTGCAAGGGCCCGAGGAGTTAAACCGTCGGATTTTCTATATATGTGTGCCTCGTCCTTCAGAAGGTGAACACAGTACCTGCAGCCAAACTCACACGCGTAGAGCAAAGCAGTCATTCCACGTGCATCCACCATCTTAATATATTGGTTTCTAAAGTTAAAGACAGAGGAAATGTCTCCCGTCTTTGCGGCGAGCATCAGAGGGGTCGTACGCAAGGAGTCTGAGGCGCTCCGCAACTGCTCTGCTGCTCGTACGTAATTATCATTTGCGTCCTTTTCACTGGCAAGCAAGATATTAGCTATTTTGTAATGTCCATTCATAATCGCATAACTTGTTGCGTTAAAGCGTCCCGCATGCATTCCAGACTCTCGTTGAAGTAACTCCATTACCACCTCTTCATACCCATTCGATGCTGCATACATAAGCGCAGTCTTATCTTCTGAATCAGTGAGGCACGCTTCATATGGAGCCAGAATCCGCACACACTCAATATGGCCTGCCTCTGCTGCAACCATCAGTGCCGTTTTGTTACACGAATAGAAGTTGTTCGGATTCGTGTGCACGTAGGCTTGTAGCTTTGCTTCCTCAATAGCAAGAAGGCGGCAGAGCATGGGACGATTATTATAAGCTGCATACATAAGTGCAGAAAACCCGCTAGAGTCGAACCGCTTTGACTGAGTTTGCATGAAGCAGAATGCTCGATATACGTCATTCTCCAGGACAGCATCCATCAGATCTGTGAACCCACTAGGGTACTTATCAGGAGAACAGAGATGGAAGGTGCTCGTATCAGTACTAACAGTCCCGTCTTGGCTATGTCCTAACTGTAAATCTTTAGACGAGGACTCTCTGACGTACACTGGCTCTGGACCCTCATAAGGGACAAGCGCCAGGGCAGTTTCCATGTTGTTGACCGCGATGGCCAAGTATAGTGCGTTCCTTCCATTTTTGTCTGTCATGTTACCTTCGAGAGAGCACAGGAGTTGAAGTAACTCAGAGTTGACGGAAACTTCTTGATGGAAACGACTTCTTTTGAGCCTGCGCAGATCGGTAGACGTACTTAGTGCCGATGTTGATAAAGCAGTAGTTGAGCGAAGAGTATTATCTGCAGGCGGAGGGAAAGATCGCGTGCTAGATTGGCTGCACATGATAGACATATCCGATGGAATGTCTATTGTGCTAGGATATGCTAAATGATAAGCCTCGTACTCGTCCAATGAGACACTCCCCCCAGTAATAGCATAATGCATAAGCGCTGTTCGACCATTGATGTCACGCATTCCTGCTTCCGACTGCATAAGAAGCTTGCACAACTTAAGGTTGCCAATTGCCGCCGCACGCATAAAGGCGGTCTGCCCTTGATTGTCTGCATACTTACACTGCCGTGGAAGCCATGACCAGACCCCTACAAGGTCATTGTTCTCTGCTGCTCTCATTAAATTTGTAACCCCGTTGCCATCTATGTTAGGAGCGCGATTATCTATTCCTTCATACTTCAGGAGAATAGCAGCACATTCAAGATGCTCCAGCTCGAGTGCAAGACTTAAAGCTGTTGTCCCATCTAGCAAGAAGCAATTACTTTCAAGAGGCGCCAATTCCCTCACAGCATCAATGGCATCCATCTCTACGGCAATCATTAGAGCGGTCTTGCCTTTCTTGTTTCGTCGTCCTGCATAGCCCTTTAACTTACTTAAGTCGTTGAGACTAGCCTCCTGCACCGCCAGGTGTAGCGGCGTATTTCCATCCTCGTCAGGACTAACTGGTGCATCCAAAAGAGTAGCCTGTTCAACATCCGGCTCCGTATGCGTATCGACCTTCAGCGATGTCTTGGAAAGCAGCTCGTGAAGCTTTTGCTCAGACGGAGCTGTGCGTCGGTATATAATTCCCTGGACTTCACGCAGCAGCAATATTTCGGAAGCACTTGGAAGAGGTTTTGCAGGGTCTTTTGATGTTAGTGAACGCAGAAATGACTGAAAGTTAGAAGAATATGTAACTGGGATATTTCCTGCTTCAGAAAAGGTCGCCAACTCATGCAGTATAATTCCTGCGTCCCGGATATCATCCTCTGGAGTTATCAAAATAAGCGATTCCGGCTCACCATCTGATACCCCTACCTCTAAATTGCGATACCCACTGAGTAAGGGCAGACCCACGGTGAGCTCATAGTCTGAACGAGATGAATAGTCGCACACAATAGTTGATGTAGAAAGGTTTCCATGGGGAAGTGGCAACGACTGATGGTTTTCCCCGGCACCGAATGAATGTCTAGCTCCACTTTTAATCTCCAGGTCCAACGGGCTGTGCATGACGGCAAGAAGGTTGAACAGCTGAGCGGCAATGTCCCATAACGTCGACTCACAGATGAGCTGCCCCTTATTCTGGTACATGCTGCATATCTCTTTGAGCGTATGGCCCTTTGGTTCACAGGGTTCATAGCTAGCGGCAAGATAGTCAGACACAGCCCCAGTAGATGTCAAGAAACCGTCATAGAAGTGATCATATGTTCTAAGGTTCTCGTGTCGAAATAGCTTAAGGTTGTTGTAGCGCTGTTTTAGGTCGCGCTTGGGGCCCTCTTCCAAACCTTCTATGCAGAATGACACGAAGACGTGTGGTGTACTACTGCTTGGATGTGTACATAAATGTTTTCCCTGAAGCCCGCGGGTTTCGGTACTGTCAGGAATCAGCTTGTATGGATGCGGGGGCTCGAAGGGTGCAAATACCTTAGGGACATGTGCTTCTGAAGGAGGCAACTGGTCCTTATCAGAAATATTCTTAACAGATCCCGATTTCTTGGTCTTCTGTAATTTAGAGGGCGCCCTTGCCCCTCCCTTCCCTTTTGAAGCACCTTTAGCATTCGATTGTCCGCTAGAAGCTTGCTTGGACCCAGCTCTTGAAGAATCCTTGGTTGAGGTAGTCTTCTTTGGCGGCATTGTTCAAAGTTTATTTTAAAGAATAGAGGATTGCAAAAGAGAAATGGTACTCTGCAGGTTGACGATTGCAACTTCTGGACATCGCTTAGAGAGAGCTTCTAAGATGAAGCGGGCATACTTCTTCTCTCTCTCCTCAGAAAGTAATAGGGTTACCATCTCGGTATGCCCATGAGTAGATGCATAATAAAGAGCAGAATACTTGCTCTTTTTGAGTAGGCCAGCTTCATAGGGTAACAGGAGAGACGCCGCTTGGAGGTGTCCGTTCCTGGCTGCGGTCATCAGAGCCGTCCACCCATCCTTCATCTGCACTTGTGCTTCTGCAGGTATGAGGACACTAACTACCTCATCCATGTTATAGGCCGCTGCGTACATAAGTGCTGTCCAACCCTCTGCATTCTGCATCCGTGCCTCCTTATCGATCAAAAGACTTACGGTACTGGCATGCCCGTTGATGGCTGCAGCCATCAATGCTGTTCTTCCCTTTCCGCTATCCTTCATTCGTGCTTCTGGCGTTTCTGCCAGCGCAACCACAGCACCATCGTATCCGTGAGATGCTGCAATCATCAATGCCGTGACATCTTCCCACAGGACTTTTGTGGCTGGATAAGAGCGCACTGTTCTCCCTAGTTGAGTAGGGTATTCCCTAATAATGACGTCTACCAAATCTGTAAGGCCAAGCTCAATAACCTGCATCAACACCGTCAATCCATCAAGTTCCTTAGTTCTGTCTTGCAGGTGAAGAAACCGGAGGATCAGCTCTGGATCTTGTTTCCGAATAGCACGCTGTAGCTGATTCATTCCCTTGTCGTCGAAGACCTCCACGATATCAAGCATGTCCACAATTTGGGGGTTTTCCTCACGCCAGTGTTGCTCTAAGAGGGCGCGCGCTGTAGTGCCATCCTTTGCTACTAGATGTTCTTCGTGCCGTAATTGCAGGATGCAATTTATGTCCCCAAAGATGCATGCATACATTAGCGCAGTATAACCACGTTTGTCTTGCAGACCCAGCTGGAAGCGATAGGACCATACACCAGGAAGGTCTCCGTTTTCAGCCGCTTGCATAAGCTCCGTGTGTCTACCCTGGATTCGTGAAGCCAAATCAGCATCTGGGTACCCCTCGTACGGGGTCAGTATTTTAGCGATATTCTCATTCCCGTGCTCTATAGCAACATACAGCGCTGTATAGTATGGTCTGCCATTTGTCAGGGTCTTCTCGTGTGGTGCCAGAAGCTTGACGGCGGCGCTGTTATTGTATCTAGCCGCCCACATCAGAGCAGTCCTCTGGGTGTCATCATGAAGCCCCTTTTCATGCTCCAATAGAAGCGGAATAATAGCAACATCGTCACAGATTGCGGCGATGATTAGAGCCGTTGCACCTGGAACAAAGGGATTTATACTAGAGGTATCTGCTCTACTAAGAAGGACAGTGTCTGGCAAGGCTTCACTGGTTGCAATAAGGTGCTGCCCAGCCTCCTTTAGGAGTAACTTTACTATATTGTACAATGCATACTCCTGATAGGTATCACGCTTTACCCCATTCTGAGCTGCGAAGTACTTAGATGCTGAGGCGTGCATGAGTGCAGTATAACCATCTCCTCCTGTATTTCCCAGTTCAGAGACCCATAAGAATACTTCGAACTCAAGATAGTTCTCCACAGCATTGAGCAGCCGCTGATAATCATTAGCCACAGCCCTATCTATGCTATCGTCATCACTATCTATCTGATATTCTTGTAAAATCAGTGATCGTTCGGCAGCAAATACGACCTCAAAGATGTCTATATTTCTATATAAATAAGCAAGCTCTGATGCGAACACTTTTGCTGATACCACATAATTCCCCTCCAACCCTTTGCTAAAGTATGATTTCCCTTTTTCAAGATCCAAAAGAAGCTGCACAATATCAACAGATCCCATCTTCACGGCACGGTGGAGGGCAGTCCTACCAGAGAAGTCCACAACTCCTGCTTCCAGCGGTACCAAAAGCTTAATGATTGCCAGAGACGCCTTACTTTCCACGGCACACATAAGAGCAGTTCGTCCATTTATGTCCTGCCACTTGTGCTGTCTAGGAAGCCAGGACCACACTGCAACGATGTCTCCTGCTATGGTAGCGCGCATTAGATCTGTCTGGTTCAAGGCATCGATATGTGGGTCTTTAGTTGAGACACCCTCCACATCCGTAAGTATTCTGGCAACGTCATAATGCTCTGAGTACAACGCGTAATATAGAGCAGTATGGCCCTGTTTTGTAAACAATCCACCCTCATGGAAGACAAGAATATTGGCACCATCGCTCCAGCCCTCGATGGCACAAAGCATGAGGGCCGTGTGTCCATCTTGATTGAACCGTTTGGCATATTCCAAATTACGGCCGACTGCCTCTAAGTCTCTATCCAATACTGCCCGGTGGAGCATAGTGTTCCCAACGCTGGCCGACGACAAGTATAATACAGATATGCCTAGGTCAACACTACTATCCATACGGCTTGTCTCGCGCGCAGATGGGTCACGAAAGACACTTGCTACTCTAGGGTAGCCGGCGCTATTACCTGCTGACATTACAGAGGTATGCTCTGCGAAAATAGAGCTCTCGTTGACGACCAGTAGCTCGCTAAGGTTCTCTGCATGCTCTTGAACTACGGACCTCGCACTCTGAGAGGTTGCTGCACGTTCTGCAGCTATGGGGTCTGTAACGTGCTTAATGTTCGGCAGCGAGGCTGCCTCTTTAAGATGACGATAAATCTCTAGAGGTGTGCGCGTCTGTACACTTGCAGATGACTGGCTCCTCTCTCTGAACTCAAGGTGTGTGAATGGAAGTAGCGCCTCGGTGACTCGTTGGGAAAGTAGCAAATTTGATACAACAGGTTTATCGTGTAGGCAGAGAGAACGAAGGGCCAGAATAAACTGCTTCAGATCAGGAGAAAACCGCCGATGATCTAGAGAGGATAACTCAGCCTGGTAATCCTTTGATTCAAAAGGCTGTACGCCGGATGTACAAAGGTCGCAAAGGAGAAGTGCAATGATATATATTGAATAGATGTCCTTAGCAAAGGAACTGCTTGATGGATTCATGGATGGAAGGTGGGGTGGAACTAGCTTTATAGTATGAGTGACAGGATCATAGAAGATGGTATCCGGCCGTATCCTTCCATGGTTGATTGAAATGGACTGCTCAGATGGGATTCCTGTCTTAATACTACTGTGGAGATAAGATAGAACGGATACCAATTGTGCTAAAATGGCCCAAACTTCTTCTTCAGCAAAACTGTATATTGAGGTCTTAGTGATCACAGAATGAACAAGAGCAGAGTGGTTCGATGACGACAATCCTCCATTCTCTTCGCTAAGATCCTCAATAGTCGTGTCGTTGATGAGGGCCAGAAGCTCGCGCTCTACTTTACTCGCTTCCTCAGTATGGCTAAGACCATCCATTTCGTCCGCAAACGAGTTCATATCTGCACAGTTCTTACCAAACACATCTTCATTGCTCAGCTCTTTTTGGCCACCAAGGAGCTTAGCCAAAGACGGAAAGCTGGCCTTCTCCATCCATACCATGAGATTAGATTGACCTGAGCACTGAATGCTAAGGCATCTGAGAAGGTTTCTGTGAGAAAGGTGCTTTACAAGGGAGAGAAGATCACGGTTTCCCGCAATAGCCACAGCCAGGTCTTCGTCCAGAGCATCTCTACGCAAAATGGCAGAACAAGGCGGATCGGCCCACTCGACGATCTGTGTATGGTTCCCAATAACAGTGGCGGGGGTTGTAGCCATACAAAAAGACTAGTGCCCGATTTCTAAATCTTTGCGGCGCCAGCCGAGTCCATAAATTAAAAAATACGCTTTCACCATGACAACAAGCTCCCACTACCCCCCTCAATCGGACACGTTTACAACAATAATACACACACATGAGCCAGAAAACGAATCCTGGACACATCTTGCATCTGCAGCTGCCTCAGGTCATGTCGAATTAGTCAGAAAGTACATGAGAGATAGCCCTCAAATACCAATAGAGGGACAGATCCACTTCGGCTGGCATGCATTTCCAAAGCCGACGCCTCTTATTTTGGCGGCTGGCCACGGCCACCTTGACTGTGTTCGCTTGCTGATGAAAGATGGAGCCGGTTCCACCACATCGATGGACCAGACGGCCCTTATGGCAGCATCTGCAGGCTGCTACCCAGATATAGTATCAGAGCTTATGGATAAGGAGGCAGGCCGGGCTGACAAGAATGGATGGACAGCTCTAATGTACGCCGCTGATAGGGGCTGTGTGCCCGTTTGCCAAATGCTTGTTAAACTAGAAGCAAACCGAACAAGTTTGCGCTCTGAGACCGCCTTAATTCTTGCCGCGACTACTAACAAGAAGCAGGTAGTGGAGATTCTGGCGCCGTATGAAGCATCAGAAAGCGGCCTCCTCGCCATGGAGCTTACCTCAGACGAGGAGATCCGCAGAATAATTCACAAATACCTTTCGGATGATGCTATTCAAACTCTTATGGACAATGGGGATCAGTACGTCTTTGAATGATTTCTTCGTGCTTCGACGGTAGGTAATGAGCAGTAAACCTCTCTAAAGTTTGAAGAGCTGGCTTACTTTAAAATCTCCTGTTTCAGCTTCTCGACCATATCTTTGTTGGCTAGGAGCTCTTTCTCTAGGGTTGTCAGGCGAGCAAGAATGGTGGGCAAGTCTGCAACCAGTTCTCTGAGATCATGCAATCTCCGCGGATTGTCCTCAGCCAGGATCTCTTGCTTCTTGGTAATGACCTTGAGCGTGCCGTCTAGCTCCTTTTGATACTTGATTACACGCAGCACTAGTTCCGGGTTAAATACGTTAACCGTTTTGTTCATCTTTGCAATCTTTTCTGCACTGACATTTTGTTTTGCTTCGAGAGCCTTAATGCGGGCCATAAGCTCAGTGATTAACTTGGCCTGTGCATCTACAGTGTTCTGTAAAGCCACAAGCTCCTGGCGGTTCTCTACTCCCATTGCATGCATGCTTGTTGTTATGGCATTGTGCAAAAACCCTGAGCTGATATCTGCGAGCTCTGCTGTTATGGCGGCAGTATCCCACTTAATACCTTGGCCAGGCGCAAGTGCAGGAATAGACTTTTTTCTGGACAGTGTCGCCTTCCTAGGGTAAGTGGGCTGCTGAACATTTTCCTGGACACTTTCACTGGTAGTGAACTGAATTGCAGATTTCGAACGCGGGAGAAACTGATGGGTTGCTGATCCTATTGGTATTGCAACAGTGGTGTTGTTAAGGGAGGCCGGAGGCGCTGGTCTCGTATCGGCCTTGGATTTATCGCCAAACATGGCCATAAATGAGCCTGCGAAGCTGATTTTCTGGCCTGACTTAGCTGATAGTGGTGGCTGATAGGTCCTCGATGACTTATTGGGGGGAGATGGTGCTACTGAATCAGTAAGGGGGGTGTCTTGAAGTAAAAGAGGCACAGTGTCGAAGAGTTCGCTTTGGAGGGCAGTAATACTGTCGTCGTCTTTGTAACATCTGACGCTACTGGCGACACTGTTGGTCTCGCTAACTGAATCGTTGGGGCTGGTGAGGAGTACATGCTTACTGGGTCTACTTTCAATGGCAGTCACACCATCTGCTGCTAGCACAACTGAGCCAGGCGGTGAAGCAACAGGGGGCCCCTCCCTTGCCGTGCTAACCGGACCGATGGCGTTCAATCTGGTATCCAGTGACGTTGGTGGTTTTCTTCGCCTGAATGGCTTCTGCTGCATGTCAACACCTAGGGAATTGTTGCAATGAGAGTAGTGACTCTGACTTTGCGTCAAGTTAGAGAGATAGATACTGTCAGATGAACTCAAATCATTGAACATGCCTATGCCTGCGGAAGCTGTGTTACTTAATTGAGCAGCCGACTCATCAATTTTGATGGTAGGGCCCTCATAATTTGCATAGGATGAAGATAGGGTAGGGTTAGGTGGGGCAAATTTAAGCATTAAATTTTAGCACACGGTGTTCAGAACTTCTACAAAGCCCTTACTGCCCGGACCTAAAATTAGGTTTAAGAAGTCAGCCTGGCGCTCGCTTCAAAAAATAACTTAAGACATACTTTTGGGTTCTAAGGGCGAAATCTTTGGCTTTTTCACCGTCGATTCTCCATGTCGCGTAGAGCAGCGATCAGTTACCTCCAGCCTGCAAAGCGCATACGTCCGTCTGCATTTAACATTAATTATTTGGAGCAAAACAAGAGCTATGGAGTGAGTACAGCCCCGCCTCTATTATCTCACCGAAGGCTATCACTGCGTCTGGAGTCCGATGAGGAGAGTAGCTCTGCACACAGTCAGTTCTCTTTGCCAAATAGTCCTACAAATTTTGCTCTGCTAGGATCAGAGGATAGTCAAGCTGCAAGCGAATACGATAGCAGACATCCGAAGCATACATGTTCCTTTCAAAAGCATAAGCAATCAAACACTTCGAAAAAGCCTGCACATACGTCTCCGCTGGCTTTACGCCACCCCCCTCACATACTTAAAACTCAATGGATCAGCCGTTCAGCTCCCGTTTTGCCCAAGCTCCATCCGCCGACCGCCGTATCTTCTCATTCCAAGCCAGACCCAGCAACTACCTTTGCATCCAAATACAACAAGGGAATGATCTTAGACTTCGGTGCATATGCAAAGGTGTATCGTTGCACACGAAAGTCTGACGGTGCAGCCCTCGCTGTGAAGGAGGCGCACGTGTTCGGCCCCTACAAGGAACAGCTCCTCCATTCTTGCAATATATTGCTCAATATTGACCATCCCCTCTTGACAAGAGTTGTGGACTATATCTATGACAGCACCGAGGAGAGGGTCTACGTCATCTCTGACCTGTATGAATATGGCTCGGTTTACTCCAAGCTTAAGGCCGAGAGGAGGAACTACAGCACAAGCTATCCTGATGAAAGAGTAGTCTGGGATATATCTTCGCAGCTGATCGACGCCCTTGAGTTTCTTCACAACCCTGAGAAAAATGGGTTTGGTGTAATCGTACATAGAGACATTTCCCTGAAGAATATATTGGTTAGTGATATCGTTACAAAAAAGATAATAGTCATTCTATCTATCCTGGCTGTCGAGCTTGTCGGTAACTCGAAGACAGTACAGCTGGTTGGCTGTCCCACATACGCAGCCCCAGAAGTGCTCTGCGGGTCGGAGTATGACGAAAAGGCTGACATTTGGTCTCTAGGGTGTGCTATCTATGAGGTGTGCAAAGGATATCAGCTGTTTTATAACGAGGCAATATCAGATATTATCAGAGCGCAGTACAGTAAGCCTGCAATCAACCTTGGGGTATATAGTGAGGATCTTCAGGAGTTCATCAAATCTCTGCTTGTGCTGGATCCGAATAAGCGTATTACCGCCAGTGAGGCTGCTAAGCACCCTAAGGTTATGGAAGCCAGACAGCGCCTGGATTCTGGAGCTTCTGCAGGGTATGGGTGGTTCACCGGATGATGTGTCTAGACTATCGCCTTGGCCACGATTGGCAGCAGCATGGAATATGGGAGGCGTCTCTGCATGGCTGAAAAGCCGGACTCATATGCTGTCAAGAGCGTCTTGTCCAGGATGCGCTCTGGGTCATGCCAGTACGTCTTAGCGAAGGATCGTACCCCTGCCTCGAGGAAGTTAATAGCGCTCGTCACGGTAATGTAAGGAGGAAGGGGAGATGAGAATACCCGTGAGCGCTGAGTGCCTGGAACGGGGTGTAGCCCCTGGGACCTTCTCAAATTATTCTCTGTTTCAAGGAGATCACGGACATGTAAATCTTCAAAGAGAGCGTAGTTGGCATTTCCGCAGCCAGGATGTTTGGCCATGCGAGGATCATGGCAGATCTTGGGGGTCTCAAGAAAGTCAATCATGAGGCTAGATTTAAATAATTCTTCATGCCCCCGAAAGATATCACAGGATACAGTAGTAATCAGAAGGCAAAAGAGGACGCAAATCCTCTCCCACATCTGAGTCAATTGGCTTGTTCGCCAACTTCCATAATTAATCAGTCCCAGAACCAGAGCCAAACCAGGCCACCGAGCTATTCTGATGCAGGACGTCAACACTTTAACGACTACCCGTCGCTCAACAACATGATAACCCCCAGTTCTGGCTCTTCTCACTCAGGTAACTATCACCAGCAGAGCACCGTGGGAAGCCTACCGGCCTCTAACCTTGCCAGTAACATGGGTTCAGGCATGCCTCACTCTTCTTATTTTACACACCCTTCAATGTCAGCAAGCCAGGTCAGTGGGCAGCAGCGTATACCCGTGGGATCATCATACCACCAGCAGGCACCAGTGCCCTCGCGCGATGATCAGCGGCACACCGTATCAGTCAAGCATACTCCCGTTTTATCTACACCAAGTTTTGCCCATACTCAGCAGCCTGGAAGACCCGCCCATATGCAATCCGCACCAACTGGCACAGTACCTGTTCAGCAGCACTCTCAGCACGATAGCTATCAGGACCCGAGAACACTACCTCAACGGCAGCAGAGTCAGATTCCATATTCTGCGTATCAACATCACTCTTCCTCGCCATATTCTCAGGTGCCAGGGTCTCTACCGTTCGTCCAGAGCAAATCGGAGTCGCAGCCGATGGGCTCGCGCTCCTCCAGCACACCACTGGTTACTGGCATGCCAGTTATGCATTCCTCCTCGGCACCAAACGTGCAGCCCGCAGTAGTGCCACGCTCGCCGCGAACTCAAGATACCAGTTTGCCGCCTCCGCGGTTTGTGCCGACCTACGACAGTGAAACAATAGCACAAAGGGTAACCGGATATTATTCAAAGCAATCGTCTGATTTCGCTAGCCTCATCAAACTAATTCAGGATTCCTCAGCAGAGTACTCATGCATATTCAGTGACTCATTAGTGGCAGACCTTATTGGCGCATCCTCCTTAAGCTCTCCCTCGCAAGGACACTTACGGGCTATTGGTCTTACACTTCAGCACATGCTCACTTGCGTTCTCGAAAAGGCCCATGAGCTCTCGGTTACAACAAATCCCGAAGGCTCTTCCATCTTGACAGATGCTGATGTGAAAAACGCACTTACTATCCTCGGATTTACTTCGCTTGTAAATTAACTGGGTTTCGCCTAAATGGTCATGCATTGAATGGAAAGCCAAATGGGGGCGATACCTTAAAGGGATGTGGGCACTGAAAGCCAGGTAGTGAGGTGGGATGGTATATGGGCGAAAGAACGGGAAACGTATGTGTAATTAGAGGGTAATGGCTCCCGTACGGAACAGTTTGAAAAGGAAGTGCAAACATAAGGTTTAGAGGGCCCTGGTGACCCGCCTGGAGCAGCCCGGGAGGAGGGTAGTCGGGCAGCATCAGTTTGTCAGACCGGACGGCGGAGCGCGTATGCCGTGCCGGAGGATTTGTACCGTTATATGACTGAACATTGCCATCATTAGAGTAATTGTCTGCCAAGAAGTCAGGCTCGGTGAGCAGAGACGGAGTTGTAACGCCATCGTCAGAGGAAGAGGAAAATCGCTCCAAAGACAGGGCATCGTGGCAATCCGTCCCGGGCAAAGTCCCAGGTGTACCACCGTTAGTATTGTAGTCGCTTCCTAAGAACGCATCAGTTGCGTCTGGGGTGAGACAGTGGGGTGTGTTGTTGAGCATATCTTCACGGGGTGAGACGTTCTTATAGCTAATAATAGATAAGTCTAAGATGTTAGAACTAGGTACACGCTGGTGTGGTGCAGAGCGAGCAGAGGATTTGCCGCTCCGCGGCCCCGGGGGAAAATCAATAATCTCACTGTCCAAAGCCACATTTCCATATATAGCACGATTATAGGCATCCCCACGGCGCGTAAGCGTGTAGTATTTGTTCCTGATTGATGTGGCATTCCTCCCAGGGTAGTAGGCCACGTATTGGCTCCACGAGCGATTATAGACCTTGAACAAACGCAGGAGAAGAAGCTCCTCATCTAGACCCCATTTCTTGCGAGTGACCCCTACGCGCTTCGGGTGAGCCCCCTGCGCTTTCATTGAAGCAGTGCTGACCTTCACTGTTGTCGTCATAAAAGCAGTTGTAAAAGTAAAGAGTTAAGGCTTAAAAAATAAGTACGTTTGGCGTTTCTTTATTACCTGTGGAAGCAGATGCAATCTGTCTCCTATGCTGCCCCCAAGTTTGCAAAAGAGAGAGGGTGCCGTACAATTGTTTTGGTGCCAGATGAGTACGAAACCCGCATCGGCCTTGCACACGGCACTGAGCCTATCTTGGTCCCTGCCCTGGTTGCTGTGCGGACACGAGAATCTCCTACGCGGGGTAGTGGTGTTCATCGGTATCACTTTCCTTTATTCTATGAACGGCTTATGCTTAATTCTTTAATAAATGGGTATCCACAGGCACCCTTGTCTAAATTCCAAGAGTTTAAGAAGGATTACCCCCAGATGGTGCCTTCAGCAGATACTATCGACGAAACAGACAACGATGAGCAGGTCAGGGAGCTGTCTGACCCTTTTTTATTCGGAAAGGACGTTCTATCGGCATCGTTAGCCGAGAATTATGACATTTATAATGTGTTTACCGGCGGCGGGCATTTAAACGTTCAGGGGTGTAGTTCACAGCTCCAATATTTAAAGCTTTTAGAGCGTTTTATCCGCTACTTATTCACCCAGGTTGTCTCACGCTTTGAAAGTAACCTTATAGAGCTTCAGGAGCTCACTGGGGCCTTTAAAGTCAACCAGGAGCCAAAGCGTGCCGAGGACAGTCTTGGGGCTTTGGGTTCCTCCGCAGGACCAATCGCTGTCCCTGTGGCACCCCCTCACAACCTGGATGTAGCAGATGGTGGCGGTGAAGGCGAAGTGCAAGAACTGAAGCAGGAGAAGCAAGAAAAGAAGGCTAGGCCAAAGGCTAAGCGACCCTGCGTTCAGATAACAAAGGACGATACTATTGTAGCAGACACAGACATACCCATATACCAATCAGAAAGCGAGCTGCGGCAGGTGACGGCTGCCACAAGCAACCTGTTTGGCACCAATGCCAGATCATTGCTCCCCACAAGGGAGAGGTTGCAGCTCTTCCACAAGCGCAGGCGACTCAACTACCTTGCAGCCCCATATGCACCCGAGCAATATACCATCGCCGTTGTGCTCCCAGACACAATCACTCGTGCAGAATTGAGCATTTGGACCGAAATTATATATGGCAGGCTGGGATTTTCGGGGGCATTCATCTCAACTGCGACCCCCATGGCATCTTCCTTCTCCAGTGCCTCATGCATGACGCTTTCAGCCACGGCATCCTGTTCTAGAGCCTGCATCGCAGACCCAAGCAACTTCTCATTAAATAATGCATATGCCCCTCTGACTATATGCGGAGACGTTATTCTAGGAACCGTTGCTGGCGTGTTGCACTCTCTCGTCGAGGTCGGCAGAAGGAAGACACCGTCGATAGACACTGCTGAATCAATGAGCAACTTGGTCGCTCTCCATGACTTTCTACATCTGTATCTGCTTAAGAAAGAGAACGCTCTTCTGTATTTTCAGGAGGCTTATGCTCAGCTTCTCGAGCAGCTGGTTCTCCCGGACAAGTCCCTGTTGAATCAGTATTTTGAGTGCAAGTCGAACTGTTCCCCGGAGGAATTTAATTGCCTTGCAAAAAATATAATAAAGCACATCTTATTCAGTTCTGAACATGTGCTCTTTAGTTTGCTGCGGAATAATGGTTTGTCATACGAGGCATTGACTGCACAACCTGACGATGATGTCCAGGCCCCAGTCATCAGTCTTGTCCAAAGCTATCCACAGAGATTTCTTTCTGTGCTACTCAAAAGGCAATCTGACCAGCAACAACAAGAGCAATGCGGTGAAGGCAGTGAAACCTTTAGGAATGGTAAGGATGATAGCGGCGTAAGCAGAGATAGGTATGCATCTATGGGACAGTCTATGGAGCAATCTAGGCCAATTTCTACGTGTCTTACAGTGAGTTTAGGATATGTGGGCTTGGTTGCTGCAGTTTGTCTATTGAATAATTGGCTGTTTGAGACGCCCAAGCCTCACTTCCCTGTACTCTATGCTAGCCAGCATGCGGGTACAGGACTCGAAAAGTTCTTGGTTGATGATACTAATTTCTCTCTTCGCACACTATCACCGAATGAGCACTTGCAAAATTTAAATGCAAGCCGCTTGCTGGATATAGATTCAAGTGCATGCATTGGCCAGTTTTCGTTTCCATTTGACACCGTAAAGAAGGAGGTGATTGACATGTACCAGAAAATCCCCACTACGGATTCCTCAGCAGGAGTCTCTGTGAACGCTGTTCTGGCGACAAAGTATGGAGCCCCAGAGACACTTTCTAGAGTACACTCTGTCTTGTTTGCAATCTTCATGCACTTACTTAGGCTTTCTTACCTTGTTGACAGCATGCTCAATAAGGAAGAAGCCAAGGGGAAAGGTGGGCAATCAGTTACTTCTGCCTCTACCAAAGACGCGCCTCCAGATGAGCTAGAGGCGTCGGACACAATAAAGGAGCCCGCAATAAAGAACACCGTGCCTGCATCTGGTCCAGCCAAAGGGAAATCGCAGGGGTATGCTACCGGTATCAGCCTCAATTCAAAGGTTGCCTCTGTTTTGCAGATCTTCAAGAGCATCGTAACAACTGGAATGCTTGTCTATCTCCCTGGATTAGTAGAATACCTTGGACAAAGCTTTTTAAAGGAGGAGAGCTATCCTGAGCTTCTAGAATTAGGTGTCAAAAAGGATGACGTTACGATAAGGTCTGCCAGCCTAGAGTGGCTAGATCAAAACTTCCGCATAGGGCCCGACCGAACAGCCTCTTTGGAGTGGCTAGGGGGCGCCTGGAGCGCACTCTGCGATGCGGGCATAGAATGCTATGTTACCTCAGAGGAGTTCCGTGCTTATGGCGTTCGTGTATTCATGGAGCGTGCGCTCTTCTTTTATCCGTAAGCCAGTAAATAGCCTGGGCCGTGGAAATTAAAACTCATGGGAGGTGACGAGGTCCATGAGTCCGAGGAGAGCCCGCACGGAATCAATAGCTCGTCTACGGTACGTCTAAAAACGATGAAAAACGCCTCTTATACATGGAAAGACGTCTTAGGACCGCTAAGTAGAATCTGTCGCGATGCTACCCTTATTAAGCTCTGTTTGCTCCCAAAAATGCGATTTGTGGCTGCAGCATGCAGAGACCCCATCTTAAAAATGTCCTTCCTTGCCCCGTTGGAGCGCTCAAATCATTCGCTCCATACAATCTTATCTCCTCATAATTCAAGTTTTTATTCACGTATGTATCACGGGGCCGACTATCTTGGCGATGCATACTTATGCCCCACAGACAGCAAACGGACAAAGAAGCACGGGCATGCCATTTTCTACTGCACAACCCAAGCTCCCCGGATACCAGTAGTAGCTGCTCGAATTTACCCCAAGTTAAGTCAGAATCTTATAATCACCGTCTCCGGTATTCCACGCGAGCTTATGTTTCCAGACTCCTATGCGATGTACAGGTTTTCTCGTCCACTACTTCGGATGGCTATCTGCACTCTGAGCCCTAAGGGGCATATACGTGTAAAAGGAAATGTGTATACCCATCCCTTGTTTGGAAAGCACTTAGATTTGTATGACATCCAAGACCCCTTAATCCCCGGAACTGCTATGTTCGAGTCGGACAATCATGAAATCTATATTAGAGCCGATATGCTTGCGCATCAGCGGCTGTTTTTGCTGATAGAATTTACCTTTTTGGCAGATCTCAATAAGGAAGGGGAGTCTAATATACCTCTCATTGAAGTATCAAGAGGTGTGTCTTTTCTGCGACTTAGTCCCATGGAAGACTTTTCCCAATCATTTATGGAGGGTGTTCAGCAGTCTATGATGTCTTTACCAAAGCTGTTAGATAAACATGAAGCAAAGATGCAGAGAAGGCGGGCAGACGATGACTTTATGCGTATTTATGACCTCGTGGACATTTTGAATTTGGTAGGGTGCACAAAAAATGATTCAAAGTTAGTAAAGCTCCTTCAATCTGCTTCTAAAAATGTAAGCAATCCTAATAAACAAAAGCAAAATCTGCAACAATACTCCCCCGTGGATCAAACATCTATAGAGCTGCCCATATTTGAATTCTCAGTCTCGGATCCTCTTACAACTCTCGTTGACGGAACAAGCTTCAAACGTTGGAAGTCCAAGCCGAGCAGGTCCTGCTCACTTGTGTTGAAAATAAAACCTATACACATTCGTGATGTAGGACCACTGAGTAGACTTCCAGGGACAATGATTGTTCCACCGCGATGTCTATTCTTACTAGATCATATTACGGCAGCATATGCTTCCATGCTTGTAGGTCCACAATCACATCTCCAGCAAGCTAATCCTCAGTTGGGTCGACTCTGCGTAAGACCAGTTGTAGACGATGGTGACACTAGCGGCCTTGCCGCAATGCTAAGATCTTCATCTGGCTCTGCTTTGCAATTTCCCGCTGAGATTGCAACCCTTACTGCCATAGTGAAAAGTTTTGGCCGACAGAGAGCGGTCATACAAAACGAATATCCCGTGGCACTCTCAGGAAGCGCTCTCCTGTACTTTTTTGCCGCTATATTTGAAGAACGTGTGAACGAGGTGCCCCGGGATCTCAGGTACTACATGAACCAAAGCGTTTTGCTACCAGTGTCCTTAAATATTACTGATAACATATTTCTGGGGACATTCATACGATGTTTAAGATACTTTCAACATTCAATACTAAGGGAGATGGCAGCAATGAATTTGAGGAACGAGTGGAGGGGAGATGAGACGACATGGGATAAGGAATATGATCAGATAGTCAGGCTCCTTTCAAAAGGCCAGTCTTACTGATCATCCTGACTTTCGGTAGAACAGCTGTATGAAGTTGATGAGGGCGATTCAAGTATCCGAGCCATTTCGTTATAGAGAGCTATTTCTTGTTCATCAGTACACCCATGCTCTTCTCGCTCCTTCTCGATCCACTTCAGTGGAGTCATTCCGGCAGAGTCACATATGCCTCGCTCATAGTCACTAAGAATAGTTACTGAAACGAGGTCATGTAATTGTATCGCCATGATCAGCGCAGTATACCCATCTCGATCCGTTTTCACTCCAGCCTCCAGATCTGCAAGCAATTTGATGACAGGATGAACTCTTTCCCGAGTTGCATGCATCAGCGCTGTCCATCCATTGACATCTTGCAGTCTTCCTTCGTCTTTCTGGAGCAGCTTGACACAATCAACGTTTCCATGGATCGCTGCATACATGAGAGCGGTCATTCCTTTTGTATCTCCAAGTCTTCGTTCATATAGCATAAGTATGATTAAGCTTTCAACTGAGTCGCATTCTGCTGCGTGCATAAGTGCTGTGCGACCATCCTCGTCCCTAAGTCCGTGCTGGACTTCTACATAACTCCACACGGTGATCACATCATCCTCTTCTGCAGCCTGGATTAGTTCCGTGAACCGATCGATCTTGTTCTCGGTTTTATTTGTGTGCTCAAATGGGATGGACAGTGGGACACCTTCGTATTCCCTAAGGACCTTAGCTGCCTGGTAGTGCTCTTCTTTCAGCGCCAAAGAAAGTGCCGTCTCTCCATCGTGGCGTTTTATCATGGCCTCCTTCTCCATGAGTGCAGGAATCAGCTTACTGCGATTCATCAGTGCCGCAAGCATGAGCGCGGTATTACCATCGTTGTTAGTCTGACCAGCCATGTAGATGTATTTGTTTAACTCACTGATGTCGTTATTGTAGATTGCAAGCATAAGTGGAGTGTTACCCCGCTCATCTTTAGCGCATTCCTTAGAGCTGAGACCTGTTTCTTCCGAAGATGTGGCCTCTTCGGCACCGAAGTTGTCAGTGAGGCTTTTCAACAACTCTGAGCGAAGAGCAACCTTATTAATGTAGTGTGTTTTCTCTGATGCATCTGAGACATCGTTGCCAACGTGTACCGTAAGAATTGGGTTTTTGTCTGCAGAATGGGTCAACTCTTCATCTAACAAAGCCATACTGATAATTTGCATGCGTCTAAGCTCCTTACGTAAGTGCTCTATTTCGATTTGGAGGTCGTCGTGTTTTGTTACGGATTCATAAGTTTCCAAAAGTCGATTACCCAATTCCTCGATTGTTAAGGCTGGCCCACGACTGTGATCTGTCTTAAATGGCTGAGGCTCATGGGACTGTTGGCTTTGTTCTTCATCGGCTACATTTAATTTCGTTAATGTGATACCCGGGGGATCAGTAAGAGCATCCAAATCTACACTTCCTTGTTCAGGGACACCCTCTGTTGTGCTGTACTTGCCAGAGTCCATTCGTTTTTTGGTGTTTCTTACGCAATCCTTGTGCCTATTAGGGGTGGAGGCAGATCCTGTTGAACCACTACTAGACTGAAGCGCCTGGGACAGTTGCGGTCCTCCATGCACTTGCTCCTTCTTTTCTCTCCTACTACTTTGCTTTTCTAGCTCAACTATTCTAATGTTGAGGGAAGTGTTATTGGTTGCAAGCCTATGAATCTGAGCTTTAGCGTCTAGGAGCTGTGCTTGTAGGGAGTTATTTGCCGTTTGTAGTGTGCACACCTGTCGTTTTAAATCAGCGGACTCCATACGCAGCCGCTGAATATCCGGGTTGGACGACGGCTTCTTCGCTATGCTCTCAGCCATCTTGAGCTTCTCACGAGAGCTGAGGGTTTTTTTAGTGTGACCTGACAGTACCGCAACAGTACTTCTGTTGGTATAAGTACTCTCATCTTGTTCGTGGACATCACTTATTTTCGAAATGACGGTTGCTTTGTTCGGAGCAGGCTTCGATACCGGCTCTTCAGAGTTTTTCTGGTCACATTGAATGGCAATATCGTTTAGTTGGCTTCTTCTAGTCTTATGTGCTCGGGTGCATTCCTTCATATGTTTTTTGTACTCTACCCTAAGTTGTTGATATGAAGTTATCAAACTCATCAGCCTCTCGTAGTCAAGCTTAGATGTTTTCTTGTTAGCTTCTGAGAGTGTGCTTAATTTGGACCTTAGTTCTTCTATGGTTTCGTTCTGACAATGTATTGTCTCTTGCATAGTTAGAATGTCATATTGCGAAGACCGTTCATTCTCTGCGTCACCATTCCGGCCCTGTTGCTGATGAGCTGTGGGGGGTGTAGAGTGTATACCTTGCTGCGGAAGCTCTGAGCCGATGGGCACAGAACCGTTATTGCGCGGATTTGACTTTAGGTGGCGAAAATTTCCAGATTCGCTGCGTCTCGTTGGAGATTGGTCTGGTACGTTTGCTAGGGGTTTAGTAAGAGCAGAATGACTACGTTCAGGGGCAGCCTTATACTGATTAGAAGTTCCATGATTCTTGGCTGTATGCTGAGTTCGGCTCAAAGACCTCAGCATGGGGGCGATCTGTTCCTGTGAGGAAGTAGAGCTCTGTGGTTCTTCTTGCGCAGATACCCCTATCTGTGGAGACAACAAGTACTCACCAGAGCTCAAGTACTGGTTCAGGATATCCCTCGTGTATAAAGTCCCAAGACTGATAGCCAACTCCATTGCATGCTCAAGATCACGCTTAGTGAATATCTTATGATTTAATAGATACATGACACAGCTGAATTTCCGCTGGATTACTGCATGATCTAACGCAGTCCGCCCCTGATAGTCCTTTTCAAAAGAAAGATATGGAAACAAGTATGGGAAGCAGGATATACTGGACGATTGAACGGCGACCATAAGAGGCGTTAGACCGTCAATTGTCCTTATCCTGTATTCTCGCTCCACAAGAATTCTGCAGACATAAACGTGGTCGTGGCGAACTGATGTGATCAGTGCGCTATCGCCTTTACTGTTTGTGAGGCCAGCTTCGGAGTCAATAAGGATTTGGACCATCTGCGAATCATTTCGACGGGCTGCTATTATCAGCCCCGTATCGTCATCTTCTGCACGAGATCTAGCATAAACCGACAAATTTGCAAGTACATATTCATAATTTCCTGTACATATAGCCTCAAACCATGCTTGCGTGGCGGGACACGCCATCTCAAAATGGTCACTTTAGTTAAAAGTAATTATGCCCTTGTGGTTCATTATGCGAAAGTTAGCGGAGGCTGCGATAAGGCCGCAGTATTATTTATAAAAATGAAGGTATTTGCCTGCGTGAGATTCGTACCGCATCAGGGAAATGACGGCTGTCCAAAATTTAAATTCTAGTAATATGACATCTGTAGGAAAGAGTGAACTCTTGACATGGCTAGCGAATAGCGCTGGCTACGCATCTATTTCAGACTGGAGCGTGATGACAGACGGTGTTGCGGTCATGCGATGCATTAGGAAGTTCTGGCCAATCACCTGCAGAGGTATCATCACCGGTGGTTTTAACTGGACAATAACTGAGGAAGAAGAGAAGAGGCGAAACTGGAGAGTGATAGAACAGTGTCTTAAAGCTGTGACAGTTCCCATTGAAATCTTTGAGTTTGGAAAGATTGCACAAGGAAAGAAAAAGGCATGCTACCACTTCCTCGTCATGATGTACTTTATTGGGGCAATCCACTCTGGGACTGCAAAGAACATTGCATTTGCATATCCTATTGAGGCACCGTTGAAGGAATTTTTGCAAAGTGAAAGGGTTGTAAAGGTTGCGCAGATGGATGCTCAGAAGCGGCACCACCAGCGCAAGCCTAAATGTTATAGCACTACTCCAAGTAATTTGACCATGATTGATGCAGACGAGTGTGATGATATATTTGAACCCCTGAACTTTTCGACAAAAGACTTGGTCAACATCTTTGCGGATACAGATTTTTGCACCAGCCCGAATACCAAGACGCCCAATCGTCATCACCCGTCTGGTCTCGTGCATTTGCAACTTGCAGGAGAGAAGGTGAAGAGTGTTCTATCACAGAACATAGCAGCTACTGCAAAAACCGTACGTGAGGGAGAAGAGTATTCTGCCATGTCTCCCTGCAAGTCTGTCAGTTCGTCCGTTTCTAAGCCCCCAATATCACCTGAAGAGCACCCTGATACTGTTAAATCCTTCAAAACGCGTGAGAGCTCTGTTACATCTTTGCATGGTAGGGAAAGTGTTACAATATCAGAAGGAAGCACATGCAAGCACCGCTCTTCGCAAGACGAATCTTTTCGTTCATGCCCGCAGTTTATTACACCTTCTCATTCCATTTCAGAAGACCGCGAAGATATTGCTAAAGAGGAGTTTCAAGCAGTTCATCCCAGCCCTAAAAAACTATCGCCACCAAACTCTTTTGCTGCCATAAAGGCCGCAGCTACCGCTGCAGTACTTAACGCGAGCAGGGGTCCAATGGAATCATCAACCAGCAGCGTGATACATCAACTTCCAGAACAGGTCGGCATTCCCTCTATTCAGAATCATGCCATTAGACGATTCATCGCAACATCCAAGCCGTCCCTCAGCGGATCTCCTCGTCCAGCAAGCGAAAAGACTCCACTATCTCGAAATGATGGCTCGCTTCGCCAAGTATCTGCAAGATCCAGGCCATCAGCCTTTCGGACATCCACAGTTACCCATTCGGGCTGCTCTGCTGGGATTTCTCCTTCTTGTAGCCCTTCAGTATCTCGCTATATGCGTCTCAATAGCCCATCTACCGGTGTTTCCCGTTTTCACGATAATGGAGCCCATTATCAGGAATCCGGTTTGAAGATTAACTATCTTTATGACTCTAAAAAAGAAGCTACCAGCTCTATTTCGTCAATATGTTCTTCCATGAACAACTCATCTGCAGCTACACTTTCATTATTACAAACAGACGAGAAAGCTCAGGCCTATGTAGAAAAGGTCGGTACGATGTTGCAGCAGTTGAATTCAAAAGATGCTAACACAATTGAGGTAAAAACGGCCACGTCTTCAAAGCCACCTCATATGGCAGGTTTGGCTCTTCTCTCATTTAGTAATTCAGATGCCTCAGAGGGGGCATCCGATTTGCAAATGGGGCTCGATACCGGTGCGGCAAATTCATCTAAAGAAGCTAGCACAACAGTAGCCCCCCAAAGAACGTCAAGCGCTAACAGCAATCTACGCTCTAGTATGCTCTCCCACACACCCTCAAAATCTAGCACCGCTGATTGCTTTTCCTGCCCTTCAAGCGAAGAAATTAGCAATGAGGTCAATTCTACTGTGAGTTCTATGAAGCCACTTGGCGAACAAAAGTCGCTAGCTGACTACGAAAGGGGATCAAGCGTACCTAAAAATCTTCCTCGCTGGCCAAGCAAGAAGGTGACCAAAGGAATCTCTCCGATTGCACCAACAGATCCTTCTACCAGCACAACCTCTTTTATCAACCAAACTCATGGACTTGATGTTACAAACTCCCTTCTAAACGATACTAAGCTGACGCTAACAAGCAGTAACACAGTCAACGTCTCTAATATTGTTTCAATGTATAGTTCAGACTGCCCCACCAGTATCCTAAGTTCCGGAATTCAAGGCTCTGGCATTAGTCTTGTTAGTTCCAGCAATGGAAGCATGGCACCGACGAATACAAGCATGGCAGATGTAGAAAAGGCTACCCAAAGTGTGAAATATCTTGGGCCATCTTCTGAAAAGCCTGCGGAAACAGACCTTGTTTACGACCTTTCATCTAAGCCTAGCATGGTTAATCTTTTGCATTCTCAATTTGGTGCGTTTCCAGTTGCAGTTGATAGTAGTACCAGCATTCCAATGGTTATAAGCTCTTTCAGTAGTACTTATTCTCAGCCACCTCCTCCGGCACCAAATCCTAGATCGTTGGCCATTAATTTACAAAGAGTACACCAAGAAGTATCCTTACCAAGTGCACTACCCCCTGCCGAACAGCGTGAGCTTTCATCTCTTAAAACAAGTGGGGATCTGATTAATTGTGGCTCGCCCGTGATAGAGCATACTCAAAATCTCCAGTCATCTACAAGCTTTCCAGATAATATTTCACTGAGTCTTAACGTTGGTGATGCATCTAGATATTCAGGGGCCTATCTAACAGGCTCCACAAAGCAATGTCTGCCCTCGTCTGCTTCTGATACGTTTCTGTTTGCCAGCTCCACAAGCGGCCTTGGACTTACTGGCGGAACACATAGCCTTTTCACTGATTTACAAGAGGCTCGTGAGGGCACAGCAAACATACTCAAGATAACTAATAATATGGATGAACAGCACCCTTCTAGTCAGAGCACTCCGTATAGTATTAACACAAGCCTATACACAAGCGAAAGTAACCATAATATTCCCAGCACAGAGTCCTTAGATAAGCATAAGGTTACCAGCGGACGACCGCAACCATCCATACCTATTCTGCTTACTTCTGGGAGCATTGCCGATAGACCCTCTTTCATACCTCGCTCTCAGGCCCCTCCGTCAGCGTCTGTGGGCCAGAGCCAATCGTCGTTGGATCCAGAACAAGTTGCTGACATGGCTCTTATCAAGTCTGTTTGCAACAAATTCAATGACATGGAAGAGCTATCTCGCCAAAAGGACGTACAAATTGATAGCTATGGAGACCTTCTTGTTAATCTTGAGGAGATGTTCAGAATTTCAAAGGAAGAAGCTGCGAGGATTCAAGAAATTTACGACAAAAAGATTAGGTTTTTGGACAAGTTTTCCACCAAAAAGGCATTCATCATTGCACACGCTTTGCACACAGAGTTTCTCAAGAAGAAGTTCTCTCTCAACGGAGTAGAAGAGAAAGAAGAACTAAAGGACTTCCAGAACATGCTTTTAAGCTATCAGAGTGTAGTTGCAAAATATACAGATGAACTGAAGACGTTTGAGGCCTCGTTACGAGACGATCTGTTTTCGTTGTCAAAATTTGAAGAGAAGTATAATGATTTGACAAATAACAAGTACATTGCAGCGCTTAAAGCGATGAATACAGAGCTTGCCCTAAAGCTTGGACAAGCAACGGAAGAGCTAGCCCAACTAACGAACCTATCCATGAACAATGCATTGTCTAATACTAGCCCTGTTGCTGACCTGCATCGCTCAGGCCCCGAGGTTGATTCTCCAGATCTCTGCTTTGCAGCTAGTCGCATACCAGCTGCTGTCACAGAGACTGCCTTTAGTCATCTTCGCAACCCTACAAATCTTTCTCCATCTTCATCACAGACATCCCAGGTTCTTCAACCAGGTAGCCTAACAATAGACACTTTTATCAAGACTCTTGTCATGAATAGTCAGCTCCTCACAAAACTGGAGGACACAATAAGCGAACTGGATAGATACAAAGCACATTCCGGGATAATTGATCCTATCAATATGGAGTTGGCTACCTTGGCACTGGCGTCAACTGCTATGACCAGTACTAATCCAGAACATGCTCTCAAAAACTATGAAAGTAGTATCTTGCATGTCTTGCAACTGCTGAAAAGTAGCGCCAATCATTATCTAGACCAAGATGCAGCGGCCATCATCATCAAAAACCTTGGGTTGGAAAATGTGGTTCTTCCATCAGTCGTCAAGTCTATTATAGATCAGCATCGTGACATCTTGCTTGAGTTGACTAGAGATGGTCCCGTTAATGCCACCTGTCCTGCGGCATCTCAGATAGCGAACATAGCTGCAACGCTTTTTGACGAGGACTCCATAGCTGCCATCTTACGGGAAAATAACATCGACAATACTGAGCGTAATCGATTTTTATACTTACGTTCTGTTGCGGCACAGCTGCTCTGTTCCGAAAACATTCTTTCCCATAGGCTTAATGCTTCACAGTTATATCTTCAAAACGTAGCCCAGTTCATGCAAAAATATGCCCCAACCCTTGCCGGTGGGGTACTGGCAGATGCAGATAGCAGGGAGCGTATAGTAAGCATGGTTAGCGCAGATATTAATAAGCTCCGTACCAATTATGGATCTAAGCTTCTCAACACTCAATCAGCCGTGGCCCAACTGGTGAGGGAAAATGACTCGCTCAAAGCAGAGTTGCTTCACTATAAACAAATAGTTGGTAGTGCGCTGACCGACGCGACCCCTATAGCTTCCACTGTCCAACAGCTGAAGCAGCGTGATGCTCTCTTCTTTGAGCTTCTTGGTCTTTATGAAAAACTGCTTCGCGGGAACAACGGAGAAGAGGAACAGCTGAAATCTTATCTGAACGATATCACGCTCTTTAAGGCAGAACTTCAAAAGAGCACTATCAACTACGAACAGCTTGCACGGGACCGTACAAATAGCGTAATCACAGACACTATACACAACTATTTACACGTTGTACAGTCGGAACTAGACGATAGAACAGAGCAGCTAGCGGTTATCAAAAATAACCTTATAACCGAGCGATCTAACACGGATCTGATTTGCGAACACTCCAGAGTCTTAGAGGACCGCATTGCAAGGTTGGAGGCAGAAAATTACAACTTACGACTCTTATCGAAGGAAAGCTCTGTGCATGCAGACCTTTCGTCTCTTATGGCTAGTACGCCTCTGCTCAGCTACTAGTGAACACTTCTCCGCGATCTGCGCTGTGATCTTTGCGACAGAGCTCTTTGTTCATAGCCGAGGTATGGGGCGAGAAGCTGCTTTATCGTTAATCTATCATCTCTCCAGTGAGGGACCTCATCAAGAGCCTTTTGTGCATGCTGTGACTCCTTCTCAGCAAGGATTTCTATGCAGGCTAAAGATGCTTCGGGGGACGACGCTGCCCAAACCAGTGCTGACCACCCAGCGTATTGTTGCTTTATATCTGGGGCTGCTTGCACCATTCCGGCCTCGTGCGGAATTAACTGTGCAACTGTCTCAACACAACCATTGTACGCAGCTATCATAAGCGCTGTGTGACCGCTACCCCATCTTGAAGAGGCATTAGTAATCAGTTTTGATTCATGAGGCAGTAAGAGCTCCACTATATCCACGTAATTACGTTCTGCCGCATACATTAGTGCAGTGTACCCTTGACAGTCTTGCAGCCCTGCTTCATACTGGGCAAGAATCCGTACTGCAGTAGAATTTCCAGAGCATGCGGCGAGCATTAGTGTAGATCGTTTGTTAGTTGGTTCTACATACCCTGCAGCCAGCGGAGAAAGCAAAATTATCGCGTCAGTCCTGCACTTTTGAACTGCGAGCATTAGTGGCGAAGCCACCTCAATTTTTCCAAATTCCTCGGTTACCAAAGTGCCGATAGATAGGTTTCCTTCCTTAGAAATAAGATATTTGTATGAAAAGGAGCACTTGTTCTTCAGTGCTACAAAAAGACATGTTGTTCCATCAACGCACCTCCAGCCAGACTCTCTTAACGTGTCTGTGTATCTTTTTTGATCAACTTCTATCAAGACAGACGCAGAATCATAGTTATTTGTTTCCAGCGCGTGTCGTAGTGCTGTTTTCCCTTGATTGTCCTGCATCCCGTACTCTATAGTGCTGAGAAGCTTCACGGCGGCCACGTTGCCATGCTGCGCTGCAAGCATAAGTGCTGTTTCACCTGTATCAGTCCTTCTGCCAGCATAAGGGAGGAGGGTGTCCAAAACTGCGTTCATATTGTTATCGATAATTGCTTGCATAAGGGGGGTAAGAGAACCATTTTCAGTGCATGGTGGCAAGGAGCATCCAGGAAACTCAGCTACTGCTGAAATAAGAGAAGCAAATCTACTCTGAACAACCTGAAGGGTATCCTTTTGTGCTGCCATCAACGAATAGATATTTCTGACTTCCGTGGCGAGCTTCTTCCCATCATCTGTTTCTAGATAGTTAGACGCTACCTCTTTAGAGATTATCGATGCTGACGACAGTGGTGTGCTAGCTACATTGTCAGCTAGTGTCTCAACGACATCTGCAATTGACTTCTGTGCGCCCTTCTTGCTGTGCATAAACTGTGGAATAGACTCTTGAACCTGCTCACTCTGCTCCATGACTGTGTGGGTCTGTAGAAGAATTGAGACCGTGCTCTTCTCTTCCAATAAAGCGTCTCGGTTGCTAGCTACCATAGAGTAAATCGGCCGAAGCGCTGCGAACATCTTTATTAATGATTCTGTTAGAAATGTATTTTCTTCGGTAATTGATTGGATGGTTTGTAAAGCAGCTCGGAGAGTAAGTGTGCTCCCAGAGGAAATAAACTTGAGTGCTAATTGCAGCATCTGCTGAATGGCAACAGAAGATCGAGAGCCATCAACACAGAGGTCCAGGGCATCTAAAAGGTCCTTCTGAGCGTAAGCCTGGGTCTCCAGCAACGTTTCTATCATCGAGTAATGCCGAGCACGCACAGCCTGGTTGAGAGCAGTCTCATGTTCGCCTGTCGACGAGTCACACAGAAATGTGGACAAAATCCTGAGAGATCGGAAGGCACCGCATGCAGCGGCCAGGGCCAGAGGAGACCCGTACCCGGGTACGGGGGTATTCTCCTCTAGGGGCGCCAGCAAACAGACCAGTTCTGGAGCGTCTAGCTCAATAGCTATACCCAAGGCAGGATACCCTCTAGAATCTAGGAGAGAGTGCTCAAATGGAAGGAGAAGGGAGGCTATCTGCACATCGCGAGCCCTGACAGCGGTGATAAGGGCAGTATCTCCAAGGTTGTTCCGAGCACCGAGATGTTTATGTACAGAGCGAAGAATGGAATCTGCATCCTGTGCACGGACTGCTGCAAACCACTCTGCCTTAGTCTTCAGTATTGACATACAACGTGCGGAACAAGCAGCTATGAGCCTTTAGGATTCAAAGCCACCCAGTTATGAATTATTATTCCAAATAATAAATGGGCGAATGGTCACCGGGATTTAAGGGGTGCCGCTAAAAGGCAAAATTTAGAATTTCATGAGCTTCAAATGTGACAACCAGGTCGACTTCATGGTCTTGCAGCGTGAGAGAGAAGCGCGCGAAGAAAAATCCCGTGCAGAGTGGGAGGCTAAATTTGGTCGTCCATATACGGCCTCCTGTGTTGCGTCCTACAACTTAACCGACTACTGCAGAGAGCAGTTCGGGCTTCCAAAGAGGCAGCGATCTGGCGCTGAGGATGGACTCACAGTAATTCCAGAGCCCTATAGACGGGCTGTCCGGCCAAAAACGGAGGGCGATGTTATCGGATTATATAGGGATGATTATGATCAAAAGCTGTTCAATCCGCACAAGTATGGAATTCGCCGCACGGTATTCGACTGATCTTTAGGTCAAAACACTCTCTGTGTCAGCTTCAATTTACATAAAATGCCAGCGGACCCCATTGACGCCGTTTCTGAAATCGAGAATACGCGCAGGCGAGAAAAGCACATAGAGGACTTAGCCAGGAAGTGGGAACAGCGCTTTGGTTCTGAGTACGTTCAGTCATGCGCTGACAGCTACAGACTTAGAGACGAATGTAGGGTACACTTTGGCCTCCCAGAGCGCTCGGTTGTTCAAGAAAATTGGTCTATCGATAGAATTCCGGAGCCATATCGCAGAACTGACCGTCTAGAACTAACCTCAGATACGATTGGGTACTTCCAGGACGACTTTGAAGGCCGGATCTTTCCTCGTAGAGAGCATGCGCCCAAACGCGTTCCATTCACTTGACCTCACTCTGTCGTCACTGCAGAATGCGACCAGAATTGCAGATCTCGTCACCGATGATCCCAACAAGGTCGCTGTTGTGAAGCTCTTCCAAGCTGATGTGAATGCGATACTTCCACTGCCACTCGCTTGCTCCGGGCATGTTTATTATCTCGTCCTTTGTGTCTCCGTTATATCTGTACTTGTCGCACGCCCCAAATATGTCCTGCAGCATCAGGCAGCATATGATGGACCTGGAGTGCAGATTCTGACGGAGGATAGCGCGACAGTCGAACTCAGAAAGTGAACGGGAAACTTGCCAATCGCTGTCTCCCGCACGGCCCAAGTTTTCTCTCCAGAATGCGCATGCAGCGGAACGATTATGCTCCCACCAAGCACGAAGTGGGTACGTGTCATGTGTCGATGGAGCAGCCACCGTAAGGTACGAGTAAACACTCTCGTCATCACAACGATAAAAGTGTCCAGGATAACCTTCGTGGGTCATTCGTTGAACTCTGAGCCCGATGATTCCTAGGTCGGCCATGACCCGACGGATGCAGGGGTGCAAGTACCCAAGATCCTCTCCGCAAATCATCATGTTCGTGGACTCCTTTATGAGCCGCAGGTGCTTTGTGCCGCTTCTGGTCCACTCGTCGTTGTGCCAGGTAGTGAAGTACTCATAGCTCCAATGTCTTATCTTATCGCGGAGCCCGATATGCTCAAGGCTAGTAAGAGACACTGCCTCGCTGGACACATGTCTATTCGTGAATACAGGGTGGCAGAAAGCGTCTGGGTTGGAGACATCGTTTAAAAGACAGACATTCCCTAGTAGCTTTCTATACGTTTCCATCAATGCAGAGTGCAATTCTAGTGCAATATCTTCATTAAGCAAGAGGCTATCTAGCAGCGCGCAGGCCTTTTGCTCTTGTAGCTCTATCACGTAAGAATCCGTTCGTTTGTCATAACTAAGTACTCCAAACTCAACGAGTGTTGAGCACGCCAAGTCGCCGGCTGCGTGACCAGCAAGTTTGTGCGCCAGATCACGCTTGAGGAGAGGCTGCGTAAGACGTGTACGTATGTCGCTCTTGCTGCGACACCACGAAATACTTGAGTTGGGGTCATAGCACTCTTCAAATATCCAATCCCAGTGCAGAGGAGCTGCAGGAACAAACTGTCCCAGAGATCCATTATTCTTCCCTGCAGTAAGCGGCAATTCCCACGTGCGAAACAGCCCGAGAATATGATCCAGGCGCACGCAATCGAAGAACAGCTCTGCGTGCTTGAGGCGTCTCTGCATCCATTGATACCCGTCAATCTCCTCCATCTTGCGCCAGTTGTATGCCGGATAGCCCCAGTTCTGACCCATTGGCGTAAATGCGTCGGGTGGCGCACCAACAACACGGCTCTTCTCAAAGTATTCTGGGTACACCCAGGAATCTACGCCGACCGGGGACGTGCCAAAGCTCAAGTCGCCCTTGAGACATATGCCTCTGGACCGGCAGTACATAGCAGAGTCCTGTAACTGTGTGTGAGCATGCATCTGAAGAAAGGCATAAAAGAATATGTGCTTCGTAGTGCTCACTACTTCCTTGCCTATCTCCTTAGTTACTGTAGATGAAGGGGAGGCCCCAGAGGAGATCTTATCATACAGGGTCTTAATGTACAGGCAGCTATCGGTTGGTGTAAGTGCAGAGATGTTTGCTGGCTTTATTGCATCATAGAAACGCTTCAAAAGAGGATTTCTTGCAGACATGTCAGTGGATGGGTCCAGGAAACTCAACCCCTCAAAAACGTCGATAAAGTAGCGGTACAGCATGTAACTATATATCCAGTACTCGATTAGTGGGCTGCTCTGAATCCACGTGACAATATCCTTCACTAGTGTATGCAGGCCTGCGGTGTCACAGATGTAAGAGTATATTAAATACAAAAAGTTCAGCTTTTCTCTGCACACCTTGCCATAGTTGTACCTACAGTGGAGATAAGATATGTCCCTCGTCATATGGTGGCGGAAGTCATTAAGCTTCCGTGTTACTACACTATCCATTCCGGAGATCTTTTCGCACCTTATATAGATGGGATGAAGAGCAAAGACAGAAATGCCCGCATATGGTGAAGAATCCCCCGCCGAGAAATGGCTCTTAATCGTGTTGGTACCTGAGGGGGATAAGATTGGGCCGGTTATAGTGTCCTGAAGGGGAAGAAGCTGTATTATGTTGAACCCGCAGCACTTGGCGAAGTTGACAAGCATGCGCAGATCACCGAAGTCCCCAACACCAGTGGAGAGTGCAGAGCGGAGGCTGAAAAGAGGCACGCAGAGAGATGTGAACCGCGGTACTGCACTGTATGGATACCGGAAAAATCCGCAAATGAAGTACGACCAATACCTTATCGTCACAGTCTTGAGGTGGCTATTGCCCTTTTTAGCAGTAGAAGGGGCAGAACTAAGCAGCTTGACCTCACTACTATTGTTATTGTCTTCAACTTCTTGATCGTCCTTTTGACCCGGAGAAGATGCTGTCGTGGTTGTAGATGTGGTCGCAGATGCGGCTGCGGCCGCATAAAGATCACCGACGGTCTTGTATGGAAGTGTCCTATGCACAGACTCGTCGCCCAGGGTGTATGTAGCTGTCATCGAGAAAGTCTCAGATAGATGTATTGATCGGTTTTCTCCACTTTCGAAAGAGATGTTTCCATCTGCATGGACGATGGCAAACTTGAAAAGGAAGGTTTTTAGCTCGTCTACTGTAAAGTAGAAGACAGTTGGGGCTTCAAATCTACGCTCTCCCACATGGTTGAATATTATGGAGCTCCTGGAGCGGGGGTTCCAGTTACCGAAACGGGGCAGATTACCAGTCAATAGTACGCGCTCGCCCTTGAAGACGTATGGCACCATGCATGCAAACAACACGGGGACTAGGTTGGACTGAACGAGATTAGACCTACTCAGCTTTGCTATTGCCTTCTTATTCTCGACCTCCTTAACGACTTTACTTACCTTTAGAATCGCTAGCTTCTCAGGTGCCCCGTGGTGTATGGTGGCGTCCTTCAGTATCGATGTGGTTGCAGAGTCTGTCATGTCCAGGGAGTCATCAATCTTCCAAAAACATCTGTTGAAAAGCTTATTTAGTAGGTGTCCGCTATCTAGAACGCTTTTGTCCACCTTGAGGTCGTGACCAATCATGACCTTCATCGCAGAGGTATTCCAAGGGCTGCTGGAACTGAAGCTCCAGTCATCCACCAGGGTAAAGCTCACGTCAAGGACATTTCCGCTGTTGTTGACAAGTGACTCATACTGAGGATGCAACACTAAGGCTGAGATGCATTGATCATAGATTGATTGAGTGGGGGGAATGTTCGGTAGAATACGCTTCAGCACATCGGGGGACTGAGACCCATCTTCATTGATGACGGCATACCTGTACGCTCGCATATCCTCTGTGTCTGCACGATCTTCTGAAAGCCTCTCCAAGGTGTCTGTAATATCCAGGTCTAGCTCCCACAGAGGCCCGTTTCTACGCATAAAAACCATTGGTTCCTTTGCAAAGGAAGACAGGAGAGCTAGGCGCTGTGTGGGGTGCGCCACGTAGTTGTCTACCACGAAGCGGATATTGACCCTGAGTGCGTGATCCATTGTTTTTCTTCCAGCTTTGTAGAGTAGCTGTAGTGGAAAAATAAATGACATTTTACATTAAAAAGCATTTAAGCTGCCGAATTGCAAATTCCCGTCCTCCTTGGATCCTTGGATTTAGCAGTTCTCTGTCCACCAGCTTAGTAGAGCTACCATGAAAGAAGGTACAAGAGAAGGATTTGCAGACGAAGTCTTCAAGGAGTTTTTAGCGCAAAACTCGAGCACAATTCAGGACTCTATCCTGATGATACAAAAGATCTGCCTCATTCAGGCATTCACTCGTGGCTATCTTGTGCATAGACGGTACTGTATTGTGAATGAGAGCGCCATCGTCATCCAGAAGAACTATCTGCGAAAGCGAGCAGTAACTGAAACGAACAAACTATTTGATGCTGCGATGTATCTGCGCCGGAAGGACTTCTTTGATAACCATGCAACGGTCATCCAAGCCGCTTTTCGCGGGTTCTATGCGCGAAAGTATATCCTTGACGCTAGTCAGCGGAGAAAGTACATAGCGGCTGTCGCAACCGTTTCGGCGAATCTTGCCGAGGAGGCCCGAGAATTCAGTAAGAAATGTGCTGCAGAGAAGGTGGCTGAGGAAAATCAGAGGAAAGCGGCATATATAAAGAGCCTTGCCCATCAACATCACCTACGATCCACAAAGGCTATACCGGGAGTTTACAAGCCTCAATTTCCTATGTCACCTCAAACGATAGATGGACGGGCCATAGATGACATCATAAAGGCTGAGGGACTTGCAGTGGCAAAGAAAGCTACGTACTCTGTTACCCGCTCGCGCACATCAAAGTTTCCTTTGCTAAGTAGTGCACCATCGGCCCCAAAGAACTCTAGCGCCCTTGCCAGCGGCGCCACAAATTTACTCTCTCCTGTTCCAGCCCCTCTCTCAGGTCTATCTAATAGAACCTAGAAATGGTTGTGATGTAGTTCATGGACTTTTAAACAATGAAGCAGAAGCATAACAATAAGGCATTATCCCTATAACTATTGTGGATTTGGTTGGACAGACTCTCCAACCGCTTCCTTTTCGCCTTCATTTTTTCATCCAATTGATGCAATCGCGTATTCTTTCCCATTTGATTCTCATGTTTTTCCTTATGGGCATCCATCTTGGCGCGCACAGCTTGGTATTGCTTATGTAGCGCATTTATGTCGGACTTCTGAGTGACCATCTCTGCCTCTGCGGCGCATACTCCCTCTGCGATCAACTTACATTTTAATAACTGCAAAACCTGACTTGCGCTGACCATGTTGTGAGTTAATAGGGAATGTAAAATCTTAAGCGCTGCATCTGACACCTCTATTTCCCTTAGCTCTGAAAGGATCTCTGGCATCTGGTGTGACTGGTCTGTGGCAACTGTCACATTCAGCGCATTGAACATTAAATGTACTAGAGAGTATTGGTTACTCAGGCCAGCTTGAGACTTTGCTTTGGAACCATCACACACTCGCAACCGCAACGCTTGCAGTTTTGAGGTCTCTCTTTCGTGGTCAGGTTCGGTTATAAACCGCAGCTGTACTGCCATAGCTATTGTGTCTAGTAATGGGTATACTTTGCCGGCCATCAGGGGGTCTTTTAACCTTTCACAGATAGGTAGGAAGACCTCTAACAGGGTAGTAGTAACTTCCATACCTACAGCAGAAGCAGGGACAGCTAGTCGGATGAGGTACTCTTCTAGAGGATACTCGTGGAGTACTTCTGCAAGCAACGATGCGTTCGAGTCCAGCATCTCCTTAAGGTAACGCAAAGCACCTAATGCAACTTGCTTGCGATCCCAGTTAGCAAACTGAAAGATTAAAGCGTTAACCTTTGCGATATTTTCAGTGTCAAGTTCATTATTAAGGAGTGTAAAGATCTGTAAGATGAGACAGTATGCTATGTCCAAGCCCGTAAACACAGATGTACACTGATATTTAAGAGGAGTAGAAGAAATGAAAGGAAACGCGACCGAGGGTTGGAGGTCGTAGAACACAGCTAGGTCCTTCTGTGTGTACACGGTGTACACACCGTTAGATGCCATAGCCAAGTAGGTACATGCCTTGAGCAGTGGGTCTGATCGACACCTCAAGAAAAGTTCATCCGTCAAGCCAAAGCAAGAAGCAGCAACCGCGCTAATTGGAAGCCCCATCGCATCGGCTACCATGTGCATATCTACATAATGTGATTGTTGAAAGAGACAAAGTTCAATAGTCTGGAGGAGGTGGACCAGACTCATCTGGTAACTTGTTGCCGCGGATGCTAGGTGAGTTATGAACACTGTTAGGCTAGGCCCGCCCTCTACATCTGGCGCTGCGATATAGGCACTCGCAAAAGCTGCGGAAAGCTCGACAAATATTCGCTCCTGACCGCCTCTGTTCTGATACCCGAAATCTCTAGTGAATCCACTGTGATAGGTGGCATGAAGCTGTAGTATGCGCAAAAGGCTCTTTAACCATGCCCCATGCAGCTCATCTCCATCTTTGTAAGCCTGTGCAGATATGCTTTTCACAAATCCGATGTTTTCAAATAGCCAATCCACAAACCTCGCCCAGAAGCTAACTTCATGCCTCTCAGTGGTGTTGTATCTGTCAAACGTGATTGCAGTATAAGTCTTCATCTCATGAGGGCAGACCACAGCCTCTAATGCACGCAAGAGTAAGATTGGATTTGATGAAAATAACAATCTGAAGTAGAGCACCAGATCCTCTTCACTAAGGGTATCGTTTCTGCATAAAGATGACAGCAAGAGTCGGGACACAAAACATACTTCTAGAATGTTCTCTACTGAAGAATTCAGAGCTAATGCCTGCTTCAAAAGCGAACAAGCTCTGAAATACGAAAGCCTAGAAGGATGCTTAACATCTAGATAGCCGCGCTTAACATACAGTGTCACCGAGAGCTCCGTTGCATACAATATCGTTGATTGTGGCTCTATGTTACAGGAGTAAATAGGCTCATAAATCCGCTCGGATGCATGTGAGACTATTCTATAGATAACTAACTGAGGATGTGCACGTGGAATTGCAAACAATAACCAGGTAGATTCGGTCGAAACAGATGCTTCACACAAGACCCAATAAAATGAAGAAAATTCAGAAAAGCTACTGATGGGACTGGTAAGTGCTTGCTCATTATTCTCCTTCTCTTGTAAAACTCTTCTGAGATAAAAGGATTTTCTGAATCTTTCTAAAGGTATGGCGATCTTAGGTGAGGATGAAAGTATCTTGTACTCCTGTTCATGATTAACAAAGACAGAGACTGAGCGTAAAGAACATGCTTTGGACGCCAGGACAAGCTCTGGCCTAAGTATCACACTAATGAGTTCATGGTCTGTTGTCAGACCTAAGAAGTGGATAGTGATAGACTTAGATTCTGCAGTATCCATGCTCTCGGGTCCCTGCAGTGCCACTGGGAATAAAAGTAAAGATCCATCGCAACTCAGTACTGATTCTAAAAGATCAGTACTCAATTGAGAGGCGAAGTCAAGTTCAAGAAAAGTTGCGCTTGTGTGTGTCAAAATGTGTTCTTGTAGGTGATCAGACCGAAAAGGGTCGACAAGAAGCTCTTCCTTTGTGACGATATCATATGATGTACTACGCTGTCCGGCCTGTCCAGTATCTTCCAAGTCATTCAATGCTTGAAAATGCGCCTTTTTATTTCCCTTCATAACCCGTGCAATGACACTATCCGCTTGCACCAGCTTTTCTTGCTCTTCGAAGCTGGTATCCCCGGCTATTGCGGGAGCTTCCGAGGTCAAGGTTAAGGAGCTAAACGGTGAGACTAATACAACAAGGAGCTTAGTGCTGGTCACAACGGCCACGTACACATCTTGTTCGTGTTGCTGGATAATGCATGTTGCAATAAGCGGCTCGGTAGTATGGAATATGCAAGAGCTGTATGCTGGGGGTGGGATGCAGAAAGAGGCCAGATCTGTGTAGACAACCATACCATCCTGAATACGGGAGAACGAACCAGTAAACGATTGCTGCAACGCAGCATGCAAGGTTGTAGACAAGAGAAACCGTGGAGAAGCTATACAGATTACACCTCCGTCCTCGGAGATATAGCTTGGTGCAGTCAGTGGAACCCCGGGATAACAGGGAATAACTATCTCAGCTGCAAGCCTCCATACATAGGAGGCCGTCGCGTATACGGCCATGCAATAGAACCCCTGTCCTCTATGGAGCACAAGCACATGATGTCCTTGATCCAATCGCACCCCTTTAACCATAACCAGTTCTGCATGCTGACTCCCAGGACTAGGGACACGTAACGGAAATACAATATGTGGATTGCGCAGTACTAAGGGATCATAGAGACACACAGAAGATGGATAGATTGCCATGGTGTTTGCAGAAAACGTCAGGTTATCAGTAAAGTTCTTAGGAACACCATAGTACTGCTTGTACCACTCCAGGTCATCGTGCTCTCCCATGTAGGACGAAGGGGTCCAGCTGACGTCCTCAATGGACTCTAGGGCAATTTCTCGGCCTTCATATGGGATGTACTTCTGTGCGACATTGGTAGAGCATGCACATTCATGTGGTGTAGCAGACTCGGCAGTTGCTTTACAGCATGCAGTGTGTGCTTCGCTCTTGGTGGATACGCCTGGTTTGGATTGTAGCTGGGGCCGACATGTCAAAATCACAAACCGTCCATCGCTTGTAAAGCCGTGGAAATCCAACGGTTGATCCTGTTTGCGCCAGCTACACGGTACCCAGCCAACTCTATCTCTGGATAGCTCCTGCTTGAATTGAGCACGAAGTTCCGAGGAGAAGTTCAATTGCTTGGCGAATGTAACGTCAAAATGCGAAGAGGAAGCATCGGCTAATACAAGAAGGTATGAGCCAGAGTCGTTGGTGGACACATGGACAGCTAATAAGAGCCCCGTGGGGTCAAAGGATGCTTTTAGCTTGCGCAGAGAGACAGTGGTGGGTAGCTCTAAGTGATGCACGACTGTGCACAAGTGTTTGAGAGCAGGGAGGGCGCAGATGCATTCGTCCTCGTAAAACATGATGGTGAGGGAGCAGTCTGCATGAAGAACGCAGTATGCAAAGAGTCCTGCAGAAGAAGTAGTGATGCAAAAGATATCTGATGGCAGGCGAGCAGCCATAAGCTTTAGCTGAATTGAGCTGGAAAACCCGCCCTCTGTTACATGGCACTCGTAAAGAGAGTCATCCACCATGTATAACAGCATATTCGGATAGAGTAATGAAGCAGCCATAATTGGGGAGGAAAACTGGCATGTGTATGGAGAAATGGACGTTGATTTAGAATATGACAGAGAGTGTTCATACACCGCAAATATCCCTCCATCATCAGTAGGAAACACCCCAATTAAGGTGTCGCTGGACCCAGAAGCCAGAGGATAGCGGGAAAAACTGGCAGGAATAATACTGTCCATAAATGTCAGCCAAAAATGCCAGCTAAGATTTAAGTTTATTAATTGAAAGTATGATTTGCCATGTGTTTGTTGCTTATGGAGGCACAACGGCAGCATTTTAGTTTTTCACTAGCTATGGCATGACGGGCTTTATGATGGCGTCCGGCAAATTGTGTATAACGTTTTGAACTAGCAATCGTCATAGCAAGCACCACAGCTTAAAATGTGATGAATATAATGAAGGGTTGCCACACTCAGGAGGTCCCCGACTGCTATGGACCTCGTAGATGATTTTGTGCCCTTGTGTCCCTCAGATAGTAAATTTGGTAGGTCACCGAGGAGAATCTGGTGGCATCGACGAGTCTATGATCGGAACCATGGGGGCCTCACGCTGAAGACCAATTATCCCGCCATCAATAATATATGTTGGCAGCTTGGGGTACGCTCTAGCTATTCTATTGGCCGAGAGGAGTGCCCGTGCTGCGGACGTACGACAGTAAATAAAGCATGCATCAGCTTCGTGCAACTGCTTGATTTGATCAGTATTGGCTACAACCTTGGTGAATGGCACATGCACACTATTAGCAACGATCCCGCCATCGCGATTGTAATCCACATCCCGTACATCCAAAGTGACTGGACGGCTGAATGTGGAAAGAAGGGGGAGGTAGTCTGTCGGTTTGATAGTCTGTGGCAAGCTCGCAAGCATCACGTTCCCAGTCAATCTATGGCCTTACCGAGGCCCAGCGCTTTAATTATTTCACGCTCAAATGTCCAATGCCCAACTCCTTTGGTTTAATGCTGTCACATGCAATAGGATCGATGACGTTCGATATCATCTTCCCAAGTATGCAAAGACGTTTAATGAGCAGTCTGAGACTGCTCTTATGATTGCTGTGCGACTGAATAACCTAGAGATGGCTACGATCCTGGCGGATACAGAAGCGACACTGACCAACTCTGATGGTCGTACTGCTCTCATGATAGCTGCTATCTGCGGTCATGTCGAGATGGCGCGTCTTTTAGTAGAGCGGGAAGCACGAATTCAAGACAACTGTGGGATGACCGCGCTCATGTTTGCCATCCTTTGTGAGAATAAGCACGTAGTAGAGCTATTAGCTAGTTATGAATCAGGATTGTCGACACTGAAAGAGGTCATGGTAGGTCACCTTGATGATAATTATCTTGAACGAGAAGACAATGGCACGGATACACTTTCTGACAGCTCTTCTGTCCTATCTGCTCAAACACCTACATCCGTTACGTCAGACCGAGGAAGACGGAAAGTCGTTGTGCAACGAAAGAGGTTATCATGTAGCAGACACATAGCCCCATACTACTCTGTGCCCATAGGATACACGTCATTGCTATTTGCTATTCTATGCAAAGATGCCTACTCGGTGCAGCTTTTGAACTCAGAGCACCACATTTTAGTCTATGATCGACACAGGGATAGATTTATTACCCCATCCATTCTTGCCGTAGAACTAGGGCATATGGAGGTACTCAAAAGCCTTACCAGCCATGGACCAAGTCCTCTAACGGAGTCTGGACACTGTGCCCTGTACGTAGCTATTTTGCAAGGAAATATAGAGTGCATATCGCTGTTGTATGAATGCGAGAAGCACCTTCTTTCAGATGAGCGTATCTGCATGTCATCGGCGATGATTTGGTTAATAGAAAAGATAGTCGCATGTAATCCTACTTGCGAAGGCAATCCAATCTTCGTAGAATTTTTAAATAATTTGTTTAAATCAGATAACGCTCGGGAAAAAGACAGCCATGGAATGACTCTTTTGCTAATGGGTGCAGCACTAAACTTACCTTGGCTTGTCCAGGCAATTCTAGACAGTGTTCCGGAAGCACTATGTGATACTGACAGTCAAGGGTGGACTGCACTTCACTACGCAGCGGCAGCAGATAGTGTTGATACGGGGAAGTTGCTGCAGAAGAAACTCATAGGCAGCGTCGATATAAAAGGTTGTACGTCTCTTATGATTGCTGCTAAGCATGGCAGTTCTTCCATGATTAAGAGTCTTCGAAATGAAAGCACGCTGATTGACAGGCAAGGCCAAAGCGCCCTCATGCTACTTATCCAGGGAGCAGCTTCTTGTCCATGGCGGGAGCGACAAATTACAATACTAGAATCAGCACAATACATTCTTGAGGAGGAGGCAGGAATAATTAACGGTGCCTCGCGATCGGCTCTCATGCTTTCTGTCTGGCATCGGTTTTATGATCTAGCTCTCCGACTGACCGCCTATGAGAAGGGTCATCAAGATAAAAGCGGACACACAGCACTAATATTAGCTGTATACGTTGATTGTAGTAACGCTACACTACTTGAACGACTCAGCCAGATAGAGTCGTCACTAAGATTAAGCAATCAGTTTGGAGGCGGGAAAAGCCCTCTAATGCTTGCTATAGAGCGAGAAGCAAATCCTGTGCTACTGGATATCTTGTTGAAAAGCCAGCTTGCAACTGGCTTGATTGATGCAGCAGGCTGTAGTGCACTTATGTATGCCATAGAAAAGAAAAACACTGACCTAGGGCTACAGCTTGCACATGTTCCGGCCGAGCTAGGGCATGCATGCTTTGCCAAAAGACAGACTGCTTTGATGAAGGCCATTCTTTCTAAACTAGATGATGTCGCAATTGTGCTTGCTTCTCGTGCGCTTGAGCTGCACAAGCAAGACTATAAAGGAAGAACGGCTCTGATGCATGCAATCGACTCTAAAAATGAAACGCTCGCCCTCATTTTGGCAGAGTCAGAGCAGAACCATCGTGACATCAACGGCAAAACAGCTCTTATTCATGCAATAGAAAGGAAGCCATCCCTCCTTTATAGGCTTAGACTGTGGGACGAGGTGCTATTATCTGATAACGATGGGCTAACACCCCTAGATTATGTAAAGCGACATCGCTCTGAACTGGTGCAGGTCAGAAATAGGCATACTAAAGCGGTTTCCACTCACAGCCTCACCGTTGACTTAATTGTGCACGGCATGGGAACACCGCTTACAGATCCCGTGAAGACATACAAGTACTTTAAGCAATACATGTACCGGGCCTATGACCGCATGGCCCTCTTTGCACGTCGGTTACTTACACGCCGGCAGGTCGATCGACATGCTAATGTCAGCAGAGAACATCTGACTAGTGGCTTGTCAGACAACACAGGTGTCGCTATTTCCCCGGCTCTAAGTCACAACATCATGCTCCAAGAAAGCCCAGTCATAAGCCAATGGTCCACGGGAATATTTCAGATAGCGAATATACTACTAGATATATTTGAATACGATTGGAATCAGCAGGTGTTTTGGGCCGATATCCCCAGCCTGCTTGATGAGTATTTGCAGACAATCAGAGCAATCGAAGGCAGTCACACTCTTAGAGATGATGAGCTCTATGAAGATTTTTGTTGTATCTGCATGGATGCTCCTGTGAAGACAGTCTTGATGCCGTGTAGACATGCCGTCCTGTGCGAGCATTGCAGCCTCAACATAAAAAAGATGTGCCCCATCTGTCGCCATACAGTCACTGATACGATAGAAATAGACCCATAAGCGACTACTACCAGATACTCATCAAATCCAGTAAAATAAATCAAATGCTTCAGTTTTCGTCTGCAGAGGACCTGCGCACAAAGCTGACTCTCGCGACGATCGCAAGCAAGCACATTACAATAGAGACACCCGGCTTGCGTTTAGAGGAGCATGAAGTAGCGTTTGCCAAGTTGATATGCGGTATTTCAGATGGAACAAGCCTGACCGTTTCTCCTACAGGGACTAGGATGGTTTTTAAGCCTGGCATGCTTCGCGGTGGTGACGTGACGTTCTCTTGCCCGCTGGAACGCGGTGTGGGCTACTATCTGGAGTATTTCGTTTTAATTGCAATGTTCTGCAAGTTTCAACTACGATTGACCCTTACGGGCGTAACGAATGACAATTACACACTTTCTGTAGACACGATAAGGGATGTAACCATTCCTCAAATAGCATTTTTCTGCGCTGACAAAGACGACATTTATCTGGATGTTAAGTCTCGTGGGTTCATGCCTGGAGGGGGAGGAGAAGTCACTCTTGTAGCTCGGCCACAGGACAAGCTAAAATCTGTCGACTACAGTAAGCTGTCGATTTTCGAAGAGGTGCGCGGGTGCTGTGTCTCAGCTAACCTGCCAACCGCCCTCCCCAACCGTGCAATCACTGCTGCAAAGGGTGAGATTCTAAAGGTCCTCGCAAACGTCCACGTGGCAGCAGACTATTGTCAGAAGAGACGCAGTGGGAACAGTCGCGGCTTTGGACTATCTCTCTGGGCAAAAACATACTCTGGAGCACTGGTCAGCGCAGACCTCTTCACAGATACTGTCACAGAGGATCTTGCTGATCCGGAGGCCATGGGGCTGTTTGTTGCACGGGTGCTCTTGCGGGAAATTCAGTACATGGGGGCTCCTGACCTTAGGCATCAGCCAATTATTCTGCTGTTCATGGCGTGTACCATTGAAGATGTGTCTAAGTGCAGGCTTGGACCGCTAACAGAGCGTTCTGTGCGGACTCTGCGTTTAATCTACGAGATATTAGGTGTGCGGTTTTCGCTGGAACCAGTCACAATTGCATTTGAAGAGGATTATGTCAGCGAAAAGGAGTGGCGAAGTGATAATGCACGAGATATAATGAAGACTAAGACCCTCGATTTTGTCATTGCCATGTGCAGGGGAGCTGGAATTCGCAATATTAATAAGATGGGCTTCTGATTGAACTGCGGCTTAATTTCGGTTTACTGCAGTGCTCTAGTGAATTATATGGAAGATGTTTTTAGACACAGTTCATCAGACACATTTTAGTTACAGGGTTGAGACACATTTTAATTAAAAAATTTATAGCGTCCCCTATGAGTTCAGCTTGCTCGTCTCGGGTAGAGTTCTTGGGGTCTGGTGACGAGTACGTTGGTATCAGTCAATCAGCAACCAACGACCTTATTTCAGGACACCCGCACCGATGCCGTGATGTCATAATGCAGGCAGAGAGTCTATCAGCCCAGGCAAGCACTCAACCCGACACTCCCTGGAGCACGCTGGCCCCCAGACCAGCCATAGTAAGGGCTGCTGCCCCCCACCGCACACCCATCTATCTAACTGCATTTGTCGTCGTCCCTTGTTATCTACTCTACTCAATGATCTCGGCATCCTTTTCTACAAATCTACCGATAATTTCATCTTCTCTAAACATAGATATCTCTCAAGCGCAATGGATAATCCACACCGAGCTGATAGTCTGCTGCGGGTTCAGCGCCATCGTCCCCAAGCTCTCGGAGCGCTTAGGGCTCAATAGGGTATTCTTGGCCGGTGCATTTCTCTTCGCAGTGGTGACGTTCCTTATGGGCTTTCTAGGCAACAGCTATGCATCCATACTCGTTCTTCGCATCATATCTTCTATCGGCTTAGCTATGATGCTATCTCTAGCAAACACGATGGCATACTTCATGAGTCCCAGAAAAGATCTAAGCGTAGTACTAACAATATCTAATGTCTGCACACCAATCGGCCAGATTCTCTCTAGCTTTCTATCTGGGTGGATAGCATATTCGTCTAAGTGGCAATATATATACATACTTATAGGATGCCTATCCGCCGTTCACGCTGCCTATTCAGTTGTGTTATGCCCAAACTTTCCGACCACTCGAGGAGTGAAGTTCGATGTTGTTGGAACTCTGCTTATGGTAGCGTCCATCACACTTCTGATTTTTTCTCTTTCTGCCTCCACGGTGACTGTGCCATGGTGGGGAGTGACCATCTGCTTCATTTTGGCTATTGTGTTCTTTATTCTGTTCGTCTTCTGGAACAAGCAGTGGTGCAAGAATCCGCTCTTTCCACCAACAGCGTTCAACAAGTCCGTTCTACTCAACATGTCTGCGTTGTGTATGATCTCTGCTTTTGGGTTTGGAGAGCGCTTCTTTCTCCCATACACAATAGTGATATTCTATAACTATTCCCGTCTATCTAATGGCGGCTTTCTGGTTATTGGTGGCGTACTGAGCATAATATTTTCGCCTCTCTTTAGTCTGAGTACGAAGCGGGTGGTCAGCCGACTGATGCTAATGATGCTGAGCTTAATATCTTTGCTCCTAGTTCTCATCGAGGCGTTCTTTTTGCAAGAAAGTGTCGCGCTTCCGATAGTGTTCAGTAACCTGTGTCTTATCTGCTTTATCGGCTGCTTAATCACTGTGCAGACCACTGCAGTGGTTAACACACCGGTCATGTATATTTCGACTCTAGGGTCTCTAAATTCTATCATGCTCAACTTTGGTCACTCACTGGGTGTGACCACGGCAGTCACGACGCAGAACGTTGTCGCAAAACTTGGCGGTGTTTCCAATACCAACCTTCCCAATTGGGATGCAGATCCCGGTGCCAGAACAGCCTACGGGCTCAGCTTGACATTTGGCATCCTCAGTTGTATCTCCTTCTCTATCACTCTATTCTTGCTGGCTATTTTCATGGGCGTACTGAAGAGTGATCGTGGCAAGTTGGGCTTCTCTGAAAGACGATTATCCAAAACAAAACATTTCAGCGAGAACATAAACAACAACGGGGAAATGATAGAAGTCCAAGAATCCAGTATAGCGTTTACATCTCAACAGGTCATAGCGTCATTGTTTCAGCCCAAGTTCATATAGTCAGATAAAATGCACGCACGCACGCAACTAAGTGAACAAGTAAATGATTTGCACAGGGCTTACACGAATGTACTACGTACTTACCGTGGGATCAGCTGCTGAGCTATCTCCTTTCTTCTCTGGGACACTGCCCTTGTCCTTGGGCTTAAGGCCCAGAGCCTGCAGTTGATTCGACAGAGTCTGGAGGGTCCAGAGCCTCTGCAGCAGGATGCAGAAGAGTCGTGTGCCTCCTATCAGAAGAATAATTAGATTAGGTATGACAATAAAGAGTATGGAACGGAAGTGGAGGGCTTCTACAAAAGCCTGGTTGTCTCCATTGTAAAGTGCTTCACACTGCGCATAAAGGTTGTCCAATTTAGCATGGAACAGCACGATGGCAATAGTGACGAGGTTGTGAAAGATTAAAAAGCCAGTGTTGGAAATGCAACCCATCATCAGAAGCGAGAGGACGGCCCACGAAAGGGTAGTGAGTAGAAACATCTTGTTAGGCCCACCTTCCTGGTACATCAGTAGCAGCATCTTGTGGAAGGAGATGCTGCATGTCTCATCCTTGACATCGACCCCTGGAGCCTCCATACAACCCTCACTAGCTCCTTAATTATTTAAGGTGCGCTGCAGCTTTTCCTCTAGTTGGTTATTTTCTGCGGCTAGCTCGTCAATCTCAGTATCTAGCTGCCGTGCCAGCTGGACCATACTAGCGCTCTGCTTCTTTTGATCAATTAATAGCTTGTTGCAGAAACTAGCGGCATTTGTCAACCTTTCAAGGCAAAAGCCCGTGGCCTCGTGGATTTCATAAATCGGTGCTGCGGCTGCATACGCTGTCTTAGAGAAATCCTTACGAGCGTCTGCAAAACACTCGTCGGCAAGCTTGTTCAAACTGCACCGCATAACCCTTCGCAGCGCAGTCAACTGAGGCTTTGATGGAGTACTGCCCCAGGGCATATTCATTGTAGCATTCTTCGTTTTAAACGAAGAAACCATGTCACGAAAAGCTAAATATAAAAGATATTGTATCTCAAAACACCTATAGCAACTGCTAAAGCGTCTGGGGTTAAACATAGAAACTACCTGCTGCTCAAAGCTTTTTGTGCTCTTTGACATATGCATTTGAAACGGGTCAGCTTTGCGGTGTAGAGAGGCACCTTCTGTAGTCGAGATAGATGGGATTGCTCTTTTATCTGTAAGTACATGTGATAGCTTTTCTTGTTGTTGTACTCCTTTTACAGGTCTGCGTCGTTTAAAAACATCCATCGCCTGTACAACCGACGAGTCGGGGCGAGCTGTCATCGAGGTGAATCCTGTTTTTAAGAATTTCAAAAATCACGGTACAATGACAAGCAGCAACCTCTGGTTTTCTGCTGCTCTCACAAATAATACGGAATACATCAAAGCAAATCTAGCCATTCATGCCCGCTCTGTGGATTCAACCGGGCAGACAGCCCTCATGATTGCTGCAAAGCATAATTGTGGAGCAGTTGCAACTCTTCTTGCGCCGCACGAAAGCTGTGCAGTTAACAGTGAGGGAAAGAATGCTATGATAATCGCTGCTGAACGAAACAATGTCGGTATCTGTCGCATCCTGCTATCCCACGAGGTGCATGCTACCGGGCCGAACGGTATCACCCCTCTTATGGCAGCGGCACTTCATGGGTCTTTAGATGTTGTTATTCTACTTACTCCGATACTTTGGGCCAAGTCTGACGAAGGTTATAAGACTGCACTCGATTACGCTTGTCTGCAAGATAAACTGGATGTACTGAAGTTCATGCTCGATAAAGTGCCCAGTGTAACTCCGAAGATGCTTCATAGTGCAAAGACGACAGCTACCAATAGCAATAATGAGAAAGCTCTTGCGCTTTTGGTGGCGTATGAAAATAGTCCCGAGTACAAGGCAGCGGCATTTAGGCTCCAGCAGCGGTCTGTAATCAACTCTAGCATTCATGGATCTACCACTAAGGACAAACACACGTCAGGTCAGGACAGTATTCCCACAGAATTGCAAGCTTATCGGGATGAAAACGGCCGGTCACTACTGATCCTTGCTGTTCTTTCGGGTAACGACAAGGCTGTCCAGCATCTGCTGGGGTGCTCACGGGTTACAGACCACCAGGGGATGACCGCACTCATGTATGCAACTATTCGGAACAATACGTCAATGATAAAACTCTTACTGCCACACGAAGTCACATGCAAGACAAAAGAAGGTATCACAGCTCTTATGTATGCCTCATACTTGAATCACGCAGAGCCTATTAAGCTCTTACTGCCTGCAGAAGCCAAGCTTTGCGATGGAAATGGGCGTACAGCTCTTATGTATGCTGCTTTTGCCGGCAATGTTAACGCTGTCCGCGATCTTCTCCCTCTAGAGGGTGGTATGTGCGATAAGATAAACCGTACTGCGCTAATGTATGCTGCTCAGCGAGGGAATGATGAAGTAGTGGCGGTACTTAGAGACCTAGAGGCAGGGATGCGCACGACAATGGGGCTCTCTGCCTTGATGATAGCTAGCTTTTTCAACTCAGTAGATTGCGTGAAGCTCCTTATAGAAAGAGAGAAGCAGCTACAAGTGGCGTACGATTCACGTAACGCTCTTTCAGGGTTCACTGCCCTGATGGCTGCTGCAAGCAATGGGTCATATAAAACAGCGTCGCTGTTGAAGGAAGTTGAGGCAGATATGTCAATCAAAAACACTCCCGTTACTGACGGAGCAGGCACCACTGCCTTGATGCTTGCTGCCCAGTATGGATACGACTCTATCGTTAAGCTCTTGATAGCGAAAGAGGCTGGCAGGTATCGAGAGAGCGGGATGACTGCTCTTATGGATGCTTGCTCCAAGGGTAATTACGCCTGTGTGGACTACCTTCGGAAAGCGGAGTGTGGAATGAAACGTAATGATGGCAAGTGTGCGTTGATATTGGCCGTCAATGCCCGTGAGGAGCAGTGCGTAAGGATAATGGCCAAATATGAAAAGAAGCTGCGCGACTCCTCTGGCCACACAGCAGAGTACCATGCAAAGGTTGGCCAGTTTGAGGGGGCTATAGCGCTCCTTAAGTAACCATATATAGTCACCCAATTATGTTTTGTAACTGCGCTCCAGGGCGCTTAAGGTTTGCTACTATTTGAAGCTTCCTCTGCCTACTACGAACGATGACTAAGGCTATAATTAGTGCTAAAACAATGACTCCTAGTACAGATCCAATTACAATCCACACAATTGTCCATGTAGATAACCTCTGGGAGATAACTGTAAATGTCCCGTCGCTCCAATCCAATCCGTTTAACCCTCGTACAATCTTCCCACTATAATAGTTGTATTTGTCTGCCGGTGGATTGTAAACTCCATCCTCGAATGCTAGTTGCCGTCTCCTGCTTCTCCACAGTGTAGGCACCAGGGCTTCAGCAAGGTGGCTTTTCGCTGGAATTGCGGTGTATGCATAGTGCTCAATGCACAGGGTATCCTCTCCAATAGGAACGTAGAAGTATCCATAGTCACCCCACTTTTCACCCCATGAGTTTCTGATAACCCATGCCTCAGTTCCTTTATAATATCCATACCCAACAAATACTATCTGATGATCAGCGCCATATACAGAGCAAGGTTCGTGGAAGAGGCCTCCAGTGTATCTACTGAATTTGTTTGATCCCTGCAACCCGCCCCCGTCTACAAACATGGCACCAACAACTGGTATGCCTCTTGCAATATAGGATTTAATGACATTGATGACCGATCTGTTGAATGGCTTTCTAGAGTGATCATAAATACGAATTAACGAACTGTAACAAGAGCCTCCTAACTTCAGCCTTGCAAACGGATTGAGGTATGCGTTGGAGGGTATCTTGGGGTCATGTTGAAGAATTGTGGAAGGGTTGGTTGATAGCTTTGCTGAAGTATACGGCCAATTGCTTTGAAGCTCAACTGTTGGTGTATTATCATTAGCATAATCAAAGGCAGCATATATAAAGTTGCCTCCGTTACAAAACTGATTTCCAATAGATTGCGATGTATTCATTAGATATTGAACCGATCCCTCAGTAACGATATCGCTGAAGTAAGGGCCTTGTGGAGTGTCAGTGTATCTGCTTCTTGTTGCTATAATAGAGGATTCAGCAAGGGTCATTGTCCCAAAGGCCCAACATGAGCCACATACACCTTGATCCTTTACCGGCACCTGCAATCCAGCCTCTCGTAGGTCATATGAGGTTGGAATTTCAGGCAGTGTTGAAAGGGGGTCAGTTAAAGTATACACTTGTCTACAGGTTCCACTAGTTAAATGCCCAGAGGTACTGATTGAGATTGAAAAGATCCTGGATAGCTTGTATTCTACGGTGGTCCGTAGTAGCCCCCAAACCGAAGAGGAAACCTCCGTGATTTCTTCCCGAGGTACTTGGATGAGTTGAGGCAGGGCAAGACAGATGAATATGGCAAGAAGTCTCATCTTTTCTTATCTTCCCGGTAGGTAAGTACCAATCTACCAATCTACGTAACCTGCGACGCCTCGCAGGTTGCAAGGCGTCACACAGAAATAGATTCCCAGTGGCAGAGCCCGAAGAGTGGGGAGACCACGAAGCACTGGATGTTTACTTAGGTGCCAACTTCTTCTGGTAGAAGAGAAGCTCAGGTCCCTCAAGGATGTATCCATCGGCAGTGCCTACCTGACCCGGACGAGACGAGATGCGGGCAAGGATGTGGTCGCCCCTAATCTGATCAAGAATTTCCTTGTCGAGCGTGTCATTCGAGAGGGCGCTCTTGAATGGAGCGGAGTCTATCTGGACTACGCACCCCTTGACAAGCGTATTTGTACGGACAAGCTCGTTGGAAGTCGAGTTGTACACCACCTGGAGGATGCGGGCCTTGTGAGAAATGTCCGCGCTACCCCATGCAAAACTGCCGTGACTCAGGCGAAGAGCACGGCGCTTGATGTTGCCTCCGCGGCACCTGATTGTTGAAATCTTCTGGCCCTCGTTCTTTTTCGAAGTGACCTTGACAATAAGCTTAGTGTTCGCTGGCTGGCGGCCAAGATTATACTTGCGCTTCTTGTGCCATTTGCCCTGGACGGCACCAGTCTTGCTCCTCTTGTACATCTTGTCGTGAGTGATACCCATTTTCGCCTCTAGACTCCCGGACTCTCAAGGAGGAAACATTCACAAAAAGGAATATGAAATTAAAATGGATTGTGCTGCCGTGCAAGTTTTTTCGCATTAATTCCAGTTACATTTTTATTAAAGTGTGACCAGCGATTGCAAGTATTTTTGCTTCTGATGGTCATACGCAACTTGACTTCGTTTGTCAATACCATCCGTGGAGCGTCCACCAGAGAGTCACTGATAAAGATCCTGACTGGTGGCCCAGACCAGGAGTCCTCTGAGCAACTTTCACGCGGGAAATCCAAACAGTTGCGCATAGCCATCGATGGCGACTCCCTCTTTTATTACTTGTATATGCAAAAGGTAGACTGGCTCATCGGAGGTGATGGGCCGTTCTTTTCATCGGTTATCAAGGCATTTATTGACTCACTAGCACGCTTTAACATAACACCCGTGATCTTTGTCCCCCCTTCATATGTAAGCACAACCTCACCATCTCAGGAACTTAAGAAAGGAAAAACCCACGTTCAGTACGTGGCAGAGATCGCGAGAGCCATAGAAAAGGACTCCGGCACCACCTTGGAAAAGACAGCAAGGAACGTTCAGTTCTATCCTCTATCACACTATACCTTTATCGATACCTTAAGAGCTAACAAGGTCCAGTTTCGAGTCACAGACGGGCCTGTCATTCCATACATATGCGCTTACGCGAAGGAGAAGAACATCCCCGTCATAGCCTATGACACTGTTTATTACGCGCATGATATTCCTTGCTACATTCATTGTGACTCTATTACATTTAAACCAAATGACATTCAGGTGAGAGTCGTTCGACCATCTGTAATACTTAAGGATCTGCAGCTCTCTGTTAAGCAGTTCCAGCTCATATGCCGTCTTTTACCATCAGATTTTTATATTCCAACAGCTCTGGCACCATTTCGAGACATGGTTTTTGACAATTTTAACGGTGGCAAAAAGCAGCTAGAAGAAGCAGATATACATGTTCAGCGCATTAGTGCACTCGTTTCTTACGTAAAAAGTCACACCAATGCTGGAGACGATGCCTCATCTGACGATTATGCAGAGTTCTTTGTCAATATCCAAGAACTCAATGCAAAGTACTATAATGACCACAGAGATAAGTATTCTAAACGATTGAGCTCGGGTACTGGTGACTTAGGTAACGAGTTAGCTCAACCCGAGGTCAACGATCTAGAAGAGTTGCTACCAACAGACCAAGACAAGGTTTTGGAAATCCTCCACAGTTCTGCGCGGATGTTTAATCTCAAAGACTATAAAGATTCCGTCAAACTCGTTTCTCCGCGTGAAAACTCACGGTTTGACTCACAAGTCTTTCCAAATTGGATAGAGACTTTTGCGCGGCAGGGGCTCATTCCTCCCATTCTGATGTTTGCCATTAACTTGGGCTTCATACCATTACTTTGTGGAATAGAGGCTGTTTCGGGGAGCCTACTTGGAAGGACCTCTTCATGTCTACTAGCACGTCAGCTCCGCGTATTCTCCTATTCTTTGCTGGGTCTCAGTCGTATGGATGAGCAATTTAGACGCGGAGAAGAGTGGGTGTCTGAGGTTCTCGACTTACCTCTGTTTAGTGACCTAGTTGAAAGATATCAACTTTTACCGTTGAAGAAGCTTGTGACCGGGGCGGATACCTCTTATCTTGAAAAGTTTCCAAGTCTAGCGGGCCCTGTGCGTCGAGAGCTTGTTCTGTTGGTTTTGCTGGATGGGGACTCGACCTTGGTGAGCAATTTGATTGAGAGATTCTCAAAGCCGGCGGTGGTGAACTCGGCTGAACCGGACTCTATCAAGGCACCAGAGCCATCGCTCTGGCACACAGATGTGTTTATCTTTGCGTGCATAATTCATATGCTTAAGCGTCTTGCTGAGCTGGAGGAGACTTGCGAACACGTAAAAGGAGAGCAGGCATCTGTATCGTCTGAAATGCTGGCGACTATACTGACAGCCGCATACCTTCCGCTCTGCCCGGATATCGAGCAGGCGAATCCCAAGCGTAGCGCGTGTAATATAAACATTCATATGCTTACGCTTACGTCTGCGCTGCAATTTGTCTATGAGGCAGGTTTGATAGTCAACTCTCTGCTTGGCAGACCGTTGGACATCCGTGTTACAGACTTACACAGGGGGTTATCCTATCTCCTCTTATACCACGAAGAGAACCATGAAAGGAATTCTCAGCTGCGTAAGTATAATCTAGGTCTAACGGACCCTAACACACCATTCTATCAGTCGGATGCTTATAACGTTACGAAGAAAGCTAGACAAGAGAAGAATTATACCACGCTTTCTAGGCAAGACAAGTACATCTGCACGAATATCGAGAAGTACGAACGACTGCGGCTAGCACTAACTACTTTATCTCATGACGTGCTGCCAACCATAAAAGATCCTAACAGCTCCTCTGCAATGGCCATCACAAGGTTGACAGATGGGTCGTACGTGTCACCCTCTGACTTGCAAACCCTGCCAATGGAGGCTCGCTTTTACATGGTCAATCAGGAGCAGAAGCAGCCACGAAAGCCTAAGAAAAGAGAAACGCCTTATAGCTTTACTGAATTAAGAAACAATCATCAAACACAAGCAGACCAGCAACAGCCTCTTTGCAAGGAACAACAGGGACAGTGAAGCTAACGAAGAGGGGTTAAAGGTTACAATGCAGGTCTTCTGAAGCACCCTAGTACAATCAAATGGGTAAGGTTGGTGTGAGGAGTTGCACGTATACCTGCACTATACTCTAAACGGAAGAGCAGTCGGTAAGTGTTTTGATGGAACTAACTTTTGAAGCTTGCCGCAGATGTACTGAAGGACTGTCGTGTAGAGGTCATCAACTTCATATGTTCCCACCCGCATATAACATGCCACCAGGAGCACAATATTGCAACAATCACTCACTGCACAGATAGTTTGAGTAAATACGTTGCCAAAAATAGGTCGAAAGATGGAGTACAATGCTGAGAATATGAAGCCACGCGCAAACGTTGAGTTGATCTTGATCCTTGTCGGGTCAGAGGTAAAGTTTCTTTCAAACAGCTCTGCCTTTTCTGCATCAGTTTGTGCAATTGCAACACAAAAGCCGCGGAGAAGAGTACGCCAGGCAAGGCTCCCACAGAAGCAAAGAACAAACGGGATAAACATACGACCGCCAAAGTGAAGATAGAAAAGCTCTGACAGAAGGCTTTTGGATGCAGCGTCCAATACGATGGAGAGGCAATTGATCACGAGAATGTATATGGTTCCATTTATCCTCTGGTATGCGACGCTCTGGTCCATGCAAACAAATAGAATGGCGAACACGCTAAACATGATGTAAGGAAAGTCAGCGAAATAGTTGCCCAATGTAAAGGTGGGGTCAGGGGAAAGAAGCAGACGACCTATAATGCCGTTTATGGTAATATCTATAAAGCAGGCCCCATACAAGACGGGGCCAAAAACCTTTGAGGGCATGCCTGCTCCATTAATAATTGTCCTAAACCGGTGTGTTTCCCGCTGTAAGGTAACGTATCTATTAGCTAACGTGAAGAGAGCACCAAAAATCTGCCCAAGAGCATTTAATCGCCGGTACACGATTGCTGTCTCTGGAATAATCATCCACTTTCTAATTATTACTAATTATTGCAAGGTATTACAAGGTGTTGCAAGGTTGATTGTCAACTGCTAAGGATCAATCAGTAATTGTCTATACGTTTACTACGCAACAGAGAAAGTAGCATTCTGCTGCAGGTGAAATCGAGAGAAAGAACCTGACTCCCCGTGGGATCGCAACACTCTCATACTGGCCAGTTGTGTACTCGGTTAGCTCTCCTTCTTTGGCCGATGTGTTTCCGTATAAAGAGAACCTAGCCCAGCCCTGAGATAGCTGGGTAATACAGTATCCGCTTGAGGTGATACGGTCACTTTGGCCGACACCATAGAGGTGCCAGAGCATGGCCCCACCTGGCCGCTTACCATCAGCACGTTCCTCAATAATTCTGGCCATTTGAAGTCCATGAAAATGCTCAAAGGAAAGCCCTGAAAAGCTCTTGAAGACATTGATGGACTGGGATCCTGATTTGTTGGTATACCAAAATCTATCCTCGTTGATTATGAGATTATTTTTTTGTACTATCCGTTGTATTCGTTCGGATTGCTTTTTTATGAAAAGTTGAGAATTTTCTAGACCAGCCCTAAAGTCGGCAGGTTGCTGACGTTTAGGCCGAGGAGGCTTATTCGGAATGAATGCGACCTTGACGCTTACAATGTAGGGTTTTTCTCCCGACGGATATGCGTACACCAAACCTTCTCCAATGGCCTTATCAAGTTCTGGGACAACAATTCGCCCAGTACTGTGATCCCTGGGCAAGCAAGAATGGTCAACCGGGATGTTTTCTAGTTTAATATCCCGCACTTTTTTGGCATTCATAACGGGTACTCCATACCTTCGACGAATCTCTTCTAACGTTAAGCCTGTCCCAGAGGTAAGGAAATTGCGGAGTTTATATGAGCCATAGACCTCGTCATATAGCTCCTTCCTAAAGTAGCTGTCGACAGTGCTGTGGTTCAGGTGGGCCATATCTATCTTCTTTGGCTTCTTCCGACTTGGTTCTGCCGGCTCGTCAACTAGACCCGATACAATGCTTTCGTTCGCTGGTACTTTTGAAGAAAAGCTGCCACTTTGCCTGTATGATTCCGTTTGGTCTATGTAATCAGTGGTATCGGCAACCGTAAACGGTTTAGATGTGCCTTCAGTAGCGTATCTATTGCCCTGATCATCTCCTTTATCCAGCTCGATTGGGTGCTGTAGGGGAGGCGGTGGAGTTAGGACGATCTTGCCATTCTTGTACGCTGGCTGTAAGTCCATCATTGTTAAAGTGTTATCTATAGATTTTGCAGCTGTCTTTGCATGCTCATCTTGGCGCCGAGGCTCAGCAGATGCTTCACGCGGAGATACTGAGATAGGAAATCTGGATGGATCTGATGTGTGCTCTCTGGAATTGGGGACAATGTTCAGTAGGTTTGAGGACTTTGCACTGCTACTAACTAAGCTTATATTCCGCTGAATTGCTTGGCCAATGGCTGTCATGCTCCGTCTAGGACGGTACTGGCTCTTGCGTATATCTTCTACACCGATGATCCTGATATTGTCCTTCGTAGATTCTTGTAGATTTATAGACTCCATGAGTTCATTGGCAACAGAGTTAGTTGGTTTTTCTGGAGTAGCAGGGTCAATGGAGACATCATGAACAGAATGTGCTTCATCATGTGTGTGTCCTTGAATTGCTTGAACATTAATCACCTCCAGATCGGCAGGGGCCTGCTGTGGAGGCAGCTCCCTGCCTGCCACAACCTCGTGGAAGCGTTCTGGCGGTTGAATTACCGAAAACTTCCGTAGCTGTTTCACTTCTATGCCATCCTCTGCCTCGGTATCGTGATGTTTCTGTACGTTCTTTCTGGGGAGGGGCTGATGTCTTTGCTCTAAAACCTTTTGTGGTATCGGCTGCACTGAGTACACTTTTGCATCTGCCTCTTCTTTCTGCACTGTGTTTATATTATGGACCACGACAGACGCAGCTGTTTCTGAAGTTACTGCTGCAGCGATCACTGCTGGTTTTGGTACAACTGGAGCCTCTCTCTCAGCAAAGTATGGGTCATGAAAAGAATCTGAACTCGAGGCAGATACGTCAGGATCTATCTGTTGACTGGATAAGTCAAGCATCCCCTTTTTCTTTTGAGCTCCCTCGAGTCGCCGGCCCTTTTGTGCTTTTTGTGTTATAGGTTTCTTTTGCTCTATCTTGGTTTGCTTCTCGTTGCCGACTGCAGCGGTAGTTTGTTGCTGTGGCGACTGCGGTGATTGTGATGATTGTACGTATGCCCATTCCACAGGCGAGGGCTTTTTCTCGAGGCCCTTTGGGCGTTTCTTCTTGAGTTTCTTCCTTTGCAAGACAGGATGCTTTGATACTTTGGGTGGAGCGTTATTTAGCTCCTTTTGATATGTTTTCATATAACTATCTTTACAGCTCTGCTCCACCTCAGCCAGCTGTTGCTCCTGGCTTTTTGGAAGGTGTGCTATATCTTTGTTATGCACGCTATCTATAGCACTAGCTTCTATGTGCTGGCTAGACTCGTCTGCGTTGATGGAGTCAAATTGAAAGAGGGAATCTTTTGCAAACACATCTGGAACTTCAAAAGCAGATGAGGCACTAGGGTGAAGAGCACGTGACATGGGAGCGGTACTGTTTGGCGATTGACCAAAGCCACTTAAACCAGCCAAGTTGCGTGACTGCTGACTTGCGAACTTGATTCCAGAATTCAGATTATTGAGCATGTGCTTCGCGTCACTCAACTCACCTAGGCTTGTGGCACCTGAGGCATCAATCTCCGCGTCTCGTAAGAAGAGAGCAGCGTCATCTTTTGATACGCCGGTGAGTCCTAGATTATCTTTTTGTAGTAACATGTTCCGACGGATTAGGCTTTCCATTGTCCCATTTGTATCTGCATTTGGCATAGAGAGTTCTCTCTACGTCCTAAGCACTCAAGTAATTAATTTTTTGCTGAGTCAAAGAGAGATTGCGCAGGCGGATGAGCAGGCAACTTGGGGATTTACTCGAAAACATAAAGGCGGCAGTATTCGACTTTGACGGGACTCTGGTCGATTCGCATAAGATATGGGCAAAAATAGATCAGGATCTTTTCGATCAACTGGGTCTAGTACAGCCCCCGAACTACGAAAAGGACATTGCTGGAAAGCGTCTACCAGAGATAGCTAAGTATATTATTGAGCACTTCCAGTTGACGAATGTGAGCCAGGAGAGAATTCTGAGCTGCTGGGAGGAAAGCTATATGAAGTACTTTTCCAGCTCAGCACAATTCATAGATGGCGCTGCCGAGTTTCTTACGTACTTGGCATCCAAAAACATTGCCATCGGGATTGCCACTGCTTCCACACACAAACTAGTAGAGCTGTTTTTCTCCAACCATCCTGAAATACGTGCACTGATAAGTTGCGTAGTCACATCAGAAGACGTTGTGCACTCTAAGCCAGCTCCAGATGTTTTCCTGAAGTGTCTAGAGAGCCTAGGTGCTCATCCCAGCGAGGGGATCATTTTTGAAGACTCTCTTGTGGGTCTTTCTGCAGCTACCAAGACAGGAAGCAAGGTGGTTTGTATTCTTTCCCACCCTGATGACCATTTAGAAAAGAAAGAGCTGAGCCAGTTGCAAATTAACTCTTATTCTGAGTATCTGTATCAATCTCGTACACTGGAGGAAAGCTGAAGCAATCTTCTGGGCAAATCTGCATACACTGTAAGCATTGGAAACACTTGTGAGGGTCACGGAGAGAGATCTTGTTATTCTGGATGACGAGAATAGATAATGGGCAGGCTTGTACACACTGACCACAAAGGGTGCATGCATCAACATCCAAGATAATCCGCTGCATAGTTCACAGAAAGAATTGGCTTTTTCTTTTAAATTTCTGGGAGCTGGTTTGTCAGCTGTTGTTCGAGTAAACTTATCAGGCAAGTCGTCGTGCTGAGTGGGATTCTCTCTCAGTCCATCTATCCAAAGTTCAAAATTCAAATTTCATCCAGTTTTGGGAAGAGGAGGAGCTAGTTGGCTCGTGAGCATGTCGATAGAGACGACTCGAAGCGGGATCCGGCAGACACTTGGCGGGATGATGGTACTGCAGGCGAAGAGAGCCCTCGCGCTCGCCACCCCAATCGATCTCCCTACTAAAGAGCAAGCATGTGGCTGACTCCTAAAACGGCTGCCGCTATCACTGAACCCTCTCCCCAGCTGGGCTAGTCGTCAAATGGGAAGTGGCTCATGAACGCATCACCTCGCCTTTGGGGGCCCGATTCACCTCTACTGTATCGTCCATGGCGCTAAGATTTATGGAAGACACGCCTGCTCCAACATCCCCAGGACGCTGAGAGAGATCAGAAGGCCTTCCAAGTCCTCTGGAGGCGTTTAGATGCAACTCCTAGCTCTTGCTCTCGGGAGACCTCGATAGGGATCAGCAACCAACACGTAGACTGCGACCTATGTAATCAAGACCTGGAACAGATGGCCTTCGTTATCGACAAGACAAGAACAGGTGATGGAGCTCCGTTCTCCCCGGATCCTGTGCTCCAGAGGAGGCAGGGCTTCCAGTCACTGACTGCCCCGACAGGAGTCATGCGTCTGCTGATGCTTTGTGAGGACCGCATGGACTCCGACTCGTGCCTATACACTGTGGATGCTGTGGGTCTCTCGAGGGAGATGCTCCGACGCCATAACAAGAACAGAAGCCTCAGGTGCACATGTGAGAGCTTGACACGGGATATAGAGCTGATTCAGGCCTCATCTAAGAACCTGGGGGCGTTTCACACGCTGGAGGATACCAGGATTGGGGGAATCCCCATCGTCTGTTGCCCCAAATGCTTCAGCACCAGAATGGCGAGTAGGAGACATCTGGCTAAAACGAAACACTCTGTGCTGATGTGACACCAGATGACAATCACTCAAGCATGAACAGGACGAGCATCTGCCCGCTCTGTACAAAACCCACTGGAGCCAGAGCTATCCGAATGTACTGTGGCACAGACAGCAAGTGCAGGGTGCTACTGCGCGAAAGGATGGAGATGGCAGAGGAGATGCACCTCGTCACACTACGGGCCACTACATGGGCAACACCCACCAGAAGGTTCCGAACAAGAATAGGCCACCGAGCGCATGAAGGACCCCCTGGCGAAGAGCAGCTGCCGCCCCATGGGGCTCCTCTCCCACGGGCCCCCTCGACCCGGACTCCTCAGAGGGGATCAGGGTAGCGTACGAGCTGCACCCTGGAGGGACACGAGCCCCCTGTCCTACAGCCAGCGGAGAGCACGGGCATCTCTCCCAAGGTCACTGACGACGAGATGACCCGGGGGTCCGTCCATGGGCTCTCGAGGTCTCCTGGACCTTACCTGGACCTGCGTACTGGGGGTCCTCATCCCCAAGAACGAGGCAAGCATAACCTGTGGAGCGACCACGACGGCCCTTTACAGATACTACCGGGCCATCTGAAGTCCCAGGCGCTGGACACTGGGGCTTGCATGCACGTGTAGTGTGCGCTCGTATGTGCACACGAGACTGAGGAAGCCAGGCGGTCTTGCTCGACTCCAAGGCGCCCTCAACAGCAGCCCCGGTCCTGCACAGTCTCGGCCAGGAGAACGCGCCCCTCGCCCTGAGGAGCTACACGTGGCCTTCCTCTGGCTACAGCACACATGGACTCGGTCCCGTGCAGTGTTCCTCAGGGACCCTCTAGGTATGTTCCTATGCTGCGCTGGACGGAGCGCGCTCACTAAACAGCTGAAGGAGATGCCCCCTCAGTGCCTACGCCGACGGCGTACTGATCCTTCACGACGACAACAACGAGGTAATGAGGTTGACAAACCCACGGACTGACGATCAACACAGACAACTCAAGAGCACCGAGGGGGCAGGAGGCTCCTTCCTGGGTGTCCGGTCTCGAGGAGCGGCTACCCACGGCCTCCAAGGAGATAGAGAGGGCAACGAAAAGGTTGCAACTGTGTCAATCGCCCACCACCCCGAGCCGAGCTGGTCTGGACAGACTCACCACGCGACCCCTACGGATCCCTCGGGGGGCAGGCAGAGCCCTCTGGGATGCTCGGCTCGAACAACAGCAGACCGAGCTCCTGGCTACGCAGGACAGCGGCGGTCGGGAGTCCACCACAAGCAGCTGCGCGGTGCTTGACACCTCGACGTGAGACGTGGCATCACAGCAGGCTGCCGAGCGGGACGGCCTCGTGGTGAGCAACGCATCGTACATGAACTGTGCTCTGATCGCTCCAATACTTCAGATAACGCCTCTCGGAGAGCTGTGACCGGGCCAGCCTCTCCGGCTGAACGACTCATGGCTCCACGTACACTCTGCGGCACGGATGGGTGCAGACCACACCAGCCGAGCCGGCACACTGCACAGGGTGTGGACCTGCGAGTGTGTACTGGCTGCTGACCACCTGGCACCACAGGTGCACTGCGGTCCATGAACAGAAGGGCGGGCCGGGCGTTTCCTCCGCGCCAACCAGGGGTCGATATGGAGGCTACGGGTACACGCTACAGTCCAGGAGGACGCATGGCGAGCGCACCCCGACAACAGGATCGATGGTCCACTCCACGAGGAGGCGAGAAGGAACCCGAGTCGGCATCCCGGGATTATAATACATGCGATCTTCGTTATGGAGCGCCAGCACCGAGTGGCCCTGGGTTGTACGGCCGGGAGCACTATTCCTAAGGTCAGATAGCAGCTGATCCAAGGGGACTGAGTGAGAGAAGCGAAAAACCTAGATCGATATCGTGAGAGACGGGACGGTGACTTGCAAAGCGAAGAACTATGATATTTCCCCTTTTCTGCCAGAGCTGGACAGTGTCCGAATTTCCGATTCCAAATGCTGGACACACTGAGCGAGGATGCCGTTCAACATAGTGACTCGTACGATGGACTTACTCAGACTGCGGCCAGCAAACCAACTTCTTTTTGAAGAGAAACGACAGATTTATTCATGAGACTACAGAGCAGTCTATTGGTCATTGCAACCATTGACACTAGGTGTACTGCCCCTAAGGAGAGACGCTATCTCGAGGTATCCCCTAGAAGTAATCTTGTCAAAGAAATATTCATTAGACTTGTCTATCAGATGCCCCTCTTTTTCTAATAGAAGCTTTACCACTTCTAAGTGGCCCTTTAGCGCTCTATGTTCAAGAGCAGTCATCTCATTCCTATCCTTTACACCCCCCTCCAGATCTACTAACAATCTTGCTATTTCCACGTTCCCCATAGAAGCCGCGTTCATAAGCGCAGTCATACCTACCATGTTTTGTGCACCACTGTCGTATCTTATTACCAACTTTGCTGTCTCTATGCAACCGTGTGTGGCTGCTCGCATAAGCCTCGTGTCGCCGAATGTATCGGTTGGCTCAAGAATAATCACAATAATTTTGTGCCCTGCCTCCTTAGCAATCATCAGGGCCATCTTGCCTTCGCTGTCGATTAAGTTCTCCTCATATGGAATCAAAATGGAAGCAGCTTCTGCGCTGCCTTTTTCTACAGCGATCATCAGAGCAGTACGGCTGTTCTTGTTTCTTCTCCCACATTCGTAAGGGGCAAGAATTTCAACTACATCAGAGTAGTTGCTGTGTGCGGCGTGCATGAGTGCAGTCCAGCCGTTCTTGTCCTGGAGGCCCCTCTCCTCCCCAACAAGCAACTCGACGGGACTGATGCGCCCCTGCTCGTCGCGCTGACCAACACCAAGTCTTCTTCAAGCAGCATCCGGACGGTCTCCATGCCGTTCGTATGCGCAGCACGCATCAGCCCGGGCAGCAAAAAGAGGCTGGACGAGGCCAGCCGTGCATTCTGTGGACTGTGCAAGCCTATTCTCCAGTGCCTTAATCATAGCTAGATGTTCCTTACTTTGATCTTCAAGCGCGTCGATCTTAGTGGATTTAGTCTTAACATCCTCTTCCAGCAGCGCGATCCTGGCGTTAGCGCCATTCAGCGCAGCCTCCAAGGATCCGCACTTGTACTTCAGCATCACGCACTGACCCCCCAGCTCACCAACTGGGATGTCAGCCGCAGTGAGTGTCTCATGCAGCTCACTGGCTGTCGGCCTCCTCTCTGGCTCCAATACAAAGATCCTCTCCAGAACATTCTGTATGAAGCCATCAGTGACACCGCTCAGGTCCGGCCTCCACTCATCGACGAAGACCTCTGCTGGCTCCTTACCTTTCAGGAAGTCCGGTTTCCTTAGAGTGGCCATCTCGTAGACGATGACCCCGAGGCTCCACACGTCAGAGGCGGGGCTGGGCTCGTTGTGGAGGAGCACCTCGGGGGCCATGTACGCTGCCATGCCTGCAATGGTGCTCTCACTCCACAGGGCGTCCTTGCAGAGTTCGAGGCCAGCGATGATGAAGTACTCACCATCTACACTGACGAGGGTACTGGCAGGCCTGAGGTCGCAGTGGACGAGGCCTCTAGTGTTTGCCCCACTGAGGCCGTGGAGGTAGGCGAGGGCGGCGGCGACCTGCTTCATGACAGAGAGGATCATAGTGATAGGGACGGGGATCCTCCCTCGTTTGTGCTTGGCGAGGGGGCGCTCGAGGGTACTGTCGTGGTGGTCCGTGACGATGTAAATGAAGTCATCATCCTCGACCACTTGGTAGTGCCTGAGGACCCCCGGGTGGGAGAGGTCGAGAAGGGCGGTCAATCTTGTCTTGATGGCGTCCAGATCCCCCTTGTCCAGACCATCGAGGAGGATCTCCTTCACGGCGAGGTCTGGAAAATCCCTGAGAGAGTAGAGTGTGCTTGTGGGGTCTTTGGCCAGCACGTCATCCAGCCCCTCGTGGAGCTCCCTAGGGGTGAACGGTGGGACACTGAGAGCCACCGTTGCAGACCCAGACGAAGCAGTGTGCATCCTGGTATTATTTTGGTAATCTACCGTTTTGGAAACGGTCCGTTTTACATGGGTTCATATCTACAGGTCTACAGCGGTCCTGTATCTGTGGGGGCTTCTGTATCAGGAGCGAGAAGACCACCCGTGCGACCGTTTTACCCACCGGTGTCCTAGCGCTGGCTGGGGGCAAGAAAGCCTGCTCTCTTCTGGCCTCTGTGGAAACGGGTGGCTGTGTGCCCCACTGACAGCCATCACTTCACCCTATTGGCTAGCCGTCCCCCTGCACAGCTGGAGAGGCCCTAGTACATTATCGAATGCGATCAACAGTTAGGCGAGTTCACTCATGGGCTTTCTGGGTGGCATCCGTAGCTGGGGCTCCTTCAGTCCAACGCCTTCACTCTCAAGAAAAGATACTATCTCGGAATGCTTCCAAATACTGGCCACGGAAAGAGCAGACATACCGCCTACATTCTTTTCCCTCTTCAGCAGTAACTTGACACAGTCTAGACGACCATAGCATGCTGCAAATGAGAGGGCAGTGCAGCCACGACACTTTTCCATGCAGCCCTCAACCTCCAGGAGTAGCCTCACGACCTCGGTGCGACCGTTTGCTGCCGCCCACATGAGGGCCGTCAGCTCGGTACTGCTTTTCATACCATTCTCGTGCTCCATTAACAGCCTCACAGCCTCAACGTGTCCAAGCACTGCAGCGACCATCAGGGCCGTCCCCCCGTGTATATCTACCATCCCTGCCTTGACAAGCTTTGCCACTTTTCCTGCCTGATAAGGAATGTAGCGCTCTACCGCATCCACGTCATTTCGTTTGGCCGCCTCCATGAGCTCGGTGACACCGTCCTCATCCTCGTCCTCATCAGTTACCTGCGGAGACCTAGTGGGACTGCTCTCGCCCACATCCTCATCATCTGTGTCCTTTTCAAGCATGAGGGGTGAGGTGTCGTCGTGCTCCTGAGAGTAATGATCTGAGTCATCCGCAGACGACATTTTTTATTTCCTATATCACAAAGGAAATACGTGTAACAGAAACTTGCGATTCACGGTATTATTTACAAATCATCCAGATAGCATATTTGCAGGCGAACTGATGATTTACTTCACCCATTGGGTACTTCCAGCTCTGACCGCGGTATCTGTTCGTGAGCGCGGTCCGGAGGTCTCCTAGGCAAACCGCGCTCGATTCCTGGTAATCCCTAGAGATGAAGGTCGGCCGTGGGTAAGATAATTAGGAGCTTCCCTCTATTAATATAAAAGGACGATCAGAGACCAATGCAGCTGCCTGCATCGGCACCTCCGCGTCTCTGGAGGCTCAGCCAGGGCCAGGGATCAGGCACAGCCACCCAGCGACCAGAGCGGAGGTCGAACATCTGGTCCGCCGAAAAGTGCGAAATGCTAGCGGGGCGTTGTCCAGTCACCAGATGGACTACCCAAGGGGAAGGCCAAGAACCGTCTCGAGATCCCCTATCTGAGCCCTGCATCGTTCGGGGAGTGAGGCGAGCCCGACGAGACCGGCCAAAGCGCCGCTTCCTGTCAGTGTGCTCCTAGCTTGGGACGGATCCGCAGGGCCATGACAGCCCGTGAGCGTAGGAGGCTACCAGCGGGGCCAGAGAACTGTCCAGTTATACTGCAACACAGACATCGAGTGTAGAGCGTAACTGCGTAAAGGGATGGGAATGAAAAGAAGAAGGACCTTTTCTTCAGCACTCATCGTGCAAGCATGTTCAGGAATGATACCCACCTGCTCGCGTCCTGAGGCTTAGTTGCTGGTCAACCCTGGCCACTGACTGTGCTTCACTAGCCCATAAGGAACATGAGGCGGTATGCAGCATCGTCGTAACCCTGCTCGATAGACTCGGAGTCGGATACTAGGCCCCACGCAGGCGTGTCCTGGTCTTCGTGGACAGGTCCGCAAACCGGAAGACTCGCAGGGCGGTTGGACTCCATATCCGTTTGTGGAAGTGCCTGTGCTTTACAGTATGCTGCATGAATCCGGGGATGGTCGATGGGGGAAAGCTCTGCAACGAGGTCTGTAGGCCTCAGCTGCTCCAGCCGCAAACCCTGCTCCTCCATCCTGTACGCCAACCGGAAGAGCAGCCGGCCATACTCCCGCCGCTTATGGCGGTAGGCCGTCCAGGCGGCGCGAATGTCGTTCCGGACCTTGCAGCGCGCCGCATTTGCTGACCGGCCATCGAGCCCAGCGGCCACCCGAGTCCAGGAGGTCCCGTGTTGTAGGAGAAGGACAGCAAGCTGCACTTCTTCGTCCTCGGTCCAGGGCCTATTCCGTTGACTTTGCGACCCGTCCCTCTGTGCCTGCTCTCCGGCCAGTCCTCCTGTGCAGCGCGCTTGTGTTCCTTCCTGGCGATGAGGCCTCGGTGGCATGGAACTATTTTCGCATGGAGCTGGGACGCGCGCACCCCTGTGATGGAAGTTGCATGCAACTTCCACTTTTCTCTATCTCGGCCACCCTTCAACGTCGCGCCTTTAGGACACAGATACCCGTTGCGGCACGCAAACATTGCACAGGCTCGGACTCCCGTCCTTCGAACTCGCATAGCCATGAAGTCAAAATAGTTTGCACGTCGGAAACGTTCACCGAATCATCACAAACGTAAACGAACGTGGATAGAGAAGTGTGGGTTCAAAGGAGATCTTTCTAGCTTGGAAACAGGGTACGTAGAAGGCTTGCACCACCATCGTCTGCTTCGTTAGCAGTGCAACTGTCGGCGAAAAGACCGCTAGCTGCATGTGGTAAAGAATATGCTTGGCTATTTACTCTACGGCTGGATGCAGAGTCTATTTGGCGGAAATCCAAATAGTCAATCCTATATGTAAAATAAAATTGCCACACTTTCAGGCAACATATGAGAGACACAATTTATCAATGATTGTGTGTTCCCGAGCTTCTATGATTTACGTAGTTTGGCAACTAAAGGATAGATAATCTTAGCTTAGTAAGTAAAATAGGCGGTTTGACAATACATAATGATTAATCAGATTTTAATGATGGGAGTCACAGATCCCCTGATCTGAAGTTTCATAGTGCTATGTTTAAATTGATAAATCACTTCTACAAGTTAAATCGCCACGTCGACAGCTGTATTCTTAGCTTCGACGGTACCATCCTCATTGGTACAAAGGTTTTTAGAAAGTATTCTTTGAATCAAAGCCTCTGCGTCTGTGTCATCTTTAATGTGCTGATCCCCAGTGCTCAAAGAAACATACTTAGTATCTGGATAGACCGTGTTCATCCGCTCATTAACATATACCGAAGGAGGCTTCTGGTCATATAATGCGACAGATTTTTCCTTCGCAATATCCTCTTGCTCAATGATTCCTAGCTGCTGCCGATACCGTGCTATTTTCTCAAGTGTCTCTGCGCGCATAGAAAGTAGCGAGTTAGTTTGTGCTAGCCCCGTAGAAAATTGACCTCCCTTGGACGCATGCCACGCGTCAATGGGGTAATTTGTCCTTACACCTTCCGTGTCCCGTAAAATAGTAACCAGGTGTTGCTCATCAGCCCGTAGCTGGGCTAAGATATTTGATATTGCATCGAAGTTGGTTCCTGTCATATCAAGATCATCTTTTTTCAACAAGTTTAGTTCATAATACGTCTCGTCTGGAATAGAAATAAGTGGTTTGTTTGTTAGATTCTTTTCTGGCAATGTTACCTGCGGCTCCAAATCTAAGGAGGAGCTTTGTTTCTTAGATTCTGTGGCTGTATCTCGAGCAGTGTGACCTGAACGAATGGACTGTGCTGTCACGGGTCTGCATAAGGGGGCTTCTGATTTTGCTGCTATGTGCGGAAGACACCCCACCCTTGTGATAGATGTGCGCTGACCAGATCGTATCTCTCCAGAGAGCATGGAAAAATCGAATGGCCTACTTTCTGCTTTAGACTTCAATAGAGCAGCTGGGGCCATCTCTTCGCCATATGATGTTATCCTGCACCCGGATGAATCCCCATGCACCGCCGCGCGTGCTATAGTCAGAGGAAGTGACCGTCCTCTGAGCCTTCCAGTCTTCCTGAACGGAGCTGTTGTCCGCTTGATCATTGCGGTGTTGCTTCCTCCTGCTTGCCTGGGAATCGTGGCCATAGCTAGCTTTTCACCACCATTGATGTGATTACGTGTCTGTAACTCGCTGATCGCAATGATGTCTCGTCGATCAATCTCATTGAGAATTCTTCTGTTCAAAAGCTCTATTGCATCTGGAGTAGGATGGGCTGAATAATTTTTACCCAACATGGCAGCATCAGGGGTTATCCTCTTCCACTTGCGTGGTGGGGCCTTAGAGACCATCCGAACCGCCTCTTCAAAGTCCTGGCCATTAATCTCGTAGGTTCCATCTGCACCTGACATAGAGATAGTAAGTCTGTCATATTTGGGGCGTTTGTTTCCGTTATATTTTCCTTTACCAAAAGAAGCGTCCTGGAGACGATCTGCTGAAGTAAATCCTCGGGCACTCATTGTACGTAGCCGACTCTTTAGGTGCATCAGGTGTTCATCAACCTCTTCCAAAAGTAAGCGAGTGGAAACTTTATCGCTACACAGATGCTGTGACCCTCCGTGCGAAGTCACTTCATAGTTCGGATTTTCCTCACATTCTTCATCCACATAACTATGGCCATCGTTGAGCTTGTCTTCACAAAGCTGAAAAGACTCGTCTGTGGCCACTGAGGAGAGACTATTATCCCTATCATTGACGTCAACCTGATAGGCGGATTGGCGTGGATACCTCACAGCGTTCATCGTTACCTTGAGCCGTTTTTCTTTCATAAGGGCGTCCATGTCAACATGAGGTCGAGCCTGTGCATCTATTTTAAACAGGTCGTCAAATTGCAGCCCATACGCATGCCCTGTAGAAGCTCCATTCTCCATGGTGTTCCTCATCAGCCTCCCCAGCCCTGGAGACAAGGTAACATGTGTGGGTGCTGGCATAGACTTGAATGTGACTAGAGGGTCTATGGTGTGGTGTGGCTTAGCAAAGTGAAGGGGTTTCGGCATAGTGGTTTGCTTTAAGTGGTAGGACCCGTCTGTATACCACCAGTTCTCATTTTCAACGGGAAGGTCAGATTGAAGCAGTGCTGGGCTTTCGGATGCTTCTCCACCATGCTCATCTATCTCGCTATCCTCCACCTCATTCTCCGTATCACATGCTTGCTGTGTGGCAGGATCATCAGTGTGCATGAGTGACGACTGCATCCTTTTTTATTTCCCATTTCCGCGAGAGAAACAATCAGATAGAGAGTCTTTGTCCAGTAATTCACATATTATCTTCATTGTGTTGATCGTTCTGTGTAGCAGATGAGCGCTCATCTTCTCTGATAAGGGCGTCATCTTCTGGCCGCAAGACCTTCACGGATACCTTGTGGGGCTCCGGAATACTAATGGGAATTTTAGAGATCAAACGCGGATTGAGGCGCGCAATAGCAATGACTCCATATATGATAAATGGGATTCCCAGTGAAAAGAGACCAATTATGACCCAACACGTTTGCCGATAGTCAAACTTTATTGAGATATAACGAACTACTGGTATGAAAACTGAAGAGATTATATACTGAAGAGAGAACACCAGGCCCAAGCTTGTCGCCGGAATCTTCCGCCCCGCAAGCGTAGTAATAACAAACGCAAAATTAGCTGCAAAGAAGCCTATTGAAATACCCAAAAAGGACATGGTTACTTGTGCAGAGAAAGCATTCTGGAACTTTTTTACCGCACCGAATATATATAGCGTTATTTGTGCCACAGTGTACATTATAGTTCCTAACAGGACAAAGAAGATTGGGCCAAAGTATGACAATCGGGACAGTAGGCCACTTATAAACAAAAAAATGGACGACAAAAGCTGGCTCAGACCAACGGCTAGCACTGCGTCCTCATTTTTGATATTCAAGATGGAGGTGAGTGATAGAACAGAAGTTGCATTAAACGTACTAACAGCACCTATTACAAGGATTCGCGGGACCATAACCATGAAGAGAGCCAAGGGTGCTTCCCTAATAGATCTGAACGAAGATAGGAACAGCTCCTTACAGCGTCGACAGGTGCACCTGCGAGTGCGCCTATTGGGGAGCTGATAGGTGATCTTCTTATTGCGTAAAGGAGCAGACTCGTCGCAGATAGTTATTTCCATAGTTTCTTCTGTTCCCATGACGCATGTGATGGACCCTTCAAATGAACAGAGGGTACTTATATCATTGATAGAAGCATCTGGATTGTCAAAATATACCATTATTTCAGATTGTGTAAACATTTGAGACGGCAGCTTTGTAGCGACTTCGCCTTTGTCGTCAGGGTTCCAATTCCTTGAGCGAGAGCGCGGGATAGCGAACTGTGATAGAAGAGTCTTGTTGTACTTGGCGGATGAGACAGAAATGTTAGTCCTAGGATGCTCTATGCAGGACTGTGTCTCTGGCAGAGTCTCTGGAAAAGGAGTGTTAAGCTCTGCATTGGCTAACATATTTTGGCGCTGCAGATCTGCGATCGCCACATACTCATTCAGGAGATCGTCAAAGTACTTTCTCCTTACCTCCAGAAAAGTGTAGACAGCTCCTAATGTGGTAGAAAAGAATATCAAACATGCACATAACAAATAAGCCTCTCGAAGATTATTCATGGACCCTATCACGATACTTGCCAGCGTATGTCCAAGCATGACGCTAGCAAAGATCAGCCCGAACCCCACTGGTTGCCAGCGGAGCGGTATGAAGTACTGCATGAGCCGTGCCTGGACCATGATCACAGCCTCGCCAGAGAGGCCAGAGGCAAACTGGGCGATAATAAATTGAGTAGCCGTGGTGCAGAATGCACATGCTACTGCACAGAGAAGCTGCAGAACATGAATAGGAACTAGAAAATACTGGGGCCCAAATGTGTCTATAAAGAATGAAACAAGGAAAGTGCTGAAAAAGCACTGTACAGAGTTAATAGTTGCTGTGAGAGAGATGATGTCTTGTCTCTGGAAGGTGTCAATAATTAGTTTTGATAGAGGATTGGAGGAGCTTGTAAATATGTTAACAGGAACGAGCGTTATTGAGATAAAGAATATGTGGACGACGATAAGCGTTCCCTCAGTGCAGCGAGAGCGTCTGCGCAGCGGCATGAAGGACGCAAGCTCGTCCATTTTAGTACTTGTAAGGTGATTGTTTTAAGATTAATTACAAAACTAAGCCCTGCAACCTACCGAGAACATACATAAACAAGGTCACAAGGGACCGTATGAACAAGAGGAACAGTACGATTCACTAATGGTTGTGCGATTAAATATATCGGCATGGAACTGTGTGAAGTGGTGATGGTATCACTGTGGTATCACTGAGGAAGTAACGATTCTACAGGGCGGTGCTGGTAGTGCGTATGAAGAAGTTCGTGAGCCTCATGCTCTGTAAGACATCCGTTAAAGCCCCAGAGGGTCTTATTTTCTCCTGCTGATGCAAAGCGCTCCTTACCATCAAGTATATCAAGCGTAGACGCACGCGTCAAGACCGCTTCTTTCTTTCCTTTAATCTTTGGCATCCCTCCACCATTCTGGCACCCGCCAGGGCAGGCCATCTGCTCGACAACGTCGCATTCGACCTCCTTGTTGAGCACCATCCTTGCTGCTGCGTTGATAGCAGATCCGCCATGAGCGATAAGTGCACGGTATGTTTCTCCAGCTATTTCGCAGCTTACCAGTTTCACTGTTTGCACCAATTGGCCCGGAGTCTTGAACTCCTTTAGTAGCTCTTCCTTGACGTTTTCTATTGGAGACTTCTTCATATAAGATATAAAGCGCAGGCAAGTCTCGGCAACACCGCCGGTCTTTCCAAATATATGCGACCCGCCACTGACGGTATTGAACGGCGCATCAAAGTCCCACTTCTTCTGAGTGGAGCGGCCAGGTCTTAGGACGAGTGCATCTGCTTCGACCTCCTCTAGAGTGAGACGAGCACCATGAAGGAAATACAGATGTTCCGCCACTTCGCGCACCGTCAAACATATGTCAACGTCTCGATTGAGCTGGGGGCGCATTGATTCATCCTTCTTTGCAGTGCAAGGCATGATGTCGGCGACATAGACGTCGTCAACACTATCAACGATACCCTTGGGAATGAGATGCTCCTGGACCCAGCGTCTCTTGACCAACGTGGCAACCATTGCAACGCAGCTCTTCGCAGTCGACACCTGCGGAAGCAGCTCTGGATATTTCATCTCGCAAAGATTGACCCATGCCGGGCAGCAGCTCGTGAACACGGGTCCACGCCCCTCATGTTTGAAGTGAAGAAGCTCCTGGGTGTCAATGACCGTTGTTTCATCAGCCCCGAAATTCACGTCAAAAACGTAGTCGAAGCCTAAGTACTGCTTGAGCATGCGTATCAGCGAGTATATTGTGTTTGTACCTATTGGCAGGCCAAAGACGTCTCCAAACGCAACGCGCGTCGAAGGGGCAATGAGAGCCACCCTGACCTTTTTCGACGCAGACTCGCCCTTATAGATCTCCAGGTTGTTCTTGGGAGCAATTGCGTCAACAGGGCATATGGTTGCACACTGCCCACAGCCAATGCAGTCGCTGTTGAAGAGGGTAGAGAGCTTGACTATCGGAGGGTACTTCGGCTTCTCGTTCTGCTTATAGACGCCTATCCCTTGAACATCACAGGCCTTGATGCACATGTTGCACCCGATACACTTGGCGTAGTCTATCATAATGGCGTTATTGGAGTCTACGCCGGTGACGTCATGCTGAGGCTTAGGGGGCATTTTTAAAGGTTTATATTTTTAGCCTATAACTTTTCAACGCAGTAGAGGTCAAAGTTTGCACGCTGTAGTAAACCATCAACAGGAACACAATCCAACTCATGACTAGTAAATCGTAAAAAAAGAAATCCGAAAAATATCACTCAACTTTATACTTCGAAGAACTCAATGCATCCAACACAAGCTGCGAGAAATGCTTTATCTTTGCCTTGTTTGCATAATACAATATGCTGTTTCCAACTGAGTCTTTACACTTGCACTCCAGTGGCAGAAGCTTTTTAAAAATGTTCATTTTGACAGGATCCATGGCGTATGCAATGGCAGGCGTTCCGACTCCATCAGTCAGCCCTGCCTCACCAATAAGCATATCTATGTATGCTACTCTATTTGTCTCCACTGCGCAAACAAGTGCTGTTTTGCCCATTACGTCCTGCATTCCCACTTCACTTTGCTGTACTGTCGCGTGCGACTCTACTTTTTCACTATTTTCTGCTTTGCGTGCAATAATTTTTGAATGAGCAAGTGCTTCTACGGCACGATTCCAACCTAGTAGAACTGCAATCATCAGAGCGGTGTATCTCAAGCACTTGTCCTGCAGACGCGTCTCTACACCAGACAAAATATCGAAGAGCCGTGCATTTCTTAGGACCACAGTTATCATCATGGCTGTGGGAAGCCAGGGACCATACCCCATAGCAGAGATAAAGACATTGAGATACGATCCCTTGCACCTCCCAATCAAGCACTGCACAGCAGGGTAGTTCCCTTGCTCAACGTATCTAAACCACGGAGTCCATCCGTCCGTCTCTGCCCCCCACTCACCACTGTCCACTTCTGTGGGAATAACACCCCTTAGAGCATTGCAGTAATCATGCGAATAGCCTTTAGCCGAGAGAGATCTCCAACACTGCTCTGCCAGTAGGCGTATCAAGATGCTACGCAAATCGCTCAGTACATAATTATCCTCGTGTGTATATGTGAGGAGCGTTTCCAACGCATCGAGCTGCGGTTCGCTTGCACTGTGTGCAATGACAGTAAGGGCATTACATAAATCCTCGTTTCCCCCAAGTCCTTCTAGGAATGTCTTTACCGCGTCTGTTAGCGAGGCGCTGCCTTTTCGTGCCTCAGAAAAGAAACTTGAAGGTCGATAAAACAGATACTGAACAAGAAATCCCATATTTTCTGAGATGGTGTCTAGCTGGAATATCTCACTGAGAGGTCGCTCAGTAAAAAGCTTAAATTGAGGAACATCTACTGCACTACCTTGACTAGTGGATTCAGCGATGTCAGGCAATTGTGGAGATTCTACAGCCATAGCACCACTTTTTAATTGATACGAGGTTTGAAGCGGGGCTAGCCACTTGCATGGAGCACCGGTCTCTGTCACGTGAGAAGCCTCATGATCTATGGTCAGAAGCGGCGCTAAGCATACAGCCGCATCATCACTTGCTGTAGAGTAGCTGGCGTTTCCCGCAGTAGAGCTGCCGCATACTCCTGTAGCGCCCACTCCACAGTGCCTTCCATAGATAGCACTCCACTTTGCAGCATCAGGGCGTTCTTTGGAGCAGTATTGGACAGAGGATTGTGGTCGATCAGTAACCGCGGTCGAATTCTGCGAGAATTCTTTTACATCGTTTGAATGGAGGCCGGCTACGATACACTTAAGCGATAAGCTTTCATTGCAGGCCATATTTTTGTTTTGAGCCATGGCAGTCCTGCCGTTTAGTTCTGAGCACCCTTTTCGTAAGGAGCGTTTCATACTCAAGACAGTCAAAAATCGATGACAAAAACCGGAGTGTCTTTGTGTTATAATACCGCACACACCATAGTCACTAGATCCCAGTAGCCTGCATCCTCCAGAAACCGCTGGATACATGCCAGATTCGTATTCACATGCTCGTTTATTACCGTACTTTCCGCATGGGATATAGTGTTTTACAGACACTGAAGCGTTGCGCTGTTTAGTAATCGGTTTCATATACCAACTAATACCGCTTGCCCAGCCCAAGGGCGGCCACTTGATTGCCCACTGGTTATGCCTCTGATATCCTCGTTCTAGCACAGCAAAGCCAGTAGGAATCATTAGATTGACATCCTGAACATTTGGTTGGCCTGTTGAGATACCGCATCCATCTAATCCATCCTCCACACTCCTATTATTCAGTTTATAATAAACAGCTTCATATCCTTTTCCTTGCGATCCGTTATACTTTACAACGCTTACGCCTTTAATAGTACCCGTTACTTTAGTACTGAGACGGCAACACGTGTGAACGAGCCGCAGCAAGCTTCTAGACACGGTTATGCCATGAGCATGGATATCTTTACAAGCTAGTGTGGCAAGGAATGTAAACGATAAGTCGTCATTTCCACTACAAACCCACGCGGATCTTGGACGCAAGGTGCCAAAGCTTCTATTGAAATAATGTAGCTTGCTGAAGGAATTCTTTGCACGCAAACCGGCCAACTTGCCAACGCAAGAGGCTGTCAGTAGAATAGATGGAGTAGCGATTAGCTCTATCGTTCCAGAAGGCACACCTTGGAAATGATCTGCAGTAGGGTGGTGCAACGCCATACTTTTATTTTCCACTACGATCGAGTTACAGTTACTGTAGACCTAAGAACTTGGGCGCTTGAGGTAACCAAGACAGCTATAAGATAGCCTATGGCTTTTAATGCATATTTGTAACTTTTAGTCAGGTGTCATCTGTAACAGGAAGAATATTGCATAATAGTTTGGACAAACATACATATCTGTATAATTCGCATTAGAGATGTAAGCTACAAAGAATCAAGCGACGCATGGGTCTGTGCCTACATTACTGCACTAATCTGGTTTGGACAACGTTGGAGACCGTACACGTAACTATATAGTTCTGCTCTCTCCAGTATTGAGTTGGCTTCATAGCCTGATGACTTTGGTGGAGTAGATATGATAGTTGCAGTTCTACAGTATTAGTTGGTATTAGAAATGAATCTGCCAATGCAGTTTCCAAGTGTTGTAGACCCGTACAGATGGATCTGGCTTTCTAGAGCTTTCTGTATTCCACAACAAACACTGACGGGCTTGATGGAGTACAGTAAGGTTCCGTTTTCTTAGAGCTGTCCTTCTTGAGCCACGAGGCATTTTAATTACATTGACATACCCGTTTTAACCCTTTCACTATATGCTGCACTCAAATAGTTATGCAATGTGGTCAACCATATCAAACATCTATGCCGCAGTATCTACAAAGTCGCATCCGGACCCACCGTGAGCGAAGGTTTTATTTTAATTGGTTGCAGTAAAGGCAGTAAGAGCTACAGGCTACAGACTACAGTTTAGATTGACGCCCAGCACCTACCTAGAAAATATTTGTGCACTGAAGTGTTTACTGCGTTAAGAGAACTAAGAAAGGATACCTATATATCTAGTCAGATCGTGCTTAAGCGCCAGCTCGAGGGGAGAGATCCCAGGGCCCTCATGATACGAGGAATTTGTGTATACAGAGCTTTCTAGTGGGGCCAGGTAGTGTACTATATCGTCATAGCCTTGTATTATGGCATACATTAGAGCGGTAAGCCCCTGCATGCTGATGAATGTTGCCTCTACACTCAGGAGCTTAACTGCTACCAGATCCCCTCTGTATGCCGCCTCCATGAGTGCAGTCTTACCACTAGGGTTGATGACCCTCTTATAAATATTACGCATGACAAATATGGCAACGTGGGCACCGGTCTCCACAGCCTTAAACCACACAGGACTCAAGACACGCTTCTGCTTGGGATCGTCCAAGTGCTGTAAGAGTCCGCTATCAACAGCATAATGCAAAAGCCTCTCGATCCCAAGGTTATTAACTTCTAAGCATCTAAATACCGAAATTATTCCATTGTTGTCATAGGGAAATGGTATATTTAAGTGGCCGGCTAGGACCTCCAAGAGTGCAGTGGCTGAGTCATAAGACTGCCGAGAGACGGCATAATCGAGAGCAGTCATGTTGCTACTGTCAATAGGCATGAGTGCTTCTATGATCTCCACAGGAGCACTCGTATGCTCAACGGAGTCTGGCTGTGGTGCCAATAATGCCTTCACATAGTGTACATCGTTAAAGATACATGCAAGCATCAAGGGTGTGACACCATCTTCATCTCTCGAAGAGCTATATTTATGTAAGTAAGTATTAAACATTTTATCATCTTTAACAGCAATGGCATAGTGCAGAGACGTGAAGCCTCTCGATCTTCCAAGATTCCTTTCTTTTTCCATTAAAAGCCGACATATCTCGCGCCTCCCTTGAAGAGCAGCAATCTTAAATCCAAATCTTCCACTCTTAGATACAAGTCCTCCATCGTATATGGCCAACACCTTGCAGGCATCTTCACAGAAATCTTTCTGATCAAGTGCATACATCAGTGCACTGTTCCCGCTTCTATCCTGGTATCCGCCCTCAAACGGAGCCAGGTACCTCACCATCTCATAGCAGTAGTTGATGACGGCAAGGATCAATGCTGTCATATTCCCGGTTAGCTGACCTGAGGTTGAATTGAGATTGGCACTACTACTCAGCAGTCTTACTGTCATACCTCTTCCTACAGCGGCTGTTCTGGTTCCCAAAAGAGATAGTTGGACGGAGCTACTCAGCTGCGAGCCGGATAGATCAGAGTACGTGGATGTATCTTTACCAACAAACCCTGCTTCCCGTTCCAACAGAAGTTGTGCAAGGTCAAGGTTTTGATTATCTATAGCATGCATCAGTGCAGTCCATCCATCAGAATCCTGACAGCACGCTTCGGCACTTATCAATAGGCGGCACCCATCAGAGATAGGGAGGTAATTACAGGCCGCATGCATCAGCGCTGTCCGCCCCTTCAGATTTGCTCTCTTTAGGAATCTAAGTTGGCTATGCACAAGATCAGGGTCTCCTACCTCAAGAGCATCGAAGAGAGGAGTGTTCTCCATTGCGTCCCGTTGTATCACGGAGTCTGTTGAGAAATTATCCCAATTGAACGATCCTGCTTCAATCAGGGAGCTTCTGATGTGGTCCCCCATGTTCTCCAGAGCGCATATGGCTGCAAAGCTTGGTCGTGATAACTCTTGACCAACCATTTTCTTAAGAAGGATGGGGAGATGAGAAGTGCACATAGCGTTCTCGGGACAGTATCGAGAAATAAGATCCTGGATAAATCTTCCTAGACGTGCTACGCTTTGCTGCTCGGACTTTATAGGATTAGATTCTAAAACGCATTCCTTTAAGGGCACGTATGCCGGCCTGTAAAGAACGTGGCCGTACGAGTCATAGTAAATTTGTTCTTCACTGAATGTAAAGAAGGCGTGGAGCTGCATGCCATTGTACTGATAATTGTGTACCAGTTTCACGATCGCTAGCGAAACCCCTACTATTAGCTTCCAAAGCTCAAGCTCTGTCAAAATTGTACCCTGGAACTCCTGTTCTTCCAAGATTTGATCTAATCTTATACCATGACAATACTGCTCGAAAGAGTACACTTGCCTCTTGCCTCTATCGAACACTAAAGAATAGGACGTCAAGATGCCGTCTCCGTTGAGCTTTGAACCCTGAATGGATGAGCTCATGGAGTCCAGTCCTGTAGGGAGCGGTTTCAGATACCCCACAAGGTTGTGCGCTAAGAGGACTGCAGATCCTCCTGCGACAGCTGTGTTATCCAAAGAAGACAGTAAAGCAAGCTGGGTGCTGTCTATCATAAACTGTTTTTTAGAACAATCGGAATCTATAATAGTGCAACGCAAGCCTTACAATGGAATCCTGAAGAGGAAGGAAGCTGTTCGAAGGCGCAGAACTTTAACTGCCATAGCAGTCGGAGTATTCTTACGGATAACACTTGAAATGGTCAATCGCTTTGGTCGCCTTGGCTCCTTGGGTAGTAATGACAGTTTAACTTGACTATTATGCTGTCGTGGCGTGCTTGTATGGATGTGAAGAATAGACACCTCTTTACGTTTGCAAGTTGCATGTGGGGTGATGGTGCTGTTGAAAGGTATGTCAGCAAAAGCCTTGTACCTGTAAGTATTTTGTTTAAGGGACTTAGAACTGGTGAATAAACAAAGTATCCCGTCTCTATCCAAGTGTACACCTGGAGAGTAATCGCTACCTGTCTTGAACGATCCTGATGAAGCGCTAGAGACACTCGGCGAAGAAGTATTTACGCCGGGAGGACTTGAACCTATGCTCTTTGTGTTAATCAACTCCAGCCCGACCCCTCTAAGGATATCGGGGATTGCCTTTGATGGGTAATAGTTAGACAGTAGTGTAGAGTCTGTGCTTTCTGCGGAATTACTTTGATCCAGGTCTTGGTAATCTGGTACGTATGTAGCGTTCATTCTGTAACGCAGATGATTGCAATCAGAGCCAGTACTTGATAAAATGTCTGCCCTCTTTCTTGCCAAGGCCTTAGAGTGCAGCGCTTCAGAGTTGGCAAAGCGTTCAGTGTCCTCTTTACATTTCAAAAGCAGAGTCCGTCTCTCATGAGGGTCTCCATGTACCAGCTCCAAGTCTAGGTGATTCAGGAAATAGTCCACAAAACGGACAGGCGTTTTGGAGACAATGGCCTTGAGGTCTGGGAGAAGTATTGGCTTTAGTGCAAGCGGCTCGTCTGTAGCATCACTCCAACACATATGGTCGCCATTTTTTGTATCAGGGCTTGTGGCTGCGTTATAGTCGATTTCGCTACAATAGGTCGGTGTCTTTGGTGTTACGCAATCTGCAGTCATTTTAGTTTGGGTTCTGTTTTTATCTATCAAGGATTGTTTTTCATTATTCTTTGTACGCATAGCTAGCGCCAATCTACTAAGAGATGCTCTGATATTTGATATGCCTGCTTGCACATATTTATAAGAACTGAAGACTGTCCTAGCGTTTTGGAGTAATCTATTCTTGGGTGAGGCACTCTGTTCAAGACTCTGTGATCGAGACTTTTTATTGTAGGAATTTAACTGGTCCTTATCAATAAAGTCAAAGTCTGAAAGTTCTGTGCCTCTATGCCCCATACTGTAATTGAGAAGAATTTCCTCGCGGTCCCCGGAGTTTATCGCGCGAACTAGCTCGTTGTAATAAGGGACTTTAAAAGTCAAAGAGTTGGTGGCCTCTACAGATAATGCAGCGTTGTATAGTTTTCTAAATTGCTCTCCAGCTTGAGGACTAAGGTGACGGGATCTGTCCCTATTCCATACAGCTGGACATGAAATACAGTTTCGCATGGGATGCTGAAGAATAGGTACCTTCCTGAATATGCTGGTGTGGTCATGAAGAGATAAAGACTTGCCATATTCGTCTACATTTGGAAAGAGCTGTGTTCCAGGGAAGTGAAGATTGGATGGCGGAGTTGTCGAAGGGGTACTTTGTGTTGATGACTTAACAGTAAGGGGCCTCACATGTTCTATTTTCTGAACAATTGGTAGGTTGGTGCACACCAACGTTTGCCGGCCTCCCGACATGCTTGTGCTGTCAATATTTTTCTTTTTCTTTAAGAGTAGTTGCTTCAAGGTTGATAGACATACATTAGGTACATCCATCTCCGACCTATGTAGAAGAGAATATGACGGCAGAGATATTGCCTTTCGAGTTGGTCCCAGATGGCTTAGCCTTTGCCCTCTTGACTGGGCCTTATTACTGGAGACCCGTCTACTAGCGAAGGATGTGTACTTACTATTTGATGGCCCAGTCGATCTAGATTCGGAGGGACGAAATGCAGTAGCCGAATCCCCCTGCTCAGCATCTTCGGTACCTGATAGGTTGAGAGCAGATCCCTCTGGTACTAGAGGAGCTCGTGATACCCTAAGGTCTCGTAATACCAGTTTGGAAGATATATCTGCATCTTTGCTGATAGGGTGAGAGTAAGTGGAACTACCTACTTCTGAAGAGCGTTTGTTACCAGAGGGAAGCAGCTGGAGATAGGATATAACTTTGGAACGGAGTGATTCACGCAGAGGATCCCTGGGACTTGTGGGATGCGCTGAAGAGGATTCAATGCAGTCCTCTGCCAATCTAAACGCGCGAATGGTCTGGTTTTCCTTTGCACGCATAATTGTGGCGATTGTGGTAGAGTCCTTGTGTGTAAACACAACTGTGTCAACAGAATTGGAGGATTGCCCCTCAACCCTCTTTGAGCCCAGAGGGGTTCCAGTGATAAGTGACAAGAGGTGGTCTGGGAGGGTAAACAGATAGCTGAGTGGTTTAATGTTGTACTCCTTTAGAATTAGCAGAGCAAGATCGGCATCATCCATAACCTCTAACAGCTGACTCTGTTGGATGAGTGCCGCCTGACCTTTTAAGCGGCTATATGTTATACTCCTTGATGCGGCAGCACTCCATGCTTCAGAGGAGAAAATCCTGTCGTCGAAAAAAGGTGAACATCTTGTTGGTAAATGGTCACCATCATAACTTGAAGAAAAGAATGCTTGGAAAAAGGAATAAAGAGAGTCAAGGGACTGTAACCCACTACCAGGAAGATGTCCTGTTCCACCGTACCTAATGAACGCATCGTGGGCCTCATGTGAGACAAATGACGGGTCGAAGATGGTATTGAGACATAGCCCCCTGACCTTTGAGTTGCAGAGCCTCATTATAAGCTCCTCTATATTATAGTCGCACCTGTATGGCAAGACAACTCCGCGATGACTAAAGGTTTGCATGATATTGCACAGCGCCAGAAAGGTTAAACGACACCGCAGCTTATCTGAGCCCTGGAGTAGTTCGGGGGCTGGTAAATTAAGAATCTCTTCATCAGCTGCTGGTTGTATGATTTTAGGAAATCTGCGGAGTAACTGAATAATGGACAGAGAAAGAGTGTTCAAACAGTCTATGATAGAACCTGAGTAACACAGCAGTACAGCTTGCAGCAACAGAGCATCTGAGGTAATTATTGTGTCGATCTTTTCACTTTTTCCTCGGGGTGCATCTTGCCGAACAATGGTTGGCTTTAGAAGGATGTCCAATATCCTCTGAATATCGGGTAATCGATCCATCTGAATGAGAAGAAGTATCAAGCGCTGAGCTGCCAGGGGCGTTGGGCACATCTTCAACGAGCATTCAAGGAGCTCGTAGGCTTCCGGATTCCTGTGCATGGACACCAGGCATGCGCCCAGTGAGCTGTAGAGCACAGCCTTGAAGATGCGTAAGTAAGCTTTGTCGCGGAACATTCGGCAGGGAGCTTGCTGATTGTGACGCGCCGTTACTAGGTCCTGCAGCTGTATGTACATATAGAGCGCCTCCTTATACTCTTCTTTCTGATACAAGAGAGACGCTCGTCTCAGAACCATATCCATTCGATGTATGTCGCTGGCCATCACATCCTCTTCGTACTTTAATTTTCCACAGCAACAAAAACAATCCATCAGTTTACGGGAGATGTATAGATTGCTGCAGACAACAAAAAGCTGTAGAAAGGCCTCTTTCGCTTAGTTTCATAGTGGAGTAGTTCAGGTCATCCTGAGAATAAATCTTGAAAGCACCACCAGAATCTTTCAAAAGAGACATTTAGACAGCTTCGGAGATCTCTGTGATAGTATGCTGCTCAGCACTAGCAAACAGGAGCCGCATTGTCGATTTTGCCGATCGCAAGCTGAGGGGGAGCTGGTATGTTAGCTCTTTCTTGGTAACGACACTGAGCAGGGGCAATGAGAAGATCTGTATTGCTGTAACAATACCATCTGACGCCTGCTGGATCAACCCCTCGCGAGCCCTTCTTTTCTCTCTGTCTAGGGGGCTATCAGACAAATATGCAAGATGGTAAACGATCAGCTGAGAAGACACGTTCTTGTGTGCTCGAGCAGCAGGAAACTTAAAGGTTACAATAATGTTGGGTTTAACTGCAGAAAGCTTGATTATGGTCCTGTGAGGATATACCACAGACGAGAAGATGGTAGAATCCAGATATCTGGTTAGCCGTGAAGTCTTGGCCAGTACACCAGAGGCGAGCTTTACCTCACATTCAAGCAGACTAGCACCTGGCTTGGGAATGAAGTTAGCGCACTGCATTGATGAAGTGGTGTGCGTCAAGGACACAGTGCTGACAACCCTTGTTGGGGGCTTCTCTTGTGGTGATCTGGTGGATGCGGCAACACCAATGATGTAGTAGTCGGTTGCTGGTATGCTCATCTGAAAGGAGTATGTGGAAAGAGGCGAGTGTGCATCCAATACAAACTGGAAGACGCGAACTCCTGCTAATAATGCGGGGATCTCCTTGCAGCTGTAAGCTTCTTCTGGTTTTGAAGTGATGCTAGGTCTTGCTGTTGTTTCGGAAAACGGGTTAGACGGGGTTACTAAATAAAGCATTTGTAAAAGACTTGCTGGCTTGATTAGCAATCGAGTTTGTTGGCAACAGTCACTGGGAGAAGACTCGTCAGCAGAAGACTCGTCTTGAGATATATGTGTACACACACAGCCATTCTGTAAGTGAAGCTGGGCACAGGTGCCAGCCAATCGCATGGCCACGGGCATTGCCAGATTATGAGCAAGATGCTCACAAAAGGAGCCGAGAATGGTAAGCTCTGTCGGGTCTTCGTCTGGAAGGTTGGTTAGTATAGAGGTCTCGTCTATACTGCTCTTGAGCTTATTTGCCAGCTCTTGGTCAAATGTCTCTAACAGAGCATATGCTCTCTCAGACTCCGTCATGGTCTTATCTGAAGCTAAGATTTTGCAGATTGGTTCCAGAAGACTCTCTTCACCTGCACACTCCGGACAAAGGGATGCCGGCGCTTCAAATTCATAACTAGAATAAAATATCTGATCACGGAGAGGTGAACACGATACGCAAAATGGTAGCTGACACTTTGCACATCGGTCTCCTCTGAGATCTTCGCTAATAGATGCTCCACAGCTGGAGCAAGGCAGCCCAATTAGACTGCTTGCGATCGCTGTCGGCTGCTCCTGCAAATATTCAAGAAGCATCTGCTCAAACTTATCAGCAATTTCTCCCAGGGACAGAGTATTTGTAACTGCTGCTGAACGAAGACGTGCATACAGACTATTCTTAATACGTACTTGGGGAGACAGAATACTGAACAATGTATTGCTGTCTGACCTAATAAATCCAGCTAGGAACGTTGAAGAAGCCAATTTGTAGAGAGACGCAGCAAGCTTAATGTAAGTGTCGCTGAAGTAAGATGAAGATTTATACAGCTTCTTATAGTTTGTGGTGCCAAATATGATCTTCAGTTCGTTAGAGTTCTCTAATAGTGCTGGTGTGTATAGAACCAGAAGCCTAATAATTTCTAAAATCATGGGATTTGGTGCTATCATAATCAATGGAATAGAGGCCTTCTTTTCATGCAGTTGGGCTCTCAGAATACTTAGCAGCCCATGAGTGAAGGAAAAATTGCATCGAGAGTCAATGATAGCACCTATGCACGTTAGCTTGCTGCCAGCTCCTTTCCTTTTGGTCTTTGCAGCACTTACAAACCGCTGGGCACGTTGATAAATCGACATTAGCAGAGGTTGTGATGTAGCTGCAATACTTTGCTCCTGGCTTAGCATCAACGCTGTCAGAGTTGATATGATAGTAGGCATAGCTGACTCTCCATTCATGTACCGTGCTACAGCGTAACAATTAGACATGGATATTTGAGTGTTAGACTTAGAGCGACCATTATCGGCCAGCAATGAGGTTACAAGAGCACTGAGTGCGTGGCGTACAGTTATCAGGTGACAAGTGGTATTGAGGGTCGCTTCGGTGATGGGTGGCGCACTGCACAAGGATAGTCCTGCATCAACACTAAATCCTGGCACAACGAGGTGAGAGATGATAAACTGAGAGCCTTCCGGCTGGTCTACTCGAACAAGATCGAAATCAAAGGGAGTCTTTACCCCAGCGATCAGAGAAGAGTCACTCCACGATATCTCACATATTAGAGAGAAGAATAAATACTCCTGCGGAATACTGTCCTGACTGCTTTCCTGTATGACGGAGCTTCGCTTCATGTTCAGATCTGGGACAGACACGTGGAGGCCTACCTGATGACTTTCATATAGCTTGTACCATATGCTTGGACACCTCTTGCTACTGATAAATACGTTTATGCTTGGAATCGTATGCGGAGGCACTTGGTCGGACAGGCCTAAAGATCTCCCAGTAGGGGTCCTCAGACTGAGATGAGAACAGTAAATGATAATCTGTTTGGCAGACGACACAGGTATATTAGACTGAAAGTACACCGACTTACCGCTTGGGCCAAGAGGGGCTTCATCGAAAGGAGCAAATGAAACTGGACGCACTACAGCTGACATGGCAGATACAAGTCTGTGCGCATAGCTGAGTACCTTATGCTGGTAAGGTGATTGCTTGTCTGAAGAGGGCTTTACTTCCTTACTCAAATAGGAGGATCGCAAGTTTTTTGTATCGAGCTGGAGTAGGAGACGCTCAGCCAAGTCGTTGACAGTTGCTGCAGTCAACACACGATTGAGTCTTTTCTCCTTAGAGTTTCCGAATGCGTTGATTTGCTCTAGTAGCATGTCCAGTAATAACTGGTAATCTGTTGTGAGACCGAGGATAAGGGGGTGTATGGCAAACTCAACCTTTAGCTCTGCGTGTTCTCTATCAATGACCGGGGTGAGACCGTACTTAGAAAGAGCTGGGCCGAGAGCTTCGCAGTGCTTCTTATTCGCGAAGTATAACCGCCTGATCCTCTGGGACCGGCAGGTAAGAAGCGTCGCTAGTTGCTCTACAAAGTTGCCAACACTTTGATCCTCCTGGTCGATCAAAGCTTCGTTATAGTTGGTAGTGATCAGGGGCAGTTGTCGGGTATTAGATGTGCCATCACAAAAAGCCCGATCGTCAGTTAAATTGCATGAGAGATAGTACAGAATAGATGTTTTCCTTTCTTTCTGACCAGATATCCAGTCTCTCCCCATGTATATGTGTTCACCTTTGTAGCCGATAGAAAACCGAGTAACAATATTAAGTTTTCGCAACGCCTCGGCATCTGTATCACAAAACATGGCGTAGAACGTCAGCTCTGGAAGGGTAGGAAAAGCAGAGGAATGAACATGTGTTGAGAGGCAATTCTGAGCCCGCAGAGCCTTGAAGAATGCCAAGGCTTCGGTCTCTTTAAATAGTTGCTTTGGGATTGCTCGCTCTATTTGCCAGGAAAGGCGAAGCGATAGGGTCTGCACCTCTGCACCATAAAAGTAGTAGACACAAGCGCTTGGAAAGAGAAGGCACCCCAAAAAGAAGCTCTCATCTATACACAGTGTCGCCTTTGCCAGAAATTCTTCGGTCAAAAGGCTTGCTCCAAGTGGATAGATGTGAGGCATGGGCTGATCTGCCGTGAAGGCTATCACCGTCTGGACATCCTTTTGTTTATCCACTAGAAAGTAGACTTCATTAATCTCATAAACTTTCATGACCTGAGGTCGATAGAAAAGAAAGGAGAGACCTGACTATTTTTTGGTCCTGCTTAGATTTGTGCCAAAGAACCCAGCAGCTCCACTTGCAGCATGCCTCTTCTTCAGCTAAGATCCTTTAGCACGGGTGCTGCAGAGATCAAGCCCCCACAGCCCCAGGGTTCAGCATCTGCAAAGCATCAGGATTTGGAAAGAGGTAGTACTCTTAGTTTTCAACCAAAGACTCGAGGTGGGCGTAGAGCATTAAGTCTTGACACTGGATCAAGAGCAAAGGGATGCCTTGTGACTGCATGCACACCACTCTGTGGAGAGGCACATGTCCCCCAGCTGCTTCTAAGCCTAGAGAACCATGTTCAGCCGCCCAATAAACGCGCTAAGACTATGCTCCGGACAGGTATGAAGACCGTTGTTCAGCCAACTCGCATCACCATTAAGAGCACCGATGGCACGGCTGAGTATCCACCATCCTATTTCCCCAATTCCCTGACGCTTCCGTCGATAAACTTTACTTTGGGAGATTGCCAGGTATCGCGTGAGGTTACGAAGGGCTTTGTCCAGCGTGAGGACGTCTGTGAGGCCATAGATCCAGATGCAGCTATGGGACTCCTTGGTCACCGAATTGCAAACCACAGCATTACTATGGCCAGTAGCGGGGTCCTCAGGGAGAGCACGAAAACGAATGAGTATTGTATGATACACTCCATCCAGAACAACCTCGCAATCATCAGACGTACAACGAACACGTTGATGAAGAGGCTTCAAGACCAGCTGGCATCTAGTGAGAGAGCGCTCGCTGAGTGTAGGGCACGCATAGATAGCGCAGAGGCCCGTGCCGTGTCTCTCGACGCAATGGTAGAACGAATCCATACTCTCGCCTCAAACACGACGCTGCAGGAGCTTTGTGTCATCAGTAAGGACCAGGAGGATGTCAGCCACATCATTGCTCATTTGGACTCGCAGCTGGATAAAGACATTAAGACCCTCGATGAAATGTACACCTTTGGACACGACTTTTCTCAGCGTGTCATGCTATACAGGAGTCGACTTCCGGTCTTCGAGAAGACGATGACCGTCCTAAAGCTGAAGTGTGACGCAATAAAGAGCAAGGTAAACAAGTAGGTGCATTCACTCACGAGGACAACTTAAAAGCCTATCTTGATCTGCCTAATGAACCTTCCCACTTCAGGGCGAGAAAGCATAAGGGTGCCGACTAGGTTCGTGGCCTTCTCCCTCCACTCGGGGCAGTCAAGCTTCACAGTCCCGAGCAGTTCCTTTCCAATGCGCTTCACAGGCTCGGTGAGAGAGCCGAGGAGCTTGCTCTTGCTCTCCGCAAGGTTGATGCAGAGCTGTATGGCGTCTACAGATATGTCTGTAATCACTGAGTCGAGGACAACGAAGTCCGGGCAAGCCCTATCAGAGTGCACAGTCTTCCCCATGTACATGTAGTATCCCAGCATAACCGGGATGGGGCGGTTGTCCGAGGCCACGTAGACGAACTCGGGACGGATGCCGTCCTGGAAAGCAGCTGCGCAGTGGTACGAGGCATGCACGGACCCCACGCAGATGATTGTCTCGGGACGGACAAGATCCAGGGCCTCCTTCAATTGCTCGATGCTAGGCCTCGTGGGAGGGCTGTCAGGAACGTCAACAGAATAGACCTCGATGCCTCTCTCTTTGCAGATGTCCGAAACATACTCCTTCTGCTCCCTCAGATGCAAGTGGCTAACCAGCACAACCTTAGTCGCCCTGATCTCGTTGACGACAGTCGGGAAAGCCGACGGGCGATAGTAGAGGCGGTTGGGGAAGACTATTGACTCCATTTTTTTACTCGATTCCAAGATATCTAATTTCATTTTCAAAACCGGAGACCTGTTGACAAGGCACTTTGCTCCGCAGCACCAACAGTAAACCGCAGTGTGCGTTCCGTTGGGTGCTAGTTGGTTATTCTAATTTTGTCCATACGCATCTCGGCTGCATGATCCTCCTGACGCTCCAGCGCTGCTTGCTTCCTGAACTCGAGGATGCTGACCAGACTCTTGAACAGTTTGTTCTGCGCCATCCGGTTGGGGAGGTTGCATTTTAGTTCCTCTTGCTTCGCACGAATCTCCATCATCTGGGTCTTACACGCGTTGTTCTCACTAGTGATCTCTCGCTTCAACCTGTCGAATTCTCGTACGTTGTCAGCCTGCTCCAGTTCCAGGCGTAACAGCTCCGCCTTCTTGTCTGTAACGATCGCCTGTGTCTTCAGATTGTCTATCTCCAGCTCAAGCGCTCGAACGCTTAGACGTAGCTTGTAGACTGACCCCTCCCGTGACACTTCAAGGGTCCTGGCTCGCTGATTCTCGCTCTCTGTGTCTGCTTCCAGTTGGGCACACTGGCGCTTCAATGCAGCAAGCTCAGAGACGCGAGGGGCAAGATCGCGCTTCTTCTGCTGCAATGTGGCGTCCAGCTCAGCCAGAACCGCCTTTGCTTCCATAAGATTCTTCGCGTTTAAGCCAACGCCCCCGATGCTCCCCAGCACCCGCTGCTTTCCTCCCCCAATGGGCCTAAGTCCCCCGGCATCAGTGAGTTCATCTGGAGCCTCTGCAGAAAGATTCGGGATTGCGGCAAGGATGTCCTTTGTGCGGGAAACTATAGCGTTCTCCTTGCGCAGCAGCTGCTGTTCGTCCATTGCCTTCTTGTGCAGTGGTTTGAGAGCTCTGCCCTTTGAAAGGAGGTTCTTGAACAGTAACATGGGTATGCTGTCCATGTCATCTATGTCCTTCATCAAGCTCGCCATGTCTGTGCTCGAGCACCTCTTCGCTACCTCTGCATCTACCTCTGCACTTTCCCGCCTTGCATTTGTGAGTCTATTTTCAAGCTGTGCACGCTGAGTTTTAATTTTCGTTATCTGCTGATTCAAGAAGCTCATTTTCTCCTGCTCATTATCTTCCTCATCCGGAGAACCAACCGTGGAAACCATTTCCCTGTACTTGACTAGGTCCGTCCGCAGGGTCTCTAACTCGTTCTCCATGAGCTCAATAGCCTCCTGTCCTGGTTCAGACTGAATCAGGTGTGCAAGTGACTCTTTCTCTGTGATTTCTGCCGTGAGGTTGATAATCTCTTGTTTCAGCCGCTTGTTCTCTGCCTCCGATGCCTCCAAGATGTTGGCAGGAGTCCCCCGAGCGGAGTTGACCACGGCCTTCGCCGCATTCAGTGCAGCACGCCGTATCTCGTTTTGGCTATTAATCTGGGTCTTTAGTTCTTCAATCTCTGAGAGCGCAACCCGGCGACGACTGGCCAAGCGAACGGCCTCTTTCGGTACTGACAGTGCCTTGGCTTGCTTCACCCGGTCGAACAGCTTATCCCTCCTTGTCAGAAATGTGGTCTTGTCAGTGGCAAGGCGCTCCATCTTCTGCAGAATCTGATCTTTCTGGACGTCTCTGTTTTGATTGAGTGCCTCTGTAAACCTACTTTGAGCTTCGCGTAGCTGGGACAGAAGCGTCTGGATCTGGGGGTCGACCATGTAGTCTGCAGGAATCACCGGGGGCAGTTTGAACTTGGAGACATAAATCGTTTCCCTGGAAGCAGCCAGGTCCTTAAGGATGGCGGAGAGGAGAACGCGCATATTGGCTGAGTCTGAAAGAACAAGCTCCTGGACAAAGGCTTGCTTGTCAGCCATGCTTCGAGATTCATTGAGATTTAAAAGACAGACAGTGAAGTCGGTTATACCAGCGGCGACCTGCTCCAAATTGGCCGCGTTGACCTTCACAGGGGGAGGCACAGCTTTGCTGTCCTCGGCCAGAGAGTGCGGACGGACCTGGTATGCCACGTCTGCAAGAAGCTGCATTGCTCTAACGGGGTCATGCAAGATTTCTGAAAGAGTGATAAGCGTCATCCTGCGCTCGAAGGGAGGAAGATTGAGGCCGTCTGTAATGGTCTGGAGCTGATCTGTGCTTGTCGGAGGCTGCATAGTTTTTAGAAAGTGGCCGGTACGTGCTCAAAAAGCAATTTACAACAATTCAGTCTATCTGACACGTCCGCACATGTCGAACTTTTCAAACACCTTCTCGTTCACCACCACTTCTTCTATTTCATCTAGCGTCTTTCCTTTTGTCTCAGGGATAATGAACCACGACAAAATTGTGAAGAAGATAGTGATCACAAGATAGAGAACAAACGCCTGCCAAAGTTTGTCCTGCATGTAAGGGAATGTAAAGACAACTATGATGCTGGCAAGCTTGTGCATGGCAAAGGCGATGCTATTAAATTTGACACGCGCAGCCTTGGGGAAGATTTCTCCACATATCGTAAAGACCAAAGGTCCGGGGGCGATAGCAAACCCAAATATGTAGAGAAGAACACCAATCATTATGCAAGCAAGAATGGCAGGGTTTTCCTTATTGCTGTCAGTATTAACCACATAGACAGGTATCAGCATGATAAGCATGGCTGTGAGAATAAAGGTCCCCAAAAACAGCAGGAAACGGCGCCCCATTCGCTCAACAATCGGGATAGCAACGATCGTCGAAACAAAGTTCCAGGACCCAATAATGATAGCGCCGACAAGAGAAGAGTCGGGCATCTTTACAGCCGTAAAGAAAGAACCTGCAAAGAGGATAACAGCATTGATCCCCGTGAACTGCTGGAGGAACGGAAGGATGATAGAAATGGCAAGGCACCGGCGGTAATCCTTCCTTGCGAAGCAGTCCTTGAAGGACGCAGAGTCGGTGTCATCCTTCGATGGCTTCTGTGCCTGCTCCAACGATATGGTCTTAACCTCGACTGAAGCGGCGTGGAGCTCTGTAGACGTAGCGTCGGGGGATTGAGTGCTAGCCTTAACCTGTTCGGAGGCTTGGGTGCTGGTGACCACCCGCTCTGGGATGAAGAAGCAGAAGATCAGTAAACCGACCAAATAGACTATGGTGAGAACGAAGGCCAAGTACCACAGGTTGTGACTAGAAGAGCAGCTACTGTTAATCCCGTAGGGACCATTACTACCATTGTTTTTAATGGTGCCCCTACAGACGGAAATGAGACCCCACTCCATGATGTAGCTCAGAAGGATCCCGAGGGTTAGGAACAGCTGAATACCAACTGTGGCGATACCACGGCGGTGTGGGGGACACGTCTCTGAGATCCAGAGGGGCGTAACCGTTTGTATGCAGCTTGCTGGAAAGCCAGCGAGGACACGAATGACTATCAGATATGCCCAATGAGTTTTGACGGTCATCAAAGCGGTAAGGACAATTGTAGAGACGCAGAAAACAATCGTCGACAGTTTTCGTCCAAGTTTCTCGACTATTGGGAACGTCAGAAGGGATCCAACGAATGCTCCAACAAAGAATGCAGCACTGAAAGCCGCTGTAACACTTGTAGATAATGGGTCAGGTGAGTTACCACCTTTATACCCGTATGCGTTACCTATATCTATTGAATACAGATCCTGGATAGGAGCGCCCATGTTCGTGAAGGTCGAGGCCATCGTGAGCCCGGTAAAGAGGACGAAGATGAAGAAGACACACGTATTCGGGTAGCTTGACGCATAGCTATCTTTCATGCCCATTTACACCTAAATATTATTTTAAATAATAGTAGCAGTCAGGATTAAACGTTAACTTGCTTATTTTACGGAAGAAAAAGGAAGACCTAGAGAATCTGCCTGCTATGAATGACTTGTATCTCAGGAAGAGGTAGTAGGCGCAAATGCTACACCTGCGGAGAGCCGAACTTCTTATTGCTTCCTCTTGCGCTGTTGCAGCTGACTGTGATGATTCATATCAAACGGTAGTGTTCTCCTGCATCTTCGCAACTGTTGATAGCGTTGCACAAACTTTCGTGTTGTGGCATTAAAATATGTAACTTTATGGCGTTTAATCTTTATGGTTAAACGAAGTTGATAGGCTAAATAGGGATGGTAATTTCATTATTGACCATAGGTAGTCTCTGTTCTTGCCTTTTGAAATCGGAGAGGGCACCCTCAAGCTTATGCAAACCAGCAAATTACTGATCAATCACAGTTACAGGGTTTTCTACTGAACTTCTTCTACTGAACTTTTAGGCAAGCGAGCACCCCCTGGCCGCACAAGATCCCACCCTCTCCTGTGCCAGCCCTTTTCATGCGGACGAGGAATCCGAGGTGACGGATTGGTGCGGTGCCCACCTCAGATGGCTGACAGAAGCTATAGACACCTGTCTCTGCGTCAGCTCTTGCAACGTTCACAATCTCACTGGAGTAAATGAACTGAACTGCGTCCTGGCTGTCGGGGACAAGGCGCTCCATGAGGAAGTGTGTCGAGGCTGCCGCAGAGTCGGTGCGGAGCAAGGCATCCCAGGCTGCTGGTATGTCGTCTCCAAAGACGCAGTTCCCGCCGCCCTCTGCAATGGACTTCAGAACCATCGTGCTGGTATCTGGCGAAGAGGCAAGCCAGGCGGAGATCGCTTGCGGAGAGTCCAATATTTTGGAGAGAGTAGACGTAATTCCACTTAGGTATGCATACTTGCTGGTGGCTGTCAGAGTAGGCAGCATGTTCTGAACGACCTTCATACCGACAAGCTGGGCCTCAGCGGTAGGAATGGAAACCAGGGAGTGTGTCTCCAGCAGGATCCGCAATCGTTCATAGTTTGGGGTGCAGTGCTCGCGTGCATAGCCTGTGCGCCAGTAAGCGCCAGCAATTCGCAGGCATGTTCCTTTGTGCAAGTAGACGAGTCTTCCTTCTTGGGCATGCACGGCCCCTGCCAGCTCTGCACAGGTGCTTTGAACCATTGTCGATGGGATTCCGTGTGCTTTGCAATAAGAGTTATACCCCTGAGAGATTGCAAGCTGGTCATTAAGCAGGGGTTCTTCTTCAGAGACCACCATCAACCAAACAGACGGTGTGGTATCACCCTCAACAGCAATGCGCGCAAGAGATGAATACAGCGATGCAAGGTTACTCTGCGCGATCCCTGAATGACCACAGGAAGCTTGTATGTCTGCAAGCCGTGCACTCATGCTCAGCAGCCCAACAGATACTGTGTTCATCTCGATCAGTCTGGGGCTCCGATTTACCATATAAAAGTCAGTGCGCTGGAGGATTGCAGTAGAAGCTCGCAAGACAGCAGCGTAGTCTTGTCCAAGAACGGTCTTCTTTTCTGATACTATTCTCCAGAGTACTTTACACACCTTGTCTGAGAGACATTTATTGGCCACTTCTTCAACAAGGGCACTATCCAAGGCCGCATCAGCTATGAATCGCCCCAGGAGTTCGGTCTTAGCCATGATTTCATCACATGCACTACGACTCATCACATAGGGCTCTGATGCAATGGGAACCATGACTATGCTATCGTTGGATGACACAAATGCAATGCCTGCCTCGATAGCTCGTTGGCGAAGTTGTATGCTAGCATTCGTCTTACTATCCATATCCACTTGAAATACATTGAGTAATGAACTTTAAGTGCCAATCACTCAGTTTATCACCTCTATTACAGAATGTAAAGAGACAGACCTAGAGATTGCAAGGGTTTGACAGGAGGATGCTCATTTTACTGGGGGTTCCCTCGGGATTGCTGCACCATCGTTCGCTATTTGCTTGGGGTGCCTGTAACATGTGGAACGTGGTTTAAGATTAGCGGTTACGCATGGGAACAACTTGGAAGCCTTTAGTGAGTGCTACATCCTAATCAATCGGGTTGCGCCCACGCACAATCTTACACACAATTATTCAGTCATGGCATAAGCTGGCGCGTACACTTCCTGACCTTGCACTGTCATGAGCAGGCGCCCTTCTTCGATAACATCCAGGTATAGTAGTGACGGATTGTGTGGGTAAATCACACTCATCGAAACAGAGTAGTCGAGAGCCCATACTGTGGAGAAAATGTCGCGTTGTAATCTGGAGCATTCCTGTATAAGCACCCATATCCCATGCCTGAGTGGTCTACCGCACCGCAGGACTGACGAACGATAGATTTTGCTGTGAAGAGACCAGCATGACATTTACAGAAGCGGCACAGTCTACTTTGCAAAGTACGGATGCTTGAGGCAGTCTCTTGCCGAAGGGCGTTTGGAAGGGTCAAGAGCCATCATCTTTGAAAAGAGGTCTCTGCCGGCCTCGTCAAGAGTCGGCAGAAGCTCGGCAACGTTTATGCCTGGGTAGACAGGGAAGTCCTTTTGCCATTGGGGAAGCGTATCGACATCCGGCCAGCTCTGTTTGTCTGGAGTTCCAAGGGTCTTGAAGATCTTAATAAGTTCATCCTTTTCTGTCTTGGCTGGGAACAGCGGCTTCCCAGTGACGCACTCATAGAAGATGCACCCACAAGACCATATATCGAGAGCTCCACCGTACTTGCGGCAGCCCAGAAGAACCGATGGGCAACGGTACCAAAGCGTGACCACCTCATGAGTATATGATCGAACGGGGATTCCAGATCCACGCGCCAGGCCAAAGTCTGCGAGCTTAAGGAGCCCAGAGCTGGTAACTAGCAGATTCTGTGGCTTTAGATCACGGTGCAAGACGCGCTTGTTGTGTATATACGTGAGCCCAGTCATCAGCTGCCCCATAAAGCTCTTGACCTCCTTAGGTGTTAGCTTTCCTTGCTTGGAGTCGATGTACTTCTTCAGGTCCATGTCGAGGTACTCAAATACAAGCGTGAGTTTCGCTTCTGTGTGAATGACGGAGAGAAGGTCTACAACGTTCTTGTGCTTCATCTCTTTGAGTATAGCGATCTCACGGATTGCAGTGGCCGGGATACCCTCGTCCGCATTCTCGAGCCTAATCCTCTTGAGGGCGACAATCTGACCTGTCTCTTTGTCCTTTGCCTTGAAGACGACGCCGTAGGTTCCTTCTCCTAGGCCCTGTATTCTTTCATATCTGTTCAAGGGGTCAGTCATGGCTAGCAGATTTTAGAATTCAGGCAGGGAATTTAAATCTTTTGAAAAGCTCATCAAGGTTCGCAGCCGAGCATGCAACTGATGTGATGACCGATTGCTCTAGCTGCTGGTTGGCTACACATATGGTTGTGGCAGAAAGGATCTATTACTACCTTTGCCGTTTAAAATCTAGTTTAAATCTGACCACCCAGCGTTCGTCATCATAACTCTGGGGTATGAAGACAGCAGACTCTTCGCCAGAGCGCTCACGCCACTCAGTCCGGGCTGTTATCTCTAACGTACGCTCTTACAACGACGAGGCAGACATGCTCTCCTTGAAGCACACTGCAAAAGGGTCATTTCCATCACTGGCCCTAGAATACAAAGCCTATAGGCTGGGGCCAGAGTACATCATGGCAAGACGAATGAAGGAGTATCTTTACCACCCTGGAAGGACCGCAGACGTTGATGGAGTCATTCCAGAGTACCTAAACCACGAGTTTGAACAGCTTTACACCACCATGAAGCGCCCTTCTCCAATGAGAGGCCCTTCAGAAGGGCTCATGCCACAGAAGCGAATGATTGATGCTGCCAGGGTAATATTTGATCGGGAACGGGCACGGCGGCCAGTTAGTGTTTGCGCCCGGAGCTGCAGGGGAGCTCTCGCAGATGAGCATTATCAGCACTCCTTTCCAGAAGGCTCATACCATAGATCGGCTTCACTGCACTCGTCTCCACTAAGGAGCCCAAACAGGCAGGGCAAGACCACGCTTCCCTCATATCCTGACTCTATTCCCTTCCTTTCTCAATCATACAATGACCCTGTTCGTGATAACTTTCTCTCCCTGTTGAAGGATATCAAGCCGAATCACCAGGATCATCAAGGTGCAGAGTGTTTTAGGATAACTGCTGACCGCGCACTTCCCTGCCCGACTACTAATGCTGCGGTGGCCTCCCTCGTCTACTTGTCCAGGCACTTCTGTCATCTGAATACATCATAAAAAACCGACCTCAGAATACAGATGCTTCCTGAGGCCCTTGACAGTCCTGTAAATCCCTTCTCCTTAACCGGAGCACGCTGCAGACTTAGGTCTCCATCTGCCCGAAAGAGCCCACTACGGGCAGATATGCACAGAACGGACACCACCCACTTCAATGAACACTCCATGGGGCTCACGTTCAGACACGCCAAGGGAAGCGCAACAATAGACCCCGATGAGTTCTTTGCAGAGATAGGCGTCACTGAACCAAAATTCACCGAAACCGGTCGGAAGTTGATGATGCTGCCCAAGCCCACCCCCGTCTCATCTGTTTTACGTCCAAAAAGGCCTGGGTCCACGGGTTCTGCTAGCTCTATCCCATCAACCCCAACAAAGAATAAGGCCAGATGTATTAGCGAACAGGCCCAAAGGAGAAGCACGGACTCTCTAAAGGTAACACGGGCTATGCAGAATGTCTTCCTCACCGAACCTGTGCTAGAAGAGCTTCTACCAGAACAACAGAAATCGATTGACAAAAGGGCTAAGCAGGAAGGGCCCGCCTCAACGAGTGGCAGCAAGCTGATCACAAACCTCATCAAGAACTCCGCAGAAAAGCTTGAGAACCTTACGAACAAAATTACAGAATACAGGCCAGCAACGCCGGCGAAGCAAGAGACGCCAAAATCCCCCACTCGATTACAGGTATCGGCATACAAGAATACCCTACGGGAAGATGTGAGACAGCGCTTTTCCACTGCACAAGCCCTTAAGCAAATGGCACAGATACGCGCTGACGAGGGCAAGATACGTGAGAGAGACCGTGCACAGTTTGAAGCAGCTCTCTTCAACGAGAGGAGCGAGAAAGCTGCCCATGAGCGTGACATTAGCGTTCTTCAGGCGAAGCTAGAGGCAGCAACCCACGAAATAGAGTCCTTGCGGACGGCCCTATCTTTGCTCACCCGTAAGCACGAGGTAGAGCATAAGCGACTACTGACGTTAGAGCTAGAGGCCCAGAAGCATAGAGATGCCCAGCCACTACTTAAGTTGCTAGATGAGCAATTCTCCCATATGCCGCCAGAGGAGGTACTCAGGAAGATTGAAGTACTCGAGTCTGCAAACCTGCAAACGTTCAACAAAGTCCAGGATACTACAGAAGCACTTAAGACTACAGAGAATCTGCTCATTCAGGAGCGTCTAGAGCATGGGAGCAAGCTGCAGAAGCTTGGAGAGACGGTTTCCTTGCCCATTCACACCCTTGAGAAACGCGTCAGTGACCTCACAGTAGAGAACGAAAAACTGAACGATGACTTGAGAATCGTGCTAGACTCGCAGGAGCGCTATCTGGCGCTCAGCTTTGCCGTGGCTGAGCTGTGGAGCCAGTGGATAGACCCTAAAACCCACAATGGCGGGGTAGCCAAGCTGGCGGGTCGTAAGGGAGAAGGCCTGGACCCTGATCTATCAAAGCCCATGGAGGTCTTGAGGTGTATAGGGAATCTTCTCAGCATATGTTTTCCCCAAGTAGAGGCGAGTAGCACGGCCTTCAGAAGGATAGCTACTCTGGCTAACCGCGCATGGTCCAGAATCTTATCGGCAGACGATACTGATTGTCTTTTGAAGTACAACATCTATGCAATCCTGGAGGAATGCTGCAACCGCGCAGAGAACGGTCATAAGACAGAGCTCTACCTGAAGGAGATTATCAAGCGCCTAGAGCTGGAGAACAAGCGAGTATCAGGGGAGCTAGCCAGGGCAGAGCAGAGATGCAAGCAGCTGGGAAACTTGACCCGGAGCACCACAAGCTCGCGCATATCCAGGCCGAGCTCCGGGTACAGATAAGGGTGTTGAGTGAAGGATGCTCTGTCAAATCGTCTAATCAAGGTATTGACCTCAGACAGGGATAACAAGCCATCATTGCATTTTTTACGTTTCACTTCGATTTATTCACTTACTTGTGGTGGAATGCCTTTAGCTGCTGAGTGTCAGAGTGTAGGACACGGTAGGACTCAAGGCCAAGCCCTGTGCTTCACCAGAGGGCTCGGCAGGAGAAGAAACTGCCCCGGACTCAGCTCTCAGTCTCGCGGTCTTACATACTGGAGTCAACGAGGTCACACACTTTACATCTTCCATGCTTGGGAGCGTATCCATCCATGCACTAGGTGACTTCAGAGACTTGGTACGGGAAGTCCTAGAAACAGGAGACGTCTCCAATGTGTGCGTGAGTCGTAGGATTGGTGACCGCACTGATAGTCGGCGTAGCTGAGTAGCCTCTGGTGATGTCACCACCAAAAGAGGTGCACCCTTTCCCGGTACTCGGCTGTCTTCCAGTCCTTCCACACCGTTGTGTGAGCTATTTTCTCCACGGCACACCGAAGTGGTAGGGGTTTTCTGTGTTCTCAAAAAAAATGTTCTTGGAGCAGGAGAAGAACCGTCCATAGCGTCACTACAACCACTTGCATACATGCAATTTTGTGTAAGAGATGGCGTGCATCTCTTGTATCGCTCTCCCTTTTTGGGGTACAAATATTTGCTGGTTGGATATTGCTGGTTGGTCGCAGTAGGAACAACTCTCCAAGACGCCTTCCGGTCACCAACTATGTGATCTAGGCGCCTAGCTGCGCCGATCAGCAACTCGTCTGGACTCTCATCGTGTTGAGGTGGTGTGATACCAAGCTTCCAAAATTTAGCAGCGAGGATAGATGATTGGCTGGAGTAAGGTTTTCTTTCGCACGTATATGATCGTGATGTCCTATCTTCTTGCTGTGCTTGCCGCTTTAGAGCAATTTCCCGGTGCAAATTCTCCATGACTTCCACTTCCTTGAGACTAATCCGGTCTGCATCTCCAAAGAGACGTAGGCTATAGCTAGGTTCTGGCTCGCCGTGCATGAATAAAGGAGCGTGTGTCAACGAGTGTTGCATTAGATCTTGTTTTTTAGATAGTTTGGCAATCTGCCGATCACAAAGTGTCGGACGACACGGAAGAGTCTGAACGCTTCATTTCGAGATCCGTCTCGTCCGTAATGTCAGTTCCTATGATGCATTCAATGACATCCTCGAGGGTAATGATTCCAATCGCCCTGGAGGGAAGTGAGCTTGAAATACCAAACTGGCACTTTCCGTCTGTCGCTGGCTGCACTACGGCGGCCATATGGCTGCGCCCTTTCTTGAACTGCTCAAGGGCCATGTACAGATGTGTGTCTTCCGTAAACCACATAATTTCATGGCAACTAACGTCAAACACTGTCTCGTTAGCTTTGAGATTGTGATTTATGAGGGATTTTGTCCTCAATAGACCAACAATGTCTCCCTTGTCGGGGCCAGAGTAAACCGGAATGCGGGAGTGGCCACGCTCTGTAATCTCTCTCAGCAGCTCTTTGTTCAGTTCTTTGTCAGCAGCCAGAGCGTACACCTCGTCCAGCGGGACAATGTTTGTCTTCATATGTTTGGTACCCGTACGTAAAGCTGCCTTCATAACGCTGATCTCGTAGGGAAGCAGCTCATAGTCGCTTGGATCCCTGATTATGCTCATTATCTTGTGTTCCATGTCTACCTGATTGCTCTCACTGTTAGGATCAGCACCATTGTCGTCGTTGCTTTGACAACGAAGTACCACTCTTTCCACCTCCCCGTCCAGGTTATTGAGGTCATGCTTGCGAGCTTTATGAGCAAGAGCAGTGGCATGCGACTTACGACGTCGCGCGTGGGTTGAGGCTATAGATGGAAGTGGACCTATGCGAAGCCCCCCGATGTGCTCTTGCGAGATCTCGGTTCCATCGGTAGCCGTGAACAGACTCTTGGTGGATCTAGGTTTCTTGAGAGATGACGTCGGTGACACGTTAATTGCCGTCTGGTCTATAGACTCTCTAGCGCGCCTCCTCGTTCTGTTGCGCTCGTCATACAGATTTAGAAGGTTACGAAGCTCTTCCCGACGAAAGAGAATCTCCTTCGGCTTCCCCGATATAAGGTCGAGGAGCCTGGCTAAAGGAAAAGAAATACTAAAGGTCATGAAAATCATTATCCAAACCACAGGTGCGAGAGTTGCACTGATGGGTATTGAGTACCGATGGAAGATAGATTGGGGCACAATTTCACCAAACAGGAGCACGCCAGTGACTGAGATCAGGATTGCTGTAAAGTGGCCCACGAGTATTTCTAGAAGGATGGGCAGAAGCTCCATGCACAATGCATTAAAGAGTAGAAGAGTTACCAATACTAGATGGCGGTCACGAAGAAGTGGCAGGATGCGTTTTGCGTACTTCTCCTCCTTGGACCCGCTGCTTATCTGAAGAGTCCCCAGGCGTAAATCATCTATGCCAAGAAGACCCAAATTAAGTCCTGAGCAGATAGCAGCAATGATGAGGATGAAAACTGACGCTACAGAATACCCGACTGTCGTTGCCACATCTCCCATTATTAAAGACTCAGATTTTTTTGAACAGGGAAGCGATCGAGTAAGTGTAGAGGAGAGAACGGGCAGAACATTGTTTGCAGATGCCTACAAATGTTTGGTCTTCCAAAAAGGAAAGACTAAAGGAGGATTAGATTTTCAAAATTATCTCTGGCGGGAATGTGCGAACCCTCCTCTCAGATCTATCGTGACGTTTCAGTCATTGGTCGTGGGTGCCACGGTAGAGTCTATAAGGCATTCCGAAGGGACACTGGAGCTGTGGTCGCGGTGCGCGACGTCGACCTGAGGCGCTTTGATGCAGCGGCTGTCAGACACCTCTTTGAGCAGGAGAAGGCCGAGGTGCGCTTAGTGCATCCATTCATAGTGCAAAATCACTCTATGACCAAAAGCAGGGAAGAGTTTTCCTTGCACATCGAGATGGAGTACTGTGCAGACGGTTCTCTCGACGACTTGCGATGGGAGCGTAAGATGAGTCATTGTTACATCCCCGAGTACCGGATCTGGGAAATAATCGTTCAGGTGGCGGGCGCACTTGTCTATATGCACGATCCTAACAAACCAGGCGGGATTGTTCTGCACAAAAACCTCAAGCTCTCGAACATCCTTGCCAATGGTCACGCAGTTAAGATAGGGGATGTTGGGCTCCCTGAGATAGATTATACCAAGCGCCCGGACTACCATGTATTTGAGGCCTACAGAGCCCCAGAGGCTACAAAATTTGGCATCTATGATACTGCGTCAGACATATGGTCGTTTGGGGTTTTGCTTCTGGAGCTTTGCACGTTCAAGCAGCCAAACTGGAAACCGAGTCTTCTAAAGGTAGCACCGCAATACGAACTCTGGGAGGAATACTCGGATGACCTTTATTATCTCATCGAGGACTGTCTTAAGCTGAAGGCCAGTGAGCGGCTCACTGCAGGGGATATCTACCTCCATCCGCAGGCCCAGGAGGCCCTCAGACGCTTAAAGGAATATGAGTGACGCTATGAGGCCTATCAGCACACATTTCAGTAAATATTTTCATCTGGCGCTGCACTCCCTGGGCGATACCCTGCACAGGCAAAGTTCAGAATTTGATTCAAAATAAAAAATGGCCACGGATCCGAAGGCGAAGTGGTTCTCCGCAAGGATTGCCGAGGGCTTTTCGCTCGAGAGTGAGCTAGCCCAGGACCTTATTGAGAAGGCGGACTGCACAAAGCTCTTCATTGAGTTTTTCAGTGCGACGGGACCCCAGAAGGCGCTTTTCTTCTACGATGGCGAACGTTTGCGCTATAGCACTGACGACACGACTGTTTACCCTGGTAGAATTCTTTTCTTTGTTCGCCCGGTCAAGCGGAACGTCCAGATTGCCAATGCTGAAACTGAGTTCACATGGGCCTCGACAACTGCTGATGCCCTCCCGTCCCTTCAGACACTTCTTTCCGATGTGTACATTCCGCTCTTCGAGCGCAGTCCTACTTGGGGGAAGGTCACCAACCGCGCGATCATCGACGGATACTTGACGAACATCCGCAAATATGTCTCGACATTGAAGGAGGCACAGATCGTTCTCAGTGAGCGCTTCGATTTTAAAATTCCGAATGACCCCGTGCTCAATAAAATCCCCGTTGACCCATATCTGATTCAAAAGACCATCGCGGATAATCCGGACCTTATTTTGACAGCAGAGCGTGCGCTTGCAGAGGTCTCTAACCAGGTCGAGCTCTTTCTGGCAGAGTCCACCCGTGTTCGTGTTGACGACGACTCATCCGGCCCGGAGTCTGAAATTGTGTACTGGCGCGCTCGCATGGCAAGTTTTAGTGCGGTACATCAGCGTGTCCACTCCATTTCCTGGCTCCAGAGCTGTGTTACTCTCCTCCAGAACACGCAGTCACCCGTTATGCAGCGCTGGGTGCGCATTAAACAGCGTGTCCTTGAGGGTGTTACAGAAGCAAAGGACAACTTGCGCTATCTCTACACCATAGAGGAGATCCTCGAGCCCATCTATAACGCCGAGCCTGCGAAGATTGCAGAAACGGTTCCGCACCTGATGGCAACCGTCAAGATTGTGCACCAGATGGCGCGCTACTATTCGACGACTGAGAATATGACTACGCTTTTAGTGAAGATATCGAATCAAATGATCAGAGCGTGCAGGGAGTACCTCAGAACAGACTCTACCTCGCTTCTTATTCCACGCCCAGGAATGGAGATCGCGCAACCGGCGACCGCCGCTGGTGATGCACAGGGCGATGATGATGATCCTGCGGTGGAGGTCATAGCCTCGCTCAACAAGAAGCGTCCATCATCTGATTCTCTTGAGAATGCTCCGACTATTTACGACCGGCAGCCCGAAGACATTCTAAAACGGATCGACGAGTGCATTCAGCTTTGTGTGCGTTATCAGCAAGAGTACCATAACATTCGGAGGCAGATGCAGCAAGAAAATTGTGAAAAGCAGTTTAACTTCGCAGAAAGTGGAATCTTTGGTAACTTTGACCTTTTCTGTACGCGCCTAAAGAAGATTGCTGACATCATCATAACCAACGAGAACTTCTCCTCCCTTCAGCAGTCCACTCTCCAGAACCTGCACCCGATCCTGGACCAGTCCGAAAAGTTGATTCTCAGTCTTCGCAAGAAGAACTATGACCCAATCAATCACCGTCTGACGCAGTTCGACACAGATCATACCGAGTATATGCAAGGAATTTCAAAGCTGGAGGATTCCATTTCGTCGTACGTAAATGCAATCTGCGACGATGAAAACAATACGGTGAACGACATCATCAGCCTCTTGCAGCAACTCCACGTCATCTTGAACCGTCCGACAATGAAGACTCTGATTATGGACAAGTACGAGTTTTTGCTAAACAAGTATATTGACGAGATCAACAGGGTCAAGACTTACTTTGATGAGAACAAGGACAATCCAAAAATCCCCATCGGCTGGTCCCCAACCGCAGGCCGCCTGGCGTGGGTCCGCCTGATAATGCGCCGCCTGACTACTGTCTATGAATTCTTCCGAAGAGTTCAGATTCATGTCGAGGATGAGAATGATCCCGCCATTCAAAGGAGCGCGTCCTTCGAGAATCTTCTCCAAGCTACAACGCACGTCGACGAATACCTTCCACTTCTGTCTTTCTACAAGGCAGGTAGACGTGCGTATAAGATGTACATGAAGCTTGTGAAGCAGCTCTTCGACTACGAGACGACCTACCACGACATGTGGGTTGAAAGCATTACAGGTCTCCGTGCGTCCCTGCAGGCCACTCTCTTGGTCGAGCACCCTCAGACTGGTAAGCTGTACGTCAACTTCGACCGGAAAATAGTCCTTCTTTGCAGGGAGGTTCACTATCTGCGCCAGCTTCGCATTGAGATTCCGGAAACGGCGCTGGCTATCACCATGCACGAGAAGAGCCTCCTGCACTATCGCGATAGTCTGCAAGATTTGCTTGAGGCAATCGAAAACATCAAGCAGTCCATCAATCCCGCTGTTGCAGAACTCGTCAAGCCGTTAATTTCAAAACTTAACAAAAAAGTACAGCCTGGGCTAAAGACTCTTTGTTGGACCTCCATGAGCATTGGAGGTTACTTGGACAACATCCAGAAACAAGTGACCACCGTGAAAGAGGTCCTCAAGATTGTCGATGACATCATCTCGCTGCGGATCGCAACGAATCTTAAGGCGATTTCAACCACTTGCCTGCTTCCGCTATTCAAACGATACGCGTTTGGGGATCCCCACAATGACCCGTCTCAAGGTGGGACAGTGACTGTTAATAACGTCCCTGGGTCTACCCCGGACGATGATAACGAGGATAATGCTGCATACACTAATCACAAGATGCGTCTGTACTCCGCGTACCTTGAACATAACACACAAGCGCTCCCATACAAACAGTATTTGGAACAAGTTCGACCGCACATCCGACAAGCTGCAGAATCGATCTACAGCCGTTCCCAGTTAATCGCAATCGCAGTCATCGATGTAATCATCGCCATCACTTCTCGGTATATTAGCTCCAGCGACTCTGAGAACGCAACAATGCTCTCGGAGATAGTCACGTCTGCTATTCACGGATGCTTCATGCCCCATGATGACATTACGGGCAATTTTGCCTCCTACACCTCTCGCAGAATTCAGCAGAGTGACTCGATTGTCGGTACGACGATGGCCGAAAGTGGGGAGCAGGTCGGGACTCTGGAAGGGAGCAAGGATGATATTCAGCGGAGCAATCGGCCAGCCAGCGGAGCAGATGCTGCGGCGGTCATTAAAAGTGCAATCAAGACGTTTGTTGATAAGTTCCATGACAACACAATAACGGCGGTCTTCTTGTGCACTGAACGAACCCTGCGTGCTATATACCAACGTGTGACCATGTACCTCGACCCTCATCTGTCCCCAAAGATGGATAAGCTTCAGAGCTACTACGTCCCCGATGCAATGATTCTCTGCGATTTTGAGCTTGCACTACCTTCCACGCGTCTCTCACCGTCGTGGGATGACCTTCGGAAAGGGTATATCGATACTATCTCGCTTGTCTTGCAAGTGTCGAAGCGCCTGCCGAAGTGGAATGCAGGCGGCGATTATATGGCGAATGTTCTTACGACTATCCGGCCCATTATCAGCCGCCAAGATCCAGATTTTGTGGCCGCACAGTTAACACAAACGCTCACCGCTAACGCAGCGACGTTTGCCGAGACTCGTTCCTTTACCAGCGCCGAGACTGCAAAGTCTGCCAAAGCAGCATTTGAGCGCTCTTCACGGTCTACCAGCCGTGCTGGCACCGGGAGTCGTAATGGCGATAAGAAGCCCGGAAACATTAGTGCACGCATGACAACGCTTAGCTCCTCTGATGGGAAGCTTATTTATGACAGAGCGGAGTTTCTTCCCCCGGCAGAGTCCTTTTATAGTATGGTTGGCAAATCTCGAACGCTTCTTAAGCTCCTTGTGGCTCTTCAGGGCGCCTTTGGGATGATAATTAAAAAGACCAATGCATATCTTTCTGTCTTTGACACGTTCCAGAGTCTTTGGTTGGACGACAAAAACGAGACGTACAAGAAGTTCATCGATAAGCGCCCTGAGCTCTCCGACTTTCTTTCGGAGATCGTCCGCTTTGAGAATACTATCCACAACATAAGCTTGATTCCAACGATGGTCCAGCAAGGGATATGTGTTTTCTCAACCGAGGCGCTTAAAAACTCTCTCCAGTCGGAGGCGGCTGTCTGGAAAGGACTTTTTTCGTCAAACCTCAACAAGCGCGCCCGACTTGAACTTTCCACCATGAGAAACTACATAACTGAGCTTCAGACTACAATTAGCAAGAAAATCAACGACCTTGATGACGTCCGGCAGATCATGGCTGCTCTGGAGAAGCTACGCGAATTGCAAGCCGTTTTTGAGCTGAAGATCCAACCAATCGAGGAAATGTACGAGCGCCTGGAATCACATGGCATCAAGATCACCGCAGAGGAGGCAGAGGATCTCTCTGGCCTCAGGCACATGCTTAAGACCCTTCAGACTATCTCCAGTGAACGCGAGAATGAGCTGAAGAGGGAAGGACCCAATCTGAAGAAGGATCTTGAGGACGGAATCGCGGAATTCAAAGTTGAAGTTAAAAAGTTTAAAGAAAACTGGGACACAGATGGACCGAATGTTCCTGGCATCACTCCGCAGCGTGCTGTGCAGCAGCTCAAGCTCTTCCAGACACAATTCTCGGATATAGAGCGGAAGTGGATTACTTATCAGTCTGGCGAGGAAACTTTCGGGTTGGAGATCACGAACTACCCTGAACTCATCCAGATCAAGAAGGATCTCAAGATGCTCAGTAGCCTCTATAATCTTTACACGGATGTCCTATCAACCATAGATGGGTACAGTGACCAACTGTGGACAGATCTGAACTTCGATGACATCCAGGTTCTCATGTCCGATTATCAGCAGCGGTGTCTCCGTCTTCCAAAGGGCATGCGTGAGTGGGAGGCGTACATTGAGCTGCAGGCCAAGATAGAGGACTTCGGAACACTTCTGCCTCTCTTCCAGTTGATGTCCCATCCTGCCGTAAAACAGCGCCACTGGCTGGAGATCTCGAAGGTGACTGATAAGCCTTCTCTCCTTCGAGTGATAGAGGACCCAGACAACTTCCGACTGAAAGATCTGTTGGAGGCTCCCTTGCTGAAGTATGCCGAGGATCTTGAGGACATATGCTCTGCAGCCACCAAGGAGACGGAGATAGAAGAAAAGTTGGGGGTGATTCGTTCTCAATGGCAGGAGCAGACATTCACGTTCCAAGAATTCAAAACGCGCGGGCTCCTCAACTTGGCTCCGTCTGAAACGTCAGAGCTCATCGTGATGCTTGAAGACTCACAGATGCTTCTTTCTTCGCTCGTGAGCAATCGGTTTAACAAGCCGTTCAAGGATGAGCTATCACAATGGGTCAAGCGCTTATCTACGTTGGATGAGATCCTAATCCTTTGGCTCCAGGTCCAACAGAACTGGATATATCTAGAAGCCGTCTTTTCTGGCGGCGATATTTCTCGCCAGCTTCCAGCCGAGGCAAAGAGATTCAGCCAGATCGATAAGTCGTGGATCAAAATCATGACAACAGCGGTCACGACCCCGAATTGTATCCATCTTACATCCGTGGATGATACACTGAAATCCTTGCTTCCGTATCTTATTGAGCAGCTGGAGCTGTGCCAAAAGTCCCTCTCCGGGTATCTCGAACAGAAGCGCAATCTTTTTGCGCGGTTCTACTTTGTCTCGGATCCCGTGCTTCTTGAAATTCTTGGTCAGCAGTCGGACCCGTCGTCCATCCAGCCGCATCTACTCAGTATTTTTGACTCAATATACATGCTTGACTTTGACCGTGTTAAGCGGAGCAATGTCGTTGCTATCAATGATAGATCTGGAGAGAAAGTGCAGTTGTCCACCATTGTCGAGGCCAAGGGCTCAGTGGAGGATTGGCTCAACGAGCTTATCAAGGTCATGCAGCGCTCGCTCAAGGATATCATCCGCAATGCCGCCGCTGACCTGACAAAACCAGACGTCTCTGTGCAGGAGATCTTCGAGACCTATCCCGCACAGGTTACGCTCCTGGCTATCCAGCTTCTCTGGACCATGTGGATTGAGGCGGGGTTGCGCCAGGCACGTCAAGACAAGAAGATCATGCAGGTTACACTGAAGAAGGTCAATAATCTTCTTCAAACGCTTGTCAGCATCACGCTCCAGGACCTCAACAAGCGCCAAAGAACGAATGTGGAGACACTCGTAACCATCCATGTGCACCAGCGCGACGTCTCAGAGGAGCTCACAAATAATAAAATCAAGTCGCCAACAGACTTCGAATGGTTGCGGCAGACGCGCTTCTACTGGAGCACAGACACCGATAACTGTAAGATTCAGATCACGGACATAGACTTCACTTACCAGAATGAGTATCTCGGGGTCAACGAGCGTCTCGTTATCACGCCCCTGACAGACCGTTGCTATATAACCCTTGCTCAGGCCATCGGAATGTACCTGGGTGGCGCTCCTGCAGGTCCCGCAGGAACAGGTAAGACCGAGACAGTCAAGGATCTTGGCAAGACCCTTGGAATGTATGTCGTCGTCTTCAACTGCTCTGATCAGATGGATTACAAGGGCCTCGGCAAGATCTATCGTGGGATTGCCCAAACTGGGTCATTCGGTGACTTTGATGAGTTCAACCGAATCGACCTTCCAGTTCTCTCTGTCTCTGCCCAGCAGATCCAGTGTGTCCTCTCCGCTGTCAAGGAGCGGAAGAAGACGTTTCTCTACACAGATGGCTGTGTTATTACCCTCATCCCCTCTTGCGGTATTTTCATCACGATGAACCCCGGTTACGCCGGGCGTCAAGAACTTCCAGAGAATCTCAAAGCCTTATTCCGTAGCGTTGCAATGATATGTTCACAGGTGGTTTGGTGTGTATGCTTGGCGTGTATGTGTGTATGTTCCTCCTTTACTCAATACTTGGGCCGAAAATGAAAACCGGCCTGGGCGATAATGGATCTCTATGTGGTCCAAGAGCTCTTTATGTCCAGGTCAGCTCCTGATAGTTTTGTCTCTACGCTTGAGGGACAGGCAAGGCTTGTTCCAAGAGTTGTTGATAGCATACTGTCTGTAGATCCTGGGTCTCTCGTTGTAACCGATCTTCCCTACGATTCTGTTGATAAGATCGCCAAGCGATACGCCGTTCTCCATAAGGACGCAGTGCACACATTTTTTGCTGCATCTGATGGAGGATTTTCTGGCCATGAGCTCTCTCTTCCCAAGACTCCAGGATACTATTTGTCGACCATTCTTTGTGGTACGCGTGTCCTTGTTACTGGTTTTTCACACCATGCACGCACAGAGGCCGCCGTTGTCTCATCACATGCACGACAATTGGGTGCCGAAATATTGACCACCAAAACGCTTGAGGACGTCCTATGTCATCTTCGTGGTAACAATCCTGTGTATATTCTTGTGCCTAGCTGCAGTCGAGCCTTGCAATTTCTTGGGGCCCTGCTTGCTCATAAAAACCACACAGGGAACCAGAGGATTAGATCCGCGATCACCGATGTTGACATTCAGCAGCTAGCAAAGACGTTTGTTACAACTGATTTCATTTATCAGCTGATGTATAACAGAGCCTCCCCCCAAGTCCAGTTCAGGCTTTTAGTATCTGAATGCTTTGTTCCCATTTTGTATGGTATGCCTCTGCGCTGTATTGGAGACGCGTCTCCCGCATCTACCCTTGCTCTTCTTTTGGCCGGAGCAATCTTGATACGATCAGAAGAGTTGCAGCCAGCGTCCTTTTACGCCGTTCAAGAATCTCATAGAGCCTCCGCAGCATTTGCTCTCTCTACTTCGCAGAAAGCCTATTTTTCTTGCGCAAGCACACTGTACCATATTCCTCGACTCTTCGGGCAATACAAGGCCAGCTTAGTTGAGCACTTCTTCAAACATCTGAGTCCCTGCGTTGATCTGGATATCTCAACAATAGAACAGTGCAAGCATACAATGTCTGGCAGCATTTCAGCTGTAGGCCAAGGCGGTCTAGCTCTAAGCACACTTTCAGGGGCTGATGGATCAGTAGAGTCGTGCTTGACGGGGGAGTGTCACCTCCTTCAAACTTGCAGATATAAGCAAATAGTAACGTATTCGGAACAAACACTTAACGGACTCACAGCGCTGAGTTTGGCCTGCCAATCCGTATCAGTTCAGATCAAAGAGAAGAGCATTTTCAAGAGTCAACGCAGCATCCTGAATGACAACTTCTTGTCCATTAAGTACGCTCAAGGAAGATATAGCGAGCTCATTACTTTGCTGCAGGTGCGTCCTCTTGTCTGCACATTCTACGTGTCTCCCAAATTTACTCCTCTATCTAACGCTCTTCTCACTTCGCTGAATAAAGCCTTGATAGAGTATATTCAACTAATCGTTTATGGAAATTCTATCCAGTGGCATCTGCTTAAACAGTCCCCTCTTTTTACCGTTCTCCAGGCGATACTTCGGTTTCCCTCGCCAGACCCTGCAGTGTACACTGGCCCTGAGAGGAAAGATTGTCATGAGCCACCCTTAAAACAGTCCCAGAGTGGTACAGATATTGATAGTATTTGGTGCAAACTGCAGTCTAACGATAAGCTTCTCAAGGACCTTGTGTGCATGCTTCTTCACTCCTCCATATCGTTTATTCCTTTTTCTCTTCTTGCTACTCTGTATCCTTTTGTCAAAGAGCGTCTATTTGTAATTGTCGACCCGTCTTTGCTTCTAGTGATGGACACATACTTAACTGATAGTTCTTTCTACAAAGACATCAAGTACCCACTAGAGCACGCAATCCCTCAGATCCTAAAGAACATGCAGCAGTTCTATGCTACGTTCTCCTCCGACCAGTTTTCCTATGAAAAAGAGCCATCTATTACCTACACAACCGAGCTATGCAAGGACCTTGAGGAATGTGCTTTGAACGGCCTTCCTGCCTGTCGTTCATATTCATGTGCAGACGCCATAACAGTTGAGTCGCCATTCAGCCCCGGTTTTCTTTCTCTCAGCCTTCATTTTCGTAGCGTGATCTGGCTTCAATTGGTAATGGAACTGCTTTATATGAACTTCATCAACGCACTCTTATCTAAAGAGGAGACTATCCCTGCTCAGACGCCATTTTGCTTGTTTTCTGAGCTTAGCCAGCCTTGTCCGGTTTGTAACAGCAAGCCAACGTACCCTAGCACACTTTCTCTCCTGTCCTTCCTATGTAATGGTATGCATAGCGTCCTAGAATTTACAGGTATCGATTTGACCAAAGTGGCGCACGTAACAGGACACCAGTCTCCCCCTGGATACTTACACTGGAGCCTGCTGGCAAGAGTAGATGCACAGACAGCTATGGAGGCGGGGGAAATTATAATAGAGAGAGGTTGTGCACGTACTAAGGAGGTAAAGGAGCTCTGTGGAACCTGCCACCGGTTGAATAGGATATTCCATCCCAATTTGAGCGCACAGTACCTCAATACTTACAGGCAATCCCTCTACAACCGAATCGCCCGGACGCTCATTACATCCCTCTCGCTGGCTTGGTACGATGACAATAAGTTGTCGATGATCGCCAGGAGGGTAGAGGTTAGGCCGGAAAGCGTGTCAATTCTGGATTTCATGTGCAATCTGTCTAATACGAGCATACCAGAGATACGGCCCAACGGAGTACACCTTCCCACCTTCCTCGCTACTTTGTTCAAGGAACGAGGAAACTATGGAGTTGCAGAGACAAAAGGCCGGAGGGAATATGGAATGATGTACCAAGCTGCAATGATGGCATACCCACCTACCCAAAGGGAGAACTCAGCCGCCGGCTTGGCTAAGGATCCAACCCTCTTCTATGACCTGGAGAGCACAGCAGTTGTCAGTCACAGCTCAACCTTTATACGGACAGAGAAAACCGACCAACATGTATACAATTTCACCGCTCCAGAGGAATCATACGACGATCCTCGGTTCCGGAAGCGATCCCAGCCAGGTTCCGACTAGAAGCCATCGCTGTCCTCATCGTCTCCATGTCTCTTGGCGAGACTTTGGTAATATGATTCAATGATCGTCCAGCTTTCACGCTCTATCGCTATGTGCTTCATCAGCTGGAGGTACTTCTTCACTACCTCTATCCGCTCCCTGGTTCCTATGCTGGGCTGAATGCAGTAAAACAGACCTCGAACGTACAACTTGGTCATCTCTGCAGTGGTTACATCCACAGAGTGAATGAGTAGATAGAACAGGGGTATGATCAGATCCAGCTCTATCACATCGTTAAGCCCTTTCAGTTCAGACTGGATCTTCCCAACGACCAAGCAACCAGTTATACCAGCCCTGACAGGCAGGACAAAGCCTCGCGTGGCATAAATGTCCTTCTCCAGCAGCTTCTGGGTGAATAAGCTCTCTAATCGGGAGAACTCTTTGGAAAGCCCAAAGACCTGCTTAACCTTCTGCGAGAACATGGGCTGTATGTTAGTGGGACAAGCCTTGGAGTCTTTGGCGCTTTTGACACTTTTAGTCCCTTCTGCACTACCTGACTCACGAGACCCCTTGGCTTTAAGGAGGGTCTTAAGCGAAGAAGCAATTGGTACACTCGCATCACGGAGCACGCCCCTGGCTAAAGTCCTTGTCGTCTGGGTTGTTAGTGAGTCTAAGACATGTATGCGTTGGTCAAGAATTGCTTCTGGCATGGACAAAATGGAGGACAGAAGCATGTTGCGAATGACGGCACTGAGGTCTTTGACATACATCACAGAGAGAAAGCGGTGGTACCTCTCGCAGCCAAGAAACACCTTCTCTAGGGCGTACACACAGTGGTTAAATTGCTTACGCAATATTATAGTGAATATGGCAAAGAGCTCTGTCAGTGTACTCGAGTGAACGGCAACCATGTCATTCTGCGACTGCCGAATTCCCTCTCGTTTGAGCTCATTCTTGTACTCTTTCAGCTCGATAGCCAAGGACCTCTGTCGCTTCGTCATTTTCTTGTTAGACCTCACCGTCTTGAGCTCCGAGTCCAGGCGCTTAAGGAAGAACTTGATGCCACGACCGGCGCTGGGATCCAAGTCAGAGACCCCGTCTGCTATCCGCAAGCCTAAAAATATATCAAAAACAAACATGTGCTTGATGGAGTACCTAGCCTTCTCCAAGTACTTCCCAAGAGAGATAACAAGGTTGTTCGCTGTGTAGCCTATCTTGTCCAACTCAATTGCTGAAAGAACCTTGTCCTTTGCATTGCCGTTTCCCTGAAGACAAAGCCGAACCAACTGCCTCTGTCGCTCTTGAAGCTTACGCTGCCGTTCACGACTCAGTCCAGCAAGAGGCCCGTGGCCGCCGACATCTTTGAGGAGGATGTCTAGTGAGATATCAATCTCTTCAGTTAAGCGATCACTGAATCTACTAGATAACGCCTCATAGTCCGCCAAGAAGCTGACAAGCTCGGCAACAATCTGCCGTGAATCCGGAGAGGCCATAACTTTGGTACAAAGAAATGCCATCTGGGATCGGACGGCATCCTCGGAGATGAAGTACGCCTCCTTAGACGCATAAGCGTGTCCTTTTGGCTTGACACGCTGCTGTTCAATAGACTCTTCAGTGCTGGCGGGTGCGACAGCAGGTTCCTCTGTGGGGTTAGAGGTAAAGGAGCCGTCTGGCGCTCTATATAAAACTTCTCCGGTTGCTAAGCGGATGGGGAGCCGCATCCGCTTCCGCGGGGGATCTGCAGCATATTCCCGCTCGTAGAGCTGCTCCTCATCTTCGTGTTTGCCAGTAGTGTGCCAGTCTGTCATCGTGGCCACTGCAATCTTTTTAAATTTTTTAGAGGCGAACATGCTTTTTTAAATCTGAGTCCGTGCCGGACCCTAACGTAATAGAAGATATAGACGGTATCATCTGAGAGGCTCTTCCCCTGCTATAGAACTCTCTCCTTGTCAGTTTTCCATTCATGAATGTAATACTTTCAAGCAATCTATCTATTTCCTTGTCTTTACCTATTGATGCCTCCTTCGTGCGTGGGAGAATAAGTGCTAGGTGCTCGCTGTCCAGAAGCACACATGGCAAGCTTAACACAGCTTTTCCAGGATTGTTGTCGGTCTGAAGAGAGAGATGGAGGTTCAAGTTGGTATTCTGAGCACATGTGACATAGTTGGTTACTGTGGTACGGATGTTTCCGCGCGAATAGAGGCTGGGTGTACCTGCTTTTAATTCTAAAAAGTCCTCCTGGTGATACAGAGTAAGTAGCTTGTGCTGCAGCTCTACGCATCTCTTACGCGTGTACTCCTTCAGTATCTGCGAAGACGCTTCGGAAGGAAGAAAATTAAGATCGTCGTTATCGCTTTTAACTTCGTCCACGGCTCCTCCAAACGAAAGTAAGTACAAGAGGAGTATCACATCCACCTGTATGTTCTTATTTGGAGGGAAGAGACAGTCTATTGTGGGCATTGAGCTGCCCCAGTTACTCGTGGGTGCAGTGAATAGTGTCTTGAGAGGCAGTTCATTTGGAGCTCTGAGATAGGTGAGAGGCGGCTGGCAATTTCTTAAAAGATTGTCAATATCACTACTCTTTCCATTGACAAAATTCAGATGGGTTAGCATCTGTGCCGTCGCCTCTTGGACTCCAAGGTCTTGTTTCTGCCGTTGATCTACTCCCAGAGTCGCAACGCTGTTAGATAAAAGTGAAGACAGGTTAGGATTTATCTGTGCAAGCTCAGAAACGCTAACTGTGCTGGGAAATTGTGTGAGAAGATCTGAGAAGAACTTCTGTTTGTCCGGAAAACCGATATTTAAGAGTTCTTGGCCAGCTTGTAAGGCGCTCATATTGGGGTTGGTGGGTACGGTGGCAAATATATGCTTAGAAAAGGCGGAGGGCTCCGACTCCCTTGCTTCTTTAAGTTGTGAAGTCAACCCGGCAACGGGATTTGCTGCTCCTTGGGGAATATCATCAATTGGCTGAGTAGCAGGCGCTTCCATTGCATTTTCTACAGTCTTGGACGATGAGGACAGTGATGACGACGATTGTGGCAAGAATGACGAGTGTACTGGGGATGGAGACGGAGAGGACGGTGATGATGAGGATGATAAGTCATGAACATCTATCGTGTTATTTTCTATAGCATGAACCGCGGTTTTTGTGGTTGTGACGGAGGAGTCCAGAAAGGCTCGCTTATGGCCTTCCCATGCTTGTTTGATATTGTCAGGTGTACCAGTAAATATTTGATCATAGACGGAAATAAATAATGATAGTTGGTCAGCCGGTGCCCACAATTTTGGTGCCGTAGGTTTGACTGAAGGGTGAGGAGCGTTATCCGTGTTGAGGTGTTTGTAGTATTGATAAAATTCTCCTTCCTGCTGAGTTACGCTCATAGGACTAGCTGGTCGTGATTGCCGTATCATGCGCGACCATTTAGTGATCAACTCCAGCAAAGGTGAGCTAGAACTACCAATCTGCTCGGCCATTGGAATGTCATTCATGGACAGAATATTGTGAGAATTAACACAACACGCCTCCTGTGTATTGGGATAATCAGTGCATTCATCAGAATCAATAGTAAATATGATCTCACTGTTGTCAGACATGGGAGGCTGAGAATAGTAAGAGGTGTTCATCGAGCTAAGTGGAGGGTCACTTGCCCTTGTCTGGTCAGCCTGGTGATCCGTGATCGTAGCTGAATTGGGGATAGACAAGTCAGCAGAATCCAGTTGGGACTTAGACTGTCCAACCATAGTAGCGCTGGAAATGGATACTGGCGCCACTGCTGGGTGCACTGCTGGTTGTACAGATAGTGGCATGACATTTGGTGCCTGAGAAGCTACCTTGCCCACCATGGCACCTGGAGCTGCTAATTGAGTCAGCACAGCCGACCCCGGTATCAGCTGGGCTATTTGCTGTGCATTCTGCTGAAGAGCAGCAACGTATGGGGCCGGTTGAGAACCAGTTGTTGCATAGGCTGCCAGTCCCTGGTAGTTCGCTCCCAGTATTGGCTGATGAGCTAGAATACGGTTTGAAAGGGCAGTCGCATATCCTCCTTGTTGATTAGTAACAGCACCCGCCTGCAGCTGGGGTATAGTGAGGACGCGTATCTGGGGGCCTTGACCAGAAGCCATAGACGTTGAGGCAGCCATATTATTTGTACTGCCTTGGGCTAGAGGCACATTCCCCAGGGCTATGATGTTGGGCCCTGGATTCACGGCATTTGGGCCAAATATGTTTGCGCTTGTCAAAGGATTGGTCACTCCGTTATGAATAGGAATGGGAATGATAGAGGCGGCATGCACAGGGATGTCTCCTTGCACTTGTGAGGCTCCTGCGGCAGTAGCAAGATTGGCAGGCGTCAAGAACTGATTGACGTGTGAGTCGGACCGGCGACCAAACACCTGTGGTTGAGGTTGCTGCTGCTCAGACTTAGCAAAAGCTGCGGACCCAGCGGGTGCACTGTACACTATCTTACTACGCATATCTACCCCAGGGGCCTGGGGCTGTGATGCACTGGCAAACTTTTCCACGTGCTTTTCTGCTTCCTTTATTTTCTCACTTAGTGCACTCTCGTATGAGCTAGGCCACGGGGCCCCGACAGCAACAGGAGTGGCCGACCTTTTCATAAATGTACCAGGATTAATTTTTCCCTGAATTTCAATCCTTAAGTCTTCATCGCTCAATGTAGGCGAAATAAAAAGTCGCCTTTGAATTATCAACCCTGCAACCTTCTTTGCTTGCTTCTCCAGCATCTCATTCTCAATATTTTTGGTGAAAACAGTATCTGGGAAGACCTCTCGAAGTCGTCGCTTTAACTTCAAAGCCGCGTGGATGTCGCTGAAAATCATGACGACCGGCGAGTCGTCCACTATCACCGTTATGGATGCTACCTTCGCCTTGTGCTCATTTGGGATCATTCTTACCCTTGAAATTTTTTAATTGGAAGAAAGCTCAGGTTATACGAGAATAAGTATTTTGATATTGAATGCTACATGAGAATAAGGTAAGGTCAGTTCCTCCAGAGATATATCTCTATCTCAGGATAACAACGTGAGCTTTTTCAAAGTACTCCCATAATTCACTGCAATTTGAACTACAAGTTAACGAGGCCAGCACGAGATCTTGTGACGCTGCTGATGGGTCGTGACTTCTAGTTACTGGTAACCCTGCTGGCACAATGTCTTTATAGAACGGTGTCACAAAAAGTGTTCAATTGTTTAACTGCTTAGTTGTCTAGGCATTTGAACACCTCCTCAGCACCATCCTAAGGACTTTCTTATGTTTGCTATGATGTCTACGCCGCTTGGACTTCGTAATTTTCAACGACAGGAATTATGGGTTTGAGATGGGCAACTGTAAGGGTTGTGCCAAAACGCCTGCAAGTGTCCAGGATAGTCTGACATGGCACAATGGCATCTCCAGTCGAGTTGATAAGCACTGCTTCGAGCTGGGGTATTTCAAACGCCCGAGCTGCTAGGCGAATGACCTTTTCGGTGGATGAGGCTTCTGGGATGTTAAATACATGGTACGTGTAGAAGGGGTCAAAACCCTTATATATCTTGACTTGAATCATACGCTTCTGGGCCAGATATGCCTCCTTGAGCTCGTCAGAAACGGGTATTGTCTGGCTAATCATCTTCACTCTTTTGTTTAATCTTGAAGTTTTAATCCTGAACCAGCCTTTGAACAGAGATTGAAGTAGTATGTGTTATTACCAATAGTTGTTACCAATAGTTGTGTTGCCGCCTCTACCTCGTATCCACTCCAGCTCACTCTCAGCGCAGACTAATAGCTGTGTACTTCGCGAAAAATTAAATTTTAGGTAAATGGATACCTCCTACATCCACTCAACACCTTCTATGACAGCTGGGCTTCTCCCGGCATTCATATATCCTCCTATTACTCCGCGTGTGGCCCCTACGCGCGAAATAAACCATCTTCTGGACCAGTCCCATGCCCTGGCCTCAAGGTGCGAAATCCCGCAATCAATCAAACTTTTTCTAAAAGCCGAGCAATTGTGGAACGAGCATGGAAATATTAGTAAGGAAGATCATGTTTATCTTCTCGTTTATCGTGGATTTCTATATAGTTTATATTACCAGACCGCAGAAGATAAAGTTGGACGCGCTGGCCTAGAGTTGGCTGTGGTGTGTTATATGGAGGCAATTGATCTTGCAGAGTCAATCTTGCCCCACACAGCTGACACGGCACTCCCAAGGATGTATCTTGCTCTAGAGCTCTACTATGCACGCTGCTACGAGAAGGCTACAGTCCTGCTCAAACAGGCTGAAGCAATAGTGCGCAATGCTGAGGGTCCTCGATCTCTTTTAGTCCATATGTGCTCATACAACATACTGGCCTGCTATGTAGTCATGCTGCAGTACAGTAACGAGTACCGTGCAGGCTTAATCTCCACTCTCGCTGCTGATCAACTCCATGGGAGCGACACACCTTTTCCAATAGATCATCGTTTAATCAAGGAGCTAGGCAGTCTTGGCGTGCAGTCGCTCCAAGGCCTGGGCCAACAGTATAGGTACTTAGACAACATCATTTCAAATGCACAGCTGCTAGAGCCACCAGAGCACAAGAAGCTCGATGAGCTACTTGCTATGGGTCTTGGCCAGCAGGGAGAGCTGTTCCGGAAGGACGTTCTGGAGAAGATCAAAGGCAACCCACAACTATATGAAGGATGCAATAGTCTAATCATGTTTGACTTTTTGCAGAGTAGCGAGTTTTTGCAGGCAGGATCTCTGGGAATATGCCAGCCGGAAGCTCTCCTTGGCAAAGAGTTACTGGACAGCAAAACTGGAAGCCCTGGAGCAAATGCATCGTTACTTCTCCAAACTACTGCAAACAATGGACCCCGCATCAGTTCACTTGCTAGAGATCTCACTGAATCACGGTACAGACAGGAGCAAGAGCGCTCTATACCAGCTACACATGCCTCGTCCCCTTGCTTAATTAATCAACAAGTTATGAATGCAGGTACTTATTCACTCTCAACGCCATCAAGTGGTGTACCCAATGCCCGCTGTCCAGCAAACCCCGCTGGCGACCTTGTTGGCATAACCCCGCCTGGAACAAGAGCCATGAACAGCAACCATAGTAATCCAGACATGGAGGCCTCCATATCCTACAAACTAAACTTCCCGGTAGAGACCTTGGCATATACAATGGATGAAGACGACCTGTACGCCGTTATAACAGAATTGGGTTCGATTGAAAAGTCTATGCGCCAGATGGTTGGAAGCACACATTATTATACTACAGCGGTCCAGCGTCTGCGGCGTATATGTGAAGGGCTCCAAGAGGCAACCTTGCTAAGAAACGACAAAGACGTGATGGCTAGGGGGCTCGATGCATTCAAGCACAAGTTCCGATACTTATCATCAGTTGAGGTAAAGCCAAAAATGCTGGGCTCTGGTGGCAAGCCAAAGAAAGAGAAGGGCGCCAAAGGTAAGAAAGGTAGCAAAGGCAAGGTAAGGAAATGAGATGCGGCCTACACACTAATCAGCCGTGTATGCACGTACACCTGAGACCTATCTGTGATTCCACACTCGTGAATAGTCATTTCTCGCTCCAATTCATAGCCATTATATGTGAGGACCATGAATTCTGGCTCACAGCAATAGAAGCGTTGAAGCATCGTCTTCAGTTCGAAGATGGTATGATTGGGGTCAACATCCACAGCTGCTTTCACGGCATTGTCATCTGTCGCAAATACCCACATTTTGGTCTTTTCTAATTTTAAAAATGTCATTTACACACGTTGATCCCCCTGCTGGTACCCGCGGCTATGAGATCGAGCGAGCGGCAATTAATATCGTTGCACTAAAAACAGATAGAAGGGGTGCTTTATTTTTGACTGATGAGTCGCTTATCTATCACGGTAATAACTTCAGCTTCCATGTTCCTCTCCGTGATATAACACTCCACGAAGCGTCAGCAGGGATCTTTGAGTCGCCGTTCATTAAGTTGACCTTCCAAATCCCCAGTAAAGATATGGCGGGTACGATCAAGTTCAATTTCAAGAGTAGATCCTTTGATACCTTTGTATCCGTGTTTCCTGTCATGTATGCAAAAGCTCGTCAAGAGGCGCTTCAAGCACCAAAGCCGCCAGCAGCACCGAATTATGCTATGGGTAACGCTGATACCATCAGAGAGAGAGAAGCTCCTAATGCTTTGCCGCCGCCACCAAGTAATCCACCAAGTAATGTGCCCCCATACCCTGGGCTCCCTGCTAACATAGACACTATGGAGACACTTAGAAGTTTGACGAAGGTACGACCATATTCACATCTGCAGCAACAGCAACAGCAACAACAGCAGCAAGTGCAGCAGCAACCATATGTAACAACTGTCACCGCACTAGAAGCACCAGTAGCAATAATTGAACAGGAAAACCGCCCTCTTTTAGAAGAGGACAGCCAGGCCTTCCGTACAGTGTATGAATCTACGTGGGGAGTAGTGTACAACAAGGATTTCGACCCGAAAAATGCTTCAAAGGAGGATCAGCTGGGAATAACACAGTGTCTGCGCCCGGCCATGGACTAGTTACCCACTGCCATCGATAATCTGGCAGGAGCTATTGCTTGTCGGATGGTATGTACGCCAAGAAAAAGTAATTGTGAGCGTCCTCAAAGCGGCACGCTATCTCTGTTTTGAATAGCACCATAGACGTTTTGGAAGTGAACTTCTTTGGGTCAAACGAGGTGTTGTGCGCAAACAGCGGGACACAACCATGGCGGAGGCAGTAGCGGGTGACGGCCTCCATTATGTCTTTGTCGTATCCGTGCCGCCTATACCCATGGTCAAAGGTCACGAGCACTTCAACACATGGTGTATCTGGAGAGAGCTCAATTAGTGCTGGAGTAATGTCCTTGCCAGCGAGTGGGGCTCCTGACCCAGCAGTGCTCTCGGATAGAGGCGTGTCCGGTGGCTTAGAAAAGACGGCGCTATTAGCAACTTCTTGAGGTGGGTCACAATTGGAGAACGGCACCTCCGAGAGAACAAGACCCATGGGGTGGAAGGAAAGGATACCTACCGGCTCAAAGGTCTCTATCTCCGCAATCATGAAGAGGAACGTAAGCGATATGGACTTGTAGGAAGAAAGAACAGTTAAGAAAAATTCGTTAAGAAGTTCTGGCGTATTCTTGTCAGATACCGGGAACCCTATGCGCCGTCGAAGATATTTGCTTCGGAATGTGCTGATAAATGTGCATAGGTCTTGAGATATTAGAGGCCGAACAAACACGTGGTTGGCTAGTATAACGCTGGGAAATGGCATAGACATTTTCTCCGCGTTCTGCATACTCCTGTAGGACACCGTTATGTCGTATCGCCCGTCATATTCTTGTCCATCTTTAAGCATTTTAAATTTAAAAGGAAAGACTTCGAGCACGATTGCATAGGATGCTATTGTCCCCCGCTGCCTTTGACATTGCCCAGGTTCAGCGTTTGGGTAGGCTCTTTGTCAACGTTCAGCGGCGTGTTCAGCAGACAGCCACAGGTCTCACTACAGCGAACAGCAATATGCCGTATCTTTTAATTATGAACCTGCTTGATACCTTACGAAAAAGCTGCACCACGGGTGAGTGTCATTACTATGTTGTTCCGTTGTATTCTTCAAACATGAACAGCAGAGTGACGTTTCTTTCCTGCAACAACGCTATCCATTCTGACACATCTGATGAGTCCATCCGACACACACTAACCCTCCACTTATTCGGGTCTCAAGCGTGCTCCTCAGGATTTTTCCATACCGGCCTTCTAGTTCTAGAAGCGGACCCTATTGACAGCACCTTCTACACAGAAGTTGATGTCTTAGCATCCACTGTTTTGCATGCGGATTCAGTAATTTATATAGCGGATTTGCCTATGAGTGCCCGCTTTGCGTCTAGTCAGTTAGAGGAAGACTTTTGTGTTCGCTCTATGCTGGGCAAAGTCCCTGGTGTGCTGGCGCTGGAAGGCCATGAGAAGCTGTCTATTAAGGAGCTACGCGACGCATTCAAGGATATAGTAGAAGATGCCGTTGCAGATATTCTTTCAGGATTGCTCGAGTATGAACCTGAATCCTCTAACAAGACTACACAGGCTCTTACGTCCTTTGTACTAATTTATGTACCAGTCACTTGCACCATCTTGGATGAGTGCTACTTAAAAAGTATGTCTCTGCATTTGCATAAGCTTTCAGAGCTATTAGCTTTTACTACCTAACTCACGATTTGTTCCATCAACCGATCGCTTCTAGTTCTTAATGTTAATAAGTTCCTATTTACAAATTAGAACCGAGAGTCGTATAAACAAATTATCTTGTTACCTAGCTGTGTTTAGCGGTACTACACTTAGGGACTATCATCTACAGACAGCGCAGATCTGCTCCAGCAGGTCTTCCATGCCATCTTCAGCAGATGAGGCGGCTACAGTGAGAGGCTTGACGAGGCTAATCAAACAGGTCTTGAGAGTCAATCCCCTGGAGTAGTTGAGAGAGGAAGAGCCATTGGCCACCTGAGATTCAAAAGGCCTTGAGGCCATAGGTAGGATGAGCAACCGTACGGCAGTAGTGACATATGTATCAGCTAAGCACAACTGCCTATCTGGAGACTCTAACACACAGGACACGAGGTGAGCCCAGAGGAGAGATCCTTGACGTTCCCAGATTCACCCTCGGGGAACTCTATGAGAGGCTGGATAGCGTGCTTAGCGAAGGCATCATGGGCATAGTCTGATCCCTCAAAGGCTATCCGAGCCTTGCCGTGGAGGAGATCCAGCTCGACGGTCTGGGTCAGCACGGTGTAGATGCCATCAAGCTCGAGCTGGCCGCTCTTCTTAACCTCCCACCCAGACGTTCTCAGACACCACCAGGTGCTTACGGACGAGGGCTTCACCTACATTGTCATAGACCGCCACGACAGTACCCTCGAGCGCCCCCTCGCCAAGCACAAACGAGGGAGGATCCCCGTCCCTATCACTATGATCCTCTCTGTCATGAAGCAGGTCGCTGCCGCCCTCGCCTACCTCCACGGCCTCAGTGGGGCAAACACTAGAGGCCTCGTCCACTGCGACCTCAGGCCTGCCAACGTCCTTATCAGCGCAGATGGTGAGTACTTCATCATCGCTGGCCTCGAACTCTGCAAGGACGCCCTGTGGAGTGAGAGCACCATTGCAGGCATGGCAGCGTACATGGCCCCCGAGGTGCTCCTCCACAACGAGCCCAGCCCCGCCTCTGACGTGTGGAGCCTCGGGGTCATCGTCTACGAGATGGCCACTCTAAGGAAACCGGACTTCCTGAAAGGTAAGGAGCCAGCAGAGGTCTTCGTCGATGAGTGGAGGCCGGACCTGAGCGGTGTCACTGATGGCTTCATACAGAATGTTCTGGAGAGGATCTTTGTATTGGAGCCAGAGAGGAGGCCGACAGCCAGTGAGCTGCATGAGACACTCACTGCGGCTGACATCCCAGTTGGTGAGCTGGGGGGTCAGTGCGTGATGCTGAAGTACAAGTGCGGATCCTTGGAGGCTGCGCTGAATGGCGCTAACGCCAGGATCGCGCTGCTGGAAGAGGAGGTTAAGACTAAATCCACTAAGATCGACGCACTTGAAGACCAAAGTAAGGAGCACCTAGTCATGATTAAGGCACTGGAGAATAGGCTTGCACAGTTCGGTGACAGGATGAACACGGCTGGCCCTCAGTCCAGCCTCTTTTTGTTGCCCAGGCTGATGCGTGCTGCGCATACGAACGGCATGGAGACCGTCCGGATGCTGCTTGAAGAAAGACTCGGTGTTGGTCAGCGTGACGCACAGGGGATGACGGCCCTCATGCACGCGGGCCAGCAGGGGCATGTTGATCCCGTCGAATTGCTTGTTGGGGAGGAGAATGGCCTCCGGGACAAGAGCGGCTGGACTGCGCTCATGCACGCCGTACACAACAACCATCCTGAGGTAGCCAAGATTATTGCCCCCTACAAGCATAGGAAGAGGAATAGGGACAGCCGGACTGCTCTGATGATGGCCGCAGAAGAGGAGTATGCAGAGATTGTTTCCCTTCTGGCCCCACATAAGACTGACAGTGAACGCAACACAAGCTTGATGAATGCTGCAACTAACTCGCCTGCAAAAACTGTTGAGGTGATGGTTGGGCATGAATATGGTTTTGGAGACTCGCATGGCCGTGCCGCTTTGATAATAGCAGCGTAGGAGGGAAATCTTAAGACGCTCAGAGCCCTCATTGAGTACGAGAAGGGGCTGAAGGATAATAATGGTTGCACTGCCCTCGTCCACGCAGTTCGAGTTGGTCACCGGGATGTTGCAAAGCTTCTCATGATACAAGAGAAGGACGCCGCTGGCTGGACAATGCCCATGTACACCGCAGCACTCGAAGACACGGACATGGTGTCCCAACACCTCGATGAAAAGGATCAGAGGGACAAGCAAGGCCAGACAGCCCTCATCATCGCTGCCCAGAACGGAAGGGGCGAGACGGTGAAGCTTCTGATGAAGCATGAGAATGGTGTCCCTGGCTTGATAAGCCTTATCTGCTCAGCGTGTCTTGGCGACGTCTATGCAGTCAAGAGCAGTATCCACGAGAAGGGGCATGCAGACATCATTGGGATGACGGCATTCATGTGGGCTGCATACCAGGGCCATCAGGGAGCAGTGGAGATCCTCCTCGAACACAAGAAAGGGATGGAGGACAAGGACGGGAACACAGCCTCCGCGTACACCCTCATGAACAAGCATACAAGCATAGCCATATTTCTTCGCGAGCATGAGGCTCCCTGTGGACCCCTTTCATGTGTGCATCCTTCACTGAAGAAATTGGCATGGTGAGGAAGCACTTTTCTGAAACGAAAAAAGAAACAATGATGATAAGACTGTGCTAACAACGCTGCAAAAACAAGATATGAAGATGTTATGGAATTCGTCGATTCAATCAATAACAAGGGTGTCATACGCTCATGTGAGCCGCCGACAGAAATGGCCCAGCAGCTGTGAAGGAGCTTGCTTCGCTTCAGGCAGGCAGAAGGCGTCATGATACCTCAATATAGACAACTGGATTATATACAAGGGAACTACGCTGATAAGAGCAGCGGCGTGTGACCATACAGAAGTGACGAGATTGCTCCTGGAGAAGGAGGGAAGTGTGCAGAATAATCGCAGTAAGACAATCCTCATGCTAACAATACGTAACGATCAGATAGAGTGCGCGAGACTCCTTGCAGAGAAGGAGAGTGATATAAGTAAGGGCACACTCTTAGGCATAGCCAGACAGAGAGGCAATGAAGGCCCTCTTCTTGGAGTAGCCAAAGTAAACAGTGAATATCTCTACATCAGATCTCCACACAGGTAATAGCCTCTGCCTTTGAAGACACATGCACAGATACTACCATCTTCATATCATGATGACTGTAGCGCAGATCTCGGCAGTAGTAGCCGCTACTCCATGCTCCAGGGTTCTGTGCTGCTGGGGTCTATCTTGGCTTTGTTTAAAGATCTCACAAGCAAGCTTCCCTCAGTTCCTAGCCATCCCCAGAGATGAAGGGTAATCGCGGATAGCATAGTGAAAGATTTCCCTCTATCAGTACTCCAGAGCCTGGCGCCCCCTTCGATCGCTCAACGGGCGTGTGCTCAGGCCGAATGTGCTTCCAGAAGTGCTCGCACGCCAGTCTGTCCAGGCTCCGACCTTCTCACGGCCTCGTGTGGTCCCTAGCGGCGACCTCCTCTTTGGTCCTGCTTCATAGCGGGCGAGGGCGGGTCTTTGCGTTCGTTTTACAATGCATCCATCTGTCACGACGGCAGTAACCATTGAGGCTCTGGCTCCATTGATGGTCCTGATGCAGCGAGAGTCTATCCTGGCAATATGGAGTGGGCGGGGCTGTGGGTCTGTGGCTCGCTATGAGGGGGCGTCGTTATTTATCTTTGGCCGTTGCTTCTTCTATGAACGGGTAGGCCCTCTATCGCCGTGGCCCTTTGGGACTGATGATGGTTGCTTCTGTTGCCCCTCGGTGTCTGATCAGTCCGTGGTTCTGGGCCAGCGCTCCTTCTCAGTCGCAGTCATTCTGGTTCCATAGTGGGTCCGCTTGGTGGTTGGAAATAGGCTGACAGGGGGCAGTTGCTGGGTACTCATCAGCTGCCACATGGACAGCAAGAGCCAGGCAGAACTCTCGGTGCCCGCTGGTGCCATGGACTGGACTGAATGGGTGGTGTCCGCCTGTGCCCCTGTCTTCTCGCTGTGGTGTCTATCTGGTCGCTGGATAGCACCCACGCCCACCGCCTTGCACTTGTGACGGGCTCTGCTCTGGTCGCCGGGCTGGTCTGATCTCCAGCTTGCGTTGCACTCCCCGAGACACGGAGGCAACGATTGCACGGGGCCCCTGGTTGTCCCTCTGCACCAGTGGAGGAGAGCCCTTGTCTGTTGTCTACGATCAGCCCATCCTCAGAGAGCCTGGCCTGGGCGGGCTGCCGTGCGGCTTCTGAGTGTGCCCCAGGCGAGTTCAGCAGCACAGCCCTAGAGGTGGCCGGGTGGAGTGAATCACTCGAGGGATGCACGTAAGGAGCGCACAGGTCCGGGGGCGCCCGAACAGGCTCAGCCCTCGCACCGGCTCCTCCCCGGTCGCCTCAGTCGCGGCGCCACCGAGAAGACGCGTGCCCCGTCCGACGACCCGGCACACGGACCGACGGCTGGCGGATCGCATGGCAAGGTGGAATAAAAAGTTTGGAACATTGGCGCTCGCGTGGATCGGGATGCAGCATTCTCCAGGCTGGGAGGCTGTGCGCGCGGGCATTACCTCTAGCATGTTCCTCACCACGGCCCCAGGCTGATGGGCGGCCGAGGCCTTGTCAGCGTCACGCACGCCTCTTGCCGGCATTGGGCCGCCCGGGATCGTACATAGGCGGGGCTGCAGAGGCCTTCCGCGGCTCCTGCGGGCAGTCGCCTGCTGCGGAGAGCACGCCCAGCTTGGGAGCTCCTCGGGATCACCGTGCAGGTCATCGAGACCGGTTCGACGGGCCCCACGTTAAAGGAGGCGCACGGGCCGGCGAGCGTGCCGTCTTTGCAGGCAGGCTCTCGCTGGCCGGGGTGGCGGGGCTCTCCTGTAGCCCTCCACCGGGAACGCCCTATCTACTGGCAGCGGTTCCACGGTTGCAACGCTACAGGGGCGGGCTGCAGCTCTTCCGCAGGATCTCGTCGGACAGGCAGTTGGCGTAATCTCACGTGCACTCACCAGGGGCTCCTCGCCCTCGTAGAATAGCACCCCGCACGCCCCAAAGCCAAATCGAAATGCAGCAGGTGCAGTCGACTCTTCTCGGGTTGTGGCGCTGATCCAATCAGACGCCGCGGCACGCCCCGAGCAGGCTTCATCCAGCAGCGGGTGCTCTAGCCGCGCCCCTGAGGCAAGTCTGCTTCTGACCCCGTCCCTGTGCCGACCCCAGCGAGCCCCCGACGGCGCCGGAGAAGGAGCGCCTTGCGGAGCCCCTTACTGGCCCCTCGGTGCAGGAGGATCCCCGGATTACCGATTTGCGTGCAGCAGCGGGCTGGGATGAAGCCGTGGGCACCGATGCCGGGGCACTAGCCACGGAGACAGCAGCGTTAGTAGCCAGACGAACCTCTATTTCACCCTATGGTTTTTGGGGTCCCAAGTTAGCGCCCCCGGAGCAGCACCGGCTGTACACTGTTCACTGCACTCGGTCGGCCGGATAGTGTGGCAGCTACGGCTACTCTAATTACGGCGCTTGATGTGTTTACTGCTGGGGAGGCGTTGCTCTCCGCTCTACGGGGTGGCAGGATTGCTCTCACGTGCACGGTAGTACCAGTGGACGCCCCTCAGCTGCCGGGCCGGAGCGGCTCTTGGATGGGTGATTCTATCCTCCTCCGTGCAGGCGCCCCTCGGGGCCCAGTAGACGTGCGTTGCTGTGTCCCGCAGCCTGGATCCTTGCCTTCAGACGCCAGCACGGAACTCTCTAAACTTGTCCTCCTGCGGCGTCCTATGCTGCTATGCGCACTTCGTTTTCAGTAAGCCCTTAAGGTCGCAGTCCAGGACTACCGGCCCCCGCATCATCGGATATGGTTGCTGACTGCGGCCGCTTACGCAGTCGCAGCTGGTTCCGCACTGGCCCTGTATCGGTAGCCTCGGGCCTGCATCGCCGGTGTGCGGCCCACTTCGCTCTGCGGGTGTACCACGTATAGTTACCGGCCTCGGATTTGGTGCACCGCTGGGGCAGATAATAGCAGCAGCAATCCTGCAGCCCCGTGTGGTCGTCTGGCAGTGGATGCGAAGGTTTGCAGGTGGGAGTGGAGTCTTGGGGCTGCTCTTATCCACGTCACCGGGCGCCGTGGTCAAGGGCTCTGAAGGCATACCCAGCCCTCCGCTGGACGAGGATCGTTGGGCTGCTCAGAGCCCTGCAAGCTGCGTCCAGGCTGGTATTAGGTGGCCCAATGGCGTAGCAGTGGGAGCTGTGAGGCGAGACCTGCCGTGCACCGAGCGTCGGACCATTGCTACACCGACTCCCCAAAGGGACACACTCAGCCCTGAGCCGGATGCCCACTTGTACTGTGGAATGAGCGCCTTGCATGCTTGCCGTGAGCAGCTATCCAAGGCTCGAGGTTAGCGGGCGGGCCCCAGCTATCGCCCTCCATTATCTCAGCCGGCTAGCAAAGAACACTTCTCGAGGCAGCTCCCGACTGGAGGACGAGTGGATCTCAGCCGCCGGCACAGAACTCCCCTTCTCCGGGGACGTGATCCTCGGGCCTGTGTGGCTCACGATCTCCATCCCTCCTTTGGGGCGGGCTGACTGTAGCCCTTCCGTATCATGGCTAGTGCTCTCTGAAGCTCTGATGACGCGCGGCTGTGTCTTACACGTGTCGTTACAGTGGGACCCGCGCCTGCCCGCCCTTGCGTCGCTTACGGTGTAACCAGGGGCGACCGGGCACGCTCCTATCGGCACATGGCGCCCTCCGTTGTGCTGGCTCCTGACGGCAGGCCACTCTACCGGGTCTGGTACTGCAAGGACCACCTATAGCGGGGGCAGGTGCGTCTACGCATCACCTCTGCGCTGTAGACAGTAGACGGCACGCCATCAGTTAGCACAAGATCCGGTCCGCGTCTTCTCCGGCTCTGTATCCATCAGGCTGTGCTACCATTACTATAGCCGCCCTATGACAGAACTAGGCCTTGCTTCGCAGAAATCCAAAAACAAGGGTCGCAGATCGGGCGGCACGGGTCGCCCTCGGGCTAATCCACCGCTGCAGCACGGCCACTGCGGGCACGTCCAGGTGGCCATGGAGCTGGGGGCGGCCTCGGTCGAGGATCATCGCTCGACGCGCCTCTCCTGCAGCGGCCAGGGCGTCCCGGCCGGTCTCGGGCGAGGAGGACGCTATTGAGGCACGGAGAAGTACGGTGGCCCACAGGGTTCGGCGGGGGGCCGGATCGCGCAGAGCTGGTCGAGGAGACTAGAGCGCCAGCCAGGCCGGGGCGCCGCCGGGGGAGCCTGGCGCGAATCCCGATCACGGCGGGAACACCCTCGCACCGATTGGGGACAACACAAGGGCAGGCCACGTAGGAGGCCGTCTTGATTCTCCGCTTTACCCCAGGACGCATCTGAGCTGCCCACTCGCGCTCTGGTCTGCAGGCAATCAGGGTCTACGGCCGGCACCGGATTACGCTCTTTGGGTCTCCGACATAAATCTAACAAATGCATTATTTTATCAACCAAAAAATGATCACTGGCGAAATTATGTTCGCACACCGGCATAATCCAAAAAGAATTTAATGCTATTGACAGCCTTCTGTATTATGGCGAGCGTTCTCGCGGCAACCTGTACCGTTGAGGCC